CACCCCCAAGGGAAGATCCGGTCGGGGGACTAGAACGGACAGACTGACAATCTAAAAAGCATGACGAGCGAGCCACGCACCTGTGCATCCAATCAGGCTTCAGGCCTCAGGCCTTGAATTCGGAGTAGGGATCATTGGATCTGATGACGTGAAGTTCTAGGCACCTCTAGAAAGCCAAAATGCAAACAATGATACCGGAACACGATCCGTGAATGATGTCAACGAAGTTTGCATCGTCTCCAAGGAAGCTCAGATAAGAGACAATATGCCGTCTTTCATGATGCAGTCAGGCTGGCAGGAACGGGTATGACGAGAGCGAGTTACATACGTGTTTATCGAATTACATGATCAAATTGTTGTGAGAGTAAGTAAGTTGGATCTGGAACTCACAAAAGGCAAAATTTTAACAAACAACTTGTCCGTGCAGCGTGGCACAGTTATACAACTCCCTGCTGTCATCGATGCTTCTTCAGATCCGCGTTATGGCACTGTCAAGACACGAGGCATATGCTGCACTCGTGCAGTGACTGATGGGACTGATATCGTATTGAGATGAGCAGGGACCAATCGGTCCAGGAGTGTGTCCACTAGCACATAAGGACCTACAACGACTTTGCAAGAGGAGCACATGATCGGCCCGGAGAGGGAGGACAATGTTTCATTATCCTCAGAGTACAGCCTTGTGGTGATGAACGCCACCATCATGGCTTGCAAGCGTTATGTCTGCTAAAGTCAACAAAATGTCTATCACAGAGCTTAACTAGCGTCGTACCTTGCATGTAAATAGGTTACCCCGATGACCGCCCCCTTGATGAGATTGATGACCGATCGCTAGAAATGACTTTGCTTGCGTTCGATTCTGCTTCATGCACACTAATACACGTGTTCTTCCTTTGAATACAGCCTCATGATGCATCAGCAGGGTCTGCATTACAATGGCAACAGGGACCACTCACCTCCTGCTACCCTTTAGACTCTATGTACGTCGGCGGCGGCTTCTTTGAGTGCGATATAACGCATATTCGCATTTGTTATTATTAGTTCCTTGAACGTTAACGTACGAATCCGAATCCCTGCTCTTTAAAGGCAGTGCACACGACACTAGCACTGGCTGACCCTTTGCAGGGAGTCAAGCTTCAAGACTTGACTCGTTGCCTGTTTGTCATATTTTTCCCTAATGATTTGATCATGGGATGCTCGGATCTCGTTCATTGGATACCGACGTACGAAGCGGCACGAACCCCACTGCTGGCAGTGCACACGACACTGATACAGGTCGGACCTTTGTGGGGAGTCAAAACTGTTGGCTTGTCCCCAGAGATTTGACCATTTGACGCTCGCTCCAGAGGTCTCCAACCCTGCAGTATGGTGTCGTGTTTTACAGAAAGCAATAATTTCGGTGGGAGTCCTAAATGAACGGAGATCGATCTGTTCTGAGGTTATGTCTATCATGTCTATCATGGGGGGCTGGTAGTTTAAAGATACCTATCAATATCATAGTCAACTGTCGGAAAGTATCGATTGATAGCCCAGTTCACTGTCTGGTATGCCTGGGACGCTCTCAAGTTCACTTAGCACATGACAAGCATGATCGTCACAAAGCCGTGAACTGGATCTTTTCTCAGTTAAATAATTAGATGAGTTACGGCGCCAGACCAGGATGTTCAAGTGCACGCACATCGCCAATTTCCCTGCAGGGCAGAAACTCCCATCTTTTGTGTTGGCAACGACTCGACAGAACGCGAGACCATGACACTTTGGGGGCCATCACGTCGTTACGAGTAGTGTTTGCATACCCAATTTATCAAAACTAACCGGTAAATCTTCATCTAAAGGTTCACACGCAAAAAAATGGCAAACAAATTTGATAGCTGATGACTGGTATAACTACAAAAGATAGGGCGACAACACACAAACAGAGCTACTAAAACCTGGAAAGATCGTTAGCATTGAGATTCAACAGAAACAATGCAAGCTGCGCCATATAAAAGATCAGACATCCTGGAAGGACTGCATACCCTCATCGCGCCGACCCCCACCTCCCGTTCAGCGCGCCACAAGGACGGTCCACACCCGACTATGCTTTTGGGTTCACACAGCGAGGGGAAATATGAACGTTCAGTATTGGGGGAGTACTCCTGGCGGAGGGCGCTAGAGTGGAAACTGCGAATAACGGAAAATTTTCATCGTGCATGAATGGGCGCAGCGATGCGAAATTCACAAGTACATCGATTCTCACCTGAAGACGACGGACGCGGTATCTTGAACGACAACCTAAGAAAAACTGGAGAGTTGGTCAGAACAGAGATTTTAAGACGAGTAGACCAAAGTGAAAAAAATCAGACAAAATGGCACTGGCAAGTACACTGTGCGCTCCGGAGAGCGCGTGTTCGTTGCGAACGAACAGCTCTATTCCTCGGCATGGTCGTGTAGGACGGGGAAGAGAATAAAGTCATCCGTTGGATAAGAAAACGATGAACATAATACTTACAGAACATGAGGCAGATGAAGAAAAGAAGATCACCTACAGGGAGAATTTATACACCGCCACAATTTGGCAATTGTTTGGCAGTGGCCCGTGCACCCATCATGCTTATGTAATACTCATATTTGCTTTGTGAACAGTGGCCGCCAATGCTTAACGTTAACCTAGAACGACGACAAAGTCCATCTGATTCTTAACATTGCTGTTCCAGATGTCCCTAACAGAGGTTGAACGTCCAATATCTGCTATTCCAGAGCAACGGGGTCCTGCATCTCCTGAAATCATTGACGTCGACCTCTTCGATGTGGAAGAGGTAGCTCGGATCGGATCAAGACCACCTACTCAGAGAAGAAGGGTATCGGAGAGCGGTCGCTCTGTGCCAATCGATCCAGAGGTCATAATAATAAACGACAGCGATGATGATGATATACAATTCGTCAGGGCCAGGCCTGCTCCCAGATCTCACAGTGAGTCCTACGCATCCATTTCAGCACGTCTTCCTGAACAATTGCTAGGAGCCCGCATTTTTTCACCATCGCCTCCACCCCAAATTGCTGCGATACCACCGGTTCCGCAGATACCGCGTAGGTTTATACCTATGCGAAGAAGACCGCCTCCATTTCCCACCGCCCCCGGGTTGGTGATTCCCAACGCCGAGCCCTTTCCATTTGAAACGAACATCAGGGTTCCCCCTGAGCCCATCGAGCGTCCTCCGGCACCTGCACCTCCCGCCGCACCATCTCATCACGTTCCTGTGATGGGATTCGGCGGCGCACTGCTTCAACGCGCGAGAGCAGCTTTTGAGCAAACCCCCGCACGATCACATAATAACGAGCGCCGCCGCCGAGTCTTCGGCATTCCAGCGGATGTGTTCATGCAGTGGAACCCTTTAGACTTCTTTGGTCATGAGGAAGACGAACTCTATGATGATGATGGCTTTCGTCACTATCGAGCTGCAGATTTTAATGATGAGCCTGGTGACCGGTTGATGCGAGGTGATCTCCGCCTTTTCAACGCTCATACCCCAGGGCGGCCTTCAGAACCTGATTATAAACCGGAGTATACCCATCCGGTGAAGCCTGCATCTGGTTTTACACATGACTTCGAGTCATCATCTATGACACCTGCACCGGTTATCGACATCGATAGCCCCGGTTCCTCCAGCTCAAGCAATAGTCGTTCCGGCGAGTCTATACTTACTTGTCCTCGGTGTCATGACCCATTGATGCTGGGAGCTGCGGATGTTGCCGAGGACCGAGCAAAGAGAAGATTGTGGGGTTTAAGATGTGGTCATCTTTTGGACGGAAAATGTGTGGAGGAATTGATGAAGCCGATGCCTCCTGTTACCCCGGACTCGGCGGACACTGCTGATGTGAAAGGCAAAGGCAAAGCAAGGGAGGAAGATGAACACGAGTTACCTGGTGCCTACCTCACCCGCTCTGTGAAAGGCAAAGGCAAGGAGACGGATCCCAATATCTTTAACATCTTCTGTGAACCTGAATTCTCTTCTATTCGCTCACGGCTACGTCCCCGTCCCCCCCTTCCATCTCACTCCTCTGGACTGTTACCCGCCGGCCCTGGCCCATCGCACGCGCGAGCTAGAGCTGCTCCTCGCCCATCCGTGAAAGCGAAAACCAATGGGAAAGGTCGAGCCAAGGTTCCCAATGTAGAAGCTGAATATGAATGGACTTGTCCTGTTGGCGGATGTGGGCATGTTCATGTGAGCCAGCTCATTGACGGGCAGTGGGTCATGGACGAGAAGAGAGGGGCTATCACTGTCTTTGTATGATACAAGGCCGTTCCTGAGCTGTGGGTTTAAACTATGTCTTTTTCTGTCGATGCTCACTCCATCTCGATAGCATTAGCGAATTATATACCATGACACACCCATTTTCTCACTCATAGGTCCGGCATTACAATTTGGATTCGCATTCATCAAATCGCATATTTTTTCTCACCTGTACAGGTTGTCCCGCCTCGGATGTTTGTATCAGGTACGTGCATGTCTTAGACCATTTGTGGGATTAAGCTTCGCCACGAGTTCGGATAAGCACTTCCAATTTTAAGGGGTATCGCTTCTTCTACTTTCTGGAACCACTTTGGAGGCTCATCGATAGAAGAAACCAACCAACTGAGCTACATGCAGATGAATTTACCAATTCTGACACCACGTACTCACTACCAAAACTTGACTACATAGTAGGGGGCGGCCTAGTCTTGCCAAGTGGCTGTTTGGTATTTGCATTATTACGTCAGACATGCGTGATCTTCCATGCCTTTTGTGCGTTGAGCCTTCCGAAAGCTTGGTGGAGGCCACGATGTCGCTCGGAAAGGCCGTCAAGCACGCTCCAAACGCATGCTCTAGAACGATCAACGATCACGGTTTCAGTCGCATGACCGATATGTCTGTGCTTGCTTTATAGATGCCTTGATAAATGCAACCTCTCCGTGCCACACTCGTGCTTGTGATTCAGACTATTTGCTCAGATTGTTCAGACGTCGGCCTCGTGGACTTAGTTTTTTAAGTAGAGCTCTAGAGTTTTAGATACCCCGCTTGCTCCCGCGCACATTCGAGATCGCACTGAGACGATATCTCGACCTTTTACATGGCTCTCGATTCCCTTTGCATGGACCCATCAGCAACTCCGCGACGTTATCTTCGTAGGGAATGGAAACGAAATAAGCCCGTGAGTTGCATTCATATATCGATGAGGATCATGATCACTCATCGCGGATATGTGCTCATCAGCACTTGCATGCATCCGATTCGCTACCTTCGCTGCACCTCTGCCCGAACCGGCCTCTCTTTGTCTGTGCACGATGTGGCTTTTCCAATACGCTCATTCCTATGTGTCTCTGGTGTGCATGGAGTTCCGCGGTGGCAAAGAAAGAGTTCGAGGAGAGGTTGCCGAGACCGCGAAGAATAACTGCACCATCTAAGACTACTTCTCAGTTGAGAGGCACGAGCGAGCGAACGAGAGTCAAGTGCATGCCAAAGAGGGTCTCGGCTGATTCCACAATTTCAAGCGCTGGGCCTGTGACTCCTCAAGGTGACCTCATGTTCTGTATAGAAAGCCTTCAGGTACCCGGAATTACGGCAGTATTGGACTCGTGTGACAGCGAGCTCGCATGTTCACGCAAGCCTGACAATGTCGTGCGGATAGGCGTGGATGATATTCACAACGATGAAGTCGATTCCCAAGGAGATGGCGGCGGCGTGCTTCACGACGTCACCACAGCAACACCGATTTTGGTAAATATTGCATGCCGTTTGATACCTCCGTAGAACCAGGGTTGTATTGCTGACCCTTTTTGTTTTATTCTTCCTACGCAGCCATTGTGCCGTTCGACGGCTCCCGCCAGCGTGAAGCAGAAGCTTCTGGGTGGACTATACAAACACGAAACCGTGAAGAAACAGTCGATACGGCATCGTCGAAAACTACCTGCTCTTTTTCTTGCAACGTCATCATCTGCGCATGCGCGCAGCACTCTTCACGACAAATCACTCATGATACAAGGAACGACTTCACACTCGAATAGTAGTTCCGTTTTGATCGATGCAGCTCACGCCGCTGGCGGCGATGTATACCCCGATGGTGTCTCTCACGCTCGCGCTCTTTCCTCCGCCGTATCATTGTCAGAATCTTCCCCGAAGCTACGGAGGAAGAAAGGCGTGCCATCACTCAAACGCATGTCCTCACTCTCATGTCGGTCAAGATCACAGCAGTCTTCCCCCGCATTTGATGATCGTGCTGAATCACACGCGTCACATACAATGCATGTAGCACCAGCACCCTCTCCTGCGCCTTCGACTGCTATGAGTGCGGAAATTCCCGTCCGAATCGGCCATCCTAGTCGGCCATATTATACTGTCATTCGGAAAAACATGTCTCGACCTGGTACTCCTGGGCTTCCTAGCTCCCTCCCTCGCACGCCCTCTCCCATTCCATCTGATTACGATTATCCACCACGCGGCACGAGATCTCTTGACTGTGGGGAGCGTGTACCAGTGCAGTTCGGCCGAGATTCACGGCCTATGTCGATGATTCTCCCTGGACAATCGATACCTGTGAACGTGTACTCTGGGTTCTCATTAAGCGGCGAAACGGAGATGCGGATGAACTTAGCGAGGTGGCGAAAGGAAGATGGACCTGATGAGCCAGGGGACTACCTATTCAAGGAGACAGGTCACCGCGGAAAAGGGATAAAGGGTAGAGTGAGGAAGCTCGGGAAGGGCTTGCGAGATCTAGTGCTCGGCAGATCATGATGTATGTACGAACAGCTGTAAGAACAGATCATGTCACGATATATGTACCCATCCTGCACACCACAGCGGCACGTGGTTGTTTTTTTTATTCATGTGATCTGGAGTGACACCACGTCACGAATATAATTGAAACCATCCGATCGCGGCGATCATCATAATGAAGACCATTGTTCCTGTTATCCGTAAGAGCTGCTCATAAGTACGAGAGTGTGCTTCCAAGGTGTTTTTCACTGGCTTTCCGTAAAGCTTCCAAGTCCGTCAGACTCCGTCTTGGTACGCATCATTGATCCAAGTGCTAGCAATTCCAATGCACACGGTTGTGTCACGGCGACTTGCACAGCCTCAGGGCCGTCAATTCTCATATAGTACTTGCCCTCAGTCAACTTCATTTCCTTTACTTTTTGTGCAATCACCATAGCCTACGACTTCCCAGCATCCGAGTCAGCCTATTACGATTCATATCTACATCATGATTGAAGTAAAGATCTTTGATCAGAATGACAAACACCTTCATGCATTGGAGCCGTCCAAGACCCATCTTTTACATCTACCCGCGCTGCGAATCGACACTGATACCATAACGGACACGAAACATGTTTTGCGTGTAGGTAACGATCAACTAAACGAAAACTTTTTGATTCACTTCACTTTCACTCCCAGCAGCGTACCAACACCGCAGTTGCACCAAAGGTCGCCATTTCTCCAGATATATCAGCTAACGTATACAAGTACGTGTTTTTCACGTTGCGCACAAACCGCATCTGAACAATACATTACTGCAACGCTTAGCACACCTAATTCTAGCCGCGCATGCGGAAGGCCCGGACCCACTATGAAGCCTAGCCGCTCCAACAGGGCTACTTCTATCTGTGGATCCCCTACAGACTCTTTACGTCGCCAACGGCGTTACTCTACAGCGGAACAGGCCTTGGAGCATGCACTCAAGAGTTGCACAAGAGAACGGTCGCCTCGAGAACTTCAGATTCTTGCTTTGGAAAAGGCGACTGCTGCGCTGAGTACACGTGCGAATGAATCCAGGGACCGTGCTGCCAAGTTAAGGGTGTGTCTCGCGGATAGAGAGGTCGATCCTAAGAGCTACGTTGCCTTGCAATTAGATCGTTGGATGGAAGAACGACGGCAGTTTGAAGCAGACCGTGGGGTTAGCCAATTGAGTCAGCATTTGGCTTCGCTCAAGTTGAAAAGGGGTGTGCCGGAGCAAGGAAGGTTTGACGAGAATCTTCCAGTTACACCCCTCGACAACGAGGCAAGGCGCCGGGCTAATCTCGTTAGATTTTTTGAACGATCACCCACGAGGACATCATTACACATCCACCATAAGTGCAGGCCTCTTTTCGTCGACTGCACCTTCTCACGCCGGATAACCATGAGCGACATTTCACCCCTTCGACTCCGTCCGTCGACCAGCGTTACTCGGAGGTTCACAACACTGAATTCCCGTCCAAAATCGATTGGTGGTGAGCCATGTGTTCCTCCTATGCGCTCCAGCAAACCACGAGTCGCAAGCGGGCCATCTAGACCCTCCTCACTAGTTAAAAATATGGGTCTTTCTAATGCGGAAAGAAATTCATCCTTGTCGCAATCGTCGACCCCTTCATCTCGCTTGCTGCCATTTAATGAATTCACTGATGACGTGATGACTTCCACACGGCCATCGACTCCCCCATTATCCATTGCATCGACGTCTTCAAATGGGGCATCACATGCATCACGTGTGCCATCGGAGGCGCCACCACAAGCGCCTTCGGGGGGCGTGGCGACTATTTACGCAAGTTCCTCGCCACGCTCACATACGGAGATCCTTGCGGAACTAGACACGGACTCGGTCTGCGTGCCTGAGTACGCTGTGAACCTATTAGAGGGGTTCGATCTCATTCACCACGATATTACTCTTCCAGAGAGAAGTCTCTCCTTAAAGCCGAGGGAGGAGGAACCCGCAACAGGAGTACCCCGTCCATCGGAAGAATCGGACACAGGGCCTTATACCTCATTCGCTTTCCCTCCGTTCCAACCGGATCCACTGTGGTCCCACACATCACTCAATGCGCCTTCTACACCCCGGTCGCACGTGCCAACGCTGCACCCTCTTTCTTCTGGATCATCAACGCCTTCAGGCTTGAGCACGCCGACGGCTACGCGCCCCCCTGCGCTGCCCTCACGGCCACATTCGCTCCTGTTTCTTATGCGGAAGCGCAAGGACCTGCAGAGCAGCCCTGCATCATCAATGGTAAAGCTAGACGGGGACAGTGCGCGGGGGTCGAAGCGGCGATTTTCGTTGTTCACAAGGAAGTAGTCAGACATGATTCGCTTTTGGACTTGACTTGTATATATTTACGAATCGCAGTAATATTCAAGTGAATAACTTTTGGTGCCCGTGAAGCAGGGCGGCTACGGATGGACCCGTGGCACAGTGGTAGCGCGTGAGATTCCAGAGCTTTGGCTTGTATCCTCAAGGTCATCCGTTCAATCCGGGTCGGGTTCACATTTTTTTTGCGTCAGGACGATCGGTTTTTTTTTCCATTGTCACATCTAATACCACATACATAGATGAATGCCCTGCATCATAGAAGGGCTTACATATGATGGGAAGGCGCTATGTTACAAAGCCTGGTGTCATAACCGAGGTTCAGCTGTGTTCATGAGGCCTCGCAGGTTGATGGTGACCCGCTTGACTGTACATATCGTCACCCAGCACCAGAGTTATGCATTAATCATCGTGATCCTTGCCATTTCCCTAATATCTCCTTCAAGTTTGCTTTATTCGACCCAAACAACCCCCGGGCCCCCCAGTGGTGCTGAGTGAGCGGTCAAAAAATATTCTCGTGAATGAAATGTAATAATGTTCTGCCGCCTGGTTAAGGGGTGCATTATCAGCCACGTAGATGCATCCCCAAGGATGCATGCGCAGAATGCCTCTATATACGCAAAATAGAAGCGGTTGCACGCATACTACTCCAAAGCCTGCTGCCATGGCCAAGGTTAGGTTGGCTGTGTTTTGCTTCGACGGCTCATCGCCGCCAACGTTGTGTGACGGTCGATTGTCGTTCCCAAACACGCTGCTTGTATCCCTTTGTCGCGGTCGTCGTTCATACTTCGATATCTCCTGCTCGTTTCTTCGACTCATCGAAACCCTGGTACTGCTGTGAAAATAATTAATGGCTGAAGAATATCGGAAGAAATCTAGCAAACTAAATCGAGTGTACCCGCCTGCCATGGTTTGCTCCATCAAAACATCCCCTAAATGTGTTTCATAAACTTTGATTAACCGTTATCGTCTGCAGGAACCTGCGACAGAAGTTTCCTTTGGCACATTCTTGTTCGAAACGCCGTTCGCCTAATTATATGTTGCTATCTCGTTGCGAACCGTGAAGGGTTCGTTGTATCTTCTGGCAGTAAATTGACCCACGAGGTTGCTTATCGCCGATGTCTGAGATAGAACGGACGGGTACCTAAGTATGATATTCAACTCACTTGCAGCTCGCCGGAAATTGTCCTACCAGTTCACACCTGTGACCGATCTGCAGGTTCTCGCGTTTTTCGGTCCCCTTTTGACGCTGTTGAATGGATTGGGCATCGGATTTTAGATAGAGCGGCAGCTCCGGTGCTCACCTTGAGCACACGTTTGTTTCGTTGGTCATTTGGTTGAGATGAGATCCGCGCTTTAGGGCGCATCTTATATTGATGTGCCTGGTTTGCGAACAATCAACGTACACTGCCAAGTCTCCATGATATTCCATCATGCCGTTACTACCACAAATGAGACGTAGGTATTGGTTATTCCCAAAGCTGACGTGTGCAATTAAAGAGCACTTAAAAGGGGCAGCTTGATTTAGCTGTGATCTCATATGGTGTACCTTGAATATTCATTACTCGAGGCAGCGTTGCAGAGGACTCAAAGAGAACTCACCTGAAAAGGGGACTGTCATCGCCCATATCCTCGAATTCATATCCTCTATCTTCGCTAATGTTTTCCGCCAGGCACTGCGCTTCTTTCTTTTTGTTCAACCGATTATAGTCCCACATAGCAAAGAGACTCATTATGATCCTGTCACAAATTCATGTTATCATGCTACAGTTCCGGTTCGGAAGACTGATGGGACATACGCAAGAGAAAGGAATCCCATGATCGTGCCGTGCCCGATGTGGAAGCGTGGCGGATCAATGTAAATGAAGGAGGAGCAAATACTGAGACTAGTATGAGCGGATAGACGTCGCATATTTAGGATAACGTGACGTACCCTCCGAGATTACCAAGACCAATGACCATTGCTAGTGCAACTCCACGTTTTAAATCGCCTCCTGCACTAGAGCCTGCCCAAGCCAGAGCAATCGCGACGGTTGGATAAACCCCAGCAGCAGCCAGACAAGCTCCCACGTACGAGGGGCCCGCTCGTACGCTGCAATATAGCAAGATGTATCCCACAAGAGAAACAAGCGCGCCACCAATGATGTACGGACCACGAAGTCTGTGCTTGTCAGAATAGATGCCAACTATGATTGTTCCGATACAACCAGCAGCAAATGGCGGGACTGAGAGTAGCTGGGCATTCGCAGCAGAGTAGCCAAGCTCGTTGATGATGGTTGGCGAGAATAGGGCAATGGCATAACCAGGGACGAGCAACCTGATGATCAACTCAGATGAAGCACGCGAGATGACAGGAGACTGAGTACCCTAAATAAATGAGAATTTGGACGTAGGTCTTGTAATCTTTTATGGCTTGCCAGATGAATTGAGTGTCGAAGCGAGAGGAAAGATGATTAGAATCCTGCTTCAGCACATCTATGATGTATGATCTCTCTGATTCGGTCAAAAATTTGGCCGTTTCAGGATACTGAGTGGTCTAAATCAGCATGGGAAAGGCTCAGGATAATCGCGAACTCACATCATGCATGTAGGAAAAAGAGAGAATTGCGACGAGGACAGTGGCTGGTTGAAGTCTAACATGAGCATTGGGAACACCTCAGATCTGGCACGACTGACCAATGCCTTCCAAGCAGAACTAGCATAAAACATAATTTAGTAAAGTCTCGGTTCTAAAACACGCAGACATACAATCCATTGCCAACCATGCAATCCTCCGACTCTGATAGGCGCATCAGTGACGGCCGACAAGGTAAGCAACTTGCTTACCCTTCCATCCGCTCTATACCATACCTGTATTCATGGAACATGAGGGTCAATGTCAAGACGATGGGAAAATAAAGTGACTTACGCAAGGAGCCCACCGAAGGCGCCTACAATGGAACAGAAGTTTAAAACGAAAATAGATTTCAACACATATCAAAATATTGCATACCTGCGAGTGATGCTGAGGAGAAGAATATGGCAATGCGTTTGGACCGTTCAGAACGCGGATACCAAAGGCAGATGTAGTAATTTACTCCAGGAACTAATCCTGCTTCGGTGAAACCGAGGAACGTTCGAGCTCTGGCATCAGGTTGTTATGGTGTCTGCCTCCACTATGCAAATATACCCCACGTACACAACGAGAGATTGATATGATCTGACAAGACACATAAGGGTCATTACAATACCCCACACGACCATGATAGACGGTACTGGATCGATATCAGCTGGGGAGAAAACACAAGGCAGGGGCAAACGTACTCCAGCGCGATGGCCTGAATAGCTTGAGTGCTATGTTCCTACACAGACACTGAGTACAGAATCGCTGCTCTTAATGTTGTACATACGAAGGGACCTCGGCAAAGCTGTACGGGATCTAGAGTAACTCAGTATTTGATGGAACGTGCGTGATACAAGACGCACAAAAAAGACGGCTGCAGCAATGTTATACCTGAAGCCTGTCAACTTCAGGTCTGTGGCCATGCCGGCGACCTTCGCATTTCCTGGTAATAGTCTCAGCTGATGATCAATAGGAAGTATGCGGTAGATAACTTGCCAACATTGGCCCGGTCTCTGAAGGCAGCAATTAATGTGTAGCAACATCAGATAGTACAACTTAAAGCACACTCACAAGAACGAGAGAAGGTAAAATATAGTTACGAGAGGTAATAGATGCCAATCAATTTTGCGCAGAATGCGCGCTCGGTCTCTCGGGCTCAGGCTCGGGCTCAGATTCAAGACAATCTGCTTTTCGGAATTGGACTCGATGCTATCGTTGTGCAAGGAACCCATGGTGTCCTAGGTGATAGTATGGTTGAATCCGGAAGAGACTGATTGGATGAGTGCGTTACGATCGTCCAAAGACAGAGAGTATGATAATGATATCAGAAATGTCCTGAGCGGTAGTTGGCGCCGACGGTGTGGAGACAGGTCAGGCCTGCGAGTAACCAACCTTTGAACCAATACCCCAGGCGCGTAGGATAAATTTATATGGATGAGACCGATCAGATGCGGTGATACGTGGTAGTACTAGTATGGCACAGCACCTCTACTTTTGTTAGGGCTTAGCCCACGAGCGTCTCTGGAAGTACATTTCAAAAGGGAATCTGGAACGTTGTGGAACGCTCTAACTGAATGAGGCCTAGTTTTGAATTTTTTGATTGATGTGACGTTAGCCTATTGAACCTCAGTGGACACCTGAGGTAACGGGCGTACTTTTATGACATCGTTAACGTGGCCAGGTTAAGATCATCATTCCTTGTGTTTCATGACTGAGTTTCCGATACATGATGGTCTCGACGTATGTACATGGCTATTAATATTTATTTGTTTGTCCTTTCTTACTGTCAACTTTTTTACAAACACGCCACTTCACCTATATTCGTTTTAATGAGGATCACATTACAAACATTTGAGCGAGATAAAGTTGTCCTCCATGACAGAGTCACATGGTCCTTGACCTGCTGTCTTCCTTCCTTTACCTCCAGAATTACCTGTGCGTTTGTCAGTCGACACGTAACTCGATGGTTACTATGATTCCACTGAACCCCGAGATGTCAGCTTCCTGGAATCCCGGTAGTCCATCAAGTCACCAATCTATTATCGATATCCGTTACGTCATTTGCGTTCGCGCGATGTACGCTGGCCTCCGAACAAGGCGTTGTGTGTTGCATGAACTGCAGGATGTCCTCGAAAGAACAAAAAGGTTGTGGCTCCCCCACGGCATATCCACGATCAGGTTGTACGTTTTGCAGAACCGACCTGTCGCGGCGATCAATGATAGTCAACAACCAGGATGACAGCCTGGGTCCCGGTCTTGGCCAAAGTTGAGAAAAAGTCACACTATTTGCATCGGTGGCAGTAATGATTCGTGTCATGCCACGTGCAGGGGTCCTCCAGGGGGAGCGCGAGTTTGACCATTGCAAGCAGAACACTTAAGATTCATGGAAGCAGATATCAAAAGAAGATAAGCGGCTTTGTACGTAGTCGGTAGGTGCCATCGCGGAATCAACCGAAAACTATATCACGTTTTAAGGTTAAGGTTGTAGTGCGACAAAGACCTCCGAATTGGATTCATACGGCTCTCGAAGTGAACGTTAACCTCCGACCTTCCAATTGCTCAGTGAGCACATTTGTCGTGGACACCATGGTTATGGGGGTACAAACCTGTTTTCGTCCAGTGTAGTCGATCTCGGCCCGTCGCTCAAGATGCTCAAGATCAAATATCTGCTGCTTCCAGATAACCGTACGCGACATATACGCCAAAGGCCCAACCCATGCATCATTCACTCTTTGCCTCCGATGTCGAAAGCACTCGGAGCCCCTTCCCTTCCGAGTCATTACTGTGAGGTTGTCTTCTCGTAATCCTGCTCACATGACCACACAAACTAGTCTGAGCACATGTTTTATCGCCATCGCCTCTAGTTGAGATCATTCACCTGCAGAAGGCTTCGGACCCAGACACCACAATGATCACCTTGCTTATCAAGGCAATGTTATTTCGTCGGAATGACGGTTAAACTGGGATGATTGGATGCATGGTCACTGGAGACAAAATGGTGCACAGATAGCTCTATGGACAAGGTTGCCATTAGTATTCCCACTGATTAATCGAAGCAACTGTCGTAACCTAGCTGCTGGCGCGCAATAGATCCAGTTTGACACGAACAAATGATTGAATCCCTAGTGAAGCTTGGAGACACATTGTAAGACCCCTCGGTTTCAAAGGCTAGAATCAACTACATACATATATAACTCATGTAACCGTTGGAATGGTGGCACTCAGACCAAGCAGATGGGACAAAGCTGATTGAATGGGCAAAGACTAGCTACTGACAGGCACTAGGTATATGTACCTAGGTGCCTCGAGGCCCTGACAAGACCTTGGTACCTCTGAAATTTGCCCCTAGATGTCAAACCCCCAACACATACACCGTGACCAATTCATACGATGGTGAGATGAGCATCCGGTGCTGGAGCTGTGCTCACGAAGTATTTTCGTATCCTATGCCACCAGGTGCTCTCCAGAAAAGAAACACAATAACCGCTAGCATCGCGCACGAAGCACCCGAGTAGTGTAAGCGCTTGACTGGCATTGTATCAGGCAATACTACGGCGTGCTCAATACAACTTCGAGGAGTCCTTCAGCAGCAGTACTATCAATCCGTTTATTCTAGGTGTCTGCATATTAACTCCACCTCACCTATTGCCTTCGAATCAATGGGCCTGTTTTGCAAATAATCAACTGACATTGGCAAATATCTATAATATTGCATCATGCCAGTAGAATCACAGATGCGGACATAGCAATAAAAATGACAGCTTAAATTAGCGGTATGTCTCATATGGTGTATCTTGCACATCCATCAGTCAAAGTAGCATCGCGAATGAGTTATGGAACTCACCTGAAAAGCGGACTGGCATCACCCATATCCTCGAATTCATATCCTCTATCATCGCTAATGTTTTCCGCCAGACACTGCGCTTCTTTCTTTTTGTTCAGCCGATTATAGTTCCACATAGCAAAGAGACTCATAATGATTCTGTTACAAATCCATGTTATCATGTTGCAGTTCCAGTTCGGAAGATTAACGAGACATACGAAAGAGAAAGAAATCCCATGACGGTACCATGCCCAGTGTGGAAACGTGGCGGATCAATATAAATGAAAGACGAGCAAATACTGATATTAGCATGAGCGGATGGTCATCGCGTATTTAGGATAACATAACGTACCCTCCGAGATTACCGAGACCAATCATTGCTAGTGCAACTCCACGTTTTAAGTGACCTCCTGCATTAGAGCCTGTCCAAGCCATAATAATCGGGATGGTTGGATAATATCCCGTAGCGGTTAGACAAGCTCCCAGATATGAGGGGCCCGCTCGTACACTGCAATATAGCAAGATGTATCCCACAAGAGAAACAAGAGCGCCGCCAATAATGTACGGGCCACGAATATTGTGCTTGTCAGAATAGATACCAACCATGATTGTTGCAATACAGCCAGCAACAAATGGCGGGACGGAGAGTAGCTGGGCATTCGCAGCAGAGTAACCAAGCTCGTTGATGATGGTTGGCGTAAAGAGGGAAATGGCAAAACCAGGGACGAGTAATCTGATCATCAGCTCAGATAAAGTACGCGAGATGACAGGAGGACTGAGTACCCTATATGAACGAGACTGAGAACGTAAGTCTTGTAATCTTTCATGGCTTGCCATACGAATTGAGCGTCGAAGCGAGAGGAAAGATGATCCGAATCTTGTTTGAGCACATCTATGATGTATGATCTCTCTGGCTCGGTCAAAAATTTGGCCGTTTCAGGATACTAAGTAGTCTAAATCAGCATGCGAAACACCTAGCATAATCGCGAACTCACATCATGCATGAAGAAAAAAGAGGGAATTGCGACGAGAACAGTGGCTGGTTGAAGTCTAAAATGAGCATCCAAAATATATCAGATCTGGCAAGACTGACCAGTGCCTTCCAAGCAGAACTAACAGAGAATACAATTAATATAGACTCGGTTTTAAAACACGCAAACATACAATCTATTGCCAACCATGCAATCCTCCGACTCTGATAGGCGCATCAGTGACGGCCGACAAGGTAAGCAACTTGCTTACCCTTCCATCCGCTCTATACCATACCTGTATTCATGGAACATGAGGGTCAATGTCAAGACGATGGGAAAACAAAGCGACATACGCAAGGAGCCCACTGAAGGCGCCTACAATGGAACAGAAGTTTAAACAAAGATAGACTCCGAGCCATATCAAAATATTGCATACCTGCGACTGATGCTGAGGAGAAGAATATGGCAATGCGTTTGGACCGTTCAGAACGCGGATACCAAAGACAGATGTAGTAATTCACTCCAGGAAATAGTCCAGCTTGGGCCAAACCGAGGAACACTCGAGCTCTGTCGTTGAGATGTTATGGTGTCTATCTCCACTATGCAAATACACTCCACGTACACAACGAGAGATCGGTATGATCTGACGAGACACATAAGGGTCGATACAATACCCCACGCAACCATGATAAACGGTACTGGATCAATATTAGGTGGCGAGAAAAAAAACAAAGCAGAGGTAAACGTACTCCAGCGCGATGGCCTTAATAACTTGAGTGCGATGTTCCTACAGATACTGAGTACAGACTTGCTACTCTTGTTGTTGTACATACGAGGGGACCTCAGCCAAGCTGAGCGGGATCTAGAATAACTCAGCATTTAATGGAACATGCGTGATACAAGACGCACAAAAAAGACGGCTGCAGCAATGTTGTACCTGAGACCGGTCAAGTGAAGGTTTGTGGCCATGCCACCAACCTTCGCATATCCTGATGATGATCTTAGCCGGTGATCAACAGGAAGTATAAGGTAGATAACTTACCAATATTGGCCCGGTCTCTGAAGGTAGCGTGTGATGTGGGGTGACATCAGACAGTACAAGCATACTCACAAGTACGAGAAGAGGTAAAATACCGTCAGGAAAGGCAATAGGTGCCAATCGATTTTGCGCAGAATGCGCGCTCGTTCTCTCGGGCTCGGATTCAGGACAATCTGCTTTTCAGAATTGGACTCGATGCTGTCGTTGCGCAACGAGCTCATGGTGTCCTAGGTGATGGTGTGGTTTGAAAGGGGAGACTGCCATATGATCGTCCAGAGACAGCGAGTATTTAAGTTAGTGCCGACAGTGTGAAGGCAGGTCAGACCCGCCAGTCACCAACCCTTGAACTTAAACTGATACCCTGCATATGATAATTCATGTGGATGAGGCCGATCGAGTGCGGTGATACAAGGTAGTAGTATAGCACTGCATACCTGCTTTTGTTCGAGGCACAGAGCGCCCCCCAACATCTCTGAAAGTGCATTTGAAAGGGAATCTAGAGCGCTGTGGAACACTCTAACCTAGTGAGGAATAGAGTTGAATCTTTTGATTGGTGTGTTCCTGGACCCTAGGGTATGTAATTAAAGAGATAAGATACGTGGTGAAGGACTCACACACAGAACAACATGTCCAAACGACGCACGCGACGCGTCACGCAGGCCAATCACGTGAAATACTAAGTGCCTTCGCAATCGCACTTACATAAGCACCACCCACGGACGACAGAAACTTCCGCCACCGACTTTGCCCGTGGCCCGTGGTTATTATCTGGAGAAGCTGTCCAGATTTCATGGCACAAGTAGCAAAGGTATGAGCACTGAGACTGCCGTCTCTCATTTCTGGCGTAACCTGACAGTAACTGTGCCTGAGCTGTGGACGTTTCGTCTGTCCTCTCCCACCTGATATCCATGTTGTGGATGATGAAAGAAGCAGACGTTCAAATTGATGGCGCAGGTTTTCTATCGTCCACACCACTGGCGCATACCAGTCCTACCTCCTTCCAAACCTCCGCAATTCTGGGCTACTTCGATTGCTCGAGCAGTTCTCAACAAACGAACATCGTGGTTATGGAGGTACATACCTATTTTCGTACGCCGCAGTCGAGCCATCGCTCAAGATACCCGACATTGAATATCTCCTGCTTCCATAAACCTCCGATTCGGGCCTGAAATATACACAAACATCGAATTTAACCTCAGGGGTGTCTGCATCTTTACGCACGTTGTTGGTGTCAGCGCCAAACTTTTCCTGCTCTCTACACGGCGATCCAGTCAGAGAGGAACCCGAAGGGTTGATCCCTCGTCAGGATACTCCAAACCCTGATACTTTCATCTTCCAGCCCGGGTCATGCATTGTCCACTTCTTGCTTCCGATATTAAAAGTGCGTGGAGCCTCTACCCTCCGTCACTATGATTATGAGCTTGTCTTCTCGCAATCCTGCCAATTGTATGGTCTGGCAGTGGACAAAAGAGAAACTAATCGATTCACCAAAACTTCCTTTCGTTGAGAATACTCGCCTGCAAAATGTTTCGGACCCAGACACTATCACCTTGTATTTACAGATGCTTTGGGCGTGACGCTCGGCAGCAACCGCGGTATTCCCTTGCATTCTAGGGAGTGTCTGTTGGTGCCATAGAAATATTTTGTGGGCGCAGCTCCAGCACCTAACTAGTACTTAACGCTCATCTCACCACCATGACCGTCTGCCGGTGAATCGGTTACAGACCTCAGTCGGAGCCAGAGCATGAAAGAATAATTCACACTACAACGATTAATTACCTCTACTTTCCCCAATGATTATTCGTTGACATGAACCAAGACCTATATATGTGATCACAACCCAGTCTGAAACTGAGGATAATCATATCAGTTGGCAGTTGTTTGTGTCTATGATGAACCGTAGAACGTTCGCAGACAGCTCACAGGCAACACAGTTGTGATATGCTTTCGCCGCAGTCGTGGCATGGAGCTATCTATAGAGCATTTTGTGCAAGCAGATCCGACCAAGTACTACAGTTGTAGTGTTAGCGCTCGAGCCTCGACCGTGCCGTATCAGGCAAATTTATTGTGTTCGATGCGGTTCCGAACCTATTGTCAATCCACCACCGTTTCTTCTAGACGTCTGTTCCCTGCATAAAAAACACCTACCAAGTGGGTTTCTGGCAAGTCACTTTCAAACTGGATCGTTCACATTCACAACTGCCATGACACAGCGCACTCCGGATCATGGTGCTTCAAGTTAGTGCTGCTCGAATGAGCAACACTGGTGGTCTCTCCCATAAGATGCCAGTGGTGCCTGAAGAATTGCTTTCAACCCTTCGACAAGAAGTTTTTGCGTTACAAAATAGAAGGAAGGAGTTGTTAGCCCGCCTTGAAGAAACGAACACATCACTCGTCGAAGTTCAAACACTCTTGACAAGGAAAACATCACAAGCACATACAGTCCAAAATCTTCTTGCGCCAGTATCTCGCCTCCCAGACGAGGTCCTGTTGGCCATATTCGAAGAAGCAGTACGAAGTCAAGAGCAAGGACAAGTCACACGGACAGAGATAGCCATATCGTATACTTCGCATCACTGGAGACAGGTCACGGTTAATGCCCCTCGGCTGTGGAACAGCCTCTGTATCAGAGCAGAGGTCCCTATCGCCATGTTACAGATATACCTTTCTCGCTCTGCGAACATTCCTCTTACCATTGAATTCCGTGAACGCGAAACTGCATGGCCCGGTGCAGATAAACGCAGCATGGCACATCTTGGTTCTGCTCTTGACGCTATATGGCCTTCGGTCCCTCGTTGGCGGCGTATCGTCGTCCTGCACAGATCTTACCCGTACTTTACACATGTCTTTCGGGAACTTCGAAAAGTGGCTCCTTTGAAGATGCTTCAGAGCATCTCTATGAAGTCACCGGGTGTATGCGGACCATGTCCATTGTTGCTTGGCGACTCGGCTCCAGCCCTGGAATCACTTGAAGTGGAAGACATGCCCCTTCCACCCCCAGTCACGCAGACTTTTGACGCTGCCCGCTACAGCGTTGCAGGACTGACCACGTTGCGATTGCGCGTGCGTGGGATGAGAGCTGGAAGTTCTCATGCAGCAACCGACCCCTCTGCATTTAGAGCATTGATCAATTCAGCTCCGATGTTAAGCGCCCTCGAAATCTATGGACAACCTATAAACTTTGGCCAGGAGAGAGCCAATGAAGAAGACGTTCTTTCCCTGGAGATTCCTCGTCTCCGCACCCTGGTTCTTCATCCGGGCACGCAGCATCCTCGCGATTTGCGCCACTTTATCTCGGTGATCAAAGCACCAACTCTTCGTCACTTTGAGCTAGTCTATCCTGACAACACTCCACCTGGACAAGATGTATCCGATCTTCTATTTGACCCTTTCCCTTTAGCCAGATTTCCTTCTGTGGAAACTGTGCGTCTTCATAATGCGGTTCACGCAGACACTGTTGCGGCATCTATGAATGCGTTTCCGGTCGCGGCTCGCATTAAACTGGGTAATACGGATGCTAGCTACCTTTTCGAAAACCCGACTTTCAGTAGCACGTGCAGCCCGTGGACCCCCTCACATATCCAGCACCTCACTGTCATTTCTCCACTTCACAACACATTGCTACAGATGTACGAGTGGCTTCTCAGTGCGGCTAGCCAGGGTCATCGATTGCCAATAATCACACTGGAAGGGCCCATCCGTGCTATCGACTGCCCTGCATTTCTTACACAATCGGTGAAACTTGCGAGCTGCACGGAAGTACGGCTGTGCGGCATTGACCTCTCCATGTCGGATAGATCGCTTGTTGCACGCGTCTAATATTTAGTTGAAGGTATGTATGTGTCTTGGTCCTTGCAGTGATACTAATCATGTACACAGATTTGCAGGCTGTTCCACAGGTCGTAACCTTACGTTGTGGATATAATAATGTACGAGCAGCTTGATATTTAAATGATGTAACTCCGTTCCAGGCCCGAGTGTGCAAGATTTGAGCATTGAATGTGTTTACCGCTCATCCTTCCCATGTTTAGTTATTGGTTTTCGTTTCCTGGACCACTTTACATGCCAGTCTTGACACCCTAGGCAATCATGTTCATCGTGAGATTCCGCAATACTTGGACAGGCTGAAAACTCATGTTTTTCATAGAAAGTGTCTGCCAACTAGCTGCCGAGGGACTGCGGATGAGAGTCTAGTCAAGGTGATCGTGTCATTTTTTCAACCAGACAGACCCAGCATGTCAACACGAGCTCCGCCGCAAGAATAAGAATGAAAACCACGAGTTAGGCTTGTTCGTGTAGAATTTCAGTGACACGCAAAGACACGCTCGCGTAATTTCTATTTTGCCGAGCAGGCTGGGATAAAAGGTCCAAATGATGGCAAGGAGGTGGACGATTCAGAAGAACAAGAGGTGAGCTCCTTCGATCGTACTTGCTGTGGTTGCTCTCGGTACTCACAGGGTGTTGATTTCATTCAGTGTGCTTGACAACGATCTGTCGCCGCCCTCTTTTACTATGTCAAGACCTTTGCGGAGAACCTATCAACCCGGTGTTGACAGAGAACTCTTTCAAGTGCTACAATCAGAGGCAGCGCACCTTGAAGGGAAGGAGATAGAACTTGTATCGCAAATCAAGGCACTCTCGGAAGCTTTGGTTTCCGTTCGTAGTACGCTGTCCACAATGCGCTTTCGAGCAAACGAATGCGCAAGACGCATTTCTCCAGTTGCTCGCCTGCCCGATGAAACGTTGCTTGCAATTTTCGAGGAAGCGGTTTCGGGCCAGGACGTATGCTCACGGACAAGAGTTGAAAGCGCGATAACGCGTGTGTCGCATCGCTGGCGAAGGATAGCTCTGCATACACCACGGCTGTGGACGCGTGTCTGTGTAACCCCTGACACAGACGAGCGTGACGTGCAGCTACATCTCTCGCGATCCGCTGATCTTCCTCTTGATGTGGAAGTCTGGGGATGGTGGGATTACCGAGATTCTTTCACCAGGCCTCATCACTTCGAACATACCCTAGCCATAGTCCTCCCGTCCGCGTCTCGCTGGCGCCGTATGAAAATTGGCGCCTCCTGTGACACCCTTCTCACAAGTCTTTCCTTCATTCTGCGTACCGTGGGACCTTTGGACGCACTTCAGCAAGTTACCTTCAAAGCCCAGCAGCCCGGGCAGATATGTCCCACGACTCTCCTCATGGGAAAATCAGCACCCAACCTCCGGTCCATTGATGTCGAAAACATCGTTCTTACAGCGCGCTCCCCTTGTTTACACAATCATGACTTCGACTGCTTCATTGGCGTGACCCATCTTATTCTTCGACTTCATGAAGGAGATGCAAGGGCTCTGAAAACGACAACGGAACTCCGAGGCTTTCATGCATTGCTTTTACGAATGCCCAATTTAGTTTCCCTTTCTCTCTACGGAGAACTTGTTTGTGTCAAATCAGCCACAAGCCTCGAGGACGAGGGCAACATCACGTTGCCTCGTTTACATACCTTGATTTTCCATCCTAATACTGTCCGGCCCCGCTACCTGCGGAATCTCATCGCGATGGTAATGGCACCAGAACTCCGGCACTTTGAGCTCGTCTACCCAGATAGCCTTACTCAAGGGCAGGACATCTCCGATCTACTTCTTCAAAAGGGATGTGAACAACCTACACCTAAATTCCCTCTGGTTGAACGTCTCGTGCTGAACAATGCCGCCAATATAACATCGGCTGCCACGTTCATCCGGGCCTTCCCAGCAGTAGATCAGCTGACCATTTCTGGCGCCGACGTCGGGATTTTCGATCTGCCAACTTGGGAAGAAGGAAGTTGGAGAACTATCACAAGACTGACATTACGGCCTTCCCAACCAGATCACCTGAGCATGGTGGTCGATTGGCTGAATGCCGTCACTAGTAACGGCGAACTCAAAGTGCCGTTGGTCCGGGGGCCAATAACCGACTGTCCCATTATGTTGCGCCTCTATGAGGAGCTCAAGCGATACACTCAAATCGAACTGTTCGGCGTGGACTTAAAATAGCTCTCTGAATAGCCGGAGGGGACAAGGATAAGGACATGCGTTATTTACAGATGATGTTCACGAATGCGTTCCTTTTGGGTACATAGTACATATGCGAACAAAGTGTCCTACTTTGTTATTTAATTTTGTGGATAGGAGAAGTATACGGCAACTCAAAGTAAACCTTGAAATCATGACATTGATATGAATGTGTCGTAAGATGGTGTCGTAAATCATGCCCTTTTTCCAGGACTTCCCGGAAGTTTGGTAGTAATTCTCAAAGCAAAGATACTCGCAGTGATGAGAACAGCATACACGGCGTAACCGCCCATGAGCTTGTGCTGGATAGTGTATGCAAACATGGATGTGGCCGTGGCGGGGGTAATGGCTCGAACGATGGATGCTGTCATTTGCGCAAGCCCATTGGTGGCCCCTAAAGACCGTTTATTTGGAGCTGCTGCGGTAATGAACATCAGTATACAACCTGAAAATTAAATTAGCTACGACAGAGGAAAGATCAGAAACCAGCGCACCAAACGACATATCCATGAAAACACCCAGTAGCAGCGAACACGTGAGTAAAAACCAAACAAGCCAGTTGATTCCATATTGGCGCGCAACGATGTTGGTGATCGGGAATAGGGCGATGATAGGAATAAAAGTTCCTGCGCAAAACTGGAAAACGGTCTTGGCACCGAATCTGTTTATCAATGGTGCGAAAGTTATCGTCTGCAAGACACCGTTTACAATGCCGAACATTCCCATCCATAGACCGATAGTGCTAGGATCAAATCCGAGGCCTCCCAGTTCGATTGGTGTGGAATAAAAGAGAGGCTGAAGTGCAAACATAGCCATTTCAAATGTGGCGATGCAGCCATAGTTAACGACAGGGATCAATACGGACGGTACGAAGAGCGACCGGATTGACACAGGTGAATCTCCGACGGCATTTTGGGGAACGTTGAGGGCCTCGCCATCGAGAGCAGACATGGATTTCTCTTGTGTCTGTTGTCTGGGCAGAGTCTGAAAAGCGCATCAGTCAAGATTTCGCCGGTGCACGGGTTCTCTGTACCTCTTTTAAGAAGAATAGAATCGTCAGGAAACATATAACCGAGAATGCTGCAGCAATGCCGCTAGGCAGGAAGTACGGGAACTGTGACCAGAATGCACCAGGGAATATATTAGGAAAATGCCGTTGAGGGTGTTCTAGAGCTCCGCCGATCATAGGACTTTTAAAAGGCATGTTACCCTCTATGCAGAATATAAGGAAAGGCACATACCCAATAGTAGCGCCGAATGAAAACGCAATAGGCATCAGGGCGAAACCCTGCGCCATGTTGGTGGAGTCAGTGAGTTCGCCCATCATGCTCTTCATGACTCCGATGTTACCATTCAAGGCACCAGTGATGCAACGACTATACTCATTTTCAGAAGGTAAAATTGATTGCAAAAGTTGTTTCTCACCTGACAATCAGCCCCGACAATGTCCTGGATAACCCAAAACAAATCATTGACAGAGAGAGTCCGAAGATTCCTAATAAGAGAACAGGTTTACGTCCAACACGGTCCGAAGTACGGCTCCATTGCAAGATGGTCAGTGCCTGAGTGGCAAAAAAAATAGACTCCTATCATGGATTTGATAAAGGTGTAACGAGATGGGCCAGGCGCAACTTACGATCAGCCCCGCATAATACCCTTTATGATGAAAAAAGCGCATCAATACTTTTTACGTGCGTCAAATAGTTGTGACCCACCAACTTTCCGCTCATCGCCGCCAGTGATGTCCAACTCACTGACAAGCTGTATACAATGTTGAGAAGTGTGGTTTTGACGTGTAAAAAGACACTAACTTGATTGATGTAGGGATATATAGATTGAGAGGCAATTGGCTCGACCAGCAGTGCCAGCAACAAAATTGCAATCTGAAGCTTTGGCAAAGGGGTGACCTTTTTCTGGCCTTGGTGTCCATCGAGAAGAGCGGTACGCTCATTGACAGCGGTGTCAGAATCTGAAGGTGCTGCAGAAGAAGACATCCTCGCCGAGTGCCACAAGCAAGGTTAGAAAAACTTGGCTGACGACCCCACTTATATACACGCCGGTTACTCGGGCGGCCAAAAGGTGTATGAAGAAGTCAACCTGTCTATGCGCTGGGAGATCTGCATAATAAGAAGGCGTTCCCAACTTCCCATTCACAAACTTGCCCGTGGAGTGGATCCGAAACAAAAAATTTAAAACTCCATCGCGCACAAGTTTAGTCGAGCAATTTACATTCAAGGATGTCAACGTTACATCATAAGCTTAAACAACCCCTGTCACCATGGATCTGAATCGAACCTGTAATAACTAGATTTTAGATTACATATTAAAACAAGCGGTAGCAGCATAAACACAAGTCAGAAAAAAAGTGTATAATCAAGGCCGCAGCTAAGCAACAGCTTCTAGTTGATAATTGTAATGTTTCTCATCCGCATACTCCTATTGAGAAATAGAAGAAAGGATGGGAGCTCACGTCGGTGGTCCGAACATCGGCTAAAGAAAAAAAACATGTAATCAGTGTTTAGTCCACACAGTATCAATGATAAGAATATCAGGAGGGGGTGCCCGAAAGAATTGAGCTGTGGCGGGCCCTTTCGGCAGTGATAATACGAAGACCGTCGTGATAATACATCATATGTAGAGTAATGGTTATCAGATAGGGCTCACCATCATTGATATCGCGAAGCACGGAGTCAGAACGTGTGAACGGCTAGACCGTCATCATTAACCCTGAAACAAATTCGCGTCAGATGAGATCATTAAAAGGCGAGATGCGAGACTCAGAACGTAAAAAAACAGCCAGGAGTTTACATCAATAACCCAGTAGGGTATCAGGCGGTAATTCCTTTTTGACATCCTTGAATGTGATATAAACAGTGGTGCTTACCTCACAATCGAATCCGGCTTGATGGAGATACGACGTGGTCCTAGAGAGAGAAATGGTCAGATGGGCTTCAAAGAAATAACACAGAAGAGTAATGTATCAGTGGATTGACAGAAGATTGAAAGCATTGAGCCTATATGAAGGCACTCAGATACTCTAGTTTGAATGAAAATGTTTCATCGTACAAAGACAAGCCAGCGCGCAGCACAATAGACCCGCAACTCACCTAGCGTCCCGGTTCGGAGCAAATACCTTGATGGGGCTTCATTACCACGATAAGAAGGTCCTGCAGAATAATTGAGTAATAGGTACATATGAAGTGCAGCTGATGATGGTCAGGGTAACTATGACAAGAAGGACACATAGTGTCATGGGACACTCGCCAAGGAGTAGATGAATATCATCGCGAAAGGAGGGTGTTTAAACATAACAAATGATTACTAACCTGGGCATCAGACTAGCCATATCCCGCAATAACTCTACACCGCAAGCAGGTTCAAAGTTGGAGTTCGAGGTTGACGGAAGTGAAAGAATCGTGAGGCTTCCGAATTTTCAACTGATTGGTTTAGGGCAGGCTAATACGTATTTTAAATTCACACGGGGTAGCGCAACTTTCGTCCAGGTCACCAGCCGAAGCTCTGAGGCGGGACGTTGTCGAAGTCATCTTGATCATAAGTATGTATTATATATGGATTGCTCGAGCTCGATATTTTGTGAGCAACTTGCACAACTCTAATCAAACTTTTATTATCACCTTGGGGCCCCATGTAGATCTGTAGATAGTATGTACAGTAGATATCTTTGGTGGGTAGCCAACCACTCAACTACATAGTAGGATATTCTTGGTACAGCCTCAATTTACAACCATTCATGTCTTGCGTGCGATCTGGGGTAATCTGTCTGAATCCAGGACGACCGGGCCGCCATGGCAAAGCGTAGATGACTTGCCAAACATCATGTGGACGTAAACGAAGGGTCGGGTCGGTAGGCTTCAACCCATCAGGAATGTATAACGGCGACCGAAGCAAGCGCCCATGTAATTATTTGAAGTCTCACCTTCCCTGATCATTTGATCAGCTGTAGTCGCTTCCATGGAGATAAGGTTTACTCGTAAGATTCGGGCATAGAAGAGTCGCACTTCTGATCGGTACTCCATGCGAAGCTAGCAATGATACCCAGTGAAAACCGGACAGTGCGGGAGCGTGTGAGAGCGTGCGAGAACGTTACACAAAGTGCCAGATCATGTAGATCTGGTTGATAGCAAATGATGAGTATTTTCTTGTGAGCGCAGCGCATGCAAACGCATGAACTTTGCACAAACTTTGCGTGAATTCTGCTTTCCTCGCACTTATTTTGCATCTGCATGAGTTCCGCAATGTTTGCATTTGCTATCTGCTGCTTGTATATGCATGCCACTGCAACATGTAAAGCTTTTCAAATCTAAAGTCCGTCTTCATGATGTCATCAACACCTCTCTTGTTCCCTTACCGTCATGTTTCCCCGTACAACCGTTAACGTTAATACCGCAGGCAGCTAGTAATCCACTCGAGCCCTGGTCCTAAAACTCAAGTTTCCTCAATAGCAGCACCCTGACTCGGAGCGTTTGCCTTAGTAAGTTCTGTCAACAATATTCAAGCCAATATATCATTGAATACTATAGGACTGGGTGCATATATGCGCAATTGCTGCTATCTTTCTAGTACTCCTACGGGTCAGGCAACAATACAGGTGAGTTATTGACGTCATCCTTTTGGTACTTGATACTGCCATTGATATATGCTCTTTCAGACCTCTTTGCGATCTTCTATTCTCCAGGCGAAGGTCCAGTGCTGTTGACGTACTCCACAGAGGCATTCCCTCTCTGTATCCGTGATATCAGCATGTCCTTTGCTACTGCGACCACTTGGTTCTGGAACTTCATTCTGTCAATCACTTGGCCTTCGCTCGTCTTGGCCTTCAAACAACAAGGTGCCTTCGGCTGGTACGCAGCATGGTGCTGTATTCTCTGGGTGCTCATCTTGTTATTCGTGCGCGAGACGAAAGGCAAGACCCTGGAGGAGCTCGACCAAGTTTTCGCTGTCCAATCGTATTTGTATTTCGTACTATTAATAGTAATGATAGCAACTTGAAGCAATATGATATGAACCGTTCTCGCATGATATAAACCGCTCGTAAGGAATGCAAGGGAGTGCCACATCGTGTAGAAACAACTTGAACGACTCTCGCACGACGACGCACGATATGGACTCCTTCTGCATCGTGTATTCGTCCGGATTTCTTGTCGAGATCGTGCAAGGGCGGTTTCAGCTGGCGGTGCACGATGTGGCACGCTCTTGCACGTTCCCGCACTGACCGGTTTTCACTGGGAATGATATCCCCACCAAATGGCGGAAATACACAGATGATCTCGCGGCCCGTATAGAGGGGGTCACACAACCTGCTCCGATACGTCATATCGTGTTGCTCCGTGTTTGGTTGCGTTCAAGTTCCAGAACATGGTCTGCTGTGGACTGAATCGACCATGAAACACGGAGCCGGTTAAGCCATATCAAAAATTACCTCACCTAGATTGATCTAGACTCCTGTTTGATGTACGCCACGAATTTGCATGATCTGCGACAAAGCCACACTTCACAACAATGACGGTTGTCGTCTTGATTCAACCATGTCTTTACATGATGCTTAGCACGGTGCAACGGTGACACGATGGCCTTTCTCCAGAATCCGTATTGCTTGACCGATCTCAGCAAACCAACTGAATCCCTTTTCATAGCCGCCAAAGCCCCGAACAAACGGATATTTCAGCCGATGTACAGGCGAAATGTATGGCAATGATTGTACATGTAGGTGCAGGTGGTGTATTGAGTTGAACGGTGGTATATGGAAACCCATCCTTTAAACGATGATGAGTCACGATTAGTGTAATCCAAGAGGTGCCGATGATTAACTCACTTCCGCTTTGAAACTGGTACGTTGTACGTATCAAGAATGGAATGTCCTATTTCCTCCATTCTCCTGACTGGAATCCAGATAAGATATTCAGTCGATGCAGCAGGGACAGAAATACTTACGCATATTCACATCCTTCTGAGAAAGTTTCTTGATACTGTCTGATTGTGACTGATAAGCCAGTGAAGCGGACAACTTCGTAAAGCTCACCGATGTGGGTTTTGGGGATGAGTTGAATGTGGTCTTGTGCCGATGGACGAATGTCCCGAAAGGCAACGAATACTTCATCCTGGGTGCGCGGGTCAAAACTAGGCTTAGTACCGGTAGTATCCCAATAACATATAGATACGCACCTCCCACACAATGTCAAAGTCACTGCGGTTTGTGGAATAAGCCCTACAGAATATACATGACTGAGAGTTGCCCAACTGGTAATGAGGAGGTTGTGGTTTTCCAACAATCCAATGAAATAGTTTTTGAAACATAGTATAATCGACTTTAAATTGTCCAGGTTGTTGTCTATTTTTAGAAGTCAGTTGTGGTTCAGTCCACTGCTGCCGACGCGAGACCCACTTGCCAGCTGCAAGGTTCTCTAAGTTCTAAATCTCCGTGTTTGTTTACCACCACGTTCCTTGCATGATCTCTCAGACACTCCAGTACCAGCTGCATTGAAACGCGCCATCTTTGCCAGCATTCTCGGGTCCTGTGACATCCTGTTTATTTACTAGTTTCAGGCATGTCTGCATCTCCAGACAGCACGCATACAGCTCTTTTCGGCGAGGAATCTACTTTCTCCAACGAGGCACATCCTGGAATCGAACCATCTGTCTCTTCCGACACCTCCGAGAACGACATAAACAGGTGTTCACATATCACTTCCGTCTTCGCCGATCCATCCGCGAAAGCAGGTATCGTAGGCAAATTTAAGACAGTCGTAGCCTGGCACACTCGTAGGACACATGGTGCCCTGCACCCAGCAAAGCGAAGGAAGGTGAGTTAGCCATTCATATAGAGATGCCTTGTGAGATGATATATTCGACCCCCTGTGTTACAGGTATCTTCACCGACCTGTGACACATGCAACCAAACACTTTCCCGACCGTTCGTCTGTCTTCAGTGCTCATTCACAGGATGCTGGTCAGGCGGTCACATAACAGACCACCTCAAAGAAACTGTGCATACATTTTGTTCGTATTTTTGCCACCGCAATCCTCTGTTTGCCGACCAATATAACTCTGCACAATTCAGGCGTCGATGCAAAGTCTGGATCAGTTTTCTGTTCAGAGTGCGACGACTTTGTATTTGATGATACCATTGATGACTTGTATCTCTCTACCGTCCTATCGGTGGAAGAGCAAAAAACGAAATTTCAAGGTAGTGTGGATACACCCGCAGGATAGCAGATTTTAATTTGCGTCTAGTGGAGAAGAGAGGCCGAGAGCCGTATCAACCGTGGATTCCGACAGGCGACGAGTCCATTGTCCTCAAGGATGCCGCCACAGTCCCTTGCCAAGGTTCAGTTTTTCATTACAAGTTAGGTTAATTCGCTTATACGAAATAGGTCGTCGTGGACTGCTTAATCTGGGGCAAACGTGCTTTTTGAACGTCATACTCCAGTCGTTCATCCATAATCCGCTGCTACGAAATTATTTTCTCAGCGATAGGCATAACAGCAGGCTGTGCAAACACTCAGACTGCACATGTTGCGAAATGGACAATCTGTTCACAGAGGTTAGTCACAAAAAGGTCGATATTGCTCCTTCCAAACTTTGTTTGCTAAAGAAAGTTGAAGATATATTCCCCGACCAATACCCCATTTGGGCCCACGTCCTTCCTCGCCACAACATGGAAAGTTTCTGCCGAGATGTCAGGCTATGCCCAGCAAGACGCACACGAGTTTTTCATTACTGCATTGAACCAAATTCACGGGACATGCCGCGGTTCCACGAATATTTCGTGCAACTGCATCATTCATCAAACTTTCGCCGGTCAATTTCAAAGCGACGTTACGTGTGAGAAATGCGGAACTGTGACGAGCACAATCGATCCGATGCTTGATATCAGCCTTGAGTTGAGGTCAAAGTCTGGGGAACCGGCTGCTGACAACACGCTTGCCAGCTGTTTGCGCAGGTGGGAAGGTCCAATATTAGATTGATATATTTTGACGTTTTGAAAGGTACACCAAACAGGAGAAGCTAGGAGCAAGAGAGTACAGCTGTAGCAAATGCACGAAAGCTTCTCACGAGGCCGTGAAGCGCCTCAGCATACGGACATTACCGCCAGTTCTTAGTTTTCAATTCAAGGTTTCTTCATACACTGTATGATTTAGGTAATTTGACGCTGACATTGATTCAAGCGATTCGAGCACAAGACGTCTGGGAAAGCTGCCCCGCAAAAGATCGATGCTCCGATACGAATTCCAGCCTCTATCAATATGGCGCCTTATACGACTCTTGCTATGAATACAACCGGAAAGGACGGTGAAACTGGGTGAGCGATTTTTGCCAAGGAACTGTGACTGATTTTCTGACCAAGTCCGTGAATAGTTACCCAGGACCGGACGCAATGTACGAATATGATCTGTTTGCGGTAATTAACCATGAAGGACAGATGGATAATGGACACTACACAAACTTTGCTCGTTTCCAAGATGAGGTGAGTGAACATGATGTAGCTTTATTGCATAGTTATTGATGGTGTACAAGTGGTACCGTTTCGATGACGACAAGTATGTACCTTATTGCTCTCTGTACCCCGCGATCTTACTTTGCCTTTGACAGAGTAACTCCATCGACGCTGAGTGACTGCCTAGCCTCAAATGCTTACATGTGTTTCTACGTGAAGCGACACCTTGACTACAAACCCTACGTGAAACCAACGTATCTAGTTGCACGTGAAAAGGACATCGTGCGTGAGCAAGCAATGGAGCGAGAGAAAGAGGCAGCACGCATGAAAGAGGTGGACGATGCACTGATAGCGATGGTCTGAAATCACACCTGAAGTACGAAGGAGACGAGGAAACCATTGTTGTATATATAGGAGTCTAGCGATCGTTATTAAAACAAGGAGGCGAAGTTTAGTACGCGGTGAGAGTAAGGGGATTGATGTAGTAATGGAACAACATGGGAAAGGGAAAACAAGTTCATGATATGCAAGATACAAAGAAATGCGAGTACCCGATATTTCCAGAGTGAGGTCGTCGCCGATTTGACGGGGAGGAACGTAAAAGATAGGATGTTTGATCAAGGGATGATATCATAGAGTTCACCGTCTCTGACCCTGATCTCTACCACTTCTACCTCACTGTAATCAGTCATCGAAGATGTATTTGACGTCCAAGAGCTGGAAAACCCTTTCGAGGTCGGTGGTGAGGTAGATGCAACGTCTATAAGGTAAATCATGGAGACAATAAGCCCCTTCTCCAGAAAGTAGTGAATGAATGCTAAACGAGAAACGTACATCTATCTTTAATGTAAGGGGGGACGAATAGATCCTGTATTTAGAATACCGGTTAATTGGGGTTCCAAAACTTGGATGAAGGATGCAAACCTGGTTCCATACAAAACCTTGGCTCTTTTGAATGGTCAAGATTGGACGAAGTGTATAGGTCGGCCGACGTTCTCGCTTGCGATAATGCTTCTTTGTTGGCTCTGGCTGAGGGTCAAGTGCTTTCTGTTTGCCCTTCATATCCTTCTTAAACTTGGCAGCATTCTTCTCATCGTCGACTCCTTGATCACCTCGATCGATCTCCATGTTCTGCGTATCATCCTGCCTCTCAGTGTTTACGGCAAGATCACCATCAGAATCACGGTCGTGATGGCCGTAGTCTTCTCCATCTTCTGAGCAGGACTCATCTTCGGAAGGACTGTCATTGTAGTCTTCGTCATCATCGTCAGATGGAATTTGTTCGTAGCAAGCCCAAGTTGGGGGAGAGGAAGCACGGCCGATAGTACGGCGTCTGAAGTACGAGGAGTAAGGAGAGTTTTGGGCAGTAGGTACTCCTGGAGTGCTCATCGCGGTATAGGATCAGACAATAATGGCTTGAGGTAAGTTGTATGTATACGCAGGTCCGAAACAACGTGTGTGTGTGCTGTTCAAAGCTGATGTGAACAGAACCGGTGCTTACAGCAGTGTGGGTGATAGGCTCAAGAGTGACTACTGTGACGAGGGATCAAGTCTCCCGCATACGTTCCCACAATCACACATATAGTAACTATCAATTGGACCATGACTCGAGTCCAGTCAGGATGATCGTGATCATTTATGCTGAGTAAAATACATGGCATATCCCAAAATTGATACCTGCGATGCATATCTGCTCGTGGCAAAGGTGGCAAGAGGCGTATCCATGGTTCCTACAGAACGTGGGAGATCAGAATGCACAACCAAATAATTATAAAAAACAACACAGTCCTGGTATTTAGCATGCAATACATCAGGCCGTCAGTACTACCCAAAATCCAGAAACCAACCTTTGTGCTTTCTGGGAACCAAATATAGCTAGCCTAGGGTCGGCTCACACACCTTTTAGTCGTCATTATACTCAGTATTCAGTCGGATTAGGGAACTCTGTCGCAGAGGCCGACACCACTCAAGCCAGTGGGTTGCCCTGACGGGGTCTATGGGTTGTCTTGGCTCATATCTGCTTGCAGATCTACTGCAGCGTGAGGACGTGTCTGTGGTATATGCCTTCAACCGCCCATCCATGCAACAATGACAGGAAAATTCGTTCAAAGATCACGGTTTAGATTTCACCCTGCTTCAGTTAGACAAGCTGGTGTATGTAGAAACTGATACATCCAATGATCACCTAGGTCTAGATAAGGAGTTATATCAGAAGGTTTGTTTCAATTTCGGTTTCACCGAATTAACTAAAGATAGCGTAGATCTGCACGTCTGTCACTGTCATCATTTACAACGCTTGGCGACTCAACTTTAACGTGGCGCTCTCGTCATTACTGCCGAGGGTATCCGAGTCTATTCATGACATGCGCGGTTTAGGTTGTGTCTTGGACCCCTCCACACGCCGTATCAAATACTATTCTTGATGTAGCTTTCGTGCAAGAAAAACCTCCCATCGCGATGAATCTAGTGCATCCAAGACCGGTCGCATGTAGGACAGTGATGCAGGCCATTGCGGACGCCCTAGTCGAGCGTAAAGTAACAAGTTACCCGCTACCACTTGTGCCGTTCTCGAAGTGGCTCGAAAAGCTCGAATCAAATGCCAAGGACTTGAGCAAAGAGCGCATCGTACGTGTATTCTATAGCTGGCCAGAACGTTTTCCCATCTAGTCTTCAATTGCAGCTTGCCATCAAGCTTCTCAACTCCATGCGTCCAATCGCTCAATCAGACATCGTGACCAGGGCATCTGGAGAGATGGGCGTCGAAGTGGCTGGCATGGCTTTATGCGTCACCGCCGTAGCCGAGCGTGTCAGTCCAACGATGAGGGAGCTGAAATCGCTGTCTTCAGCAGACGTGGGGCAATGGGTGGATTATTGGATGTCGGCGGGAATGTTTCAGTGAGCATATATGAGTAAGGGGCAGTCATTTACTTGTCTTTAGCAACATGGACGATCGAAACTTGACAAGTTGAGAAATCCTGCTTGTAGTTGGAGCTTTTGGGTTATATTTCAAGAAATACTGGTGAAATAGTAAGAACGTGGGAGATCGGAATGCACGTTCAAATAATTACAAAAACAATGCAATCCTAGGATCTACCAATGCAATAGCATCAGCGCTTCAGCATCGTACTGGGATAGCGAGAATTCCAACTACCAGCTGTAGCTGACTAAATTACAGTGGCTGTGAAAGTTAGTGAGTGTATTGCCCTCATTAGGCATTGCCAGATTTGTATCGAGCACATGATACAATCGAACTTACTGGTGTACTTACGACGAGGCAAGCCTTGTTACAACAGAAGATCGAGCAAGAGATACATTTATTTCGAATACAGTAGTTGACACCGGGATATATATGAAACAGAGATCACTCTAAATGCACAAACTTGTAACGAGGAAAGATCATCTTCAGATTTCAAGCGAGATAACCGCCCCCTCAGGCTCAGGCTTGTAACCCGGCACCGCAAGTTTAGCCTTCTGAACTTTCTCTAGCCATGCATTTTCCTCGCGCTTCAGGAGTGCCAAGAGTTGAGTGTATTGGCGGACTCGATTCCGCGCTGCCAGGTAGTTTAGATACACGGTGTCAACGCTGTACTTGGCAAACAGCGTATCCTGCTCATCGTCTTCCATGTCGATGCCATCAAGCGACATCTTACACAAACATTCACAGTCAGTGCTCGCTGCAAAGGAAAACGAAGAGATCGTCTGTCGTACCATGTATGTTTGCATCTCTCGTTTCCGACCCGTACTTTCTATGCTTGAAATGATTGGAGGCGCTGATGACATAAAATTAAGGCCGCCTCTGGAAGGATGCATGAACCCAGGGGGAAGTGATGAAGATGACGCGGTTGGAAATGGGGGTAGCGGCGGAAATGATGACATTTTGGTCGTGCTGGTACGTATATAGTTCAAGTAGGAGGCATATGCGATTTAATTATTAAAGGATGGGTTTTGATCGGAGTAACGGTGTTTGAAAGCTGGAAGTACTCCATGCCCAACAAGGACTTGACAACTGAGTCAGTTTAAAGTTTCAGTTAGCACCCTGACAGCGAGAAGGATTGGGGATCATGCATATGGTGTGCCAGTGGCGGAAAAAACGACTGAAAAGTGCCGAATCCGCGTGCCTTGTACTGGAGGCCCATCAAAGTGAACTTGTTAGCATTTTTAGATCGTATGAATGCAAAATGAACCCATATGCAGTAGTTCAAACAGATCTGCAGGAGCTTTTTCAGAACCGTTTTGATTTGGGGGAAGTTACTTGATCGATGCTTATGTAAAGTAGTATATGTATTTATCAGAAATCACGCCCACTTTTATGTCAGTGATTACCATGTTTGGATGGAGTTTGAGGGAATTTCCCTTTGGTCCCAGCGAAACCAGATCACACAAGTTGCTACTATGTACAGTAGTAGATCAACTTGAAGTACTACCGTGATGGCGGGCACAAAGTTTGCATACGTACGCAATTTTGAGCTCCCTGATCCACTGTTACCTGATACCTATCTGGTCTGTCGTCTCGATGGACACTCTTTCCACCGGTAAGCGAGCATCATAAGCCGATCGAAGAGGACAAAGCATAATGGTATTGCACTTTACAGGTTCTCGGACGAGCATGGCTTCGCCAAGCCCAACGACGAGCGTGCGCTCCTACTCATGGATCACGCCGCAAAGAGCGCAATGATTGAGTTCAAAGACATCATGCTCGCATTCGGCGAATCCGACGAATTCAGGCAACTATAACCCTTTCATTCCAGTTCCGACCAGTCTCATCATCGCTCATCATAGCTTTCTCTTCCGAAAGTCGACGAATCTTTATAACCGACGACAATCGAAGATACTCACCACGTTGACGTCTTACTTCACTTCGTGCTATGTGCTCTACTGGTCGCAGTATTTCCCAGACACGCCGCTACGATATCCACCGTCATTCGATGGACGCATTGTAGTATATCCGACTGAGCGTGCTATTCGTGACTACTTTTCATGGCGACAAGCTGACAGTGGGTCTATCCCAGACTATCGTTTTGCCGAGACTGAGCAAAGCTGCTTGTCAGCGTAAAGCCCACATAAACAATCTATACAATACCACCTTTTGGGCTCTCATACAGAAAGGAGGTCAGACTGCTACGGAGGCCCATGCCACGCTTAAAGTATTTATATTTCCTTCTGTATCTGTGATGTATCGTTGACAAATCTTCAGGGCACCGTTTCCGCGACTAAGCACGAGATGCTCTTTTCCCAGTTTGGTATCAACTATAATGAAATACCACAGAGGTTCAAGAAAGGTAGCGTTATAGTTCGAGAAATCGTGCGTCTCATTGGAATGTACTTCATCCAATCCTATTCACGTTAACATGTAGGTAGCCCCTGAATCATCGGACAAGGGTGAAAAGCTAGAACCCCCATTCGACCCTTTTCATCAACAATGCTCCAAGGTGAAGAAGAAAAACAAACTGGAAACTAAAGTAGAGGTACTGCACTGCGATATCATTAGCGATGAGTTCTGGCTGCCCCGTCGACATTTGCTGGAAAATTGATACAGTGTCTGCAAGACTCGGAGACATGTCATTGTCAACGTTGGAGCCGTTCAGAAAGTGGTGGCAATGATAGAAGTTACAATACAGTCGCCTCGAGAAACACGGATTGCAACGGAGTAGGACTCTCATCGAAATATCCGGGTGTTGTGGCATGAATGGAGTGGACATTGCATTCAGGTGCATCACATACTGATGCATGCATCGCAAGACCCCTTGTTATTGTACAATTGGTGAGAGGTCAATGTACATGAGCGGATATACACATCGAACTCGGATAGAATGCAGAAACCAGCCACTGAAGCTGATCTTCTTGAATTCCAATGTCCCGGCCAACGGTCGGAAGAGATACGGAAACCAGCATGGTATCAGACGTCTCGTGCCATGATTCAGGACTGCATAGACGTAGCTGGAGTACCAGGGTAAGAGTGCAAGTCGTGACGAGCAAAACAGAGCGGAAAGTACTGAACTGCGGAGCTTTGAGGATGTATTTCCCTATTCTACTTATTTGCGGAGACCCTGGAGCGCGTTATCGGAGATGTGGAAGGGTACCTTTTGTGCATCAAGGCTCCTCCATCAGTAAAAATACACGTTACTTAAGCTGCCTTAAACAGACTTAAAGCCCACTTAAGTGACTTTGGCTAAGTCAATCTACTTGGTCAAAATTTCAACTTCAACATGTTCACAAAAAATTGTTGAGCTATTTTAATATACATATTTTGTTGTGGTTTGCACTAAAAATATCCCAAGTGGATGATGCAGGAGAGAGTAAACAATTTCTAGCAAAGTCAGCCAAGTTGATTAAGTAACGTGTACTTTTACTGATGCTAGGATGTTACTACAATTATTTCAGTCCATCAAGTACTGGCAATGAGTGGTTGTTGCTCTCCATTATCAACACTTTCAACTGAAGGGTGATATTTGTGTGTCAACCGTGTAGTCAATGCACCGTCCTCCAACCGTTCCACTTCCTCCATGATGGTATACCCCCCTAACCATGGCAAGACGATAATCCACAGCCAGTAATAGAATCCACACACCTATAAAGGGTTAGATTTATGTAGAATCACACTGTAAGCGATGTACATACCGCAAGGACACCCAGACCCACCACACAGTAACTGAATGATGGATATAGTCAGATGTGGACCTAAAATGCGACAGCATCAGACTTATGTTGTGTACCAGAAAGACATGTCACTATGACCAGGTTCCGGTGGTACCCTTGTCAAAAAATCAGTGCAGCTTCAAGGCATTGACTCAGTAGGACAATACCAGGGCATTATGAGAAGAAATACTGCGCTGAGGAGGTAAAGGGAAACGTAAACATTCCCCACACGATACTTCGAAGGCGCAAGGTCAGCAAGTGCTTGCCACTTTTGAAGAAGCCACAATCCTATAGCAGTTGTGGCATTGAATACCTGCAACTTGTTAATTATATAATAAGCTGCGGTTGGATAAAATACCTACTAAATTCAGATAAGAAGACAAATCTAAAAAGGAGTTAAATGCATCTCGAGCTGGGAGGGCGACTATCACGAAAATTGTAAGAAAGTACTTCAGACACACAGGTCCCAATGGCGTGCCAAATGGCTTGGTCGATGCAAAAATCTTGGATACGGAAGTAGCCCTTGGTGGGCAATCTCACATAATACGCATGCCTGACCAACAGTCTGGCATAATATAAGTTTTCACATCATGAAAAGTAGTTTCAAAATGCTTTGCTCACCACAGCGATCTAGAAATGTATTTTGTGAGTAAGTTGGGCATGCAAAATACAAAGATCACACACGATGTTGCCGAAGCAACTTAAAGCAACCATGATCGGCATGGTTTGGGCCACGAAGCTCCCTCCATATACACGTTGGAAAAATAAAGCCGCGATGAGCTGCCCAGAATTTCTTATCTCGTCCTTTGGCACCGCTGCCACATAAGCAATGTTGACGAAGAAAAAAAGACAGGTGACTAAAAGCAGCGAGAGTTAGCTGGTGTAGCACTCAGGCTCGCACTGAGCATGTATTCAGCTAATTCCCAATGCATGTCAAACACTCAAATCATTTCCCAATGTTATCCAACACTTACCCGCTCAATCCGACATTTATCTGCTAACCCGACGCTAACCTGATGCAGTCCGACGCTAATCTGACGGACCCAATGTTTCCCGCCCATCGGACCCAATATTTTTCCACACACTTGTCCTCCCTATGTCCTGTCCTGTCATATCTATCCCCACTAGGTGCGCAGTTATCTGTTTTCACATCACTAACACTGTAGATTGCGTTATTACATGTCCGCAGTATCACATGTCTTATTACATAGGACATTGGACCCGAAAATTACCGCTACTACTTTCGCCTATAGCACTCTGAAATTCTACATAGACACTATATATTTTGCATACCTCCTACTTACTTATTTACCTTTCTACCTCCGAGTAGGAGGAGGTCATTAGATATTCGTAGTTCTTTGCTGAATTCCGCAAATATCATCCTTTCATTATCTGAAACACTCCGAAAACACTGACATTAACCTGCCATTCACTATCCCCGACATTCATTACATTCCCGACGCTAATCCGACGTAACTCAATGAAACCCGCTAACCCAAAACCCGAAAACATTGGACCTAACGTTTTTACCTTTGGACTTGTAATTATACTTTCAGACTTTGTTTCCCGCGCTTCGGACTATCTTCCTTTTAGTATCACTGATTATTCTAATACCTTACAGCGAACCCCTTGGGTCGAACACACTTGTCTACAAGTATAGCAGACTAGGCTGCGCAGACCACAATATTATTATATTGCTGATTACTTACTTCGTGTAGTGACCAGCAATTGTTGTCTTGTTACACCGGCTTTGCGTACTGTGCGGACAGGGTCACGCGTATGGACTTCCCCAATGACATTAAACATGCTGTGCCAACCAGCGAATGCAAAATTAGTCTTGACTAGGGTGGTAGCCAAAGAATTGGCATATGGATCGCTGATGTGAGTGAAACCGCCAAGTACAAGGGCACCCGTAAAGACCAAGCTGAAAGCACAATATGTCAGTAGATGAAAGATGGTGAACAATGCACTCACAAGACAAGAGAAAGAACCTTCAACCCAGTAAGAATGTTCACGGCTCTTAAAGACCATTTCATTGACAGGGCGACGACTGTGTGGTCAAGTTCCAGATTATACCTTGATGCAAGGAATATAAGAAGCTCACAAGACATACCCACAGCACAGACAGCTACTGTTACGACTAGGATAGGTCGAGCTCTCCCTAGGCGGATTGCCTAATCTGATAGCGGGCTCACTACTGGAGAGACGGGGATCTTCTCTCGAATGAGAGGTTTGGGGGTTCCACTAAAGGTAGCGTCGGCTTTCCTTTAGGTGCGGCTTAGACTGAGTGATTGGGATGATCACACAGAGGAAGTTCTGATGAAAACCTAGTAGAATCAAGTAGGGAATATACATGATTCTGTCTACTCTATATACTGTTGTCCGTGTGCACAGACCAATACTACGTTCGGTAGGTAAGTATGAGTGTGTCTATACAAGGGCATCTTATCTGATGCCATGCGGGCGATTATCTATCCATGAGGCGTTGCATGCCTCTTCTATCAGTCCTCAAGGCTAAACATGCCTTGTAGTTTAACTGCGCATGCTGCGGCATGCGGCTTCTCTTCTGACCATGAGGCAGAGCTTCCCCATGATCCGGGTCGAGGACCATCTAGGTCCGTCCAGATGTTGCCTAGGCTGGTCTAGGTCATCTAACGGCATCCAGGCCGTTCTAGGCGTCTCTACGAGTCTCCGTTGAGTCGGTAAGTCTTTCCAAGACGGTGTATATGGCGGGATAGGGGCTAAGGTCATGGTGACCTCCGTAGGAGGGGTTCTTGGTTACATGTTATTGTAACAGCTACAAGACAGCTATGGCAATAGGTATGAGGCCACATTTTCAATGCAAGTCAAACCACTCATTACCTAAAGCGGCACGACCGGCACGGTGGCACCTGCTAACATTCAAACTCCGTGCTTCGCCAAATTTCTCCGACCAGCCTGGCTTCACCACTCAACTTGTCCGTGCCAGTGGTAATATAAGCCAGGCTGGTCATGAGCCTAAGTCCTTCTCAATGGTTCGACAGATCCTGTCCATGACACACCAGACTGTCATATCCCGTATTCCGGACCTACATCCGACAATATTCCCACGCCTCATCCGGACCTTCGGACGCCCTATCCATGTCTCCAGTCCTCTACCCATCCGGATCCCTGCACCTCTGCACATCCACATCCGCGCATCCATGTCCAGATCCCTTTACCTCCATACATCACACCTCCATACCTCCACAGCTAGCCTGCATCATTCATCCTTTGTCCTATTGCCCTAATATCATATCCCGTATATCCACGCGTCTCATCCGGACGTCCGGTCTGATCCGATCCGATCCGGTCTGATCCGATATACGATAAGCTTCCTAATTCATTTCCTGTGCATATAATGTTGACACAGCCTATTCCTCTATTCGGTATTCCTTGTCCTCGGTATCTCGGTTATACTTACTACCGGTATGCTTACTGATCCGTTAACCTATGCTTCATTTCTGACTTGCGCTTGATAACTTTGCTTATGCTTCATACATAGCCTCGGACGCTTGCTTACTGATCTTTCCGTTATTTCCTTAGTATATAAACTCTTGTATATGTCCTGTAGTTCCTCAGTCTGAATATCATATTAGTCCTCGCACTAGATTTCACTCTAAGTCCTCACATCAGTTCTAGTCTATCGACTTAGTCAATATCCATCTTGGGCCTAGGGAGAAATTCCCTAGGCCAGAGCTCTGCTTATCCGCTCATCCGCTTATCCGCTCATCCGCTTATCCGATCCCCGCTCATCCGCTCATCTGATCCTCCGACGTTTCCGGACGTTCGTCCGAAACTTTCCCGCGGTCCTCCGGACCTATTCTGCTTCGGACTTTGTCCTTGCAGCCTTTCCTCTGTTTGCTTCTACTTAGGACTTGTCCTAAGTAGCCATTACACATATCCGTATCAGGACGAAACCTCATCGTAATTTCCGGAAGTTCCTCCAGAACTTTCCCGCACTCGTCCAGAAGTTACTTGCACTCGTCCGGAAAGTCCTTCCGAACTTTCCCGCGCTTCGGACGTCCTTGGACTTTCTTTGGACATCATTCTGAAATTAAGGGCACATACTCGGGTAAGGGGCGCAGCGCACGAGCTGAAGCCAAGCCCCTCGGAATCAGTCCTACCCTTTGTGCACGGTCTTAACACAGACATCCTATTGGAATCCGAGAGATCCAATAAGCAGATGGCCAAGGGATCCGATATCGGGACAATGAGGAGAGATGGCAGTTTGAGTGCATACCAAAAGAGCAGAGCGAGCAACACTTGATGTCGGCTCGTATAGTTCAATATATTGCTAAATTTTCATTCCTATTCCATCTGTACTTAAAGCAGTTCACATTTACGAGGAACATCTCAGTCCGTTTTCAAGAGACTGAGATGTGAGTACATAGTTCTACCTAACGTTTAAAAAACTAACGCGACCTAGATACTTTGTCTCAACTCTCTACACATCCCACCGCCCATGTGGCTCATCAATGAAGTGCACAAGTCAAATCAGATACTCTGAGTAACCAATGTTTCAGCTGAGTTGATGTTCAACACCACGACCGGTGTTCCCGGTCGCAGAGATCACAATGATGGTCTGGCCCTGTGGGAGCATCTGCTCCCACATATCACATCCAGGAAATGGTATTTTGGCTCCAGCTTATATTACCATTGTGATTCAAGGCCGTCTGGCCCTGTGGGAGCATCTGCTCCTGGATATCACATCAGGCAATGGTCTTCTGCTTCCACAATATTGGGATGTCGTTTGTCACGTGCAACAGAGTATTGGGTATGCATGAGTCAATCATGTTGCATGATGCCTCGTGTATCTAACGTAGCACCCCTATCACTAATAACTAAGATAATACAATGATATTCCAGAACCCTTTAGGGGACTGGGCCTCTCTTGGTTTTTGTCGCTCTTCATGGATTACCTTCCAATAGAGGTAAGTAGCATATATGTGTTCGCGCTATGTCATCTGACTCTTCAATAGATGCTTTTCAGAGTGTAGGATGTCTTTCTTGTTGATGGACTCGATGTTCTCTTCTGCGTCGCCTTAGGCATCCTTAGTGTTGTTCCCAGCTTGGCTTGGCTCAAAAGCTGGGGTTTATGCTCAGCCTGACATGGCTCAGGCTTTAGAAAAATGTGAGCCGGGCCTGCATAGATGGCTCAGGCTTGGCCAGGGCTCGGCTCAGCACAGGCTGGGGCTTGTCACCAGAAAACTTTAGTTTAAATCTCGTGACTCGGAGTATTCATTCATTCTTTGGGCTATGGTGCCCAGGACAGAGGCATGATGAACTGTGCAGTTATCCAGTGATCACTGTACAGATATGAAAATGAGCATGAAAGCCACAGCCTGAGGGCCCAGCTTTGGCCTGCACATAACTGAGGCTGAGCCTTGAGCCCTACCAGGCCGCCCTTGAAGCTTGGCTGGGCTCAGCCTAAATAGGCCCAGTCAAGCTCGGCCAACAGCTTGAGGCCGTGCCTTGCACATCACTAGGCATCCTTCGCAGTAATGAACAGGAGCTGATAAAATGTGAATCCAACTCCACTGTTTATGTATCTTTAGAGAACTTACCAACCAGGATGTGGCAATCCGATAAACTACTACCCTGACCGATTGGGATCAGCTGGAGCTCGACCTTAGAAACACGATCTCGTACGAGAATCTCCTCAGGAGACAAGAAATACATGTTGTTGCACTCAAGCATCTTAGGGCATAGCTATTGTTTCAATTGTCGTTGCTCAGTATATCATATATCACTTGAAATACAGTTCAGATGGATGTAGCTGTGCTGCTGGACTGAAGTACATGATTATGTAAGATTATGTAAAGTCAAGATGGCCAGACCCCTGAAGATACCCCTCTGGTGCAGAAAAGTCTGCACAGCGCACTCAGCAAAAGGAATTTCACAACCTCTACCTGTGCTTCAGTTCAATCAATAATCATGTTACAATGTGCAGCACAGTGGAAGTCCCCCCTACATCTCATTTGGAAGGGAAAGGGAAGCAGAGACTCAAAGAAGGTGAGTAGTTTTTTGTTGAGCTAGCAAGTAATGCTGACTCCAATAAATCCAAGGATAATCTCATTGAGGGATCGGAACATTTCAGCATATATCTTGGTCAAACGGATTACTCTACCGTACTTGTGGATGACCAGATGCAATACCTCTTACGCTCTGCACAGGATGTCCTTCTCCACAGCAACAATAGCCTGAGACATTTAGCCACAATGACCTTTGGAGAATCTAACCCAGCCGCAGAAGAGCTTGCAGATAGGATGAACCAAATTATGATATATTTGCGATTCTATCCCCCTGATGTCAGGGTATATGCTATGGACCCCTATGCAGAAACCTGAGACCCCACCACCATCCATCGCCACCAGAACCTTTCTACACCTGGGACTCCTTGGCAAGCATTGTCTGTTGAGATGAGGCAAGCCTTACCCTTTGAATTTTTGTTAAGTTTGAGCCTCTTCAAGCTGATTCAGAAGTCTACTGCTACCAATAGAAATCAGAGGTAAGTTTATTCTTCTGTAACATATGTATAGTAAAACATCTGATCTACTACTTGGATTGTCTGAACAGTCTTGTTTGCCTATTCTCGACAATCACTATCATTCATGAGCTCGCTCATATAGTGATGTATACCTTCACCTCACAGGACACCTCTCTAAAGTTTCATGGGAACATGCCATTAGAGGCTGATGCTAAGAGAGGGGAGGCAGGAGCCAGTATAGAGACAGTGATGATTGGAGGGGAAGCATTTCTGGCAACCCCATCTAGATCCACCATCCAGACAGTTGACCCCTCCCATGTTATCATAGTTGTGGCAACAACAAGTGAAGATGATCAGTGGAAAATTCTTGATGGTGAGTATTTAAGTTTCTACCCTCAGTTTAATAGCATTGACAGCTTGAATCAATTTCTCTAGAAAATACTGTCAATCTGACAGATATTGCGTCTGGTAACTGGAGTCACATCAGCGATGTACCAATACAGCCTTTTCCATCTAATTTCTCCCTTGTGAAACCAGAATCTTCTGATGTAAAACTCCCTTCATTCTCAGTGCCATCGTCTTCCTATGTTGTTTGGGTACCTCCGTCAAGTATTCCTGGGGTAAAATATTGATGGGCTCAGGAAAGGGTGATTTCATTATTTGGAAGCCGTCAGGTTTGAGTCCAAGTTGGAGTGTGCTAGGCTGGCGTGGTAGAGAGCTTCTACACACATTCTAAAGCTCAAGATTCTTCCGAGCCTAGAGATCCCATCTTTTTTGGAGGACCTTCGAAACAAGATGCAGAATTTCCCCTCATTGTTTCTCACTGCACTCATAGTTGTTCTTCACAATCCATTCATATGAGCCCTGTCAATAATAGTGAAATCAAACTGTTGTCTTATACTTTGCATCATCATGAATCACTTGTAGTATCATATTAAGATGTTTCAAAGACTTTCCCAGGTGTCCCTATTTTTTCCTTCAGGAAATGTTCACCTTCACTCCTACTCCAAGTTCTCCCTCTTAAATACTAAACATATATATATACTGACTACTTCCGGTATTTCCATTCTGATATCTTTCAGTCTTATATGAGGATGCCTGAAAATGAGCAAAAGAGCTTAATAAATTATTGAAGGAGGCAGGAGGAAGGAAACAAATGCACACGATGTCATTTGGACTGGACAACCAAGCAGCGATCAGAACGACCAGTGCCTTCCACTCCCAACCAGGACACTATCTTGTTGACAAACTCCACGACGACCTCAGAGACATCATTCCCTCTAACAACAACAGAATGCTAATGATCAGGTGGACACCAGGGGCACAAGGAAATAGCAGGGAACGAGGCAGCTGACGAGCAGGCAAAACAAGCAGCAAGAGACGAGGTGTCAGACACCAGACAGCTACCCAAGTCTCTCCAGACAAGAGCACACTCTCCCATCACCCTTCCCCTAAGTAAATTGGCAACCAAACAATAGTTCTATGGAGTCATCAAAGAGAAAGTGATGAAGATCACGCAAAGCTCACCCCACTTCAAGTCTCTATGCACAATTGACCTCACAGCCCCATCAAATCGTTTCACCAAAATAGTCAACAAACTCCCCCACCGCCACAGCTCACTACTCTTCCAACTCTGTTCTGGTGTCTTCTTAGATAGATGATCTATAGATAAACACCTATAAAACCAAATATCTCCATGGTCAGCGATTCAGACAAATACCAATGACTGATAATGTGGTCATTCGTGGGTGGCTTGGCTTGCTCCTAAGATACAGTCAGTAGAATATGGCTTGCACAAAAGTCAGTAGTCAGCAATCAGCAGTCAACAGTCAATCCAACAATATGGATATGAAACACAGCGATGAGAGAAAACACAGAACTCGGTCAGTCAGCGATCGACAACAACAACAACAATCACAACAACACAGACAACAACAAAACAAATCAGGAAACACAGTCACTCTAACAATATAGAGATGACAAGAAACAAACAGACACTCTTCCTAACACTTCACACAGCAACAAGGATTCGTACACAAACTTAGTGCAGCAAGTTGTGTGGGGTTACAATGAGAGTCCCCCTCAATACAAAAACAGATGAAACTACCGTCAGGCCTAGTTAAGCCTCTGTAGCACTCTTAGCCTAATATTGAACCTGCTGCCAAGGAACTCACAATGAGTATTAAACAGACTCAGGAACGGGCGACCTTAGACTTCAATACCAAGTCCCCTTTTCAATAGCTAAAGTCTAACTTGCAAATGACTACCCTCAATCGGTATAACACACAGATGTAAGAGGTCAGGTATCACTGTCAACACCTAAAGTCTCCCCACTAGACTATCAGAGTCTTCCGTGGACAAAAAGAGACAACACCAAACTTCTGGGTAAGAATGAGACTGAAACTTTGGTACTTGAGAGAAAGTTGATAGGTTGAGTCAACAACAAAAACAAGACCGCTACAACAAAAACACGAACACAATCACGGTCACAGAGACTGTTAGTAACAACAATCACAAAGCAAACAGACAGCGATCAGAGAGATGGTCAGTATAGACAGTCACCAACACACCACACACACTTGAGACAGACAGAGAGAAAGAGAAAAAGAAACAGAAACACGAGTTTCAGTCACGAATCTCAGACACAATCTCAGAGAAAACAGAGAGAAAAAAAAACACACAGATACTCAGAAAAACAGACTCAGAGACAGAGACAAATCACAGAGAAAATCACAGACAGAGACACAGACAAAGACACAAAAAGAAACAAAGAAATTCAGACAGACAATCAAGAGAAAAACAGAAAAAGAAAAACTAGTCTTGCTAGTCGTCAGACACAGTGAGCTCAAGGTATGTGCTAGATGTTCAACACAATGAGCTCCGAAGTGTTGTGCTGGTTGTTGAGCACAGTGAGCTCCAACCTTGAACTGCACTTGCTGGTTGCTGATTCACACTTCACTCACAATTTTATTCTGAGAGCAAAAAGCTGGTCCTTATATAGACAAATTTGGTGGCTATACTACTAGTTTCTTGTACTTAAAGTTGTAACTTTAGTTTGTTAGTACCAAGTCACGCAGTATCTTTGGGTCAAAAAGTAAATATTCATAACTCTAGTTGGTATAATGATGAGTCAGCAAGAGCTGTATATGGCCCATGGGTCAGGTGACCCTTGATGACTCAGCTAGATAAGAGTGAGAAATGATTACATATTGTGTACGTATGTTTGTGTAATCTGTAGCTGATGAGTTTATTGGTAGCATAATGACATAGGACACGTATTTAGTGATTTGTAAGCTTTCCCACAGGGTAATCTTATGTAAACATATTTTTCACAGTCACCTGATATGTGTGAGAATCTTCTGAGTCATCTTCATGGCTGACTAAGCAAAACTCATCGCAGAATTAAATGTACAAATATATTCAGTCCGCTCACGTACAAACTCGTAAAAATGAAAAAAGCGAAAAATATTCCCTTAGCCTCAGTCTGACTTCAGATCATAGAAAAAATGATTTCATAGGGTATAGGGCTCATAGGAGAGTATTAGTCATTCATGCACCGAACCAGTTTGGTGCAGGTCACTGGGCATGTCTCGCTAAGCAAATACCTGAACTGCATAGTGAAGTCCCCTTCAGCACGCTGCCCCCAATGCAATGGGAGAGAAGAGAGAATGAGTAATATGTAAATGGCATGTCCACCACCCTAACAAAGGATTGGAAGTGAGAAGGACAGTAAGAGAGCGGAGCTTTGAAGGGTCATTGAAGAATAAATAGTGGATGAGGAACTTGAGGCCGAGACAATGTCATGATCAGCACATCAATATGATCGACTGTCAGATGATTACAACAAGAAATGAGTGTCTATTTTTTGTAACACGACACACCTTGGTCGCATAGCTCCTGCGCTGGACCATGTTTATCAAGTCCCGAGGGGTCCTTCATTGCCAATCTGTAACCAAAGAACATGCCCAAGAAGACTGGGTCATGGATGTTGGAGGTGTACATCTGTCCTCCAACTATATTCAGAGGATTTCTGCTCAAATCAGTCCCAGTCGTCCACCACATACAGTGGCTCAAAAAAGTGTCTCAATGTTTGTTTGTTTTCATGTAATTGCTTTCTTATGAGTCAGGGTGTGGGAATCTGACTATGCTATAGGGAGGTGTCAAAAAGGTTTGCTTTCCAGCTATATTTATGTTCCCTATAGCTAGTGCTGCCGAAGTTCAGTTCCGTCCGGTTTTTTCAAAATAATCGAGGACTGAGAACCGAACCTCAGTCAAGTTCACCAAGGTAGGGTGGACTCTGGGCTGGACCACTTCGAATGGGTTCACAATGGTCGGGTTCGAGTTCGAACCGCCGAACGCAACATGAAATTAGCAAAATTTTTCAAGTACTAACAATTGTAGTAGGCTAGACTATTCAACAATAAACATTTGAGGAGCAACGAGCTCAGCCTGCACCATTGCTGAGACATGGCCTTGATGGTATGCACTTTTTAACAGTTGAAGTGCCTCGAATGTCTCTGGAAGCAAGCAGTTGCGACGTGTGGTGTTGGTGATGCCACCACTTGAGAATGCCCGTTCAGATGCTACCGCAGACCCCTGAATAGCGAGGTAGTCTTTTGCGATGCGAGCAACAGTGGGATACTGAACCGAGTGATGCTTTAAAAAAATAATTGTCAGCTTCAAGTTACACAGAATATTAAGGATATGAGGGAAGTGAACTTACACCCCACCACGCAACTACATTCTCAACATCCTCCAGTGGTGCAGCTAAGTAGTCCTCCAATTCCCGACGAGGCCTTTGATGAGCTGCATCATGTGAGACATGAGCTTTGATTGCATCGCGCATCCAGCTCTGGCTGTAGGAACCTTGGCGTGAGAGGGATGGTGTAGCAGAATGTGTCGTCACGGCAGATGAAGGAGGGGCACGATAATACTGATCAAACTAGATACTAAGTTAGTGCGCAGACAATTTATTGAGATACCCATGGACTTACCACATCTTCAAGCTGTTTCACTCCATCAGCAAAGTCTTGAGACACCCATTTTGCCTTAGCGTAGGCAACTTTGTAGTTAGGGTCGAGGGCTGCATGAAAGTAAGAGTGTTGTCAAAATGAGAATGTGTGAATTAAGAATGGGGCACATACCAAGGCAGATGAAGTAGACATCTGTGTCATTTGTCTTGCAGTACCACTTAGCCAGATTGTCCAGGCCGGATGTGACAGATGCTGAAAGTACGTCGAATGTTGAAGTGCCAGCCATGTGTTCCCATGTCTCTTGAAGATATTCGAGGACAGGAATGGTGCACCAGACTGTAGGTTCACGAGTAGCTGAGAAAGTCTGTTGAGCGTTAGCAGGCTCCTGTGCAGTGTAGTGCTAGTTAATACAGAAGGTGAAAAAAAGACAGTTGAAGGAACTGACCTGTAGCACGTCTCGAATCAATTCCAACTTTGCCCACTCCTGTTGTGTGAGCTTGAATGCCGAATATGTTTTCCCTTGTAAGTTGGGGACTTCTTTGCTGTCGTCAGCAAGTTGTGTGAACCTGTTCACTCCCTTAAATTAGATAGAACATAACACTTAATATGAAACAAACCTTGCGTAAACGAATCACTTGCTCCAACATCTTGAAGAGTGATGCCCAACGTGTTCGAACCCATTTGAGAAGTTTGAGAGTGGGGAGGTCAACCTCAGTGCAGCACTTCTTGAAGAAAACACGAGCTTGTGGGGACTTTCGTATCTGCGTGATGAGTGAAAGGGCTTTACTGATAGTATTGGCAATGTCGAAATCGGTCTTGTCATTGTCATTGTCGTTGTCTTCTGCTGTCTTCTTGAGTAAAGCGCTGGCGGATGTCGGGGCAACCCTCTCAACGAAATGCTTTGCTGCAAGATGCAGCGCATGTTCCATACAACAAACACAATGTTCGACTGGGTCCCAGTTGATGCCATTAGGGTCGATCTCCAATGCGACAGTTCAGATCGCTGTGTCGTTGTTCGTGGCGTTGTCAGCTGTGAACCAGCCAACCTATGATCAAACAATTAGATAAACAGTAAGTACAACGACATAGATGCTCACCTTTTTGCGTATATCATACTTATCGATCACTTCGATCAAAATACCACCAATGTTAGCGCCACTGTGGTTACCCTTGATGAGCCTAAAGGCAAGTTGCTCTGTCTTAAGTTCCCACTCCTGAGGTTTGTCTGCGGGTGAGTCGATGTAATGGGCGGTGACGGAAAGGAATGGGTCGCCTGGTTCAGAAGTCCAGGAGTCGAATGTCATTGAAATCTTGCTGTCAACGTGCTATGACAATTATAATGAGTGAAAATCAGACAATCACAATTATTAACAAACACTTACTGCTAGTTTTTCCTTGACTCATTCGACAGCAAGTTTTGCTCTCTCTAGAATCTCGTCTCATGTCTTAGTGCGGTGTGGAATATCTTGATCTGAAAGACTTGGCCAAAGGTATTGCAGGAGGCAGCGAAAGGATCCTTTGTCGACAAGTTGAAATGCCTGCAATTGCGTGAGGATGTGTACGTGAAAGAAAGAAATAAACAAATAATACCTCATCCTCGGCAACGATAAGCTCGACAATATAGTCGACAAGGCCTGACTTCGAAAACTGTGGTGGCTTGGGGACAAGGGCACGATCAAGAGTTCGCTGCCCCCCATCGGATACCTTGACATTTAAGGGAATAGCACGCTCATGCATGATGATGCCTTTCTCCTCGCAGCGACTCTTGTAAATCGGAAAGTGGCAGTTTGGATTCCGGGCGATGTGAGTACGACGGGTAGAAATGCTGCCTTTGAAGAAACAGTTTTGAAGAGGCACATTTGCTTCCCTATGAGACGGAAGGCAAGTTAGTAAAAAGACGCTTGAAAACGGGGAGCAAAACATACTTGCAAACGTTACACCACCATCCATCCTCACTTTCACCAGTGTGTGTGTTCTTGTGGCCTTTTTCCTCGGTGAAGATCATCCAGAGATCTGCCGTCCGCTCATCTTTCTTTAGACTTTTGCGAACCTGGAGGTCTGATATGAGGAAAGCAGGAGAGAGTCTGAAAACACACTTACATCTCGGTCGGCATCTCCAAATGCTTTAATTTGCTGGTAAGCTTCTTCAGCTTCCTTGGCTTCTTCGTCACCTGAATCCGCAACAAATGACTCATCCTTGTTGCCGTTGCCGTCGTCGTCACCACCGCCATCATTGTCGCCAATTGTAGAAGAGCCAAGCGGGCACTTGGTGGCAGGGGGCATGGTGGTAGTACCTGAACGTTTGGCAGGAATGGCACTGCTTGCTGCTTCTCGCACCTTTGCGGAAGGCTTGATAGGCCGGCCAGAGCGATGAGAACCAGCAACAACTGTTGCAGGCATTCGGTGAGAGCCTATGAAAGAGTCCAGGGTATGAGGGCCAGGGGGCAAAGCCTCAGATGAGGATTCAGGATGGGGCAAGATGGGCATGTCGTTGTCAGGATCATGATACCATTCGATTTTGGATGCATCCTTCAAAATGCCATTAGCATTAACTGCAGAGTTAGACATGTTTTGATAAATAAACTTACCTTGCATATACCCCACCCTTTTATTCTTGGCTGATGTTCTGTGCAAGGCCAGGACGAGATGTGAATATTCATTTCGATCGATCGTGTTGGTGATGATGGCGCCGGTGAGGATTGCGCTGGTAATGATTTCACCGGCAAACTTACTGATGTGTTGACAGTGAGTATCCTTCGAACCTGAGGAGTCGCAGAACAGAAGCAACAAACCTGCAACTCTAATGATCCAGGTTCGGACCGGTTCAGACTCATCTGAACGGGTCCGACGTCCATCCGAGACCACCCGAATGAAGAACCTATGTAAGGTTCAGTCCTGTATTGTATGTCAAACCCCTGACCAAACGGTGGTTCCGTTCGCAAAAGTTCAGGTTCGAACCTAGGTTCGGGACTGAACTGCGGCAGCACTACCTATAGCGTGGGAGGCCGACACCACTGTGTGAAGATATGAACATATTAATTTGATGACTCATTGAGACACTTTTTTGACTTGAAAAAAATTTAGACAAATCAGACCACCTAGACAAAATGTCATTACTAAATATTTCAAAAAATGGTGTCATCTTAATTATATGATCTGATTTTAATATCTGACATTTATATAATCTTTCATCAGCTTATAGGAAGAAGAGACTATCCTTTGCTCTAAAGCACCAATACTGTACTATTGAGGACTGGAAGAGGGTTATTTGGTCAGATGGTCAGGAATATGTATAGAAAAAGGCAGAAGAACCACTAGGAGAAAGAGAGGTGAAAGGCACACTAAAGTTTGGAGGGGGAAACTTAATGGTATGGGGCTGTATGAGATGGAATGGAGTGGAGATTTTGTGTGAGGTGGAGGAGAGAATGAATGCAGAGCAGTATGTCTCCATTCTAGAGGAGTGTCTGCTCAGAAGCATGCAGGAGTCAGGTGTTGATGAGGAAGACATCATTTTCCAGCAAAACAATGACCCCAAGCATACCTCAAAACTGGTCACCAAATGGTTTGATGACCATGATATCAATGTTCTATCATGGCCAGCACAGTCTCTAGACCTCAACCCTATTGAACATCTCTGGGAATTACTCAAAAGACTACTTGCTGCCTATCAAGATTCTCCAAAGGGGCTATTTGAACTATGGGAGAGAGTTGTGGTAGAGTGGAAAAAGATTACCAAAGAGGAATGTCAGAGATTGATAGAAAGTATGCCCAGAAGGATAGCAGCAGTGATTAAAGCCAAGGGAGGTAACACAAAGTACTAGAATTATAAAGATTGTATCAGTCAAACTTAAAGTCAAAAAGTGTCTCAATGAGTCATCAAATTAAAATGTCCATATCTTCACACGGTGGCGTCAGCCTCCCACACTATAGGGAACATAAATATAGCTGGAAAGTGGACCTTTCTGACACCTCCCTATAGCATAGTCAGATCCCCACACCCTGACTCATAAGAAAGCAATTACATGAAAACAAACAAACATTGTGACACTTTTTTGAGCCACTGTAGTTCTGACCAGTATTCCAATCTTAATGGAAGGACCGTAGTTCAACATTCGCAGAGCATTCAACAGCATGGGGAGAGATCAGCTTAACATGTGAGAATCCTTGTTCTCTGTAACAATGTCCATGTGCCATGTTATCTTTAACTCCAATGGCTGTTACTCCAGAGTTGAACGTGATAGCATTTTTGCTATTGTTGCGAATATATTGTTTTGTGCAAGACACAATCTCGTTGGCACCGCCACTGCGAACAGCGCTAACATTAGTCATCTTGATTGGCTTTGCATGATGATGAAAGTGCATACATACTCAATGCAAAACCTTGTCCTTTCAGCTTTTCATCAAAGGCCTGTTTAAAATGTGTCATGGATGACATATAAACACTATGCATATGCTTAGCGAATGAGGCGAGTATAAAAGAACAAGTTCAATGGTTTGGGTAACCAGAGGACTCACACTAGTTCTGAGTTACTTTACAGAACAATGGTGGGTAGTAGTGCCGCAGCTCGGCTACGGCCCGTTCCGGTTCGGTATTTACGGCTATGTCAGAAGTTCGGCGATTCCCTGTGAGCCAAGCCACCAATTACGGACTCAGTCCGACTCATTAGCCACGTGGACCAGTTCCAACGTTTACAAACCAAAAATGGATGAACCGTGGCTTGAACTGCTTCAAGCCAGCTTCAGCCAGTCCAAGCCATATACACACGGCGGTTGAGTTGAACTTTTCTTATTGTCTCTCAGTGTTGGCTAGATTCCCTGACTTTTTGCTTATTGTATACACCATGGATAAGGTCCCTGTTCGAGTTGATGGAAGATTTAGGTTAGGAGATGTCTTGGGGTCTGGTTCATATGGTATGTTATGCACATATTACCGGCTACATGATAATTCAACATTTGCACTCCATTTAGCTGTCGTGTATCGTGCACGGAACATCATCAAGGATGATGCAGTTGCCGTTAAACTCGAACCCATCAGCAACTCATCTTCCGTGCAGCATGAATACAAAATTTTGAAACACCTCGAAGGTGGTGTTGGTATTCCCTGCGTCCTTTGGTTTGGTAGGGAGTCGACGTATCACGCTCTGGTTCTTGACCTCCTTGGGCCATCACTATACAGTCTATTCCTTACTCACAACCGAAAATTCAGCCTTGATACCATCGTTAATCTAGGAGACCAGCTGGTTAGTTGGTGTGTGGGTTGTTGCACGTGCAGATCACTGACCCACTTCCCCAGCTCTCGCGTCTCGAATATATTCACTCGCATCATTATATTCACGGTGATATAAAACCGCAGAATGTTGTAGTGGGGCTTGGCGATTTGAGGGACACTGCCTTCATTATCGATTTTGGCATTGCAAAGGCATTCTGGAATACATCAACCAGTGTTCATATTCCATTTCGCCAAGGTCAATGTCTCACTGGCACTCCTGCTTTTGCATCGATCAACAATCACCTGGGAGTCGAACCGGGTCGTCGTGACAACCTTGAGTCACTTACATACATGTTGATATACTTTTTGCAGGGCTCCCTTCCGTGGTTAACCAGCGATGAAGAGAAACTCTCCAGCTCTTTGATACTCGAGTGCAAGGTGAACACTACCATTGAAGATTTATGTCATGGAATTCCCGTCGAGTTCGCAACAATCCTCATTTACACGCGCTCTCTCGCGTTCTCAGAGGATCCCGATTATAACCACCTTCGTTCATTACTTCGCATGCTCAGTTCTATGTCACCTGCACCAGCTGCGTGCTTGCTGGATTTCAACCAGCCTGATGTACATTCCCCTCCATTATCCAATGAACCTTGGGTAATCGAGGCAGTGCCTCCATGCCCACCGCTTCGCAGATCAACTCGTGTGTGAGTAGTTCATTTATGTTCCTGCTTCGTATGAATTAATATGATTGCAAGTTTACATCCACGTAATGGCCCCTCCCTGCACGCAACTACTTCTACTCCACGTCGGAAAAAGACTAAACTCCCCTAGATTTAGCTTCTAAATTCCAACTCAAGGACTTCCAGTTACTATATTTACACTGTTGAATACATGTGCACAGTGCGGAATTACTTATTTTTTGTACAAACACTGTATGTGTATACTATACAATATGACACAGCTGCCAGCACCTATGCATGATCACGGTGATACTTCGTATTATGTAATATGATTTCTTCAACTCCCACGCAGCGCCCTCAATGTCAACATGCTGTAGCCTGTAGGCTACACCTTTTTCATGAATCATCATGGCGATTTGAACCAGCAGACAAGTCACACTATGTAATAACGACGACTCGGCAACTGCTTATTGATGGGGATCGCCACCTTTGGCTTCTGTATCATCCATGTTGGCCTCGGTTGCAACTTGCAACACTACCACATAATACATTCTTCTGCAATTTCGGTCATGGAGGTGGTGAGTCCTAGTGTGAGTGCGACGACTGCAGCTGTGAGTGCTATTGCAAGTGTTAGTTTGGGTGCGGGTCCAAGTGACGCTAGCCTGTGCAGGTGCAAGTTTCAGGGTTCAATTACTCGGTGAGTCAGTGTCAAATGAGATCCGGCTAGAGTCCTCATGAATCATGATTGATGATAATTTCCCTTTGGGCTTTTCCATCAGGGACAGTATCACCGTTCATCAGCATGTTCTGGGGTTTCCCCAGGCAAATATATATTGCTATCACCATGGTCCACCAACCACCAACAACGACATGCCTCCTCGATAAAAGAACACTTCCCGGCTTGTTACCAAAGCCACTGCTACTACTCCCATTGCTCCCGTTCCCATTGCTGCTTCTGTTACTCCCGTTTTCATTGGTGCTCCCGCTCCTGCTGGTGCTCCCATCGCTGTTGCTCCCATCGCTGCTGCAGTGAATGCGAATATTTTTCGCAATCCTCAAAGGCATCGTCAGCCTCCTCTCTGATTCAGACAAAACGACGGAGATGAAGGGGAATCCTTCCACCTTGAGAACATCTCCGGGGATGAGGAAGATGATGTGGTTAACTCACCTGCATCCGCAGTTAGGCCTGCAGCAGGCAACAGCCCACTTCAGACCGCTATGAGTACTGCTATCACCGACCCTCTCGCCACTGGTGGCCGAGCAAAACCACCTAAATCCTCTGCCGATATACATTTCTTCTTCAGACAGGACCCTACGACTCATTTCAATATCTGCAAAGCCTGCGAGTGAGTATTATGTCTGCAGTCTATCATTCTTTCTGACATTCTTCGCCAGAAAAATCCACGAGTTTGATGTTACTTACCATGTTACATCATACGTTCCTAGTACAAGCACCTCAACTCGTCGTGCACACGCCTTCACCGAACACACCGACATTTACCTGGAGGAGGCAGAGCGTCAGCACTGGCATGTCCTCCATAAGTCATCGCGACTGAAGACTCTTTTGGACGAAGGCTGGTCAATCACGACCATGTGTCAAAGGCTGAAAGATCCGGCTTGCACATTAGAGTCACTCGGTACTCCCCCTAGTCCTGCCTCACTCCCTGGAACCAGCCTGTCGACTCCAGACGATATATTGCCTGTGTTTACTCTTGATGAGATGCATAAACACATTGTCAAATTCATCATTGCTGATGATCAGGTGAGTCAATGTGCACTTTCTACGTGCTATGGTTAGTGATTTTCTTCAGGCAATCAATATCATTGAATGCCCGGAATTTTGCCGCCTAATTCGTCTTCTGCGGCCATCGGTAAATGAGACTGATATATTCCATCGCACCAAAGCTCATGAGTTGGTCATTGATGCTTTCCATGAGTACTTCAATGCCCTGAAGAGGGACCTTGCGGTAGGTCTACCATTGTCAAGAGCTCTACAAAATATCTCATATCTTCAGGCCGCCCAGGGAAAGGTTTCGTTCACATCTGACCTCTGGTCAGATTCTAACCTTCGCCCATTCATGGCCATGACTGCCCACTGGATCGCTAGGGCAAATCAGAGTTCAGCACTCGTCTTGAGGGCAGCGCTGATAGGCTTCCACCACATTCCAGGGAGTCACACAGGTGATTTGCTAGCATCGGTAATCTTGCATCTCCTCGATCGTGCTGGTGTGACCGAAAAGGTCAGTGTTTAAGTGTACCATGTAATATGCTCTGACTTCGATTAGACTGGTCATTTCACTTTGGACAATGCTGTGAACAATCAGGTTGCCATGCGAGAGCTCTCACAAAAACTGGATTCTCGTGGGATTGATTTTCATCCAATCGACCGCAGAATACCTTGCTTCCCTCATATCATCAATATATGTGTGAAGCATATTATTGACGATTACCACAAAGCTGACTTTTCGCTTGTGGACGAATATTGGGTAATTGGCAATTGCACTGTCATCAAGACAGAGTATGTCAAAGCTGTGACGGGGAAAGCTCTCAGCAGAGCTAGAGATGTTGTGTGCACGCTTCGTGCATCAAACCAGCGACGCAATTCCTTCAGGGATACCATTGTCACAGGTAACGAGAAGAAGTGGTTCCTGGATGAAATGGGCGAGAAACTGCAGCTCCCTGTTGTCGAACTCCTGCTTGATGAGGCAACCCGCTGGGACTCGGTTTATATCATGCTCAACCATTTACGAACCCTTCGCCAGGTGAGGTACCACTCACTAAACGTCTGCCATGAACTAATAGTGGCCCAGGCAATAGATCTATTCTTTGACTCTCCCACTCAACACTCGATCAGCAAGTTCAAATTAAATTTGATGGAGTGGCAGTTCCTACAGGATGTCGAAGTAATCTTAGAGGTTAGTTCTGTCATATTCGAAACTCATGTTCTATTTTATTATTTTATACTAGGCGCCCCACGCTGCCCAACAATGCATGTCGGGCGAACGCACTCCCTGCCTGAGTGGTGCATTTCCAGCATTTGAGACATTGATTGAGCGGTGGAAGTTTTTAGCTCGACATGTCCCACACTGTGAACCTCTTGTTCAGATAGGTCTGACTTGGGCAGATAAGTATGACGAGAAGATGGGCGCCACAAAAGCCTATGCAGTCAGTATGCATGAGTCCGGTATCCTTCAGTAATGTTTGGTTGCTCATGATTGCATTTATAGTTGTTGATCCTGCGATTCGAATGTCGTGGGTCCGGAGTCATTGGGAGGCACAAACACTTGCAGATGTGGAGAAACATGTAATTGCTCTGGTACGTCTATCAAACCAATAACAACTTTAAACTGATGTTATCACATACAGATGCATCAAAAGCGGATTACAAACGGCTCGGCATCTGCAGAGTCTCCAGCTAATGAAGCAATACCTCAGCAACAACCACGCATGCTAGGCTCGCGCCTTTATGGGCTTCCTGATATTGACGTCCTGCCACATCACAGCAACAACACCCAGACGGTCGAAGAAGAATTCGAGGCCTACATCACGGCTAATCTCAGCCCCAAGGGAACCGATATACTTGGATTCTGGGCGGTGAGTGTCTCCTATCTCTGCAAGTTAAATCATCATCATTGACCATGAGGTGTTGACCAGGTCTCACAGACCTTATTTCCGACACTTTATGGCATTGCGATGGACCATCTCCCAATACAGGCCTCTGCTGTTCCATGCGAGCGAGTATTTTCGTCCAGTGGTGAAACCGACACGAAGAAACGTAATCGCATGAGCCCGGTCCTGATGGAGGCCCTGCAGATGGTAAAGTTCCTCCTGAAAAAAGAACGACTCGATTTTATGAAAGGTTGGGCAGCGTCACAAAAAGATAGGGAGTACAAGATTTTGGGCGAAGGAGACAAGACTAACAATCTCTTGACATTTTCCAGCAGTGAAATCACAGGTGATGTATGTGACACTCTTCTCAGAGCTATCGCAGAGGAAGAATGCGATGACATTGACGATGTTCCTACCACCTACGACTTCTGATGTTTTTCTTCCTTACACATTTTTCACAGATTTTTTTTTTTCATTTCTTGTTTACTATCCTGACTTGTTCTGGCTACCTGGCATCTTGCTATACTACCTTCCTTCACCGTCTGCCTTTCGTCTGGTCTAACCTGTTCGGAGAGTGTCTACGACTCAACTCTTCACTTGGTCTTTGCGGTGGTTCTGAAGACTGGTGAGTGCTTGAAGGACACACTGAGATGTACTGACTTGGAGCTAGGTTATCGGGCTTGGTTCTAACTTTCCCTTGGTATCTGAGTTGATTCTCATGATGTTGAGATCCACTGCCACTGCTGCAAGCATGCTGGTGCTGGTGTAAGTTCGGTTTGGGTGCAGGCCTAAGTGTCACTGCGACTACAACCGCAACTGCAACTGCTACTGTGGGCATGGGATTAGGTGCAGGCAGGGATGAAGTCGTAGAAATCATTGGTATGCTGATGCTGATGCAAGTTCGGTTCAGGTGTAGGCCAAAGTGTCACTGTGACTACAACCGCAACCACAACTGCTACTGTGGGCATGGGATTAGGTGCAGGTAGGGACGAAGTCATAGAAATCATTGGTATGCTGACGCTGAAGCAAGTTCGGTTCAGGTGTAGGCCCAAGTGTCACTGTGACTACAACCGCAACCGCAACTGCTACTGTGGGCATGGGATTAGGTGCAGGCAGGGACAAAGTCGTAGAAATCATTGGTATACTGACGCTGAAGCAAGTTCGGTTCAGGTGTAGGCCCAAGTGTCACTGCGACTACAACCGCAACCGCAACTGCTACTGTGGGCATGGGATTAGGTGCAGGTAGGGACGAAGTCATAGAAATCATTGGTATACTGACGCTGAAGCAAGTTCGGTTCAGGTGTAGGCCCAAGTGTCACTGCGACTACAACCGCAACTGCAACTGCTACTGTGGGCATGGGATTAGGTGCAGGCAGGGACGAAGTCATAGAAATCATCAGTAAGCTGCTCCTGCGGACATGGGATTAAGTGCAGGCAGGGGCGAAGTCATAGAAATCACTGGCAAGCTGGTGCCAGTGTTCAGGTGCAGGCCCAAGTGTCATCGCGACTATGACTGCTACTACTCATGAGATTAAATGCAGGCAGGGGCGAAGTCGTAGAAATCATTCGTAAGTTCAATTCCATTTCAATCAAGTAGGCTTTTTAGGGGGAGGGGGGGGGGATTTATACTAATACATGAATGAACTTCGCATCTACAGGCAGTGTGCAGTACCACTACTGCCGCACATATATAACGCAGGTTTGGTCTTTATATCTAGCTCGTAAATATCAATATTAATTGTAAAGTGAGAAAAGACGCAGATACGCACCACATTATCCCTCCCGCTTCCAGCCTAACTTCTTCAACACCGCATGCAGCCATTTCTTCATCGGCCGTTCAACAACGTCCGTTCCCTCTGCGACATTCACTCTTGCCCCCGTCTCCGTTGGTCTAAGCCCCGTCTTCACGTGTCTATGGTTTCGAAACTCCTTCGTTTTGAGTTTGATCTCTGCTTGCTCTGCTTCATATTTGCGAGCGCTATTAATACTGCAATACAGCTACTTCGATTTAGCTGAGTCGAAACGTTGCGTGAGATTTTTCACATACTTTGTCCTGTGGACCCATTTCGATTTGCGATCGATGTTGATCGTCAATATCTATGTGTTGAGTGATGATTTTTGGAGTATCTCAGACACAGGAGGCTTGTTTTGGTGAGTCGAGCTCTGAGACGTTGATCCTGTATGTTGTGTGTTGATATTTGGTCTTGCGAGTGGCTTATACTGATATGTCAAATTTTTCTCGCTCAATTAGCTTTCATTCACTCCAAGTCCTTACCCACCGTTCGCAGTCCATCAGTGTGTCGATCTTCATTTGGGCAAGAGCCATGCTAATCCAAGTCGTTGCCTATCGTTTGCAGGGAGTGAGTTCGTCGATCCTTGTTCAAGCAAGAGCCATGCTGATCCTTGTCGTTGCCCACCGTTCGCAGGAGGTGAGCTCGTTGATCCTCGTTTGGGCAAGAGCCATGCTGATCCTTGTCGTTGCCTACCGTTCGCAGGGAGTAAGTTTGTCGATCCTCGTTCGGGCAAGAGCCATGCTGATCCGTGTCGTTGCCCACCGTTTGCAGGAGGTGAGTTTGTCGATCCTCATTCGGGCAAGAGCCATGCTGATCCGTGTCGTTGCCCACTGTTTGCAGGAGGTGAGTTTGTCGATCCTCATTCGGGCAAGAGCCATGCTGATCCGTGTTGTTGCCCACCGTTTGCAGGAGGTGAGTTTGTCGATCCTCATTCGGGCAAGAGCCATGCTGATCCTTGTCGTTGCCCACCGTTTGCAGGAGGTGAGTTCCTCAATCCTCGTTCGGGCAAGAGCCATGCTGATCCATGTCGTTGCCTACCGTTCGCAGGGAGTGAGTTTGTCAATCCTCGTTTGGGCAAGAGCCATGCTGATCCATGTCATTGCCCATCATTCGCAGGAGGTGAGTTTGTCGATCCTCATTCGGGCAAGAGCCATGCTGATCCGTGTCGTTGCCCACCATTCGCAGGAGGTGAGTTTGTCGATCCTTGTTCGAGCAAGAGCCATGCTGATCTGTGTCGTTTCCCACTGTTCGCAGGGAGTGAGTTTGTCGATCCTTGTTCGAGCAAGAGCCATGCTGATCTGTGTCGTTTCCCACTGTTCACAGGGAGTGAGTTTGTCGATCCTTGTTCGAGCAAGAGCCATGCTGATCTGTGTCGTTTCCCACTGTTCACAGGGAGTGAGTTTGTCGATCCTTGTTCGAGCAAGAGCCATGCTGATCCGTGTCGTTGTTCGCTCGAGCAACGGCCATGCTGATCCAAATCATTGCCCACCGTTCGTAGGAAGTGAGTGTGTCGATCCTCGTTCGAGCAACGGCCATGCTGATCTAACGGCTGGACATTAGATATATAGCATTTGTATATTTCCTTTTCTTTGCTTTCGTTTGTCACAGATAGAATAGACGTATCTCAGGCTATCGCTGAATAGACCAGCAACTGTATTTCTACCACATCAGCGCATGTCCCTAAAATTTAGAAAACTGCAAAAATAAGCAGATGCAACGCGATTGGTCACGTGCACAAAAGCAACTTTGTCATGACTTAACAGTTCCATACAGCCTGACAGATTCCTGGTGAGCGAGAACCATGCGGGTGAGCGACACGCCAAGGTAATCATAAGATTATATATTGTGTAATTTTAAATCAGCTAAAGCTGGCTCTAGCTGACGTGAAGACCATATATGCGGTTCCATTGACCGGACCAAACCATGAATTATGTAAGCCATAACTAGGTACACGGCTCGGCTAACTGTAGCTCCGCCCACGGCTAAAGCCGGACATAAGCTGAAACTGCGGCAACACTAATGGTGGGTCTCAAACTGGCTCTTCACTGTCTCGCATACCCAGGTACATGTGCATGGCAGTAGCTCTGGGGCCAGCACTAGACGTGGAGAAAGTGATTCAGAGTTGAGAAGGGCGGTTAGTTAATGCAGGAAAATTTGCTTGAATGTGAAAGGTGCCGGTTCCTGAGTGCTCGGAAGGAACCGGCACCACACGTCCAGCTGAGCGGCAAGCCTTGTAGCCTTTCTTCCCGTTTTTCATCCCCATCATCGCATATTACAATCCGCTCGCTCGTTTCTAATCAGTACTCTCGCTCGCTCGCTTATTTTTCGCTCATTCATTTTTCACTAATCATTATGACTTACAGTCATCTAGGTCTCAATTTAGGATCCGGTGGTTCAGCATCGCCCTCGAGCTCCGCTCAGGAAAATAGCCAAAGAGCATAGACCACCAGACCTCCACACTCGCAGCATCTACCTTCTCCCCCTTCGACCCAGGTACCAGGGCCTTCAACCAGCCGCCAGCAAGTACAACCATCTAGCACTCAGCAACCAAGTGCTTCGACATCACGTCCTCCATCCTCGTCTGCTGCATCACCATCTTCTGCCGTACCAGGAGCAGCTAACCACCCTTCAGCTATCCAAGCCGCACCTCCAACTTTGCCTATCTCACAGCAAGCGAGTACGGCTCAACCCAACGTTCAGCATCCAAATGTGCAGCGACCAGTTGCCAACCTGCATCAGCCTGCGGCGGTCATTCCAACGCAGCCGCCCGCAGTTCAGGTAGCGGCTCCAGCATTAGCTCAACCTGACCCTGCTGCCCAGCGCCGTCTGGCAGAGCGGGCCGCACTGCAAGCTAGGCTACTCCAACTGGACACGGAGGAGGCCAATGGCGCCCAACCACCGGCCAATGCCCCCCCTGTTCCCCCCCCTAGCCTTGTTTGCCGACCCAGCGACAGTCGAACAAGCACGCGCTGCAGCAGCGGCACTCCACATTGAATCGAAGAGAATTTCGTTACCGGATTTAATCCCTGGCTTCAAAGCCAATCCGCTTGATGCCAGTAAGTACCCGTCTCTTGCACACCGTCGTTTACACATCGTCGCAAGCCCAAATCTGCTTTGAATTTGGCTCCGCACATTTAATGCACTTATACTTGTTCACATTGTCGAGAGCCTCGTTTTGCTCATTATATTTGCTACAGTCATCCCACCGAAAGTAGAGGAAGCCTTGAAGCAATATAAATATGTACCTTATGTTGCAATCACACCAGCCGCTCGTCTTCACGCCTTTCGCAGTAGCGATGAAGCCTTTTCGTTCAATAACCAAGGCAACCTAATCGCTAAGGGTTTGGACCGCAGTAAAGAGCGGGCCATTAAATTCCACGAATGGTTGACAGCCTCGAGAGCTGTAGAGGAGCGCATCACTGCCCTTCATGGCGCTAGTAGGGGCGCGGCCTTTGCATCGCACCATAAAGTCGTTTCGGAACTTGCCTCATCGCATGGCTGGGAAATCGCCCAGGAGTATGACATCACGCAGAGGGAACTGGCAGCGCAGAATCCTGCTCATGACCTCACAGGCCTCGACACGAATGCCCTCACCCTAGTTGCCACACAAGCTGCGGCTCGTATATCTTTAGTGGCGCAGCAAATCGTGCACCCGCCTCCGCTGTCACCACTGAAGCGTGCTGCCCCATCAGAATATTCAGTTGGAGTCTCGCAGACCCCCCGTAAGAAACCACGCCTGCACTGCTTTCGATGCGGGCACTCAGGACACCTGCCTGGTGACTGCAGTGCCGAAACCACGTCAGCAGGCAAATCCGTCGCACCAATTACCGCAACTGCCAAAAGTCGCCACGCTCTCACCGCAGCTAACGGAAAACACTACTGTTTCAATTGGGCTCGAGCGTCTTCCTGTTCCTTCGGTTCTAACTGCACCAACTTCCATGGATGTAGTATCTGCAACGAGAATGGGCATGGAGCAGGCACCTGCAATCAACAAGCCTGATCCTCGCATAGTGGTCACACCTCTGATCGCAGACCGCGTTGAGGAGCTTCTGTGTAAATACAATCTGTTAGATGACTGGATGCACATACTTATAGGAATCCGTAACGGTTTTGATGTGGGCGTGCGGAATCACCCACCATCCACTCGTTTATTTCGAAAATCATGCCTCTTCCCAACTAAACCCTTCATTCATCGATTCTTACATCGCCAGCGAACAGGCCGCCGGCCGTTATTCCCGGGGTTATGCACCAAACGAACTCGAACAGACCATCGGACCGTTCATATCCTCACCTCTAGGCCTAGTGCCAAAGCCACACTCGAGCAAATTCCGCCTCATTCAAGATTTATCATACCCTCGAGACGACCCATCATGGGCATCTGTCAATGCTGGAATCAATGCCGACGACTTCCCTACGGTATGGGGTTCGTTCGACAGTACTGCCGAATTGATCCTCTCCTTACCACCTGGCTGTGTTGCCGCAACGTTCGACATCTCGGCAGCATACCGCATCACCCCTGTGCAACCGGGCCAACAAAACTCCTTGTGCGTTTTTTGGCGGGGGATAGTCTACGTGGACAGAGCCCTAATGTTTGGCTTGACATCCAGTGCTGGGGTTTTTGGATCCATCGCGGACATGCTTGTCGCCATTTATGGCCAAGCTGGTTTCGACCTCATCCGAAAATGGGTGGACGATTTTCTCGTGATACGTCGTCCACACCAGCATTGGACGGAAGCCGATTTCATAGCCTTAACAGCATCCTGCGGTGTCCCATGGAGTCTCGAGAAGCTCCGCCTGTTCGCATCAATCCAACGCTACATTGGATTCGATTGGAACTTGGAATCGAAAACAGTATCCATCCCACTCGAAAAACTCACCAAAATTCAAGTGTTAGTGACAGCTTGGTGCAGTTCTGGCGCAAAATTTTCGGCCGAGGATGCAAGCAGCCTCCATGGGAAACTCATTCACATTTCTTGTGTCTTTCCAATGATTCGACCTTTCTTGCGAGCATTGTCCGCATTTGTATCTACTTTTCGGTCGCATCGTGCAAAACTGTCTCCCCCAACAAGCCTTATCAAAGACCTTTGCTGGGTTTCCGAGCTGTTGTCCTTACTTCCAAACGAAATTCCTTTGTGTTCGCCGCATCTGTCAGATATCGGATGGTGGGGCGACGCCAGCACGTCATTCGGCATCGGCGTGGTAATTGGCCGGTTCTGGGCGGTATGGCAGTGGGCACCAGGCTTTCGTGTTGGCCCACACCTCGCATTCGATATTGGTTGGGCAGAAGCCGTTGCTGTAGAATTAGGGCTCCGCATGGCCTTGCACCTTGGTTAGTTGTTGCAAACCTCTGACCACAACCCGCTCTCATTGAACACAGGCTTATTAGCGGCCGAAGGACCTCACAACCAATCATTCCTAGTCCGTTCCGACAACGCAGGAATCGTGGCTGTGACCAACAAGGGTCGTTCCCGCAGCGCGGCCACCAATGCAATCCTCAAGCAAATTTTCGCTTTACAAGCGAAAAACAGTGTTCGTATCCATACGGAATACGTCCCCAGTCGAGAGAACATCGCAGATGCGCTTTCCCGCGGCGACATTGCATCCTTCCTAGCTGGATTTCCCCTTGCGGCTCAACAAGTCTCTTTCCCATTGCCAGACCACCTCATCGGGAAGTTAACATCATTGTAGCTTCTGCGCATGTGACGCCACCCTCGTCTTCGCGGAGCCTCAGCCTCATCCCATCATCTCTCCGGCCGCATTGCCGTGCAGATGAGCGCCTGTTCCTCTGGCGAGGAGTCAACACTCCTCCATCCAGTACGATTTCGCATCCAATCATTGAACACCTCGCTAGCATTGCCACAAGGGCCTCTCTCCGCGACGCAACCAGCTATGGTGCTGGCATCCGCAAGTTTCACCTGTTTTGTGACATATTTTCCATCGCCGAATCAGACCGCCTTCCAGCCTCATTTGAGCTGCTTCACTCATTTGCACTCTGGGCAGTTTCGGACCCTTTGTCCAACGACCTCGCACTCAGCACGCAACTTTCGGTGCCATTTGAACCTATATCAGTCAATGTTGCGAGAAAATATCTCGCGGCCATACGTGCCTGGCACATCGCACAGGGCTGGCCTCCCCCCCTTTCAGAAGACAGCCACACCAGAATCAACTGGTCCTTGCGAGGCTTGGACAATATACTCAGTTCTCGCCGCCGGCCCCTTCGTCCGCCGGTCACACTCGACATGCTGCGCGCACTCAAAGCCACATTAGCGTTGTCGGACCCTTTCAACGCATGCGTCTGGGCGATGGCAAGCTGTGCCTTTTTTGGCATGATGCGCTTTGGCGAAGTTTCAGTAGAATCACGAGCTGCCTTCAAGCCTGCGAAGCATCTCACTCGCAAAGATGTTTTTCTGGGATTTGACCTAGCAGGTAAAGCTTATGCCCGGTTAGACTTGCCTGCAGCCAAGACTGCCCGTCCGGGTGAAACTCAGTCGGTTTTCCTCGTCACCCAGGGCCCACTCTGCCCAATCGCTGCGCTGCAGAATCTAGCCACCATCATACCAGCTCTCTCAGAGGACCCCCTGTTCTCCTGGCGCGACCGCACTGGTGCCATCCGTCCCATGGTGAAGCAGCGTGCGCTTGAGCGTATCAATTGCATCATGACGGCCTGGGGTTGGGGCACAGCCTTTGGGCACTCCTTCCGCATTGGAGGAGCTTCCTTTTACCTTGCAAAGAAGGTGGACCCAGAAATCGTCCGCTTAGCGGGCCGTTGGCGCTCACTCGCATACGAAACCTACATACGGGCCTTCGAACAAGTTGCATCCCAGCACCTGAGCATCCTGTCACCATAACGCTGTCTCACTAGTTGGGCTGGCTGGCGTGATTCGCCGCAGTTTTGGTTCGTCAGCTTGTGGGCAAGCGGCAATTCTCGCCAGCGTCCAAGCCGAGCTAGCGCTCGGCCCCAGCCCAACCACTGTTTGCTTGACCTACATGTACCTGCGATAGACGAAGCTGGAATGTGAAAGGTGCCGGTTCCTGAGTGCTCGGAAGGAACCGGCACCACACGTCCAGCTGAGCGGCAAGCCTTGTAGCCTTTCTTCCCGTTTTTCATCCCCATCATCGCATATTACAATCCGCTCGCTCGTTTCTAATCAGTACTCTCGCTCGCTCGCTTATTTTTGCCCACCCTCCACTCCCAGATTTAATGACAGAGCACATCATAATATTCGTTTCATCTGTTAATACATTCATAATACCCGTACATCAATACCTCTATTAGCCGCGTAGTATCTCAATACACATAATGGTCATTCAATCAGACCGCTTGTCGAGTTTTCCCGCCCACCCAGCGGCAATTCTCGCCAGCGTCCAAGCCGAGCTAGCGCTCGGCCCCAGCCCAACCACTGTTTGCTTGACCTACATGTACCTGCGATAGACGAAGCTGGACCCAAGAGGTACCCGCTCGGGAAATGCCGAACATAAGGCAGGGAGGGCCCCCCAAGAGGTCCCTTCAAGTTATTTGCGTAACCTTCGGGGGTGTCAAAACAGCCGTGATGGCGGGCACAAGGTTTGCATATGTACGCAATTTCGAGCTCCCTGATCCACTGTTACCTGATACCTATCTGGTCTGTCGTCTCGATGGACACTCTTTCCACCGGTAAGCGAGCATCATAAGACGATCGAGGAGGACAAAATATAATGGTATTGTACTTTACAGGTTCTCGGATGAGCATGGCTTCGCCAAGCCCAATGACGAGCGCGCGCTCCAACTCATGGATCACGCCGCGAAGAGCGCAATGATCAAGTTCAAAGACATCATGCTCGCATTCGGCGAATCCGACGAATTCAGGCAGCTACAACCCTTTCATTCCAGTTCCGACCAGTCTCATCATCGCTCGTCATAGCTTTCTCTTCCGAAAGTCGACGAATCTTTATAACCGACGACAATCGAAGATACTCACCACGTTGACGTCTTACTTCACTTCATGCTATGTGCTCTACTGGTCGCTGTATTTCCCAGACACGCCGCTACGATATCCACCGCCATTCGATGGACGTATTGTGGTGTATCCGACTGAGTGTGCTATTCGTGACTACTTTTCATGGCGACAAGCTGACAGTGGGTCTATCCCAGACTATCGTTTTGCCGAGACTGAGAAAAGCTGCTTGTCAGCGTAAAGCCCACATAAACAATCTATACAATACCACCTTTTGGGCTCTCATACAGAAAGGAGGTCAGACTACTACGGAGGCTCATGCCACACTTAGATGCTCTTTTCCCGGTTTGGTATCAATTATAATGAAATATCAGAGAGGTTCAAGAAAGGTAGCGTTATAGTTCGAGACATTGTGCGTCCCATTGGAATGTACTTCATCCAATCTTATTCACGTGTGTAGGTAGCCCGTGAATCATCGGACAAGGGTGAAAAGCCAGAACCTCCATTCGACCCTTTTCATCAACAAGGCCCCAAGGCGACGAAAAAACAAACAAACTGGAAACTACAGTAGAGGTACGGCACTGCGATATTATTGGCTATGAGTTTTGACTGCCCCGTAGACATTTGCTGGAAATTTGATACGGTGTCTGCAAGACTCGGAGACATGCCATTGTCATTGTCAACATTGGAGCCGTTCAGAAAGTGGCGGCAATGATAGAAGTTACAATACAGCTGCCTCGAGAAACACGGATTGCGACGGGGTAGGACTCATCGAAAAATCCGAGTGTTGTGGCATGAATGAAGTGGATATGGCGTTCAGGTGCATCACATACTGATGCATGCATCGCAGGTCTATGACTCTCAGTTAAATTAAATATAAACTAGCCAAACAATCTGTTATAAAGTGTCGTGCGTTTGCAATCCATCGTGCAATTAAAGTACCTACCTTTCTAATTTCCTCCAGGAAACGCTCCCATGTTATGAAGGAGCCCACAAAGAAGACGCCAACAATGAGCATGGCGATAATATCGAGCCCTACCATCAAGATGCCTTTAGCGGAAGATCGAAAACAAACTTACGAGCGGCTTTCCAGCCCTGCAGCGCGAGAGCCTTGCCCAAGAACAAAACAATAAACACAAATCCAGACGTCACTAGTCATTGCGCTTGTCGACATCGGCGTATTTTTTGATCAGCATAAAAGGATATCACAGCGCCGTTGCAACATGTCGCCGAGAATGCGGCAGCTACATAGAAAGTGGCACGTCGGTGTTGCCCATGTTCCGTCAGCTCGCCAAAAATACGATCCTTGACGTAAGCACATACTTTGAGAGTTGAACGTTGGATAACTGTACCACCGACCATGGTTCCGAAAGCGCCTCAATGGGAGCACCAGATGCAAAAATAAAAAGCAACTGAGCATGCACAAGACGGCGGGAATGCGTGCCCACCTGACGCAAGTGTGAGAGCAGTCATAGAATCTAGGCATTAGTACATACCACTGAGGAGATCAGTGCAGCTGTACCCGAGGCCTTTGAAACCTTGTAGAACGACGAGGGTCTGGCTGCTGAAGTCTCTGTAGCATTCGTATTCGTTGAACGGACAGCTGCTTATCTTTAGCCAAGCTTTCAGCTAGCGAAAATATAAGCTGAAACAAGGAGCCGAAGATGAATGGCTTCTTGCGACCATACAGATCAGCGATCCGCCCGAGGAATAGGACAAGACCCCTTGTTATTGTACAATTGGTGAGAGGTCGATGTACATGAGCGGATATACACACCGAACTGGAATAGAATGCAGAAACCAGCCACTGAAACCAGCCACTGGAGCTGATCTTCTTGAATTCCAATGTCCCGGCCAACGGTCGGAAGAGATACGGAAACCAGCATGGTATCAGACGTCTCGTGCCATGATTCAGGACTGCATAGACGTAGCTGGAGTACCAGGGTAAGAGTGCAAGTCATGACGAGCAAAACAGAGCGGAAAGTACTGAACTGCGGAACTTTGAGGATGTATTTCCCTATTCTACTTATTTGCGGAGACCCTGGAGCGCGTTATCGGAGATGTGGAAGGGTAGCATTTGTGCATCAAGGCTCCTCCAAAGATAATGGTGGACGTCTTTTGAAGAATGGATTATAGACGTCCAAGGATCCCGTTTAACGCCGGATTGTCTGGACCTACAGACATATATTAAGAGATAACTGATAGCTCAATTTGTGTCGCAGTGGCCACAACGGGTGAAGAGAGGATGAATGCAGATCTGCTCTCGTTATCTAAAGGCAGGAATTAATTGTGTGAAGTGAAGTCTTCGCCGGTAGATTCCTTGTGATTTCTGCGACCGGGAACACCGGTCGTGGTGTTGAACGTCGGCTCAGCTGAAACGTTGGTTACTCGGAGTACCTGATTTGACTTGTGCACTTCGTTGACAATCCACATGGGCGGCGGGACGTCTGGTGTGTCATGGACAGGATTTGTTTGAGAAGGCCACGCCTGAAATGATGCGGAGCGTCCGCATCATGATCTTGGTATCGGCAGTTGCCGATACTGAATATCCATTTTAGCACGATTCGCCTATTTGATTCCGCTGAGGTTGCTTCCAGCTTGGCACACCCACTCGTATGCGTTGATAGGCTCTTCTTTAGCTTCGAGGAGCCCACACTCCGAACTTGTTTTTACTGCAATTTGCAAGGCCAAATTAATGTCGGATAACTTGTAATCTGATTATATTGTGTGGAGGTGATGCCTCGTTGTTGAAACACGTTGAACTAGCGTGCGGGCTTGCTGTAAAAGGGAAATAGAGAACCTGCCTCCGACGCAATCCAGTTAAAATTACTGGATCAGGTTAATATGGACTTGCAGTCGACACCGCCATCATGAATTACCTTGCAAGGCAAGTAGCAGAGTTCCCATGGTCAGCGTCCTCAGTCAAAGGGAGCTGACGTACTCATTTCGCACGAGAGACCTTGTTCAGAGGCAATCATGGAGCTCGATCGCTTTAAACCACTTTACAGCAATTCAATTTTTTTACTTCCTTTGGTAATTTTCGGAGTGAGAAGGTGAAACATGTCACACCTTGCGGTCGTGCTTAAAAGGCGGGCCCGCCTACTCGATATTTCCAGTGAAAAAAAAGCCCACAAGGCCTCTCAAACCATACAAATCCTTCTCTGTATTAATCCTTACCCCCGGATCTCTTTCATCTTTGAACAGTTGACCATCCTCTTCTCATACTCCTTTATCTGTAATTGCCCTTGTCAGGTAAAATCTCATTTAGATCTCGGAAAATGCCGTTACTAATCATAACTTGCATTATCTTTTTTTTTTTTTTGACTTTTACGTGTTATCTACAACCTCTTGATCACCTGACCTCCGCGTCGCGTCCGTCTTATTACTCGACCGACCCTTTCACGTTCCGATGTTGTCAAATTGTTTGGTTTGGTGGGTCCTCGCTACTTTTTTTACAATGTCCTTTGCACAGCAGTTGCCATGCCTGGCGGATCGCATTTCAACACCTGGGGTCTGGCCGGCAGTGTCCTTCCTCTCGGCGGTCTCACAATAAACAATTCAGTCACCATCCCCCATTCACATAATATCTCGGACGGGGAGTCCGACTCTGGCACTGCCCGCACCGGCAACCAGGTCGGAGCCACCCATTTCGGCGCCTCTCGAAGTAGAGCTCACGATCCTGAAGTTCTGACTTCGGACTATTTTAATGACACTCCCTATGTCCCTCCTCGGCCAGGGCAGTCTCTACCACAAGCATATCTAACGCACACGCCACATGGCAGTACGAGAGCTCACGGCATTCCGTCTGTGAGTATCCCAAACATTCATTTACAAGTCATCTTATTTTATTATTTCTCCCACTGCAGTACCCAAGTCCCGCAGAGTCTCATGTTAGCGTAGACAGCAACTGGAGCAGCTCCTCATCTTCCGATCAAGACCAATCATACGCATCACATTCCCAATATCAGCAATATAATCCATCGATCTCTCGCCAGTCATCTTATAATGAGCCACAGCACTTGCAACAGCCCTATTCGCATTACCCAGCTTATCATGGTCCTCATCGCCTGGGCCTTGAGCATGCTGATTACCCACTCCAGCCACCCACCAGTAGCGCCACCATTCATTATAGACCACCTCCACGACCTTCATATCAATCCAACAACATTCTTGCTCCCGAGTTCTATGAACAGACGCATCAGGACCTCCCCCTGCCCACTAACTCATCTCAAGCACATTTCGAACAGTCATCGACATCACCGTCTAGTTCTCATGGGTCGCTATCGACATTCCCCGCAGCCCCCACTACTGATGCGAGGTCTAGGCACCTTATTTTCGAAGACGCGGGACCTTACCTGCGTGAGACGCTGCACATTCCACCCTACAAGGAAATCAACTTGTGGGCGCTTCCAGATCCTCCAGAAGGAGAGAAACCAAACCAGCCCTATCCTATATTGATCAAGCTGGCGATTTACGGAAGCCCGAACAAGCAGCTCACACTACAAGAGATATACACAGCACTCGAAGATCGTTTCGAATGGTTCAAGGCTCGGCGAAATGAGAAGGCCTGGAAGGTGAGTTTTCATTCCGATTCTTCACCTATTAAGCCTCATGATTATGCACAGAACTCGATTCGCCATAACCTCTCTTTGAACAAAGTCTTCAAACATGTGCCCCGTGCCATAACGGAGCCGGGTAAAGGAAGCTATTGGCAACTCGACTGCTCTGGTGGTGAGGGTTACAAACGCCCTCGTAAGCGCCGCAGCAAGTCTGCTCGAGCGGCACTTGATCAGGGCGACGATGACGATTCTTCGTCGGAAGGTGACATAGAGGGGACGAATGCACCTCAGGCTGGTATGTCAGTAGGTTCGAATTACGCTCCAAATCGTCCTAGCCCCGCAGCATCCGACGAGTCCTACATCGATCCGGAATTGAGGCAGGGAAGTCACATTGTTGGCGAAGGTCGAACCCGACCTGCTGTGCGCAGGCCCGCTACCAGTCCATATCCAGTCCTTGGTTCTTCTCAGCAGTCGCCTAGGTACCTGCAAAACCAGTTACCACCTCATGGAAGTCCGGAATTAGCGCCGAGATTCGGTCAGACATCATTTGGACAGGGAGGATTTGGACGCTCGGGGTTCAGTCAGATGCCAGCAGCCAGAGTGCCTCTAACTTCCACGTCTTCATCCTCAGCATTTGTGGCATCATCTCCCACTACATTCGGCCCTGTTCCAATGACGTCCACCCGTTCGCAACATGCCTTTATGACTCAAGATCGCAACGGGCCTATCATGCAGCCTAATCCCAGACCGGGCGTTGAGTACACTCATGAGGGTGGCTTACCTAGTGCTAGACGCGTTCAGAGCTACCACCAAGGACAGTATCACTCGTCTCAAGGCTCGTCGCCGTCGTCGCAACAGAGTGACTCTAGCTACCCTTCTGACCCCAAAGGGAAGAGCAGGATGTGAGCGCTCCAGTGCCTCAGACCCATGATCCCGCACTGTGGCATGTGTGGGGGATCATCGAGAGTCTTATCGCGCATATTCTTCGTCTAGTTTCCTTCCTTAGGCTTGCTTTTAATGTGCACTTTTCTCTTTTTTTCTACTGTCCCATGCACTGATGAATTCCATTTACGTCATTTTCTTTTTCCGCTCTTTCATTCCGGCTTGATGATGTGATATAGAACTCCACTGCAATGTTTGTGTTCACGTGCTCACGACCCAATCTACTTACGATATCGTCCACGCATCAATAATCACTTATGTTCTGCCTCACAAACTGTATCCCAAGTCCTCATCATTGCTCCAATATATATCTATATGCAACATCTAGACTCGATTTCTGTGTGCTGTGGTTAGGTCACTCGCCACCATTAATGTTTCAACAACGGACCGGGAAGCGCCGGCTGCGCCATCGCGGATCGAGAATCACTGTCTTTCCCTCTCTGTTTCCAACTACCTGGACCGAATCCTCTAGGTCCCAGTGCTTCGTCGACGACATGCATCATTGCGAGGACCTTCTCATCCTCCCATTTCTTACCCACGAGCTGAACACCAACGGGTATACCCTCCATCGCTTTAGGATCGTAAATGGGATTCTTGCCCAGGTACATGCGGCTTTCCAACACTTTCGATTGGCCCGAGGCGCCTGCAACGAAATCTGTTGATAGCTGGTCGGTATCTGGGTTGACACGTGTCACTGGTATGATGCCGACCGGAGAGTCGACGATGTTGTATATAATAGTTGCGGCCGCGAGCGGGGATAAGTATGCGGAACCCCTGGAGATGATAAGCTTCATAACCAAGAGGGAAGGTACTGAAGCCTACCCGTGAGGTATCACTGGAAGTGACTGTACAGGTGCGATGATTCCGTCGAAACCGTGTTTGTCCCATACCTGGGGGCGATTAACAAAGGAAAGTCTCATGGATGTCGACGCGCTCACCTGTTCATACCACGCAGCAATAGTCTTATCGCGTTGGTCGGTCAAATCTGTAAATTCCGTGACAGATTTCTCATGTGCCAACGAGAAGAGCTGCGAGAAGAGGGGGTCGCCCAGGAACGTCTTGGCGATCCAACAAGCCAGCTTACGAACAAAGGACGGTAATCTGGGGCCCAATGTGACCAGGAACAAGCTGTCCTCCTGCAAGTCGGGTTATGTGAGCTATAGAAAGTATATCCTTAATTTAAACTTACCATAGGGTCTGAATCAAGATGCGACAGCATCTTCTTATAACCGTCAGATGATGCGAGTGCCACAAACACTTCCATCGCGGTTCTGTCTTGATAAAATGTCAGGACGGAGAGTGGGGACATGTATAGAAGGCATACTTAGAGGAGATGTGAACTCGATGCATTCATGTCCTTGCTTCCTGAGTGCCGAGACCGTCTCCAGTACTGCTCGCTTGCATACAGGTGATGTTTCTATCATTCCATCTATAAGGACCCTATCAGCAGTAAATCGTAGAGACCAGAATATATTACGGTACCTGACAGGTAATAACCAAAGCGAGGCTTTGAAGGGAGCTCGACGGCTTGGTATGGCATAGGAATGTTCTGGTGCGACGAGTCCTTTTGACCAAAGATAGTTTTGCAGAACAATTCACAGTCCTGGACAGACCTAGGGAGTAGTCAAGAAATGAACCAAGTAATGCAGTTAGCGACTAACCGCGCCAACGGCCCATGAGAAGATCGAACTGCTTCGAATCCAGGCCGGATGCCTGTAAGAAAAAGCCGGTTAGCGTTTTGGTTGGAAAAGTTGAGAACATGACCTTCCTGGTGTACCAACAGAACTGATACGTTCAGCCGTCGGCTTCAAAGAGTATATGCCGCAATACGATGCCGGGATGCGTAAGCTTCCTCCGACATCAGAGCCGGCACCAATGGCGGATCCGTCCATGGCAAGCAAAGCTCCCTCTAGCACCAGACACTGTTATGTACTGGGAGATTCACAAGCAGATAACGAACCTCCACCCGAGCTACCTCCACATGTATACTTGTTGTTCCATGGGTTTGTCGTGCGACCCCAGAGAGGATTAGAGCACTCGAACGCGAACATTGTCTGCGGTACATTGGTCTTCACGAAGATGATGGCACCAGCAGCTCTGAGTTGAGCAACGAGCTACAAATAATGATATAGAGAATGTGCGAATGTTGTAATAAGGACATACGCAAGCGTCTTTTTTGCCTGGGTTGTTGGCCCACGCGGTGAGACCAGTCGTCGCGTCATATCCTTCAATCTGGTCTACAGCAGGGTTCAGAAAGGTATCAGTCAAACATGGGGAGACATACAATTATCCTTGACGCTGAATGGAACACCATGGAAAGGTCCCCGCAATGTCTTTGTAGTCGCAAATTCTGCGTCAAGCTCTTTTGCTCGTTTTCGGGCGTCCTCATATAAGACTGTGAAAGGTATCAGGATGGAAATACCGGAAGGAAAATGGAGAATCTACTCCCCTTCTGTAAGACAGTTCGCCTCAGCCTGGGCCATGGCAGATCGTGCAATGTATGCCTCAAGAACTTGAGAAGAGGTCCATTCTTCTTTGGCTATCCTTTGCACGATTTCGCTGGCTACAGAAGTCACGACACATGCGTCCCCGAACGGAACGCAGACTAACCCGTTGCTTCGGTATAGGCGTCATGGTCGTTCACCAAATAAGGACTAGCAAAACCCAGCGCCTTGTCTCTTGCATTCCGCTTCGATGTGATGATGCCGTTTCTTTGTTCAGCGCTTCTCATGGTGGTAAAGAATTGAGAGCAGGGGGTGATAGAATGAGAGAATGGAATATGCGATCATTCAAGCAGTCTCTTTGGAGCCTCGTTCACACCGTACCGGTACCAATTAGTCAACGTGTACGTTCTTCGTATTTCCAATTCCAGTGCAGTGTACGTAGCAGCCTCGCGGTATCCTCTGATTTTATTATAACTTTCACCTCAGACCTCCCCAGGTTCACCGCAAATCATACTACGCACAACAAGGTCCATCCGCCTTCGTTCCAAGAGCTTCTTCAATCTCTCGATCATCTCTAAACGCGTTCCTGTCGGTACAATCGAGGGGTTGACGTCGGCGTGAGCTTGAAGGTTGCGGATGAGCGCGACATCTGATAATAATGGACATGCAGAGGGATCAGTGATGAGAGGCAACGCAGGATCAACGAGGTATTGCTTGTGCAAGTCTGAAACCCAGGTAAGTTACGCTAAATGAACAAGAAACACTTAACTATCGATGTATTTCTCGCATCTGAATGGAATTTCAATGTCAATGACACGATCCTCGGCGTGGATTACCGCTGCGAGCCGACGAAAGCCAGGCATATCGATTCCAGTTGCCTGAATCGAAAGATACCCAAGGTTGGTAAGTAGGAGAATAGCAGGTATTGCGTCGTCGTCGATCTTCGGATTGTGTGCAAGGTTCAGATGATACAACTTCTCTTTGAGGGTGACCAGTAAGAATACTCTGAGAGACCGTCAGTCATCATGAAAATACGAAAAAAATCTGATGGCCAACGCTTCGTTTCCGATATCAGTCCCCTCGAGATGGAGTCTTTCTAGGTTAGGAAGTTGTTGGATGTGAACGAGGTCGAAATCGCGTTCCAAGTGGGCGCCATCGAGGACTAGCTCCTTGAGCGTCAAGTAGTAACCAGGTTTGCTGAATACTGTCCAAAGTCAAGCCTTCAACAGAGCTGTGTTGCCAAGAGCTTTACCGCGTAAAAGATTGCCTGAATGTAAATTTAGCCCATCTTCCTCGCACATCGTAGGACCTAACACCAATCTATCGATATTGCCACCTCGCAGGAGCGTCAACACAATTTCGGTAAGGAGTCCTAAAACCATTCAGCATTCATGACAGGAAGAGACATTCCTGCGATCGATACCCCGGTCTGCTAGAACGTTTGTGATTTTCTGGTGAGTGAGGTGCAGAACGGCCAGAGGGTCTCCGAGGAACGTTTGGCGCACCCCCGTGCCCGGGATGACCATTTCGAGGCGATTCACCAGGTAAGAAAGGTCTACTGGTGTCTCATCTCCTGTTTCAGATTCATAGACCCACGCTGAGACGCATACAGTCAGTATATGTGTATGTTTAGTATTTGAGAGGGAGAACTCGGAGTAGGAGCGAAGGTAGATGTTTCCTGAAGGAAAAAAGAGGGACACCTGGGAAAGTCCTTGGAATGACTTGATATGATACCGCGAGTGGATCGTGATGATAAGACAACGGTTCGATTCCACTATTATCGACAGGGCTCGTATGAATGGATTGTGAAGAACGACCTCGTTTCGACAGTCCTCCAAAAAAGATAGGATCTTCAGGCTCGGAAGAATCTCGAGGACGCTTTGGGACGCGCGTAGAAGCTCTCCGCCATGCCAGCCCAGTTGATCCACGTCGCAATACTGGCGAATCATCTGAGACTTGGTTTCGTGCGAGAATGATTGGTGACTGAACGTCCGGGCTACTCGACCATAAAGGTGCATCTAGGCTATTGCGAGTGATGGAATTGCTGGTATGATTTTGGGTTTCTTTTGCGAAGCAGAGACCGATTTTCCAGAAAAAAGAGCGCAAAGAGATGTCTTGAAAAATGAAAGGATTCGATTTACGAGCTTGCCGGAGGGTAGCCAGATATGCTGCAGCTGGGAAGCTCGGGCAGTAAAAAGGATTTTCCTTGTCAATTAGGGGAACCTGGCTATGGGAGTTCGTGTCAAAGAGTACTAGTGGCGCATCCTCTGAAGGAGCGGCGACGGCAGGTGCAGTATTGTCGCTGTTTCTTGTTTCAGCGCTTTTCATGGTGTTAAAGATTGGGAGCAGTTGATGATGGAATGAAAGAAAGTTCAGCATCGTCTCATAGACGCCCAAATCCCTTTCATCTCGGAAATGACCTAAACAGGTTGTATCTTTCTGAAGTACCACTGAGCGCACAGACATACATTACAACCTGACCATTGCATCATTTATGACCATCAACGAAGAAGATGACCTTGATGTAGCCCTTTCGTCACTCATCGGCACCGTCTAGCATCAGTTCTTGAAGTTGTGATTCTAGAAGTATATGCCCCAGCATTATTCGAAGATGGGCCAGGTGCAGCGCTACCACAAAACAAACCTTTCTACATCATGCAACATTGTTAGAAACGCAGTGCTGGACGGTTGTGTTGTGCCGAGGGTGAACCACCTTTTAGTACGTCGCAAACTTCTTGTAGTAAGGAACGGCAGCGGCAAAAACCTCTTGATCACGAACAGCACAAGTTGACTTTCCGGCGCTTTCCAACGCCAACGACGATTCATCTACATGAAAGGCACCACCTAAACTTGATCTACAACTCGGGTTGTCCATTACCCATCTCTTTGCCTGTCCAGATTACCTGCCCTCTGCGCTCATCTAACTCCCAAATCAAGTTTCATTAGTGCATGCGCCCTCGCAGCACCAAACACAATTCGTCCATCCCTTTCGCTGCCTCTGTCCTTCTCTGGTGATTGAAGGTGGCCTTTTGGCCATGTCCTCATATGACCTCCATCGTCCTTTTCCGCCCAAGCCCACCGTTGAAGTTTGACGAGCTTTAAAACACATAGAGACATGTCTCGGATCTCCCTCATTTTTTGCTTGGAAACAATTTTTTCCTTATCCTGTGTGGCCTTCTTTAGTTAGAGTGATCATGATCAACTTTTCTTGTATGTAGGTCTTCCGTTTTACGGTTTATTACACTTGGCAGCTGTGTGCAAAATTTTTGACAGTAGCGCATGAGACATGAGTACATTAGGATGTACAACCGCATCGTGATGTGTTGTGCCTTCCCCTAACTTATCATTATCATATCCTCACCCTTCCATCTTCGATGAACTTTCCGACCCTGCGGCAGCTGTCAAAACTGAAGTTGAACGACTCCGTCCGTTCCGACAGGCACGAACCTAGACAATGGCCGCCGCCATGAAGCAGAGCCAAATTCACCAAAAGAGTTTGCGAAGAGACGAGGTCATATTGTGCCATTCTCCTGATGAAATCTGTTCATTTATTCTCGTTTCTTTCGCGATCTTCTTCAGATTTTTGCGGGAAATTCCTGCGCGTGAAAGCTCCAGGTAGATGACTGTATAGTGAATGGAGATGAATCTGTTATCGCTGGATAAGATTGGCAGTGCATTGAGGAACCAGAGTCAGGACAGTGGTTCACGAGTCGAAGCAGATGGTTCACTTCACCGAAGGTGAGTACTCAGGGACGACTGGCAGGAGGACACTAGGTTGTGTCGAACTCATTGTCCCCTATTTTACGTTCAAGTGATCATCCGCTAAAATTATACCTTCCGAGAAGCCAACGCAGTCGAGTATCTGTTCGAGAGATGTTCATGAAGCGTGACAGCCAGTCAGTGCGAGTTTGTCGTCGTGACTGGTTTTTCGGAATGGCATAGTGGTGAGCACTCACGTTGTCCAGACTTCAAAGCTTCATTTCCTAATGTATCGATGTCACGGGGATACTGTCATGTTGAGTCGAAGATATCAAATCAACGAGATTAAGTTAAGGAACATCATGACCGAACTGTTATCTTGACCGCTAGTGCTGCATCTGCCGAGTCCTTGAACGACTGACAGCAACAACTCGTTCAACCACTCTTTAAATCCTATTCACCAAATTTATCCATACCGTCACGGTTGCCATCACAACAATATCACAGAACGGCTCTGATCTAGTGTCCTTGGCTTGCCCAGCGCTCATCATGAGACAGCGTGAGGAAGATGACGAAGACGAAGGACCATCTGACCTGTTCAAGTCCATTAATATTTTCGCTCTTTTTCTTGTGAATGAGGTACAGCTTGAGTGCATTATAGCTAGTATGCGCTCCCTCTGATGCATTTGGGTGTCGCGTGCTTAAGTGCTTAAATTTAAACCTCATTCTACGTCAAGTCTACGTAAATTCCAACCTATCGGTGGGACTTTACTTAAAAATACAAAAAAAACACATCCAAAAGGAGTCGAAGATGGGCATCATACGTAGAGGGTCATGTCCGAGCTACCAGTGTCATTACGAGTGTTATCCAATCATGAATATCATCAAACTACTCCTGCAACCTCATTACGTTTGGTGCGAGCGCATGAGTGCAGGTGTTGTCTTTCAGCCTCCTCGCTCCTACATATAAACAAGTTAGTATCTGCGTCATACAGAAACATTAAAACGCACGGCCTGTTCGTAATACTTTCTGAACCCCTGTAGAGCATAGCATCATAGAAGAACGCAGCTACAATCATGCCAAAAATTGGACCAAGGATAGGGCACCAGAGCCAATACTGGTTCCTGAAGTTGAACACTGCGCTACCGTACCCAACCATGGCGGTAAGGATACGAGGCCCCAGGTCACGGGCAGGATTAAGGGCTGCTCCAGTATCCATGCCAAGAGCCGAACCGATGCCAAGGAGTAAGAAAAAAATTCCAACAGGAAGAACACCAGGAGGCAAAGGTCCATTTTTTTTATCCGTTAACATGAAAATTCCGGTAATGAGCATGGCAGACCCTATAAACTACATCGGGTTGTCAGTATGTATTCAATTGAAGACCGCTAGTTACTCACTTCAGCGAAGAAGGCGGAGACTGAAGGAAGATAATCGGCCTAGATACACTTGAGTCGCAGGAAATCATGCCAAAGGTCTATACCTACCGCATAGGTTCCGAAAAGATTACCAGATACTGCAATTGTACGGATATCGGAGCCCCCTTCGACGATGGCGATCGCATTGAAGTAAGTAGCGTAGACTACACTTGCCCCACATAAGGCGCCCAGGAGTTGCGCAAGGAGGTAGATTGGGACCTTTCTCCAGGGGAAACCGCGGACAGTAGCAAATGCTATGGTGACCTTACTAGGAGTCAGCACACATAGTCACATGCAAAATATTGAAGGGTACACACCGCAGGGTTCAAATGACCGCCTGAGTGGTTTGCAGAGATCCATACACCAAGGGACAGTCCTGACCAGCTTGTAAGGAAGACGTCGACATACAAAGATGAAGGTTCGCTCACCAATGGCCCAAGAGAGGTTGGATGTGACAACATTCTTTGAACAAACACCAATGGGTTTCAGTCCATCCATCACTTTCGATGCCTTGAACTCACCCCCGCTGGGCTTGCAGACACACTTTTATTGGCAGAGAGATTTGCCTGGCAATTGCCACCACAGCCAAGCAAGCATAGAATGAAGGCACCCATGAACTCGGCTGCCGGTGCGGAGATGCGCTCCCTGCAACAGGTCCAGTCAGCTATTGTCAATATTTTGCGAACAGGTAGGTAGTACCTGATGCTTGACCATCGGTTGGGGTATGGAGAACATTGATTACAGTCAGCGAAGTCAACGACTCCTAGGACGGTCATATCGTTGGGTCGAGTTGAATAGGAGCTGTTTGATATTTCGGAATGACGAGGCTTTTCGATGATATCCGTCATCTTGTACTGAGAAAAAGGAAGGACAGAGTGCTAAAGCTCCTGTGGAACAGGGTCTGGCAACTGCCTGTTTTATAGTTGTCTGTTGCTATCATCTATGATGAGTATCACGTACATGGCCCAACCGGGACTCCGGATGTGGATGAACCTACCTGCGGAAAGATTATACACACATTATCCATGCATATTAGTTTTGCTTAATACATACTCAGACCTGTCAGCCAATCATTAATCAGAGTGTACGAATTAGTGTAAGGGAAGGTAACGTACTATCTGTTAATGCTCGGACTAGGACAACCGCGTGTGCTTTGCATCGATAAAACAGCCAGCAAAAACATTCATACCGCACTATACCATGCAGGGAGATGAAGAAACAGGGTCTGCTATTATTATCGCAACAGCGTGAACATCGTTCCGGGTCCTTCGCACCAACCGAACCAATTCGAAGTGGAAACAAATCGAGCCGGTCTAAGTTCGTCCATCAGTTTAAATCCCAATTTGATTTTCATCAAGTATCTCATGATGATCTCATCAATCTTCGAAAAGGCTCGAACGCACCGAGTCATGTTGTAACTTCTTCGAGAGTTCCTTATCGGTTAAAATAGGTTTGAATAGGATGGTCACGTACAAGGGGAAACGGGAAATTCCTGGACAGAAGCCTCCACTGCCATGGAGTTGTCGCTCTCAGTGTGTGGTCCGTGAATTGCGAATAACATGATTCGGTGAAAGCGGAGACAACCAAAAACGTTCAAAACAGTCACCAAGAAGGGCATGGGCATGCGTACCGCACTCCCAGAGGACCCCGATGAGAGATAGCGACTGATCCTGCATCGAAACCAACTACAGAAGCTGCGAAATGATTCCACAGCGCAAAAGATAAAACATTCATGTCGCATAAAACAGAGCCGGACTCGTGCGTTCATTCGTCAGCTTCAATTAATTTGAGTAAAACTCACGGATTCTACGGCAGTTACCCGGTTACCGCACACAATTCAACAAGGTATCTTTCAAGCAGAAAAATTATTCATTCTGTCGAATCTGTAGCAGATCTGCAGTCAGCATCTAGAAATCTGACATCTGACAAAAACAATGGCGCGATCGTGGAGGCGCATGACAGTGGGAAATGCTACAACGGCGCAAGTATCTGACAGCGGAACGAACCGTTCATGCGTATAGAAGCCGCAGAGGCTTTGCACGACAGTCATTTGGCTTCATATTGGTCTTCCGAGCGCCGAGCGGTGATAGTGTGATTACGTGGGAGGTACCCTGCACTATCCTCGCCATACAGCGGGGACTACTCGAAGAGAAATACCTCGCTTGAATATCACCATAAAACAACTGTCAACTCAAGACGCCAAAGAATTTAATGGCGCTTTCAGTGCGCGTATTACTTCGTATGGCATTACGGCAATCATATCTAGAAGATGTAGAGTTAGCCACGCAAATATCCGACATTCCCGTCAATTACCTCTCGAGTTAGTATTTCCTCTCCTCCAACCTCCCATCCGCTTTCGGCAATCGGTAAAACTACATTGTTCATATGTCAGATGCAAAGGTCATCAATGCTCTATTTTTCACCAGTATACTTGTGCCATTGAATGAGGGTATCCAAAACTTTAACGCGTGGCAAAGTAGATGGCGACGGGCGGCAATGGCATCTGGACCGAAAACGGGACAGTTGAGGGAGCTATCAGTGACTCCGATGCTGATACAGAGCGTTCGAAAACGGAAAACACTGGTTTTAATATTATCTAGATAATTGCGTCAGAATAGCAACTCGTTCGTGGTGACCAGGAGGTATCTAGTCACCTGGAATTTGGGGTTGTCGTGTCCGATGGAAGCTTCCACTTGCTCTGCCAAGTTCATCATATTGCGGGTATCCAATGCCGAGTACGAGTCAAGCGCACCTGCCTCGACCACCTTGCAGATCAGGGGCACGACTGCTGTGGAAATCAAGTCATCATTCGGGCCTGTATCCGACTCTGGATCATCATTATCATTATCTCCACAGTACTCGTGTAGTGAAGCACACCACGAAAATTCATGCAAGGTGTGCGAATTCTGACACTTATGGTAGATTAGCGCCTCATGGCATAGAAAAATCAACACACCTCGAAGGGGTTCCATCCAAAAAGTTCTAGCTGCACCCAGAACTCCCAAGCACCGACAAGTCCAAGCCCATCCCATGCACCAGTATAACTATCACCAAAGCGTCTACGCCATCCACCAAACCACTTTGCCAACCCCAAACTCGGATCTCTGAACTCTGCTGCATGCTTATCAGATAATAAACCATGCCCATCATTGACTATTCTTTCAATAGCACTTTGATAATCTATGGCATCCGATGGGCGTAAAGAGGAGTCCGTTGAGTAGCCCTATTCTCGGTCTAGTTGCGTTATGATGGCCCTGGTTGCACGTCCACGCCCACGTTCACCAATCACGATGAAGTCGACGGACTATTCGCGCGGCCTGTCGCTCACGGCGTACAGTAACAGAGTTTGCTCGAGGTAGAACGCGTCCTAAGTCATCCACCTCTTCAGAGTGATCTGCGGCCGCCAAAAGAGAAACCGAAAATCAAAGATAGATCATCTTGGTTGTCCGCTTGGCGTCGCCGAGCAATCATCCCAGAGTATTCTTTGAGTATTGAAACAAATTCATCCTCGAGCTTCTCCAGCTTCGGAAACTAAGCATCCGTGAGGTTTGCTTGATGTAAGATAGGGATGATACTAACCTTCTCATCGAGAAATGTCGCCACATTTTGGACCCATTCCTTGAATGCAGCGAACCACGACCTTTGCTTTGGCAATCATCTCGCGTAACTCTGGTTCACGGACTCTAATTGTTCTCGTTCCTCGACCAATGATGCTGCTGCCTTCACATTTGTTGTATACGACGTAGTCACCGCGGTCAAAGACTGAGACAGGCGCTTCATTGCCGGTCCAAGAGATGGTATCGTAGTCGATGTAGGAACTTATCAGAGGCTCCGGTTAGTCAACGACAATTCCAGAAGGACATATGTCTCACTGGCTGCAGGCTTGTAGACCTGTTTTGTGGGAGATACCTCATGAGAAGTTAGGAATGGACTGCCTCTCCGCAACTGTTCCCTTTCCCACTCCATGGTCTCCTCGTCTTCCTCATCGCTGTTCTCACAATGTTAGTCAAATCCCTAGGAAAATGCTTATACATACGCATCTGCGGTCATCGCTTCCATAGCATCCTTGCGCTTCGAAGCTTCAAGTTTTTTCGACTTCTTGCCAAGGCCAATGCGCTCTTGAGCGCTGGTATACTCCGCATACTCTGTCCTTTGTCAGACTGGTGCAAAAAAGCTGATAAATGACATACCGTCGTCTCCTTCTCCAAGCTCATCTTCTTCATGCATCAATCGACTTTCTGGATGTGGACCTTGCGGTACGGTATCACGTTTCGTGACAGAAAGAGATATAAAATCATCTTCTGCACCATGAGTTCGTATACGTTCTCGTCCTTGTTTAGCTGATAATATAGACGATTCCGGAGGAATCACTGTGTCAACACCGTCTGCACGTCATTAGATAGTGAACAAGGCACCTAAGCAAGATCTTACCAGCTATCTCAGTGACATCTATACAGTACACTTTTTCATAACGCATAACGTCGGGACCCCTCCCAGGCTATGCATTATCACCACTTATGCATTACCAAGTTGTGTGACATATGTGACACATTGTGATGCCATGTGACCTCCCTCAAGAGTGTGACAGCTGAGAGCGGTACAAAACATATCATTTTCTATTTACCGCCGAAGTACGAATCTATTGTTGTCTGCTTTGCTCCGTGAATTTCCTCTCTGTGCACACAAGCCTGAAATGCCCGCAGCCGTTTTGAGAGATCAAATGAGAGCTCGAGTTCACCAAATTGAAGGCAAGCATCTTCGAGTTGCTGGCACAGCGTGAATACTTGTGTGAAAGTGTACTCCGGTGTCGTGTTTTCATCTTCGTCGCCGTCCTCGCTATCTGAATCCACCTCCATGATATCCCCCCTTTCAATTGCCATTTGTCTTCGAGCTTCCTCGACAATCTCGTTGTCCCCACCTGGAAACTCGTAATCATGGTCACCAACTTCCCTCTCTTCAACAGGGTCCAAAAGCTCTTCGATTGTGGGCAGCTCGCCAATAATTCGGTTACGAGACTTCAGGACCGCCAACTGAATCCATGAGTTCAATCTTGAGGGTTGTAACTTGGGTGGGTATCTTTGGACGTGCTGGAATTTATATGCGAGAGGAGAACAAAGACAAATTTTGACACCGCTATGCACTTTAGATAGTCTAAACTACATTAGTTTAGGTGCTGACAGTGACTGATGCTGACCCGAACACGGCCTCATAATGCATAAATCAGCCTGGAGGCTTATGCGTTATGCGTTATGCGTTTCGCATGCATATTGCCCGCGTCCCACAACGGGACCCACCCAAAGGTGATGCATTATCAAAATTATGCATTATGGGGCCATGCATTATGAAAAAGTGTACTGTACTAGTTTCACCCGAGTCCATCGAAACATCTGCATCATAATCTTCAGCGACTGTGGCACGTCGCGACGAAGGTGGGCTTGCTTTCAGCTGTGAGGGTACGCCTGGTCATATATGGGTGCCCCATTAGAATGGGGAGTGATAGTAGGGTGGTCAAGCGAGACAAGCAACACATTCCTAATAGATCTCATGAGCAAACTGAATTCTACAGCAGTACAGATATGAACATACGCAGGATGAGCGCTCAGGGACAACCTTTGACTAAGACTTCTTCAATTGAAAGACTTCCCCATCTCCTGCCTGACGCCTTAAGTAGTAAGCAAGAATTTCACAGTATATGAAGTGAAAACACGAACCTCCTCGTCACCACGGAAACTGAGTGTAGATTTAGGCTTAGTGCGTTTGACTTTGTTCTTAAGTCTAGACGCGAGAGCTATTGGCGACTCTTCAATGATCTCTCCATTCCTGAATGTTGTTTGTGATATGTCTTAGTGACATCAGAGAACTGGTGAACAAATTAGAATATAGTAATATATAGTCCATAATCACAAGCATCACCATAATTCTGCTATTGACCGTCATATTATCATGTTTGACCTTATAGAGGAAAGAGGCGTTTCTGATGTCCCTAAACCAGCTCGTGATCGGGAAAAGACCCTCGCATTGCTCAAACTCAAACTTTGAGGGCAGGTGGAGCGAACACCGATGAACAAGCAAGATGGATTACAACTGCCATCTGAGAATTACGAGCCACAATGTTGAAACTAGGCATAAAAGCGAGCACCGTCCAAAAAATGACAATGTGTTTACCGATCAGCGATGATACATTAATTCCCTGCAAATATCACAGTTGAGCTGAGCGAACCATAACTGCCATGTTGGAAGTAATATTCATAACTTGAAAGCTAAGCGGGAAAGCGAGCACCTTCCGAAGAACAACAATGCATTCACCAAGTGAGCGACAATAAATTTGTACCCCGCTTTGAATTTTGACGCCATCTGTTTGAAATGCTTGATGTTTGTAAATCATAGGACAACTGTCCATGTAACACTGACGAAAAGTGCCTTCCAGAGGGTGACAATATGTTCATCACGCGAGCAACAATTAACTCATGTTCTCCTTGAAATTTTGAGCCACCGTCTTTAGACTTCGAATTTTGGTTAGTCTTTTCTTAGATTATCTAATGACCATCTGCTTTACATCAGTTAGCAATCCGTGGGAAGAAGTGTTTCCTTTGCGTACCAGCCGAGGTGTGTTCGCAGAGCGGGCGATAATCAATTTATGTTCTCCTTCGACTCTCCACATGACCTTCCATGAGTTTCTAATGAATAACAACTGTAAGTCCACTTGTCCTGCATCCCAAGATTCTGTAGCTCAGCACCAATGTTGCAATTTCATGATTCACTATCTTAGCTCAGGACTTGACAATGGTGGGTCATAGCTTGCCTTGATATCTCACTCACCACTTGATAGATATCTCATATAGTACATACGTATCAGTGCAATTGGGTATCTCTGCACCGTGCTGCAGGATTTTTGCACGTGCGTATTGGTGACCCCAGTAACATAATTCCTCCAATGAACAACAAAGTCACCGTTTGGCGCAAGTACGTGTTCGTTACAGGCTGTTGGCACAAAGCTAAAAATATATAGAAACTGCGCAGGCTGCGCAGGCTGCGCTGTATCTTCCAGATACAACCTATCAAACTCAACCTGAAAGATCCGCGCACCAGGATTTAAACCATGGCTTGGGGATTGTTCGCATGCGTGACGGCCAGTTCACACGATACTGAAAAGTTACAGGGACAGCGCAAACTGTGCTCTATCATCTAGATTCAGCCTATCCGACTCAGGCTGAGGGATCCGTGCACCAGGACTTGAATGATGGCCTGGGGATTGCTCGCACGCATGCCGGCCTACTAGCACAACACTGAAGAGTTACAAGGACTGCGAAGCCTGTGCTTTATGTTCAAGATGCAGCCTATGTAACTCAAACTGAGGGATCTGCACACTAAGCAACAGTGCACCGGTGAGTTCTTGCTGGTGATTATGCTGATTGCGCATCAACGATTCAGCCGTGCTAGAATCTCTAGAAAAAAAAGATCTAGTTCGTACAGACCTAACCCGCGTGGTAATATTTCACTGTCTCAAGGATGTTGATATGGTGCATTTACATGGCCATATATTCCAATGCGACGAAAACCTTTCCTATATATATTACGATATATTGTATCTACTTGTGGTCATTCACAATGGTAACATACTGAAGTCTTAAAATCCAAAAACGCGAAGTTTGCAATTCATCAAGTTATAAAATTAACAGCGAAGTACAAAACCACCAGCAAGACGGTAGAATATAGTGTCCCTACAGCGAATCGAAAGCAGCGTCATCGCGCTCTGCTCTTTGCCTTGCAAGGGCGTTTACCGACATGTTAGACTTTGCTGCGTTGCTCAGGTCTGCACGACGACTCTGTCTGAAGACTTTCCTAACAGGAGAGCTCAGTGTGGGTTTGCCCAGACTGTAAGTGACAAGGGAAACACACCTGGTCCACCATTCGAGGAGTTTTTCGACTCTGCGCTGAGCGATTCGACCTGGGGCCCTTTCGAAGAAGTCTACAACAGTCTGCCAGAATTGGACATAGTCAAAATCACCGTCAATGGAACGCCAGGAGGTAACCGATGAAAGTGCAAATTGGACCTGTCCACTTGGTCAGTCTATCACCAATAGTACTGGCAATTGTTATGACATACCTGGCACACGATATATGCGATCGAGCGAGGGGTAACTTTTTCCATTTAAATGATTTGCACTATGTGCTTCTTAACCTTGAATCCGGCTGAAGACCTTCTAGCGCGTCGGTTGTTCTCAATAATATCAGCACCGTCACCATCACCTTCGATATCTTTGGCTGAGGAGGGCGATGTGAAAACTGCTTTGTAGCCCTGCAAAAGCTGGTCAGATCACGCTTAGGCTACTCCTGTGATGCATACCTGAAGGAGAATCTTGCCCTTGAAAAGGCCTTCCTCCAAATCATCTGGATTGGTGGCATAACTTTCGTACAGGAAGGCCGGAAAAGACAAATCCATCACAATATACCCCTCCGCACGATCCCGAATCCCTGACTTCACACTGGTGAAAGGTGAGTATTTTTTCCACGAAATTCCAAATGCACCACCTACGCTGGGTCGTTCCAATCGAGCTCAGCCAGGCAGAGCAACTTGCCACACGCATCATTGACAAAACCACGTGAATTTTTATCGTCCGAGTCGACCGGTGGATCTGGCCTAAATTCGCGATTGATGCAATCCGACACGAGAGCCTTGAGCTTGGAGGTATCGTCTCCTTGAGCACTATCAGCGCCTTGTCGAAGCTAGAAAAGTCTCAGTATGATAATCAACACAATCAGAGGCAAACGCAACCATTTTTAACATTTGTGCGTATTCATCATATTTGTTAAGACCATGCACAAAGGGTAGGACTGATTCCAAGGGGCTTGGCTTCAGCTCGTGCGCTGCGCCCCTTACCCGAGTATGTGCCCTTAACTTCAGAATGAAGTCCGGAGAAAGTCCAGTGAAGTCCGAAGGACTTCCGGAGGAGCGTGGGAAACTTCGGAAGGACTTTCTGGACGAGTGCGAGAAACTTCCGGATGAGTGCGGGAAAGTTCCGGAGGAACTTCCGGAAATTACGATGGAGTTTCGTCCTGACGGGGATATGTGTAATGGCTACTCAGGACAAGTCCTGAGTAGAAGGAAACAGAGGAAAGGCTGCAAGGACAAAGTCCGAAGCAGAATAGGTCCGGAGGACCGCGGGAAAGTTCCGGAGGAACTTCCGGAAACTTGGAGGAATGGTGGATCGGAGGAGCGGAGGAGCGGAGCTCCAGCCTAGGGAATTCCTCCCTAGGCCTGAGATGGATAATGACTAAGTCGGAGGACTAGAACTGTTACGAGGACTTAGTGTGAAGACTAGTGCGAGGACTAATATTCAGACTGAGGAAGTACAAAGATTCTACAGAGTTTATATACTACAGAGGACTTAACAGAGAGTCAGTCAGCGCAGTCCAAAGCTATGCGAGGCTGTGGACGGAGGATGTAGAAAAGTCAAACACTAGTCTATCGGAAAATAGTAAATGAAGACGGAGATGAAGACATAGGAAAATAAAGCCGGAAATGAAACGAGGTACGGAAAATGAGGAAGTCTAACTCAAGAAGGAACATACAAAGGGATAAGGCACGGAAGATAGACGCGGGTCGGATCCGGATGTCCGGAGATGAATGCGTGATAGGTCTGGGTCCGGAACGCAAGGAAGATAGACGTGGGTCGGATCTGGATGTTCGGAAGTCCAGAGACAGGTGATTACCATAAGGGGATGGGCGCTGATTTAAGGTTTGGGTTCGGACATGACAGATAGGTCGGATCCGGAGATCCGGAGATGTGGATATCAGATCTGGCGTCCGGATATCAGATGCAGGAGTACAGGGATCTGGACGGATAGAGGATTGGGTCTGGAGACATGGACAGGAGGTCCGGAGGTCCGGATGAGGCGTGGGAACGTCGTCGGATGTTGGTCCAGAATGCGGGATATGACAATATTCCATCTCTGAAGCTTTCTTGTGAAACCACCGCAAGGTTTGCGTGAACAAAAGGTACCCTACCTGCAGCCGGTCTTAACTACGTAGATGAGCCCTTCAGTAGCCTCCACAAAGACAAAGCGAAGGACTCACTTGAGTGTAGTATCTCCATCCTTGTCGAGGTCATACCTTCGGTTGTTTTCGGAGACAAGGTCCTCAATGCTATCGAACAGAGCAACCACACATCTAATGGCCCTTCCTTGAGCGACGTAATAATTTGTCTGCCTGACAGACTGAGCAAAGCTAGCTCGATACCTAGAATGATGATCATACCTGTCTTTGGCTGAGCGACCTGACTCCAGGACTTCCAGTTTCTCCTCCAGTTGTGCGATTCTCCTTCGCTGTCGAGCCTGCACAGATGAATCCGCTGTGGTCTCTTTTTCTGGCTGACTCGGAAGGCTGCCGGCCTTGCTCTGCTGGCCTTCAACGTGCAGCATGTCATCGTGTTTGTCCTGTGACCACATGGTGTTGTTCCCGTCGTGCGACATGGAGATGCAGGGAGGGAAAGAAATGAGTAGATGTGGTGAAGAAAGGGCGGGAGATGAAGAATAGATCTGGCGAGCTCGAGCTTATATATTGTTGGGACCAGGCTAGTTCGCTAAAAAGCATATACCATTAATGGTAGCAGGGAGAGATACCACATTTGGATATTAACATGAACCGAACAAGGCTAGTGCCGCATGAGGTAGCAGGAACCACAACTTTGGATAACTCATCTGCAGACTCTGAAGATGTAGCATCAGAGTTATCATTGAATAAGGGGCCGCGCTGTCAATCACACAAGTTAGAAATCTATAGAATAGACCAGGTAATGTTTTGCTCACTTCAAGTTCACTCTCGCAGACTTCCAAGAACCCCGGCCCATTCATTAGAAATGCTGACATACACATTCCGTCGACCAGCGTCCAAACCTCCCCAGGAAATGTTTTCATCACATTGGAATATAAAGCAATATATGACCATGTAAATACACCGCAATCAGCATAATCGCCAGCAAAAACTCACCGGTCTACTGATGCGGCATTGTTCGATTCCTCGTTCCGAGCTTGGACACATTTTTGAAATCATCGGCCTTTCGATGAGTAACAATGAGAGTGAAAGCGTGCACCAAAGGCATGCCACCGAGCCATTTTTCGACTCCACCGGAAGCACACGGAACGTTCTCGGAGAAGTAGTACTACCGTGCGATTTTGGCATACTTGTGAGATGAGATATTGCGACACAATGGTATGGTGTATGCACTCAGGCCTCTAGGTTCTTCTTCGAACGCAAGATGTAGTCTATCACAGAATGTCCCTGCACCATATTGGTTCAAGTCCGGATTAGGATGAACTTGAGGTGAGACACTGTTATAAAATTAGTTATCGCAACAGATTTAAAATATACCTGAGTCACACGGACAGTCAATGAAGTACTGATGCACAGGATCATGATGGGGTTTGACACGGCATGCGGTAGTATGATTAGGTGTGACGCCGCGACACTGATGAGGCATAGTAAGTACTAAGCGTGGAGGTTGACATTAGTCCAGAGACTGTAAATATGGTGAGAAGTAAATACAGCACTCTAGGGTCCATGTACGCACTCACTGCTGTTCATGAATGAATGAGGCCTCTAGGAGTAGGACTCAAGGCCACATACTATGTGTCCTTGATGTGTCCTACATCATAGTGTCATGCACTTTCCCACGGCAACGCATCACAGCTTAACCGGAACATGAGTATACAAATGCCGATGTAAATGATCGATATGAGCCTCTATACCCCCACCTTGTCTAGACGTGTCATGGACAGAATATCAGACAAGTTTCTGCTAGGAGAAAGCCCAACACAAGAGGCGGCATACAACGACCCAGAGAGCCATTTGATTCTTACGTTCTGCGCCATGCTAATGGCATCCGCTAAAGGCAGAAAGCCGCGACCTCTCAGGACGATGTACTAGTAGTAGTCCTGGCGGCTGTTTCCGAGTCCTTGCTCAGCTTTGGAGTTTGTCCTGCTCAAGCCCATGAGCTATCGGGACATTGAGAAGGCGGCTGCGTATCTGGCTACCTCGCCAAGCTTGCTCTCGTATATCCAAGGCCCGCCCACCCAACGTTTTCGAGGTCAGTCAATTTGTTGAAGACATTCCTCTCGAAGTTCACAACAGTGGTCCCAGACAACCTTGGTAATGACACAAAGTGGTGACATCATGGATGTCTTCCCTACGTCCAACTCTCGGGGCATCAGTGGACCGGTGAGTTCTTGCTGACGAGCTGATTGCGATGGTCATATATTGCTTGATACTCCAATCATCAATGTGATAAAAACCTTTCCTATATATTACGACATCTTCTTCTCACCGATTTGCTGATCGGCGCCGCCACTCCTCAAGCAAACATGTCCACATCCTTACTAGGCTTGCCATCCGAGTCAACCACGTTGAACCGGCTCTCCGTTTTGGGCTCATGTCTACAATCACTGCCGCTGAAGTCCATTCTGCATGCGTTGTCTTCACCGTATTTAATAACATCAAAGACCGTCTGCCAGTCAGTGCCTGTCTTCTCCCTGCAGATGCGCCTCACAGCGGCTGGTGCGGTATAATTTGGAGGTATAACCTTACCAGAAACGTTGCCAGTCAGCATGCCGTGGCAGCCCACAAAAGGTGTCAGTGAGTACTTACTACTTCTCGGTCATGCAGAAGCTGCCCCGCATTTTGGTATTGGGAAGTGTAGGAATGGCCAGGAAAGTTGTTACCTGCCAGTGAGTCTGGTTCGGAGTTCATTGAAAATTCAGTATCTGTCCGAACGCCAGAGCCTGTCAATGCGGCTGACAGGGACTCCGAGTCGGAGTCCTGGGTCGTCGTTTCCTTTGCCCAAGAGGACTGATTACAAGGATGCGAAGAATATGACATACTTCGAGTAGCTGCTACTAGTAGCTGGTGTTACCATTCCACAAGGCCTCGAAACTGGTGAGCTTTTATAGCTGTGTCATGACGTAGCGATGACGGAAGAGCAGTATATGCACTTCATACTAGCCTTAGCCGTTGGGTTCGGTAGTATGCTAACCCGACTTGCAGGGCGTTCAATTTGAATATATAACTCAATTTTTATGGTTCCCATCAAGTTTAGTATCAAAAGTACTAGATTTTTGTGAAAACCATCGAGTGATTTGATGCGACTATCCAACGAGTGGGCTGTAGAAGGCTGTAGATCCATGTAGATGATCAGTACCAAGCCGCATGTATTTTGAAACTCAGCTGATACCAAAAATGGTATAGCGCTACAAGTATGAACCGTCAAGAAGCATAATATTGAGACTCAGCACATACCAAAAATGGCACATGCACTGCGCGCGTGTTCAACAGGGACTAATACTTATCACAAATCACAATTTTTTAACAACCTGGTTGATTCGCGAGACCAGTCTCAGTGTAAGCACTTATCCACTCCGCATGGAATAGTAGTAGTACTTACTACTATGTAGTACAGCCTGTCAGCTACATCTAAATTATCTACTGTCCTCAAGACCTGCAAATCGTGCTTCGAAAATGCATCAGTGAAGAAGCTTTCAAACTCCGATTCCTATTTACTAATCGCTTACCTAGTACTCACGCTATGCAGCCGCCCCCTTCCGACTAAGTAACTCCCCGCTGAAAAAATGCATTCACTAGTTTCGGTCGCTGTTAACTCTCCCTGTGATCTTGACCTCCTGAGTCTACGTTCTTCCACACCCAAGCTTCAGAGCCCTTGTCCCTACACTCCCACCATTTCCAGCCACGAGCCAAGCTCACCTCTTTCAAGTTTAAGTTCACTTCTACCTTTGAGTTCAAGCTCACCTCCTCCTGTACTGAGTTCATCTCATTCAATCTCACCTCCGAGCTCTCCCCCGTCAATCAGATTGACTGAGTCAGGTATTTAGAACTCATGATCATATTGTGCATAAGACTTAAATATAACAACGACAGACTCGGATCCAGAGCATGATCATCCTCTGACACCAAGTCCTACGCATTCCGGCAACAGACACGGCGCCCGAGCCTACACATCTCCTGGGGCCAGATCACGCGTCCGTGCTCATACTTCTCCTGGGGCTGGATCAAGCCGTGCTCTTAGGTCGCATCCCTATCTCCCGTCACTGTCTCTCCAAGAGAAGCACCAATTTGAGACAATGTTGCTCAGACATATCTACAACGACCCATTGGAACCTATGAGCCACGAGGTATGCTATACACCAAATTCATAATATTTATGACATGCATCATATTTTCTAGTCTAAGCGAACGTTTCTAACATACGTAGAGGGAATGAGCAATCACTCCTTCCGTTGTGCTGTCCATTACAAGGAGGCCGTTCGCGAGTTGCTTCGTATGGAATACTATGCGAAACAATGGCAGGTCGAAGTATCAAACAGGCTGGAGACTTTCTCGATTTCATTGTCTCGTGAAGCAGAGGGTAGGTTCCGGGGGGCAGAGAAAGAATCGCAATGGTTACTCAATATGTTACTTGACCGGGAGTCATTGTCTACTGCTCATGGAGATCCCGACGCTCTTGTTGTGGCTTGCAATGAAAGCAGGAATGCTATCCGTAGTGTTGATGACGAGCTCAGTGTTTTAAACTGTCGAAAGGTGCAGGATCCCGACATATTGAATGCCATCCGAGCCCATGCGTGGTAAGTAGATTTTATCAAGTGATAATTTACATCATTGACGTTCTCTTTAGAATAGATGTACCCAGCTATATACTCAAACATTCGATCTGAACTATCCTCGTGCTTCGTTTTTTTTGTACAATAGTGTCGCAGTTTCGTAAATGAAACTTTTCCTATCGCAGACATCTCTGATTCAATTGAAATGGGTTGAAAAGAAGCTGATTCTTGGGACTGCTTTCACCCACTATCTACAATGCAGCCTCCTGGTTACCATGAGGAGTCGTCCACCACCATGAACGCTGAGCATCACTCACAGTCGCGCCCTATTCCCAATCTGCTTGTCCATCGCGGTTGTTGTCCGCTCGATTCCACTGCCTATGATCATGAGAATAACTCTTATCATCATCATGATGGCCCACCCGCGCCCGATTTTTATGGCGCATCCCGATCCAATATCTACTATGACACACCTCTACATAACGACATCTACGACACCCCTAACGAACCCATCCTTTTGCCACCTCAGGACTACCCCCAAGTCCCGATAGACAACAACTCCCATCTTACGGGTCCTGATCTAGTAAACCCACCATTCCCGGCAATGCAGAACATTAGTACCTACTACGGCTCGGAAATTTCGCAGATCAACAACTATTTCCCTCACCTGGGTTTAAATCCCTTCCCTGTGCCACAACACAACATTGGCTATCACTTCCATAATTTCCCTGTGCCAACGTTGTCTATGGACGGTAGTTCTACGTTGCCATCGGCGGCAGGGGACATACCGCCTATCATAGACCCGACACCTGTCAGTAATCGCAGCTCGTTGGCGTCCAAAAGTCGGCAGACCTTCAAAAGACGTCAAGAACAACTACATATTATTGATTGCTCGGGTCAGCCACAAAAGCGGTCGCGGCGAAAGGCTCGGTCGAGTCGAGCATCACAGGTGAGTGTTTCTTGTTTATAAATTGGTCTCTGGACTCACTGAAAAGGATCAAACAATAGTCTGCAGCGTCTTTTCATCCAGACGTGACTGAACCTTTACTGCCGTCATCAGTCACGCTACCGCCCCTCACGTATGATGGGACTGACCCAATACATGAGCAGATCGTCAGATCTGCGGAGATTAGTATCATTCGAATCATCATCAACGATTCAGCCATACTAGAATCTCTTGAAAGAGAGGATCTCGTTCATACAGAGCTAACCCGCACAGTAATATTTCACTGTCTCAAGGATGATGATGGGCAGGATGCCGAAGTTCGAAGCAAGCAGGTCGCTGAAGTTCGACGTAAGCAGGTCCCCAAAGTTCTCGAAAGATAACTAATGTTTTCGCTTTGGGTCAACAGAGTTCAGTGACGACTGGACAAGCGAGAATGCAGGCACCCTGTACATGCAACTCTCGGCTCCCAGCAAGTGCATAATGGCAACGTGCAAGAGGCTTGCACGACACAAAGTGGAACGAGGGTACAAACTGCGTCCGTCAGCTTTCTCCCGCATTTCTGAAGCAGAGCTGAAGAAACGTGAGATCGCAAGCCTCATCTTCGACAAGACGTTCCCCCTGAGATATATTTTCGGGGTGGATGAGGTAACCGGCATATTGTATGCATTTGAGCACGAGGTGATCTGGGACATTGTTCTGGGTGTAGTGTCGGAACTCAAGTACCGACACTACATCACAGACCTAGATAATTTGTTTTGTACTGCTGCTGCAGCAGTATATTGTGTTTTGCTGGAGCTCTTGGGGGGAAAACTTACCGATATCGAGTTTTCGGCTCAGGCTTTCAAACATGTCTATGACAAACTCAAACCCTATATCCAAGACCACATCTACACTGATGCACAGCTATCAAAGAGATGGTCCGAATTCAAGGCTTCCACCAATGATAGATTGGCAACTATGTGTTAAAGTTTTCCTCTCCTTTGTTACAGTTCTACTTTTCCTCTTCACATATGCGTTACTAGTAGCTTGAACATCTTTACTACCGTTACTAGCACTAGTTCGGACACACGGTCTGCTGCCGGTGTGAGATTTCCTTCATTTTGGCTATGGTATCACATTTCTACTTACACACAAAAACAATATTTATCGGGACACAAACAATTGAACGGTTTGATGTGGGCGTTCAGACAATCGCTGACTTCGGTGGCCTAGTCAGGTTTTGTAAGATGACTCGTGTCCAGGCACATACTAGGAACATATTACCCGATCATGACGGCCACTTCCGAACTTCCTCAGCCGGAGATCCAAAGGTCATGCGCGCCTGATGATCTGGGTCATTAGTTTGTCACTTGATTTAGGCGAACAGGACAGTTTAACCCATTCACCTCAGTAGGCACAATTTCATGTTCAGCATTCCTGGAGATGTTAGTGCCCGTGCACCGTGGCCCTCTGACTCGGATCCTTCAACTTGACGCGGCACATAGTACAACAACTCTTGTGTGTTCTCTCCAATTGTTCATTTTCAATCTTGATTCAAAGTCACAGTTGTTTCTAGCCAAAATTCTCAAAGTTTCTGGTGTACCTCTCTCTCTCGACAGCGAGCAATCATTGATTAGCACTTGCGTTCTGTGCCAGAATTTCAGGTTCTATGCAGTTTCGTGTGGTTGTTTGTCTTTATGGTTCCGTCTCAAGCTCTTCATCCGATGATAGTAGTACTACTGAGGCTCCTCCTCAACACGAGTCATTGTCATTGACAGGGTTCTTGCCGATATGCTTCCCAAAGGAGAACGTGTGTTGATATTTTCTGTGAGTTCTTCAAAACAAAATACCTGCGCCAGCCCGAGACTAACGAGCGGTCGTAGCAATGGACAAGGTAAAGGGAAATTGCACTTCTCGTTGATTACGCTTTGATGCAAGGGTATTAGCATGCTTGATCCCCTGGAGGATGATGGAACTGCAGTCAATACCATACGCTCGGCTGAATGGTGGACAACCCCAGGCTGCCCTCGGCGGAATCTTGATATCAAACTGACGGCGGATGATTTTCTTTGCTAGCTGCTCGCTGATGCCTATTGTCTGTAGTTTTAATAAGAGAAATCTCTTAGTAAGGTCTTGATTTTAATCATCATATTTCTTGTGCTGAAAAACGCTTAGCATATCATAAGTCTTCCTTGTCTCAACCAAAGCGGGTGGATAAGTATTGTTCGTAAAGTTCTGATTTACACTTGGGTAGGTATAAACCTTCCAAAAGCATCAACCGTCGTCACGGTCATGTGTGACTGTGATTGGAATCCTCAAGTGAGTGTTCTGTGGTAGATCTACTTGATGTCCGTTAAACCATTCACAGAACGATTTACAGGCTATTGCTCAGGCCCATCGCATTGGTCAGACGAAAAGCGTCAAGGTGTGTCCGATTGTATGTCACAACTCATTCTACAAACCTCTTCCTAGATATATCGCCTTATTTGTCACGGAAGTGTCGAGGATCAGATGCGAGACCACATTCATTGCAAGATGTTCCTATAATGTCTTCCTCAACATCGCCATCTTCTCCCAACGGGCAGGGTTGCACAAGCATCCGTTCTTGTTTGAGGGCGTTGAGGACAAGGTCAATCCCAGCAGGCTCATCGATGGTAAATAGGCTGGAAAACTTGAGCTCTTGTCATGTATCCTTCCCAAGTTCTTTGCAATGGATCACAGGGTGCGTCACATCCTATAATCGTCTCAGCTGTACTGATCACTGTATTTATCAGGTCCTTATTTTCTTCTAAATGATGGGCTGGAAGCATCTTCGACTTGATGGTGGCACAAAGTCGGAGGAGCGTGCCTTGCATGCCAGTATACAGCAGTTCAATACGAAGGATTCGGATATCAAAGTATTCATCCTGTCTACAGGAGCTGGTGGTTTGGGACTCAATTACAGACTGCAGATACGGTGATCATGTGCGTTATCTCTTGTGATTGCATCGTTCTTCATTCTGACGCGTATATTTGCAGCTTCGATAAGCCTAAATAGCTGGTGAATAAGCTTCTGGTTATGATTTGAATAGACATAGTGATGATAAATGCCTCAGGAATCCCCACGCTGATCTTCAGGCTCGATATTCTGCTCACCATATCGGCCAGACCAACATCCTTTGATTCGTCACGTAGGAGAGTGTGGAAGAAGTCGTGTATGCTTGCGCCGGTATGGCAAGCTTGATATCAACAACGAGGTCACCCAAGCCGGCCATTTTGACAACAAGTCGACGCGGGAAGACCAGAAAGAATTCCTGGTGGGTGGCACAGCAGCTCTCTCTTATAACGGATAGCTAAATGAGTGGTATACTGAGATATCGGTCCATCCTCGAAACAGACCACGAGGAGGAGAATGAAGGAGCCGGTGACATGAACGACAATGCTCCACTGTTGGGACGGTGCTACCTGGTGCCTCACTAGTTCTACTAGGTGGACCCTCAAGCTCTGCAGCATATCGGACTCTGCGCCTATGCCTATGGACAAGGATGAACAGCCGCAGGGGGCAGAGCTTGGAGTACTACTGGTCGCAAACAGGTAACTCGCGCATCATTAACATTTCAAAATCATGTATTTATAGCCCCATCCAATTCTCATCTGATCTCATTCAAGTTCTGATAATCAAGGTGTGTTGTTATACTGCTTTTTTTTCTCGGATCACCTATTCACAAGCGTGATGCACACGCATCCAGTTCCAGAACCACCCCTCGATTGTATTCGCACTCGCGTCCATCACTCTTCGTATTCCAATCAATGCTCATTACATGTGGATTTTTGCTCATCGACGCTGTTACCTAAGGAAGCGTGCGGATCAGACCGACTTCACATTTTTAAGAGCCTCCGAACGATGTGATGCCTTGCCAGGTATCACACTGCCCTCAATCCCAACACCCCTTCCTTGTTAGGAACTAAAGATCAACTCCACACATTTGCATGCAAGGGCGATGACAGTATGAAATTTAATGACAAGGATGCCGTCGATCTTATGATTCTGATCATACAAGGCCTAGAAGATCCAAACACGATTGTAAGTCTATGCATGCGTAATAATCCTCTCAGCATAATAATGTGACTCATGCAGTATGGGTAACCCACACCTATAGTTCCAATGGCGACACAGGCGCACATGTTGCGACTTCAAATATTGACAGCTTTTGAGTATGATGCTAGCCTGCCTACGCCTTTGGAATCGCGGTGGCCACACTCACAGCCTATTGTGCACCATTCTACGATAACACACGATATTGAACCACCCAATCTGGGTGTTGATGACCCCGTGTCACTTGAGTCATTTCCGACTCATTCACTCTCTCACACACACTGAGTGCGACCAGGACATCGCGGACTGAGACAAGCTGGTAAGCATCTACCGTAGTTACCATTCTTTCGGCAGCTGATACACCTACATTATAGGAACTAAAGATCTTGTTGGCGATGGATCTGCCGATGGAGCAGTGGCAGGCGCGGCTGCTGCCGGTGGTGAGTCTGACCAGGGCAAAGAAAATAGTGCACTAGGTGCCAGATGTAACGCAGATTCAGCAGTAGCGGTCACGCCGTGTGAAGCCTCCTGCCAGTACTACTTATTGATATCAAACCAGCACTCACAAGTTCAGACATGGAAGACCTTATTCCCGCTTGGAGGTGGATGCCAACAACTGCAGGAGGTAAATTGCTCCTTTCACATGATCATATTGGTTGCTCTGTAGCAGGCGCATCCAAGATGTCTGAATCACGCACTGACTCGGAAACATCTGGACAATCCGCCCTTGAGCCGACTATACAGTCTACAAAGTGTCTCAAGGCATACTTCAATAAGTACTTCACCACTGTTGCACCTGCGCAATTCGCTCAATATAACATTACAGCGGATTCTGCAAGTCAGGCAAAGAAGAGGGCTCGCATCAACGGGCCTACCCATACCAATGGCAATGATCTCGAGGCCGAAGAGTTGATCACTGTAGAAACCACTATGCAAATTTGTCCGCTATCATTGTAGGACAACCTCCTGCTAGATCAGTCAGGCACATAGCATAATAGTTTATGTCGTCGGACTGGGCTTTAGTATATGTCAAAAAATATTATAATTTGTTCACCAGTACTTTCTCTGATCTGAGTAACCCAGGCTTATCAGGGGCCGGAGTCGGAGTCGGGGACCGGACAATCATCACAGCTTTTTCGTTTGCAAGTGTATTACCTTGTTTGCTCCGTTTGTTATTGTTACAATAACATGTAACTGAGAACCCCTCCTACGGAGGTCATCATGACCTTAGCTCCTATCCCACCTATACACCGTCATTGGAAGACTTACCGACTCAACGGAGACTCGTAGAGACGCCTAGAACGGCCTGGATGCCGTTAGATGACCTAGACCAGCCTAGGCAACATCTGGACGGACCTAGATGGTCCTCGACCCGGATCATGGAGAAGCTCTGCTTCATGATCAGAAGAGAAGCCGCATGCCGCAGCATGCGCAGTTAGACTCCAAGGCATGCTACGCCTTGAGGACAGATAGAAGAGGCATGGTAAGCCTCGTGTATAGATAATCGCCCGCATGGCATCAGATAAGATGCCCTTGTATGGACACACTTATACCTACCTACCGAACGTAGTATTGGTCTGTGCACACGGACGACAGTATATAGAGCAGACAGAATCATGTATATTCCCTACTTGATTCTACTAGGTTTTCATCAGAACTTCCTCTGTGTGAATATCCCAATCACTCAGTCTAAGCCGCACCTAAAGGAAAGCCGACGCTACCTTTAGTGGAAACCCCGAACCTCTCATTCGAGAGAAGATCCCCGTCTCTCCAATAGCGAGCCCGCTATCAGATTAGGCAATCCGCCTAGGGAGAGCTCAAACTATCCTAGTCCGTAACAGTTATCGATCGCATGATGACTCGAGCAGATTGAACCAACACAGTGCGCGACAACATTTCTGTAGGGTTGTCACAAAGTTGTGAACACCTCCAAGTCATTATGATGTTCCTCAGCAAAGGACATCGAAGGTGATGATTATCCAGCCTGTTTTCATACTGGCAACCAATCGCCATCGTCCTTTTCCATTATCCCTGGTTTCCTGTCTGTCAATGGCATCTCTGCGATGCCTCCAGGCTTTCGATGAGCTGTTACCTCTCGGCGATGGGCATGCGTCTTAGACAAGGATACTACAGGTGCGATATCAGCTTCCACTTCCTGCACTCGTTTGGAAATGTGCTTTCATCGACAGACAATCACCGCACCTCATTCTCTCGAGATTAAAAATATATCGTCGACTCTTCAACTAAGGCGTTTACCAGTCATTCAGCAAGACATTCCACCCCAAACCCCATAAGGGTGAGTCGTCTGTTCAATTCAAATTTCGTGGCTGGTGCCTTGACTGATCTATGCCAACAGGTAGCCATGTGTATATACCCAAGACTCTGGAGAACTATAGTTAGGAAGTTGTCAGAACAGGATGTGACGGTTTACTGTCCACATGCTTGGCATTCCTTTCTGCGCCAGATATCCCTGTTTTGGAGGGTTTTTTCGCGGTGATAGGTGCAGCAAGAGGAACATCCGGTTTGCAAGAGGCAGCGCTCAAAATACCTGATAGGGATGGCACATTGAGCTTCGAAGCTTCAACTATTCATCAGTGGACCAGTGCGTTCTTGCATCAACAATTCAGCCGTACTAGAATCTCTCGAAAGAAAAGATCTAGTTCGTACAGACCTAACCCGCACAGTAATATTTCACTGTCTCAAGGATGTTGATGCGGTGCATTTACATGGTCATATATTCCAATGTGACGAAAACCCTTCCTATATATTATGATACATTGTCTTGGAGTTTGATTCCGTCTCAGTCTATTCATCATGATAGTACTATTGAGGCTCCTTCTCAACACAAGTCATTGTCATTGACAAGGTTCTTGCAGATATCCTGCCAAAGGAGAATGTGTTTTGATATTTTCTGTGAGTTCTTCAAAACAAAATATCTCATGATTGCCTATGTTTGGAGTATAGGTATGACGCAGAGCGCACATCCATGAGGTACACAAGACCTTCCAAGAACCCCAGCCCGCCGGTGCCTCCATTGGTAGGTCTATTTGCATGTGGTTGAATTGTGCCTCACCATTTACAGGATCAGTGCCTCACTCCGGATTACATCATATTGGGTGCTTCCATTCTATCTTCCCTGGACACCCTTGCGAAATGTTCTATGACTTTGTAAGTAAGTTAGCACGTGGTTTTGTATTGTGGTTGCTGCATGGCTAAACTACAATATCAGACGATAGCTTCGCACCCCGTCCCGGGTGACAAGGGTGCCATCGATTCTTTCAAAATAGAACGCACACGTTATTCTCAAATTACTTGAGGGCGACTCATCTATCTAAGACAATTTGTGGGACGACCAAGACTCCGTATAATGTGTACTTCAGGCATGGATGAGGCGCGGCCTGATTATTTTGGCCAGGAGAGTTCGTCGACGCGATTCAGAATCTTTGCAGGGGGAAGACTACCCAAGGACTTATCCAACGCCCTAGGTTACGTGCACTCTCGGGGTAAGAGTCGTTTGTTTGACCTTATGTTACCTGTGCGCTCATTCCATGACTCAGGTGTCGACGCACTTTTTGACCCAAATGATGTTCAGTCAAGCATAAGACTCCCCTCGAAGGTTAGCTCCCGAAATTTTCGAATTTTCAATACGTCTAACAACTATTAGGGGTATTAGGTGCTACGTGCGGTAAGACATTGGATATGGTTCTGCAGTATACACAAAACTAATCCTCATGATTTATTTCAAGGCAAATTGGTGTCACATTATTGTTTCCCTCTTAGCTGCCTCGGAGACAGTAAGCCATATCGCGCTTACAAAAATGTTGCTAACAGTTTTTCTCTCAGACCTCATCTACCATGTTTATTTTCATCTTGACGATGCTGCAAAACCCAGAAGTACAAGCGCACACACAAGCCGACGGTCAGGCTGCCGAATTTCGAGGACAGAGCATCACTGCCATATATCGAGGCTGTTCTCTGTGAAGTTCTCCGGTGGCACCCCGCTGTACCATTAAGTATGTATCGTACGGACTATATGTTGTAAGTAACGGACTTAATATGAATGACACAGGTATCCCCCACGTCGCCACGAATGATGACTGTCTATCATGGATACTTCATTCCGCAAGGTGCGATATGTTTGAGAATTTGTAGCTTGTCGATTGACACACATCAGGGGCTACATATATTCGTACATTCAAACCGTAACGTGCTAACGTGCACCTCTAAGTCCCAACAGGTATTCAATCTCCCTCATTTCCCGCTCAAACAAGCGCCGTTCTCTTGCAATCCAAAGAATGATCATCGCGCGCATTTCCTCTCTCCACAGTGGTGGCCGCGGGAACGGCGCAGACGGCCGTTCTTGTTGATAAACCTGTTGGCGCACGCGGGCACGCGCGATCGCCCAAGTCTCGTAAATAATTTCCTGAAAAAAAATCAAACTTTGCCTGTTGTATGTACATCTTTACTCACCAGCTGCTCCTCTGGTATGGTGAATGATACCTCACGAGGCGACGAGCGATTCGGACGCTGCTGTTGTAAGCATGTACGACGGGGTAGTTGTTGTGAGTGTGCAGGCCACGACGGGATAGTACATCAGTATAGATCAAGTTTGATTAGCCGCTGATAATGTACCTGATCATTTCCTCCTCCTTCTCTGTTTCCATTTACTACATTTCTGAGTTCGTTGAGGTAGTTTTGCATGATAAAACTGGAATCAATAGAATTGTCAGACTCTGCGGATATCGAGCACTTATGATACTAGTATTACGGCACTGAGTGTTTACGATGAGTGTGACACGTCACAATCATTGTCACGGCCCTCCAATCTCCGCTCAATTCTCAGTTCAATGTGCTGTATCCAACAACCTTAGTGCAAAGGGCGAGTTGTGATTGTCTTCTGGTGAAGTAAATTTCTAGGTATGTGATACGATTGTCTGCCACCGCACCACTAACCTTTCCGCGAGTGTGCAGGGCCACGAAAATACGTCACGCGATCTTATGGGCCTTCGGTCCGTCATTATGCTATACCATTGTTTTTACTGCTCATGTTCACCTTTCAGCTCACAACGTCTCTTGTACCCCCTTGGGAGTAGGGATCAGCAGGGGTATGGGCAACCCCTGGGGGTCGGGGGTAAGGGTACTTGAGGGTAGGGGTATGGGTTTGGATCTGGAGACCCCTGTACCCCCGGACAATTGGTAGTACCCCTGGGCCTAGGGATAATATATCCCCAAATTGATTATCATAGGAGTGATGGATAAGTATAAAATTTTGAAGTTATCAACAGTATAATGGTTATTAGGCTTATTGTGATCTTATATTGTGAGTTGGCTATTATTTGAGTAAGATATAAGTAAAATATAATCAAAGGAAACATTTAAGTTAGTTTAGATGGTTCATAATGTACAAGAGTTACTTGCCCATGGTTTGAGTCTCATCTACATACTTGGCTAGGACTAAAGAGGCATAAATTAAAGTCAGCCTACTATGTCTCTTCTAGCCAAGATGGTGACAATACCCCTGTACCCTTGTGATACCCTTGTACCCTTATAATACCCCTGGGTTACCCTTACCCTTGGTCTGAGGGGTAAGACCCTCCAGGGGTAGGGGTGTGGGTTGGGCTCATGATACCCAGGGGTTTACCCCTGGTGATCCCTACTTGGGAGTGCCTATCGTAGCGAAACCGGTGGACTCATGTCAGCACTTAGGGCACTCTCTGTCGAGCAAAGTGAATCAATCCCTCTTGGCGTCCATCCTTCACTAACGTCCTTCTGATCTTAGTCCAGGATTATCACGCCACTTACTATGTTCCGATAATCTTGATCGTTACCGGAAAGCTTTCTACTGGAACAAAGTCTTTGTTGGCTGTAGTGCAGGACAAGGTTGAACCTAGTATCATTTCACATGGTCAAAACCATGGCCCCGCCCGAGCGGTTGGAGACGACCCTTCTTAGAGACCGCTAGTACCAACCGTTCTCCCATCAAGAAAATCACGAAGGAAACCGTCGAGTTTCCTGAGAAGGACGAGAGCCAGGGCGAACTTTTGATCATCGGCCTCTAGACGACATGGCCACTGACAACTATCCAATGGAAGCCATCAAATGCAGTGGTGGCGCCCTTGACACATTAAATGACCTATTTGGTGAGGCGGAGGAGGCTAGGAATGCACGTAAGTACTCCACTGCAGATCATAGACGCCTGTCTGATTTACCTGACCCCCTAGGCCGCTATGCGGCTGGTGAACTTCAAAGGCACCGACCTGCAAACTTCTCGCCGTATATCGACTTCCCACCCATACTACCATCGTGCCGCGTGAAATCACCCCCCTTGAAGTGTAAACTATAAAAAGTCATACTCATCAGCCATAGGAGGTGTCAACGAGGAAGAATATGATTACAGCAGGGATGACACGGTGAAAAGTGCCTCTAGCATAGCCGAAGCCGTGTTGGTCCGTAGCAAGCTCTCTGAAATTCTTTGCGGTCTTCGGGACGACAACGTCGTATAGCTTGAATGTTATACGTCCAGATGGCTTGTTGTCTATGGCATGGCTCGCATATCTATCAGGTAATGTTAAAATCAATCCAGGTACTGCCTGATGCGTCCATCATGGCCATCACTTTTGCCGATGTCTGCAAATGTTTGATGTGCGATGTAGGCCAATGGGTATTCATTGTCAAACTAATCTGCGGACTGATTGGTTTGTTCTCTTTATTTGGTTCTTCGCACCCCACATCTGTTTCATGATAGACGGACTCAGGCTGTTGTGGCTTATGTTTAAAAAAATAGTCATTTGAATGTATCTGGTTTGCTCTCAGGACACCCAAAGTTCTGAGCTGAGTAATTGAGACGAGGCGAGACATAGGTATGTTCACCAGAGCTTTGCACAGCGCGCAGGGGTACTGATACAGCCGGGCAGAGTCTGGGACTGGCAGGTCGCCGTCGTTACGATAAAGCTAACATAAGCGAAGTAGCGGCTTTCTCATTGTGAAGGCCGGCTGTGAGAACTGCTCTACCAGTGTGAAAGGCACTTTGGCCGTACATTGTGTTCCAGTATGGTAGCAATATTACGCAGATTACATAGCCATCCCTTGCCAGGTAATGCAAAACACAGCTGATGGAAAACGCGGATGCTTAAAAAACCAGACACAATCACTCACTGTTCATTTTTAGGCTGTGGTTGTACGATGTCATAACATTGTCGTAGATTCCAATGTGAATATATATTTGATATCCACTGCTAGTACTTCTTTCCATGATAAAGTCATAAATAGGTTTGTTGTTGAAAGATTAAATTACAGCAGATGAGCATGTTTAACAAATTGAACACAATTATGCCATGATTCCTTGCTGGCGGTAATGTCCCAATGTCCCAATGTTGTCACCAATTCCTCATTGTAGCGTAGATTTGCATTGATTCATGCTTATATATGAGCAAGTCAAAATTACTGGTGTATAAATAGTGATATTTGGCAACAGCAGAATTATATATTTCTATAGTTATCATGGCTACAATATCACGAACTCATGAATTCACTGATGGAAAGGTGCCGGTTCCTGAACGCACGGAAGGAACCGGCACCACACGTCCAGCTGAGGTGCAGTTTGACACCTATGCGAGCTCGCGAGCAAATAGATCAAACTAGTGCTTATCCTATAGCGGCGCTAGGTCACGCCAGAACCCCAACTCCGCATAAAGACATCAAGACAAGATATGATTTCACAGATCAAACGTAGTACAATTTCAGAATCAGTCACACCGAAGTCTGTTAAAAGACGACAGGTACCTTTCACCCCCGCGTACTCATTTACCAACTATCATTCACAAGGTCAAACACATCAGTAATGCCATTATAGACACAAGCGAAAGTGATTCGAAAAAAGGTCATGTGTGACCAGGTGTGCAAGCACCATTATGATTGGATAGATGATTGATTTGTCAATAGTTTCACATGTGTAGATACTTTGGCCTTTTTTCAGCCACAATTATCGGTTCTAGTGACCTTGGTAAACAAGGTAACACTTCAGTCCAGCAGCTACATCCATCTGAACTGTATTTCAAGTGACACATGATATGCTGAGCAACAACAATTGAAACAATAGCTATGCCATAAGATGCTTGAGTGCAACAACGTGTATTTCTCGTCTCCTGAGAAGATCTGCGTGCGAGATCGTGTTTCTAAGGTCAAGCTCCAGCTAATCCCAATCGGTCAGGGTAAAGATGTGAAGAGCAGCCGAGGACTTGCCTGAAGTAGTTTATCGGATTGCCACATCCTGGTAGGCAGGTTCTCTAAAGATACATAAACAGCGGAGTTGGATTCACATTCTATCAGCTCCTGTTCGTTGCTGCGAAGGATGCCTAAGGCGATGCGGAAGAGAACATCGAGTCCATCAACGAGAAAGACATCCCACACTCTGAAAAGCGTCTATTGAAGAGTCAGATAACATAGCGCGAACGCATATATGCTACTTACCTCTATTGGAAGGCAATCCGTGAAGAGCGACAAAAACCAAGAGAAGCAGATGGCTGGAAGGTCGACGCCAAGGGCGGTCAAATGTGTGTAAAGCCTAGGCATGGTCTCCTGCACGTATTCAAGGAGAACAAGGGGACATGCACGAGATGGTAAAAGCGAAGGCGAAAAAAAGTCATCCGGAAGTATCCGTTCGATGATTGCTGAGAGCACCCAAAACGCCTCTTCTTCATCGGCATGCACTAGCAACAAAGTCGAAGTTACGAGGTTCATGCCCTGGCAATACCCCACAGCAGGGTTGCGGCTGAGGACGTCATGTTAACAGACGTACCAGATTGACACGATGGTGTGACACTCACTGACTATATGCTCTGAGCACGCGACGAAGCTTGTCAACTCCTGCGCCGTCACCTCCAAAAAAGACGTTGAGTGGCATAGTCCTACCAACATCCTTCTCAATTTCCACGCAAACCAAGTTGTGCTCGTCGACATGAGCCAGCAAGTCGCCAAAAATTCCAGGTTCCCGCATATCCAAGCCTCCGCTGCATTCCAGCCAGAGCTTGGATCGGTACACTAGGGGTATACCTCCTCGCACCAACCGATCAAATTCTTTCCTCTCATGCGTATTCGACGACAGGCCCAGTTGAGCGAAACCAATGAGGCCCTCTGAATGGGATAATTCTTCTTCCTCGACTGAAGTACCCAAGCCAAGAAGAGCGGCAGCACCGCCGCCAGAGTTCGTAACCGTAGGCAGGATATTCTTGGGCAATTTGACTTTGCTACGTTGCTTCACAAATACATCCCACTCTTTCCTCTTGGCGTTCTGATTCTGATCATGATTCGTGGTCATGTCATCGAGAAGATGTCGGATAACATTAGCGCAGACATGGCGAGGTGTGGACTGGGTCACAGTCAGAATCGCAGTGCTAGAGTGAAGCGTGGGTACAGCAAGAGGTGTAGCTATCGACGTGACAGTGGTGGAGCGGGGCCGGGAAGATGATAATGAAGCAGCGCGGGAATGACGCGAAGGACTGCTGCTTTCTGGAGGGGTTGATGCTGCTCCTGCCTTGCTATTAGCAGGACCAGATAAAACCGGTGATATCGGATTGCCTTCTCCATCGCAAATGCAAGAATCCTTAACGATCTCAATCACATTCTTCTGGTTGTCGTCATCGTCGTCTGACCAAGAGTTACTTTCCTTGCGGTCAGCAATTTTGACGCCAGTCAGGCAGGCAGGTGCGGTGTTGCCACATTCCTTTGCCCGAATGAGTAGCAAGACATCGTACTGTGACACGTCGTACATGAAGCCATAACGATCCGTAAGAGGCTGTTTGCTTTCGTCATCGCGGTAAACTGTGAACCGAGACGCACTGGTAGGAAGAGGAATAGGAATGGTGAAGTTGAAGTGCGGAGCAGTGAGAGGGGTGTACGTGCGCGAAAGGTAATGAGTTGGAGGCTTCGCAGTCGCAGGTATAATGGACTCTAAAGCGACTGAACCGGGTTTGTTCGCCGAGTGTTGCTGCTGCACGGGAATATTACTCGGTCGTGCAGTGGACATCGTGCCCTCGCTTAATATTTTCGCGCTTGCTTCCATAGCAGGTAAGGATTTCTTATGATGTGGCATGAAGGAACCGAACAGAGGTGACGTGAAAGGCGAAATTATATTTGCTCCCCGTGACCTAGTTGTACGCACGGCTTTACCTTGCGCAGTCAACGTGCGGTTCAGAGCCGTGCTTGCATCTGGGCCCTCGATATGACTGAGGGTTGCGTGCGCGGTTATTTGGTCTCCTATCTCAGCCTTACCTGACCTATGCTCTCTCTTCTCTCGAAGCTTCTGGGGTTCGCGGAATGATACATGCTCGTCTCGTGCACGCTTAACAAGTTCAAGGGCCAATTGAGCAATCAGAGGGCTTGTCTCTCGGCCGTGATCAGTCAAAATGCTACCTGGATCCGAGGTCATAACTCGAATAGCATGGGCAATGGCACGGAGTGATGCGCCCTGCGGCGGCTTTTCTTCGGTCAAGGAGGGAGAAGTAGTAGAACTCCCTGATCTTGGATACGAGACTCCGACAGCTGCTAAATGTGGCGTAACAGGTGCAGGAGCAGAAAATGTACTCAACGCAGGGGAAGAGCTTACAGAAGACTTTGTGTCATCTATGCGGACTTTATATGATGGCTCCGCTACAGGTTTCGAAGTCGATGGTAGTCTCGTGGCAGAAGAGGATGATGTGGGAGGGTTGAGTATAGAAATACCCAAACTCTCAAACATGCTTCTGCTAGTTTTCTTGCGTGAAAAACTGTTTGGGATAGTCGGAGTAACGGAGGAAAGGGATTGAGAATGTGGGGATGAATATAGAGATGGTTGCTTTGCAGGAACTTCAGAAGTTTCCTTTACCGAGGTCGTGGTCAGCACCCGATGGTGTTTGTGTTTCCCCTTCTGCCACCAGGTACCCATCCAAGACGCTCTATCATTCCTGGCATGATGAATAGGAGCTACATGTTCTGTGACAGCCTCGGCAACCGTGGCAACGGGAGGTACAGTGGCTTCGGGGGCTGATATAGCCACAGATTTATCAGCTGCCGTGGACCCTATCCTATCGACGGTTGCCCCCGGTTCAACGTATGGCACTTCACTGGTTTGGGGAGATTGTGCAGATGTGACGATGTAAGTCGATGCCAAAGGAGTCATAGTATCATCCGGAACGCTGCGTGAAAGTAAAGTGTCATCCTCGATAGCTTCCGTCAACGATGTCTTGAGTGACTGTGTAACATATCAGAGCGAATAGGGTGCAATCAAAGTATACCAACGCACAGAAAGGCTTCCATGACGTTGAACTCGATGGCGCGTCTCGGCATCGCCAGGGAAGATTGATTGTATGACCCGCTTTGCCACCTCTCGTTCAGAGGGTAGCAGCTCCGATAACAAAGTTTCAGCACGCTCTTTGCGCGCTGCCTCCTTCTCTTGCAACAATTTCCTATGTTCTTCAAGCTCTATTCTGACCCTTGACAAACTATGGAGAGTCGATGAAAGCACACGAAGTGCTGTATGGTATGGATGAGTGTCAACATCTGACGGGGACTCTGCGACAGTAAATCTGGATATTGCAGCCTGGATGGCCTCATCTGAGTACTCGTGCCACTTGTTGGCAAGTACTTGTGCAGTCACTGACGGGGATACCTCTGGGGTGCCATCTGAAAGAGCAGTCCTCGGAGGGAGGGAGCCTGGAGGAACAAGGAAATTGTTATCAACAGGTCCAATGATAAATCGCGGCACTTGGTGCACTGGTCTATCCCAAAGTGTCGAAAGCGAGTTGGAAGACATTCCACGACCTGTCACTAGTTCTCCGCTGGACCCGCTCGCCGCATCAGGCTGGCCAAATCCGCGAACGCTGCCGTCCCAATTTGTTCGGATATTGGCGCCCTTGGTTTCTGGTTCCGCTAGTGTCTCTGACTGAGTTTTTAGAGTAAGATAATTGTTAGGGGACCGCGTTTCATCTACATCCTGAGCTCCACGCGTTCTGCGCCCTCGTGACGAAATTTCGTTCGGGGAGAGAGGGTGCAAATGCACAGGAGTACTGACGGGCGGGACCTGTGGATTCATTCGCTTAGATTCCAATTGAAACTTGGCATTATTCCAGGCTGGCTAGCCTTTGCTAAAGAAATGACTCAAGATCAAGAGAAGGAGAGTGTGTTGGACCGTGGGACAAACTTATGTGACTCGCAGACTCCTCGTCGAATCAAGTCTTAAAGTAACATAATTTCGTCGATGAGCTGGTTTAGTCGTTCAAACTCTGAACAATCTCCAGCTGCAACAAGGCAGGACCGCCAGAAATGCTGGGAAAGTCGTGACCAATACTTTGAATGCCTGGATAGCGCTGGTGTTCTGACTGCTGGAGAAGAAGGGACAGCATGCACCAAATCAAAGTTTCAGTACGAAAAGAGCTGTGCCAAAAGCTGGGTGAGTATGATGATCCAACTGTTCGCATCTAGTTGATCTGACCACTAAGCATCAGATTGATTATTTCAACAAAAGGAGGGTTCTCGCTGAGAAACAGAAGGATATGCTTGCACAGTCTCAGCTCCAATCGCAGGAAGCTAATCGCAAACTATAGTTCTGCTTGCGTACGAGAAATTCTGGTCAATCCATTTAGGCAGAATACTTATGATGAATCATTTTGCATCACAGCACCACCTCGGGCCTGACTCATCCACCCCCGAATTTTGCAAGCTGTGGTCCGTGGTTACATTCTTTCGCATGAAACAAGCAGATTACTTCTAATTCCCAATTCCTTAATTTTAAGATACCATTCAATCATCATCAAGAGTGGCGTTCTTGATATCGGATGACTCGGTTGTTTCATCATGTGCCCATTTTCTCATGAAGGAACTATCCTTATACTGCGTCCTCCGAACCGTTGCTGTGCTATATAAAGGACATCGCCCACCAAGTGTAACTAACGCAGTGTTGATTTTGATCTTCGCATCCGAGACATCACACCTGAAGGCACTTACAACACACCAATTTCAAAATGATTATCGATAACAGTTGACAACCGCGTTGTTCTATCCCGGACCCCTTATGACCCAAGTGGTACAACAGTTCATGCTACGCTTGCAAATATGTGATTTTCAACTCATTCTACGCCGAATAAGTAGCCTGAAGTTTATATTAGCCAGCTAATGTTCTCTTCCGAGAATGATGAAACATCATCAAGTTCTGCTTTGTGGCTACTTCTGGTATTACACACTGGGTTGCAGATGCCACCAACCCAGCGTTCTCATAACGTTTACAGATTTTCTTCCCATATCTTCCTACCAGATCTCACCTGTGCCACCTACTTCGAGGCGTTTACCTGATGTTCACACGAATAACCCCAGGCTGATTTGCGCCAGCTCAGGCAGTACGAGCTCCATCTGTGATTTCCAAGCACAGGATGGAGCAGACTATACTTGGCACTCATCAGCTGATGCTGTTTCGTTTCTAATAATGTTCAGGTTCATCGGGATGATTGACTGAGCTTCAACTATGGGTACATATATCCTGCCGTTTCTTGATCTGCTTGGACCTTAACCCCCTCTCATATTCGGCTGTCGTCACGGGCTTGGATATTGATGTCTTGGTTGAAGGCTAAAGACTGGGCATCGGGCATGGAATACTCCAGCCTGTTTCACTCAGGGCTGCGAGCTATCTCCCTCCGCTCCTTCATAGGCACGCGCACCCGAGCTCAGTCTACAGCCCCAATTTCTTCACCGGAAAAGACAAAACGGAGATATTCTCTCTCTTTGTCATCTTGTCTGCTCAAACGAGGTACCTCAACTAAGAGTCCCCCCACATCCAAATCTAGTCTGTGTCCACCTTGCGCGGAAAAAGGTGTGCGTCCACGACCTTCATCTATGTTCGTATGCTCCACCAATGAGCTGTGTGAGCCCTGTGGAAAGGGAGGGAACTTCTTTGATAACATCCATGGTCGTCAGAAGTTGATGTGCGCACACTTTCTGCAGATACCACTGATTTGGGCACTGATGTTAAATCACACAGCCAAGATGGAGCTGATGGTCTACCTTTGCCCATCATGGACTTGGGAGATCCGTTTTCTTCATCGCCTCAATCAAAATCGTTTTATGTGAACCTAGGGGACCCATCGCCTCTTCCACCCAAAGAAGAGTCTTTCCTCTCTTTGTCAAATGATCTAGATACCTTCTATAGACCACTCCGTCGCGAGCGTCCGCTCTCGACCCAAACTATGCCTCTGCCTTCTTGTCGATTTTCTGGGCACTACCGGCGCGAGCGCAGGGAACGTATCGATCCTGCGTGGATGCTGGAAGAATCAAGTCCAGAATTGGAGGCCCAGGACAATGGAGAGAATGCTGATGTTACAGAACTAAATCTTGACGGTGTGTCGGATTGGCGCCAGTTCCACGTTGATTGGCTCCAGAACGAGCCTGCTGTGCAATTGACTACCGGGATTTAATTGTTGCCGCTTTATTGTGATCCTACTGTACTGTATGTAATTCACCTTGTATTCTTATTACCTAGACTTGTATTACTTGCCTCGTACTTCACACACCTCGTTGTTTGTAACTTTTTAGTTGGCAACATTTAGTTCTACTTAATTTAATACATTCTCTATGATTCTGACACGAGTCGCCGAGGGTTAGGAGAACAGCATCCAAAATAGGCAATATTATGTAATATTAGAGCAGTTGCTCTGCTCAGTGACGCTGCTAATAAGTTACAGGTCGCTTTCATTCGTCCCCAGCGGTGAGATATCTGCATGTTGATATACCGTGAAATGTCTTCAAAGTTTACTGACAATGGCTTGTTTCTCTACCATCAGGATACTTTAAACCCGCGCATTAAAGCAGGACTTATCTGCTGCTTTAGCATCGAGGATTCAAATCAGGCGGCTATTATCCTGTACTCACACGACAGGAGCACAATAATCACCCTCCAGTTCCAACAGGCATATATTCTATTTCACTCTCACCGAGTGAGCTGTTCGTCATGCCTGCAAAGTACTCACATGTGAAGAAGAGGACGACAAACCCCAAGAAAAAGGCCGCTGCCACGATTCAGTCCGGGAAAGACAACAATCGCCACCAAAAGCTCCCCAATCACCTTGACAAGACGATTACAAATGCCATGTCAGCAGTCTCGCAGCTGGAGCGCGCCATCGCGAAGATCTTCCTGATCCGCTTCGAGCAAGATATCGCGCGCCTGTTTTCAACACACATATTCTGTGTCGCTCTTATTCACTTACCCACGTTCATGATGCGGTGTATTACTGTCGGCGGGCCCAGCTGGGTCGCCTATAATGCGGATAATGAGGAAATTAAGGACTTCTTCCGTTCCGTCGTTAGTATGGACTTGCGACAGGCTGGAGAACGGGTTTCGACGAAGAGTGTTTTGTGGTCTTATACAGCTTTGAGAGAATTTGTGCGGTTTCGATCTCATTCCATGTATTAGCGAAGGCTGATTATTAACTGTCTTAGGCGCTTTCTAACAATGTTCCTGTATGCCGGAAGCGTGGTCTACACTCTCTTCGACTACTTCCTCACTACGACTCGCTAAAGGTGCACATGGACTCCCTGGAGGCGATGCCGCACGCGACATTTACTAAACCACCGCATCTCGGCGCCCTTACAGAAGGCTTGGAGGCCTTGGAAGAGGCGTGCGAGTTGAAGTACGGGGAAAAGTCCCCGTTAAGGTCCACCCCTCCTCCTGGATGGGATCATCAGTGGCGCATGAAAGTACGCACGGGATATGAAAGGCTTGCTCAAACTCTCTGGCGAGTGACCCGGGAGTTTGATGTCAGTGGATACGGCTGTGTGCTTCGGGAGAAGCTTACAACGAAGTGGTGCGATTGTGGATGCTCTACGGATCACCTGGGCGAGGTCTGTGAAAAGACGGTACGGGAAGATGAGGAAGGGAGTGGTGTTAGATCTGGTAAGCAAAGAGAATGGGATGGGCGAGGTATGTCATTTAAGCAATGTAATTATAAATGTGTGACATGGCCTATAGGAAGCGGCGTGTTGGGTTGGGAGACTGAAGAAGAAGAGGATATATGGGATATCGATCTTGATTTTGGCGGGAGCGATTCTGAAGAAGGGGATAGTTTTGGGTCCGAAATGACCATTGCTCAAATGATGGAAATCAGGTTCATCAAGGCAGAAAGAGAGAAGGAATTCGTGAGTATTGTTCCGAAAAACACAGCATAATAAAACTCATGTGCATGGTTGTAGGGTAACGCCGCGTTCCGGCGAGGCGAGTATCAACGCGCCGTAAAACATTACAAGGCAGCACATTCAATTGAACCAGAACTGCCTCATTATCAACTCAACCTTGCTGCGGCCCACCTAAAGCTCAGCGAGTATGTCGCAGTCCTTCAGATGTGTACCTAATTCTCAGACAATTCATAGCTGGCTTGAAGCCGAAGAAGCATGTACAAAAGCCTTGGGACAACATCGAAGCATAAAAGGTTATTATAGACGCTCGAAAGCGCGTCGAATGTTGGGTAAGCTAGATGACGCTGTGCAGGGTGGGTGTGTTTTTGAATTACCTTTCCGATGTACTAAGCTGCTGTTAGATTTACGTGCGGCACTGAAAATACAGCCTTCAAACAGTGAAGCGTTGGATGAACTGCTATCCATTCTTCCGCCCAACGATTCATCACGTTTAGCTCCTTCATCTTCATCTCTTGCAACGTCCTCCTCCAGTACTTCACCAGCCCCTCGAAATGCCGGTTCACTATATGACCACCTGCATTTACCCAAACTGAAGCAACCAAAACAATTACCGTTTCCTCGGTCCAGCAATGATGATAGGAAAATTAAAGTTTCCTCGATCCCAGTGTCCTATGAAGTTCCGCTGATGTCTGCTGGGAAGGCCTCGACAGAACTGAAGTCGAAGGATCTCAAAACAAGGACAGAGTCGTTCATCTTTCCAAGTTGGGAGAAGTACACGGTTAGGCTGGCTACTGGTTGAGTGTACGAAACCTATTTTTCTAGATTGCGTGTTCTGTATGCAGGCTTATCTTGTTGCCACTCTATGGGGATCATCCTTGGTTTTCGGCGATAATATTGATTTCGTTGTTCTACCTCTTGTCCTGTGTTTGATCTACGTAATCGTATGTAGAGATCTATGCGTGGGAGGTGTTTTACACGGCCATTGGTGTCATCAGTGCCCTTATTCTCCAATTAGCGGCCTTGATGAGTTTTTTAAGCTGATAAGTTTGCGATTGAATCGGATGTACTGACTCACTACTTACTCAGGCTACGAAAAAGTTAACGTGGGTTAACAACGATTGACTGGGAAAAAGAAACTCGTAGCATTGGGGCAACGTTGCAACGATAGATCTAGATACAGATTTTGCATCCGACATCTTGTCATACATACATATGATGTGTGATCTGAGCCTTGAGTACAGGTTGAATCGGAGAACGAAGTAGGCTGGGGCTGCAAACATGGGCGCAGGTCCTCTGGATTCAAGTTGGTCACGGTGTTCTTCTGAAACAAGTGTTTGATATATCAAGAGCTAGATTGTCCTCGTTGATTATAGTACGTCTCCATTTTACCATTGAAGACTCCAGATGACAGCAAGAAGGCGCATCAGATGCAAACACCTCACTGCTCCTAGTGCCACCAGAGGAAATGTGCATCAGCATCCGACCACCAAATAGCGTTCAAGTGCTGCAGCAGGTCAAGAAGTTGCAACATCCGACGTACTGATGAGATCCTGTTGTTTCCACAGGATCCACCAGAGCAAGTGATCAAAGACCGCTTGGTCGATCAAGAAGACTTTTGATGTCAACCACTGATACAAGGATTCATGAGTTTTAGCATCAGATTATAGGGTGTTACTACAATTATTTCAGTCCATCAAGTACTGGCAATGAGTGGTTGTTGCTCTCCATTATCAACGTTTGCAACTGAAGGGTGATATTTGCGTGTCAACCGTGTAGTCAATGCGCCGTCCTCCAACCGTTCCACCTCCTCCACGATGGTATACCCCCCTAGCCATGGCAAGACGATAATCCACAGCCAGTAATAGAATCCGCACACCTATAAAGGGTCAGATTTATGTAGAATCGGGGTGTAAGCGATGTACATACCGCAAGGACACCCAGACCCACCACACAGTAACTGAATGATGGATATAGTCAGATGTGGACCTAAAATGCGACAGCATTAGACTTACGTTGCGTACCAGAAAGACACGTCGCTATGACCAGGTTCCGGTGGTATCCTTGTCAAAAAATCAGTGCTGCTTCAAGGCATTGATTTGGTAGGACAATACCAGGGCATTATGAGAAGAAATACTGCGCTGAGGAGGTAAAGGGAAACGTAAATATTCCCCGCACGATACTTCGAAGGCGCAAGGCCAGCAAGCGCTTGCCGCTTTCGAAGAAGCCACAATCCTATAGCAGTTGCGGCATTGAATACCTGCGACTTGTTGATCATATAATAAGCTGCGGTCGGATAAAATACCTACTAAATTCGGATAAGAAGACAAATCTAACAAGAAGTTGAATGCATCTCGAGCTGGGAGGGCGACTATCACGAAGACTGTAAGAAAGTACTTCAGACACACAGGTCCTAATGGCGTGCCGAATGGCTTGGTCGATGCAAAAAATCTTGGATACGGAAGTAGCCCCTGGCGGGCAATCTCACGTAATACGCGTGCTTGACCAACAGTCTGGCAGAATATAAGTTTTCACATTATGAAAAGTAGTTTCAAAATGCTTTGCTTACCACAGCGATCTAGAAATGTATTTTGTGAGTAAGTCGGGCATGCGAAATACAAAGATCACACACGATGTTGCCGAAGCAACTTAAAGCAACCATGATCGGCATGATTTGGGCCGCGAAGCTCCCTCCGTATACACGTTGGAAAAATAAAGCCGCGATGAGTTGCCCAGAATTTTTTATCTCGTCCTTTGGCACCGCTGCCACGTAAGCAACGTTGACGAAGAAAAAAAGACAGGTGACTAAAAGTAGCGAGAGTAAGCCGGCTTTGCGTACTGTGCGGACAGGATCACGCGTATGGACTTCCCCAATGACATTAAATGCGTTGTGCCAACCAGCAAATGCAAAATTAGTCTTGACTAGGGCAGTAGCCAAAGAATTGGGATTGGTCGTGCTCCCACTGAAGGGGGACCGGAAATTGGCATACGGATCGCTGATGTGAGTGAAACCGCCAAGTACAAGGGCACCCGTAAAGACCAAGCTGAAAGCACAATATGTCAGTAGATGAAAGATGGTGAACGATGCACTCACAAGACAAGAGAAAGAACCTTCAACCCAGTAAGAATGTTCACGGCTCTTAAAGACCATTTCGTTGACAGGGCGACGACTGCGTGGTCAAGTTCCAGATTATACCTTGACGCAAGGAATATAAGAAGCTCACAAGACATACCCACAGCACAGACAGCTATGGCAATAATGGATTGTCTTCCGGGAGTGATGGGGACGTCGAAAGCTGTAAGTGCGTATTGCGCAAACACAATAGAATTTGTTGCGCTAAAACTGGTTAGCGTAGAAACAATTCCGTGAACATCGCGTTCAACATGCAAACCGTAGTAGCACGCACGAAAGAAGGACTGAAGTTACAGCAAACATAACTGGGACCAAAAACTGTGGACGAGGATACGCCTGCTCCAAGTACACGACTTCTGCCCCAGATCTCTTTGGGAACATACTTGCGAATTCACCATAGATCATAAGACCTCCGAGTGCAAATAATGGAGCCAATAGCCAGAAGACGAAAAGTAGGCCGACGGAGCCAACGGAATTCATTATGACGCCTGGAACAGAGTATATTCCTGCACCGAGTATTTGCCCGATATTGAGCATAACAGAAGACAGTAATGTAACCTTGTAACCCAAGGGACTGCTCTGCAGACGAGGTGGGTATTTATCGGATACAAGTGATCGGTTGTTACCTTCTCTATTGGCGCCCCCGCTGCTGACAGAGTGTTTCCTTCATCTTGCGCATCCTCGCTTTGGGCGAGGACTTCAGAGTCCAGGACATTGTCGATGATGGTCATGAGACTACTGACGGTGGGCTGATAGGACTGGTACTCACTGGCAGGACTGTATCATAATTATAAATCCACAAGAGTCGGCGCCCAGCGAATTGTAGTAGTCATTGACTACCATTATGGCGCCATCACTGGCAGTGTCCTTGGGCAGTATACGGTCGTGATCGGATCGGAGACAAACCTCAATGCAGTTTTAGTATGAATCACGGTAGCTGGCCGCAGTTTCAGTTCTAAAACGAGGAAGCCGTGAAGAACTAGTAGAAGTAGGTGTATAAAGGCTGAGCGGTGAAAGACCTGAAGAGAATCTAGTAAGAGCGGGTATTATGTAAACTGAACAATGCTATAAGTATACCTAGGTTGTCAACAAAATATTGGCTTGGCACCTCGTCCTCAGCGGATGTTATCTGTGGCAGGTGCTTGAGGTATATATAACCTTTTTATTTTTATCAGCCTTCCAGAAGAGTCACGCATACTAAGTAACTAGCGCCTACAAAACGGATTCCAGCCAGTCACCCTTTTTCGAGGTTCCCACGGTCTGGAGTTGTCTGTGTCCCTCATGCGATGGTTTGGCGCAGGGCATTGCTCAATTGCTCATTATCATTCGTGTAGCACGGGGGCAGGCAATTACCACATATGAATTGTCAACGTTGCGCTGTGTCTACGTTTCTAGCATTCTGGCAGACTGCATTCGCACCACACGGAACCAATACCGAGCAAGTAGCTAGGTTTGCACTCTGTCACGGTTGATGCTAACGGCGGGACGGGTAGTATAAATATGATATGAGGGTTGGACTTGAGCTTGGCTACAAGACTCAGACTGCAGAGACACGACGGGTAGTATCTATGCGACCGACCGCGCTGTTCGTGTTGTAAACATGTGCGCGTGTGTGTGTGGAACACGGTTCTACTGTGTGCCATCAATTAAAGGTACCGGAGCCGAAAATCATTTTTCAGTCCTCTCGAGTGTTATTCGTCCCCTACACCTTGTTTTTTTCTTCACTGCCACTCCTACTACATATGTACTAATTTTCACAGTGAAAGTATTGCGATGATGTGCTCCCAAAACACACCCATTTCGCACTGTAGTATGATTAGACCAATCATCATTCGTGATCGTAAGCCGTCTCATCATTGGCATGTGGTACTAGTGCGAAGTCGACCGGTCCGGTAGTGGACGCCGTTACGCCCAGCGAAGCCGCCCCACTCTGAATCTCACACCGCTATCATAGGATATGCTCAACATAAGTAAGTTCATGCTACCTGACCAACACGCTGTCGCAAAATATTCCAGGGATGAGAGCGACACTCATCACGTTGGGAATGGATGCCTGTCGAGTCTCGACTCTCAAGCGGAAATGTTCGTTCATTCTATTCTGAATCTGTCCCAAGTCTCTTTATAACCATTGCTTCTTAGGAAGTTCTTCCCCGCTCGTCCCTGACTGTCTTGGCTATCTTCACCATTGGATAGGACGTATCTAGCACTCAGTCTGGTTATCTGAGTCCTCAAGTGACCTCCTTTTAACTTGTCCGCGATCAAAAATTGTGTCATGTCATCCGACACCCCATCGACAAATCTGTGGCTTGAGCGATCTCGTCTCGATGGAATGATGTTAGGAGCAGTATCCTATGGTGCGTTTTTAGTTTACATAGTATGGAAATTTGGAAATTGACTCTTGTACCGCAACAGGCGGATTCTTCATCCTTACGGTGCAAGCTGCGATCGCTCTCATGCAACGGCCTCGACATGGGGGGAAGATTGCAGATAATCGCTTGACTCTCCTTGCCTACATCTTTATAACGTTTGTATTGGGGACGATAGGTTTCGCTGGGAACGCAAGATACACGCAGATGATCTGGATAGACCTTCGTGATGCGCCTGGTGGTCCGTCCGCACTGATTGAGGATGAGATGAATTATTCTATCAACGTCGTGGCGATTTCCTGGTAAAGTTTCTTTTCCCACCTATGTGCAAACTGTGTTGACAGTTTCATCCAGTTACTTAGTCATGGAATGGTTTATGCAAGCCCTACTTGTGAGCTGAATTGTTCGTCTTCTTGGACAGGTGGAGGCCTGATTCTTAGAATATTTTAGCTTTACCGATGTTTTGTAATATGGAATTGGGCAAGATACGTGATGGTCCCGATGATCATTCTCTACATTGCCATGATTGGTACGATTCACTGTCTGTCGAATGACAGTGGTCGCTGACATCTTGAGCAGCAATGGCTATTCTTGTCTTGATCGACTCGAGCGCTGGTGCCATATTCTACGATATTAATACCGAACTGGCCTACCTTTCCCTCGAGGTTGGGCTCACTGTCATCTACTCCGTCCTCGTGACGAGTCGTTTGCTCTCCATGCGAGGCCTGATGAAGCAGATCATACGAGAATATGATTCTAGCACCTATGACACCGTCGTCCTCATGGTCGTCGAGTCCGCTATGGCATACATTGCCTACGCCATTGTTTTCATAGTTTCCTTCGGTATGCATAGTAATGTCTCCAATCTATGTTTCCTGTCTATCAGCCATGTCCAGGTAAGCACACGGCAAATTGTGTTATCTGTGTACCTGATGCTAGCTTGTTTTTAGGGCATCGCCCAATTGCTTATCATCATCCGTGTAGCAAGGGGGCGGGCAATTACTTCGGAGCAAACACGAGCTATTGCAGCACATACGACTATGGCATTCTCAGCGACTGTATCTGACGAAATGGAGGGAATCAATATTGAGCCAACAGCAGGGTCTGAAGAGGGCAGTGTCGAGTTGTATTCCGGTCTGGAGAAGGCGGCTGAAACAAAAGAGGAAACAGCATGAAGATGACGCGAGGTTGTATTCATACTTGTTATGCTTATAAGCATACAGATGGTTGAACTGTTCTTGTTTGCACCAGGCCGGCAGAGGTTTTCGAAGTAGGGACGGAAATGTATGAGTACTTCATAGTATGGATAAGTTGCACTTGGATACGGTCAGGGCTGGTGACTGTCTCACTTACCCATCGCTACATGACAATAAAACACATAAGCGCTCCCTGGAAAACTTTTTGTTGGATGAATTGACGTTACAGCACTAATCGCCTCCGAGTCATACCTGCGCTAGTTGTCCTTCAAGCTTCAAGTTCAAGGTTTATACTAGGCTTGCGAGCACTTCCGCCCCTGTATTGAATGTTACTAAGCAATCATAGGCTTCTCATCCTAATAAGGCCAAACACTCACTGTACATTTCTGGGTGCCTCGAGGCTTGACCAGTACTACTACGAGCAGACACTCAGGCTGTCTAAGCTGAAACCGAGCTGAAACAACTCATAAATTTATTGGCAGGAACATCATGACTTTCGTATAATTTCACTGCTTACTTGCCATGTCGCCCATCATGGCGCATTTCGGTCGTACCTCTCACCTGGGTAATCATCCACTGCCACACCATCGTTGTTTCTGGTATCTGCCACTATCTCTACCTGCTTGATCTTATCAGCTACTTGTTTCTCAGCTCTCCTTGTTATTCATATCCCAGCCAAAAAATCACAACATGGCGCTTCAATCTCGTCCAGTGCCTATGAATGCTTCGCCCCATCACTCCAAGGTCAAGGTGTCCCTGACGCTATCCGACCCCATATTTGTGGCTGGCAATAATATTTCTGGAAAAATGGAAGTCGAATGTCGCGGCGATGGTGATTGCGGTCTTGGAATTGGTCTTATGATGGTCGAATTATTCGCCGTCCAAGGTTTGTTTATTCCATTCATTATCGCATAAACCACCAACTAATGCTTAATGCATAACCCAGAAATTACGTCTCGTGACCACTCAGGCACTTCCACCTTTATTCATTCTCGCAGACTGTTCCAAGGGCCAGGACTCCCGCCGTCGAATGCGATCCAATCTGACTTCGATCCTCCAGGAGAATCGCACCTTCCGGCCCATTACTACCCTGCACGTCGTGGTCTCACTACATTTTTCTTTCGCTTTCCCCTCCCGCCCTCGTCCCCCGCCTCAATATCATTCGGTCCTGCCCAAATACGATACGAAATACGAGCCAGCGTTGGCGTTGCTTGGAGAGGAGAGAAACGCCTCGTGACTGATCATCAATACGTCAATGTAGTCGAATATTGCGATATACGAGCACCGTCGAAACGCCCTCAAGGTTTTGCTGTCACCGAGGGTGGAAACATCTGGGCCCAAGCTTTTGTCACGAATGGTCCCATCATTGCTGGAGAGGTCGCTTGCGTCGAGTTACAGCTGAAGAATCATTCACTCAACTGGGTTCGTTGTGCTGGTTCTTGTTTTTTATGGGATCAACTTACCATAAATCTTGCAGACGTGTGGGGTTACGCTCACACTTTCCCGTGAACTTCGACTATCGTCACCTTCTGTGGATAAGGACACGTTTAAGATAACCGACACAGTCACCGAGGTCGAGTTTAGGGGTCACGAGTATATGGTCCCCCCTGGCATTGAGGGTGTTGCCAACTTGGTGATTAATATCCCTCGGTCTTCCCGTGGATCTCGTGGTGGTGCTCGCGTCGGTGAGAATGGAAACACAATTGACTGTTTGTTTGAAGTTCGTTGTAGCCTGAGACTCCGGATCGATATGCCTATTGGGAGGTGCGTTGTGTCACTCTCATTCTTGGGCAACGCTTTGAACAAGTACCTCCAGCGAACCTGTCATAATCACAATTCCGCTGGTCATTCACCATCCTTTGGCCATACCTAATGCACACGCGTCACCCTACGCCATCCCTGCCACTTCACCACAGCCGTATGCATCACCTCCTACACACGCTTATCTGCTCCCACCGCCTCCTGGTGCTTCCTACGTGGATCCTCATTTCTCATCACAGCAATACGACCCACTACATACGTACTGGCCACCACCGTTTCTAAGTGCAGATTATAAGACTTTCACTCCTGCATTTTCGGAGCAGCATTATCCTCGGGATTTATTTTCATCTAATCCACACTTCCAACACCATACGCCACCACCGCCTCGACCAGCATCAGCCGAACCTCACTCCCAGATGCCGTATTATGATACAAGCTTACCATCAGGACTTCCTACATCAGTAGCTCATCTTCTGCTGCCTCATCCACCTATCTCATATCACCCTCCACAAGCTGCCGAAAGCAGCCCTCAGTACCTCGCAGATTCAGAAGAGGGCAAAGGCACTCGTGCATCTCGCATCTCTCAAACGCTGCGTCTATCCTCTCGACACCGCTCAGTCTCACCACTATCGCACAGATTTCCCTTACCTCAGCCCTCTGCTCAACACGTGTCCCCTGGTCGCCCGTATCTTGGTGCAATTCAGATTTCCACCCTGCCTAATCCTTACGACTCTCAAGGTGCATTACACTCACCACGCCCCATCCCATCACCAAAACAGTCCTACTCGGGCCCTTCTCCACGCAGCGAAAATGTGTGTGCCCTGGAACGCATGGCAGACGAAGTCGGCAGGCATAGCGGCGATCTAAGCGCAGATCTTCCAAAGTGCGCGGCAAACGTAGACTCGAACGTGGATAAGATGCTCCCTAGTCCTCCTGTTCCATCTGGTAAACGACCATTACGCGTTCAACAGCAGGTCCAGGCAGCATTTCCCGATATTACTGTTCCTGGTTGCTCTGCGCCCAAATCCGAGTTGGAATCTGCTTGCCCCCCTCCACCGATGCCACCACTCGCAGCTATAACTCCTGTCAAGTTCCCGCGCGCACCGTGTGAGTTATCTGGCCTGAGCACCAAGTATATCAAGGGCTCCCCGCAGGAGAGCGGCTTGGACGCCCTCGAGCGGCGCCTACTCGCAGAGGTAGGGACGCGCCGCCAGGACGTAGGTGAGCTGCGCCCGGATGTGTGCAGCGTGGTGCAGCCAATTAAGATTCCGGCCAGTGGGGCTCCCGCGGGTGTGAATGACAGTACCATATCGAGTCTGACGCTCGCGGATCGTGACGCTTTCCTGCGAGGTGACGAGGACGAGCGAGAGCAGGAGCAAGAGCAGGATCATGATTCAGACGAGAGAACACAGCACCGAGGTGGACGTCACAGTCAAAGTGATGATGAACGCGAGGTGCGCACCCAGAGGGGACGGGGAAAAGTAAAGAGCAAACATAATGATGAGGATGATGAGAGGCAGGTTACGCAGAAGCGGAAGAGAGGCAAGGTGGGTGATATGCGGAAACTGCGTAGTGAGGTCAAAGGGCGGATTGCAGCATGGCTAGGGGAGATCGATACAAGCCCACCGCTTGTGGATGATTCGTTATCTATGGTGTCGCCCACTGCATCCCACTTCGTTCCCATCACTGACAACAAGCCTTTCTCGCCACCTTCATTGTCAGAAGACCTGTTACCATTGTCGGGCGATCAAGAACTTGGAGGAATACCATTCGACAACGACATTTCTGCAGCTCCCAATCCACGTTCATCTGGCTTCGTGACTATTTCTACGCTCAAGGCTGCTGGCACTGGACACTCTACTACGCCTGCACCGGAAAATGTGCATAGTAGCTTTGATGGAGAAAAGAAAAATCCCGCCGTGGAGTTGTTGGCACCGGGTCCAATCTTGAGAAGGATGTCCACGGGCCAGTCAACCACTGTAACACCTGTTGGCTCTCTTTTGAATGCTCCGCTTGCAGGATCGAAATCCCCTGACATAACAAGGGCTGAACCCATATCCACAGTTACTCGTCATTTCTTATCGCCTCATCACTCGCGCCATTCCCCCAAACCACCTAGCCCAGAGGTGAAGTATAACATCCGTTCTGCACGCGGAGGGAAAGGCGGCAGGGTCACTGAAGTTGCTTCGCTATGGGCCGCAAAAGCAGATACGACTCAGATACAGGCGAAGAAAAATGAGGCTGCTCAGCCCTTGAGAAAACCTGTTAACCATGGTGGAAAATTATCCGTCAGGTCCCCACGGTCAACATCGCAAACTCAGGGTCCGGCCGATACGAGCAGGGAGGGACGCGGGAAGGCCACAAAAGCAACAACAGTTCCTGCTGTCATTTCATCGTCTCATGCTGTGCCCATGCTTTCATCTACTGCTTCTCTCGCTCGTGCATCACCCAACCCCAGGACCCCAGCATCCCGTCCTCTACCTCCAATGATTTCGGAGACGATATCAAATCTTAGAAGTGTTGTTAAGACACCCATTCCCAGAGTTACTCGCACCCCTGGTGACCTTGGATTTGGTCAGGCGCGTCTCAGGGACTTAATCAAGAAATATCAAGGATAATTTGCTTGTTCGTTACTGTATGACCAATGTATGTGCTACTTTGACTTATGTTGTTGTTTTATTTCCTTTGCTTGTTTTGTTTTTGTTGTCTTTTTTTGGCACTGTCTCGATTGATTTGCGATTGATCATAAATAGATCATTCGGTGTATGTTTTAATTATACGACTAGACACGAGGTTCGAATCATCACGGGTCCAAACATACCGTGTGCGTGAGACTCATAAAGCCATCTTGCCCGCAGTCTATAAATGTGATATCAGGTGCATACAAATCACGGGATCGACGGACTCACTTCGATAGGAAGTAATATCGTCAAGATGGCTGCAACCATAAATAACGCAGCAGACACAAAGACAGGACTGCAAAATACAAAAGCCACTATCAGCTCAATAAAGATGGATGCGATCACGACGCACCCATTTGCCGTGTTTACTGATGTATTGCCACTGAGCGGTGTTGTGGCAATCTTGATAAGAGGGGCAATAAGTCCGCCGATGCGGTTCAGCGCAGAACAGAGTGCGTCGCCCGTCCCACGGTGAGGTGCCGGGAAGACCTCTGGGGTCTACACGGTTTGGGGTCACATTTCAGGATCTTGGACAGCTCCTCCAGTATATCACTCACATACGCATACAAGACTCCATACATCTAAAGGGGAAGAATTAGTGCATGATACTCAACTCAGTAAGCTAACCCGTACCGCATTCCTGTGTGTATGTTGTCAGCATACTATGCGGTTTATGAGGTCAGTGTCGAGTACGCACTGAGTGAGACCAGAAGCACAAGAATACCCGAGCACTGCAGCCGTCGTCTTGCTCGTTGTGAACAAGAAGAGGAAGAGTCCAGTCAGCATAGTTGACACGGCCAACACAAGTTTCCGTCCCCCTACGAGCCACCGACCAGAGCCACGAGTATAGTCAACGGTCGCACAGGCAATGAGAGACCCGGGGATGCCAAGGACGGATACGATCGAGTAGTTGCGGTATGTCTCGCTCACGCTTGACGAACCGGATGCCGAACCTTGTGCGGAAAGATAAAGTGGGAGATAGGCATTGAAGAGTGGGTATGCGATGCCAATTAAACTGAACATCCGCAAGTCAACATGGGCGAACACACGCAATTCTTTAGGTACATACCCCCAGATAACGATGATGAGGGTCGTGTTGATTACCAAGCGCCTGTTAGAAAAGAGCGGACGGACGTGCGAGCTGCAGCGGACTCAGCAACTGATATAATGTCAGAGCAGACGACGTACAGCGACATTTTAGAAAAGGAATTCCAGACGCTAGTGGACAAATTCGGTACCGTCTTAGATGTTGTTTCACCAGATATTGCCTGCAGATCTTCGAGTTTGAGTGTAATAGTCCTACCGTTACGCTTTGCAATGTGTTCCAGGACCTGCAGAGACATTCCGCTGAGCCCGACGACAATCAGTAGCATTATGTTAAAACCTTAATGGCTTCTTCGTCACGACCTTGCGCCACCAGAAATTTCGACGACTCCTGCACGTCAAACACAAAGAAGCGACATATAAACATCAAGAACGTCAAAGCCCCGCTAAGTAGAGGAATTAGGTAGAACAGATGCAGCTGATGTAAAACGTACAGGGTATACCTAGAGACAGGCGTCAGCATCAATCTTGTATACTACAATGTCACTAAGACGCGACCTACAATGTGTATCGCCATCCCATGTTGGCAGATTTGGCGCACTGGCCACTTGGTATCGACGGGTTACAAGAGAAGTTGGCAATGAAAGCCCAACTGATTAAAGATGCTACCAATTGTCCTAACGCCCACCAGACCGACAGAAGAGTTAAAGTCCACTAGGAGTCGGAGATTAAATACCTAAACTGTGATAAAATATCGCGGCCAATGACGCACCTGATGAGACTGTGGAATATGTTCCAAATACAAGGCGCCTTCAGGTGCATGGATGATAAATTATGAGGGTGTCTCTTGGTCAGAACATTACTTACCATCAACAGGCAAACTGCAGATACCAACAACGATGTCGAGTGTGATTAGATCCATTTTTGCCCTTACGGACCCAGATATGCTCACTTTCCGCCGACACCAAAGCCCATGCATGCTATAAGGGAACAAAATATCACAAAATTGGGTGCACCTGCTGCTGCCAATCCAAAGAGGCCGGCGAGAAAGAGCGTAATCTTTTGTCGCCAATCAAAAAGTCTCCCACGCGACTTTCAGTGCATAACTTACATTGAAAGATAAGGTTCTTCCGACAAGGTCAGCCATGATGCCCCATGTTGTGGCGCCAACAATCAATCCAGCGAATTCTGCTAGGACAGCGTACTCGACCCGAACCGGGTTAAGCTCCTGTTGTACCTGGGGAAGTACGATTGCCAAACCTTGCAGCCAGAGATCTAGTAGCAGCAACCAATTAGACGAAACACGTGCGATATATGCAATTCTTATCTCACTGTCTGCGAGCCATCCTAGACCAGTAATAACAAAGAGCTGCCATTGATAGCGACCAAAGCCAATCCTGTGCGATGGAATGGGCTTGGGTTATCTATCACAAGACTGTGACTGTGCTCAACGCACTCTTCTTGAAAACATCTATTAACTGATTAAATGAGTAACAAGTCGCCAACCGGTACATGAAAAGAAAAAGAAATGTTCTTTGCTTACTGAGATTACACTTGAGCTGATAGTCCCTCCCGATGCCTTCTGCACGACCGACTTGAGACAAGACATCATAACCGAGAGCGACTTGATCCTCTTGCACCGCAGCGTCTGACTTCCCATGAGTGGCGGACATGTTTCAAGGGATAGTGCTCAGCTATAAAATGTCAGACGCAAATTTAAAGGCGAGCGATAAAAGTTCTGAAGCAGGGCTGCTATATGAACTTTTCGTGAATATAATTTTGTTCTCTCGCTCAAAGCGCCTACGAAACGGTTTAGGAAGTGAGAGCCATGTGTGTACGAACTGCTAATATCCTTGGCGTTTAAGAATTGGTGAACGTTTGCTATAACAAGTGAGTCAAATGACCATCCCAGCTGGAGTTGTTCAACTTGTGTTCCGCCGCCACAAGAATCTAAAAAAAGAAGCTATTTGATTTTGAGGGACCGGTTTTACATAAGACTCCGCCCGACCTGAGTCAGCCAAAAGTTATATTTAACATTGTTACTCTCATCATCGCCAGCTTCCAGTGATTGCGCCATAATGCTAGTCAATGAGCGTTGAGCGCAGCATGGGTCTTGAAATTGAAATATGATACCGTCTTGAGTACTAGTCTTATCATCCTACCGTCATGACCATCGACAACGTCCTAGACTCCGAAGTCCTCGCTCAAAGCGGTGAGGACGCGCAAGATGAAGGAAACACTTTGTCAGCTGCGGGAGCACCAATAGAGAGGGTAACAGCAATTCACTTGTGTCCGATAAATACTCATATCGTCTGCAGAACAATCCCTTGGGTTACAAGGTTACATTGCTGTCCTCTGTTATGCTCAATCTCGGGCGAATGCTCGGCGCAGGAATATACTCTGTTCCGGGCGTCATACTGAATTCGGTTGGCTCGGTCGGCCTACTCTTCGTTTTCTGGCTATTAGCTCCTCTGTTTGCATTCGGAGGTCTCATGGTCTATAGTGAATACGCAAGTATGTTCCCAAAAAGATCCGGGGCAGAAGTTGTGTACTTGGAGCAGGCATATCCGCGTCCAAAGTTTTTGGTCCCAATCATGTTTGCTGTAACCTCAGTCCTTCTGTCGTGCGTACTACTGTTTGCATGTTCGATGATATACTCATGGAATTGCTTTTACACTGATCAGTTTTAGCGCAACAAATTCAATTATATTTGCCCAATATGCGCTTACAATTTTCGATGTCCCCATCACTCCCGAAAGACAAACCATTGTTGCTTTAGCAGTCTGTGCTGCTGGTATGGCTCGTGAGCTTCTTAAGTTTCTTGCGCGAAGGTACAATCTGGAACTTAACCACGCAGTCGTCGCCTTATCAACGAAATGGTCTTTAAGAGCCGTGAACATTCTTACTGGGTTGAAGGTTCTTTCTCTTGTATTGTGAGCGCATCGTTTACCATCTTTTATGTGCTAATAGATTGTGCTTTTAGCTTGGTCTTTACGGGCGCCCTCGTACTTGGTGGTTTCACCCACATCAGCGATCCTTATGCCAATTTTCGGTCACCTTTCAGTGGGAGCACGACCAATCCAAATTCTTTGGCTACCGCCCTAGTCAAGACTAATTTTGCATTCGCTGGTTGGAACAACGCATTTAATGTCATTGGGGAAGTCCATACGCGTGACCCTGTCCGCACAGTACGCAAAGCCAGCATGCTATCGCTGCTTTTAGTCGCATGTCTTTTTTTCTTTGTCAATGTTGCTTACGTGGCAGCGGTGCCAAAGGACGAGATAAGAAATTCTGGGCAGCTCATCGCCGCTTTATTTTTCCAACGTGTATACGGAGAGAGCTTCGCAGGCAAAACCCTGCCGATCATGGTTGCTTTAAGTTGCTTCGGAAACCTTGTGTGTGATCCTTCTATTTCGTGTGCCCGAGTTGCTCACAAAATACATTTCTAGATCGCCATGGTGAGCAATACATTCGGAAACTACATAATGTGAAGACTCATATTTTTCCAGGCTGTTGGTCAGACACGCGCATTGCGTGAGATTGCCCGTCAGGGGCTACTTCCGTATCCAAGATTTTTTGCATCGACCAAGCCATTCGGCACGCCATTGGGACCCGTGTGTCTGAAGTACTTTCTCACAGTCTTCGTGATGGTCGCCCTCCCAGCTCGAGATGCATTTAATTTCTTGTTAGACTTAGCTTCTTATCCGAATTTAGTAGGTATTCCATTCTACCGCGGTGTATTATGTGATCAACAAGTCACAGGTGTTCCATGTTGCAACTGCTGTAGGATTGTGGCTTCTTCGAAGGCGGCGAGCGCTTGCTGGCCTTGCACCTTCGAAGTATCGTGCGAAGAATATTTACGTTTTGCTTTCCCTGCTCAGTGCGGTGTTTCTTCTCATAATGCCCTGGTATTGTCCTTCCGAATCAAATGCCTTGAAGCAGCACTGACTTTTTCGACAAGGGTACCACCAGAACCTGGTCATGGCGACGTGTCTTTCTGGTACGCAACGTAAGTGTAATGTTGTTGCATTTCTAAGTCCACATCTGACCACATCCATTATTCAGTTACTGTGTGGTGGGCCTGGGTGTCCTTGCGGTGTGTACTACACTTACAACGCGATTTCACATAAAACTGACCCTTTATAGGTGTGCGGAGTCTATTACTGGCTGTGGATCATTGTCTTGCCATGGCTAGGAGGGTATACCGTCGTGGAGGAGGTAGAACGATTGGAGGACGGCGCGTTGACTGCACAGTTGACACGCAAATACCACCCTTCAGCTGCAGACACTGATAACGGAGAACGACAACCACTCATTGCCAGTACTTGATGGGCTTGCATAATTGTAGTAACACTCCTTGTAATGTAATGCTAAAGCTCATCATCCTTGTATTAGTACCATACAAGTACGGTCCCCAGGTGCAACTCCCATGTCAAACCCAGCTTAAGACCAGAGCGTAATGTTGGCTCATATTCGAAATCAATATGGGTTTTGGTATATCATCGATCGTGTTATGGAGAACCATATCGGTGGCAGTCATATATACTAACGAATACCGATAGAATTTTCTTGATTTTGACCGCGCAAGTCTGGATCTATTTCTGGAGGCGCAGAATTCGATCTCGGGAGAATTCAACAGGCAGAGCAAAGCTCTGGCACGAATCTACGTCGCATATCACAGACTAACTTAATCGCTGACAGTGCAGAACAGGTTGCCTTCATCAGGTAAATATCTTTAATTATGCATGCAGCAGTCGACAGAAAGACTGACGTTGCGTTACAGGTTAATGGATTAATGCAAGCTGCTCAAATGTGAGTCCCTACCATGATGGAAAATATATGTACAGGCTACCGTTAGCTTCTGAATCTTGCGAGCTTTATCTTTAGCCTTCCTGTTTAACCACTACTATTTTTGGTGCTCTGCCATCCGACCCACAAAATAGCAGTGTCCCCGCAACATCCTTTTGATGTTTCAACAATTCATTCCTGCCCTGCACCACGTTTCCTCGGCGTAACACACCAGAAGCCATGTGGTGGCTGTACAGCTTCCCAACGACATGGAGCCTGCTGACATTAGGTCTTGGCTGCGTGTTTGTCTGGACTGGTATAAGACCCGCTTGCTGCATCGCGTCCGAATCATCGTTCTCTTATCTTCCCTACCAAGTTTGATTTACTTGGACATTGCATTCACAACACTGTAATCCATTGAGGTCAGTGAAGCTTGAAGCTTGAAGTTCCACAGTCCACAGTCACTCAATTTTAGTCTAGGTTGCATTGGACGTACAAGGAGAACACACCGTCACCCAGTCCTTCTCAGTGGCACGTTTTTCTCCCTTTGTTGATATGTCATGGCCTTTTTTCGCATTCGCAATCCCAGTGGCAACGTTTGTCATGTCCGGGTTTGCGGGCGGCGACGACAGTGACGATGATTCTGGAGGAAAGCTGTAAAAAAACTGGATAAGGAAAAGAAGCGTGCAGACGCCGCAGATGTAGCAAGACGTGATGCAGAGGAATAGGCGAGACAAGCCAGGTGTGCTGCGGAGGAAGAAACGGAAAGAGCCAGGCGCGCTGCAGAGGAAGAAATGGAAAGGGCGGCAGCCTCAGCTGCAGACACTCTTCGCAGAACAGAGGAAGCGAGGCTCGCGACTGAGCGCCGCTGGCTTGAAGGAGTCCGTCCCGAGTGCCGCCCTTTGGCGGAGGATGCTGTTCAAATGAAGACCGAGTATCATTACAGCCCAGGCTCCGTCCACCTCACAGTTGTTGGTTCTTCTGGAGCCGGGAAGTCATCTTTTATAAACGCCGTTCATGGCCTATCCAGCGGTGACTCCATCGCCGCACCTACGGGGATTGTTGAAACTACCGCTACTGTCACGAGATACTCAGATCCATGCCCAGACTCTCGCATCGTCTGGTATGATGTTCCCGGGGCAGTGACTCAAAATGTACCTGACTGGCAGTACTTCAAAGACTTGGGCCTCTACATCTTCGACTGCATCATCGTGTTGATTGACAATAGTTTCTTGGACTCCGACCTCGCCATCCTCCGCGCATGCGAGGAATTTGCCAACTTCAAGGCGTTCATTGTTCGCTCCAAGTCGGACCAGCACATTCTCAGCATGACGTGCGCCAGGATGCCACGAGGATTCGACCTCTTGTGATCTAGAGGACAACGAGACACGTCTTCATTTTATGCAAATTAGATCTGAAGAACGGAGGAGGTTTCGCGACTCCAGAACTGGGAGATGTTCGAATCAACGTGTTCACATTTGGTGGGAATACCGCATGTGCGGAAGACGGAATCTATCTATTGGATGCACAGACCACTATTGGTCCTATCTTTCTGCGTCAATGGCCCAACAACAGCTTGGATTCGTTGCAACACAACAGAAAAAATATTTGAATGAAAATGAAATGTACACACTCCATTGAATCATCATGCATCCGAATGCGAACACGTCTGAAGTTCAATATTGGTCAATTGAGAGTGTGATGTGGTTCCGGGCTCAGGGGAGTCGCAAACGGTGTTGCAAAACTGTAGGTGCATCCGAGTAACGAGGACCGTATGCATGACGATTTGAAATGTTACAAACATATTTGAGGAGTTGAACTGCGTGAAAAAAGTATCAGGACCCCCAGCCGACATCGAGTTGGATTCGGGTTTCTACACACCGGTAGCCATTCAATGGCTAAAAGATTAAGCACAGATAGTGCTAGGATTGAAAAATTAATTCCGTTTTGACAGTCACGAAGGTACCACTTGCTTAGCCCAGTTCCGAAGTAAAAAAAGTTGTGTTGTAGAAGGATATTGAGCAGCCGACACCCTCTTTCACGGTATGCCCAATATACACGAATCATGGTGAGTACTATGATCTCTGAGGCAAAAAGTGAGCACTCGACTACATTTATGGCTTCGTGATCTCACCAAGCTCGAATGCTGCTAGAAGTGACCAATTATATGCAGCCTTGTTGTCGTGAGATAGTGAGTAACAACCGCCACCTATGTCTAATAGTTGGACTGTCGTCTACACTGAGCGATTTACATGTGGCTCTTCTTCAAGACACTCACGTTTCGACTGCTTCCAAACCTTCAATACTATTAACACGTTCAAGATCGCCAGACACTGAAGTGAGGTATGTCAGAGTACAGAATGCGGGAGCGCAACTGTATGCGCACGAGTACCGTTGACAACATAAGGCCCAGAATGGATTTCTTTTGTCCCCATAATGCATAGGTACGAAGGATAAAGATACCTGGAGATCCTGTGAGTATCCTGCGTGAATACACTATAAACATTGTAATACCTTCTGCACCAACTATGCACAATGCAGCAGCACCTGAGGGACGAACTTGAAGCGGGACTGGCAAATTCTATCGTTACAATACTTACAATACCACATTGACTGTAGAATTTTACAAGTCTACATCGGCGAATCCTCAGGATGGTAGGTGACATTGCTTCCGACTAATGCTCACCACAATTTTTTCATTCGGGAGATAGTTCACTTCAGTATCCTGATTAGCTGCAAATTGACGATAGAGCATGTGATTTGGACTCACTGTATAAGTGTACAGAGAGCATCAAGGCTGGCATGTATCTTGTCATGATATAAAGAATACTTCCTTTCCTCCACCGTGGGCAATGAATCGAAGATACCTATACACAACAACTAGCCTGTCGATCGATGTGCTATCATATCTCACAAAGATGAAATCACCTCCTGGTCCAAGGTTAGGAAACAATCGTAGACCTGTGACGAGATGTTTATGAATGACGACTGGACAAATAGCAAGAGCACGCACCCAAGAAGCCACGAGTGATGCTAGCACGAATCCTGTTAGCTATGAGAAATTATTATGGTCGAAATGATAGAACCGAAAAAATACTGCCAGTGCCAAGATTATAGATATGAGTGAAACGAAGATGTCAACAAAGATCAGTCACTTACATTCTGGGTTCGGAGGATGGTCGAGAGATGAATGAAGGTTTGAGAATCCATGTTTAAGAGAGAATAGGATGGAGGCGCTAGTATCAAGCACAGCGCCGCGCCTGGTAGGCAGAATATAGCATCAGTAAAACCTCGGATTTATTTTCCTTCATTATCCCACTTTTCTTGCCTTGGCGCTGGCGCTAAGGCATAAAAATTAATACAAGGAGTGATAACTCGATCTTTCCGAAATTTCTCAAAGGCGCAAAGGAGCGGTCCATTGGTTTTGCCACACAAAGGAGAGAAAATGCATATTAAGAGAGAAAAGAGTATTATAGATTCAAATAGTGTACAAGTAGCTAGATCAAAATGCAATCTCAAAGGCGTGATGGTCAGCGTATTTATTGACGTAGTAGGCGCGGAATGCATCATAGGAATGATAAAATTTGAGCTCTGGAGGCAGGAATTCCGTGCCGTACACGGGAATAAGATGGGCAGCGCGATAAATGGCGTCAATATGAATGATTGCGTACCCAGCAGTATTGTTTGCACCCTCTCCTGGACGAACCATCCACATTCCCGTGTCTTCGTCTGCAGCATCGCCGATTTTGTCGAACCAGCGAACCACAACGCAGGGATAAACTTCGCCCCGGTACTGGAATGAAAAAAATGCGCAAACGCGCGCGACTTCGAGACCTTGCATGCCAGGTAGACTAGTGTCTGTGTTGACAAAGACACAGTCGTTGCGTGAATGCCCACCTCGCCAGGAGGGACAAGAGCGGATGTGTTCAGTGCGCATGCCACCAATACCACTCAAATCGCTCGGCGCATAAAACCGCGATGATGCCGAGTTGAAGACTGCAATTTTGCTGAGATAGAGGGGGCATTCAGAAAGAGGTACATTGGACGGATCGCGGGGGTCATCAGGATGCATCTGTTGAAATAAGAAGCGTCTGAGAAGGTCAGATAGGTGAGGAATATCAAGTTCCTCGGCGAGTTCAGGAATGGTTTGAGCGCGATTTTTGCCCTCTGTACAGTATGTTCAGTATTACGTTGAAAATCAGGAAAAAAGGACACCTACGGCGGGTTTTTGCCAGCGTTACAAACGCTTGTAGAACGGTGGGCCCGTCGTCTATGTCGAGGTCCACATCAATATTGATCAAGGGAGGTGGAGGTGGTGCAGCAGGAGCAGGCACATGCATATCTGCTGCTGCTGCTGCTGCTTGAGCAGGTGCGAGTGCTGCCGCCCCGCCGTCTTCATCAACTTGGTCGATCTGCGCAGGAACTGTTATGCAAATTAGTTGAAATATATCTCGTAAGAAATGCGCGACTTACCTAAGGCATTGACTGCTGAGAGACAAGTGCCAGTGAGCATCCCCCGACGCGTGAAGTCGACTCGCAGTGCTGAAAGTTTGTCGAGCCGTTGATTGGTCAGTAATATCTGACCAAGCGCATTGAAACGGCTCGATCGTCGCCAGGGCTCCTTGACCGCTTTGATGTGCTTGTTCTCGGTGATTGACGAGCAGAGACCATTGGGTGCAGCAAAGAGTCGAATGTTTCGAACATAGTGCATGAGCGAGTGTTGACGAGGTAAGGAGAAGTGAAGGACGACACCCGTTGTCCTGAAGATTTCGCGGTAACGGTGAAAACGAGAGAGCGCATCTTCGATTTGAAGTAGAGAGTCTTCGGTGATGATATTGCGACGTACTAGATAACAAAAATCTAGAAGCGCACGAAAGGTGCGAACGACGTCTTGAGGTACATGGCCCTCGATAGCAGGTAAATAGACCTAAAGGATTCAATATTAGGTAGTAACAATACACAAAAATGACGACTCACTTTCATCAAGGCCTTGGAGTCATCTCCTGTCCACTGCTTGAATCCGCGCCCTTGAGGAAATCGTCGCAAGCCTGAAAACGAGGCGACAGCAGCAATTCTATGGCAATGATAAAAAAGTAAGCAATCCAAATACAAACCGAGCTCACCTGCGGTCAATATCATCCATAATTTTCTGTGCCTTCCGTTTGTTGTGTGTCTGACGGAGGTACTTCTCGACCCACGTCACGAGGTGATCCTTGAAGGCGCCTTTTATAAGTTGATGGAGGATATCTGGTGATATCATTTGATGGATATCGGCTCGGGGAAAGTCGTTTGTGAATGGCTGTCGAAATAGTATTAGTTTTGTAAATGAAAACAAGAGAAAAACGCTGAATGACTTACCACAAGTTGCGCGACTATTCCGAAGTCTTCCCAAAGATCTCCCGAGGGAGCTTCTTCGACGAGTGCCTCTGTATATTCGCGGCTACGGGGCAGCGCATCTTCGTCGAGATCTTCACGATTTGCAACACACCTTTAGAATAATGTGAGCGACCATGTAAATACATATTAAATGAAAGACATACTTTGGACACCAATTACGGACAATGCACGCTAATAAAACTTGCTCCTCATAATCCGCTATGTAAGGCCCTAGTCCATATATGACATGCCGGTAGTGGCCATCTCCGAAACGCGTTACTTCGGGAGTCGTCATGCCCGGCTTGAGCGGATCGAGAATTTTGGAAAGGGACGAATGGAATAACTGTCGACGAAATCTTCGGAACGAAGGTTCTTCAGCATGTTCCTGCGTAGCTGTATCATAGTTAGTCAGTTATAGAAATAGATTGCAGGATTGAAACATACTTTTCGGCATTGCCAGGAACCCAATGACGGCCACACCATCGCGATGCGCTCTTCGAACATTATTGTGGATGTTCCCAATGGAAGCATAGAGCGGGTAGTACTCGTTGTTACCCGTTCCGACTGAAACTGTCGTTTTGTCGCTGCCAAGGATGACAGGGACAAATGTCGACCCGAGAGTGCTCGGGTCTTTCGCGATTTCGTCCTAGATACATAGAGCCGTTAATATCAGACATTACGAAACAAAAAATGCATTACTTACTGCTTGATCCCACACCCAGTCACCAGACATGAAATCCTTCCATTGGCGCTTGTCGCCCTCAGTTGAATACTCCCTATACGGGCAGTAATCCATCTCGTTAGCATAAGTCGAATTTGCGAGCATATTACGCGCAACTTCACGTGGGTCGCGGAACCAGACTTCGTATTTGCCATCCATCCAGGGCTTGTGCTCGTCTGCAAGTCTCTCGCCATCATAGGCGACCGTAAAGCGTTGCCATGGTACATCCCCAAAGGGCGAACTGTCAATGACGTGGTACAGATCACGGTGATCTGCAAACGGCGGGTTGTCATTGTGCTTTGCGAGGGTAGATGCCCATAGATCTAGTAGCTGGTCAATTTGACCAGCTGGCATTTGATTGTGCTTGTAAAGGAACTCGGCCGTTTCAAATTCTGTGCGGTTTCGAAAAGGCGTCCAGTCATTGGTTGCGAGATTCTCAGGAGATGGAGGTGGAGCGCCAGGGGGGAGGAATACACCATTTACATCACATGGTCTACCTGTAATAGCGCTCATTAAAGATAGAGTATCAGGCAGTAAATTGACGTACCGTTGAGACCTGTGTGATAATTGCGATAAAGATGATCACCACGCCCAAAAAATTCTGTGTCGACGTCTGCATGGGGGGATTGTTGGCGCAGATGTTCGTCCATATCGCCCTGGTAACCATCCACATCGACATCACGCTCATTGTCTTCATTGTGAGATGGGTGTGGGCTTGGTGTTCGGGGAACAGGTTCCAGAGATTCTCGATGGTTGTCTTGAGGCGGTACTGGCATCACAGGATGTGCCGAAATTCGGTGTTTTGTTCGCCCAGCAGAGCTTTTGAACCATCTTGAACATGTTCCACATGGGAGTTGGAGTGCGCTATGGTCCCATCGGCGTGGTTGGATGCGTGGAATATCAGCAGGCATCACAGAAAGTGAAGACACTTGAGATTGCGTCAATAAGAGTGCGTGGCTGAAATAAATCGATACCTGCATTTTTGTTGAGTTGATTTCCAAGTGACTGAGCTCAGGCCAGCCAAAGAATGTGTCTAGTTGATGTGACCGGCTGGAAGTGTAGACATTTGAAGTAAGTATGGCGCGAAAAGACAGAATAATGCAGGACTTACTTGATGGTTTGGACAACTTTACAGGTGCGCAGACCAGAGAGTCCTGCTAGTAGCGAATTGAATTAGCGATCGAACTTTGTTTGGTTAGTTCTTAAGTACGGAACTTACAAATTGGTTGTCAATTTTCAACTTCAACCATTCTACTGACCACTCATTACATTTCCCTGGCCGTCCCAAGCTTGCCATAGAGCCTGTCAAATCCGCTACTCGTCAGCAATGTCCGACACCGCTCAGAAGTCACACACTCGCCCACAGAATGCAAACAAGCATCCAGGCTTGCCTGACCTGCCAGCAAAAGGACGTCAGCGACGGACTAAGGCCCAGATAGCAGAGGACAACCGGATTCTTAAGGAATCGCGCGAAGTTCAAGAGCAGGCCGCGCTTGAGGGGCTGCAACGGCTTGCAGCCATGCAGAAAGAAATGGAAAAGGCGGAGGAACTCACCGTCATGAACAAGCCAAAGCCAGTGAAACCTCGTGCCCGCCCTGTCGTGAAGCGAACAGCGCCTGATAAGAAGCTCCTGACAACAGGAAACGCTGGTGAGTGCACAAGCATCAAATGAGGCTCACTTACATGGGGCTAACATTGTTGAGGACCTAGATGAAAGTGGTCAAGACAACAGCGGTCATGTTCAAGAGGAAATGAGTGAGAAGTCGAAGACTCAAAAGCGTGGCAAGATCTCACTAAAAGATGCAATCAACAATGCCCGAGATTTGATCGCAATGCCAGGAATCAGAAGCCAGGAACCACGTGTCGAAGACAAGAAAGGAAAGTTATCTGCGAAGTACGTCTTTTCGACTTGATCAAAACCATGTTGATGCTTACCGAATCAACACTATTCTTTGTTAACTTAACCTCAAAATTCAGGTCGACCAACTTAAAGTTTTCATTGGCAGGACGTGTCAATGGCTGGGTATCTGACGTTACACCAGATGAGAGGTCCAAAGCTTCAAGCGCTTCCAAGTCTTGCACCACTGCCTCCCCTTTCTCATTGGCGCATGGGCCACCCAGCACCCAGGTTACATCTGTATCAGGTGTAAATACCAAGTCCAGTCGCCAACCTAAAGTCTCTTCCAATCTTGCTACTACTAACAAACCTGTTCCTGAGGTTCTTGTTGGCGGCTTTGCCGATGACACTTTGGATGATTCCCAGGAACACCTTGAAACAATCGCCTCGAAAACAAAGGAGAAGAAGTCTTTTATTAAGGTGCGTAGAGCATATGTAGTCTTACTGATTCTAATACAAAGTGAACTATATAGATCACTACCAACATGAGGACCGATGATGCGACAATGGGCTCGAAGGGCCAGTCTGATCTCAATGTGCCAATGGACGTGGAGGCCTCCATGCCATCAGACATAGAGGCAGACTTCGAGGATGATGGCCTAACAGACTTCGAGGACAATGATCCAATGGACGCAGAGGATGACGTGGAGAATGATGTGGAGGTTCTGGAGGACGACTTCAACCCGAACGAAGATGCGAAGATGTCTGAGGACAGTGACGGTGGCAGTGGTTTATCATTCCACCGTCCGAATAACAAGAAGCGCAAGGTCTTGTTTCACTTATTGTCCTCAGATGAGGAACTTGAGGCTCCGCTTACAGCTGGTGTTGGAGCGGTCGTGAAGAAGGCCATGCGGGTAACATCTTCAGTAAGTCTATTTCATTAACGGTTATTGCTACTTATATTTGTTTCAACAGACTTCAGTCGCTGTCTCTGAGGCAGCTGCTACAACAAAGCCACCTGCGAAGAAGGTGAAGACTGAAGAAGTTGCCGATGATGATATGAAACCCGTGCTCGTTCCATTGCCCAGTCACTGGATCGAGAAGCGATATAAGTCACGCTCAACCTACCGGAACAGTGATCTCCCTCCACAATGTCAGGATCAACGGTGGCCCAAACATTTTCTCTCGACCCTTTACCTGTGGGCCGGCAGCCAAAATGATCTCTGGCAGTTTGCAGATACCTCTCTTGTTGAAGCGCTTCAATGCATTTTTGATGTCATTTATCCAGATCTCCAGTACAAGGTGACCGCTCAGGGATCTGTCTTTGGTGTTGTGCGTCTAGCAATTTTTTTTGTAGCACTATTGCCAACTCATTGTGATCTCAATAAGGCTACTCAGCGTCTGGCAGAGTGGCGCAGCAACTTCGGTTCAACAGGACTTGCAATTATGATTGACTTCTTCGCTCGGAACGAAGACACACATCCAAAAGACCTTAGCGAAGCGCTTATGGAGGAGTTTGTGTTCCTCTTCGAGGACTTGGACTACTCAGACAAGATGAAAGCATTCCGGTCTCCTTTCATGATACAGTTATTTGCAACCGCTCATCTTCACAGTATTGTTGGACATGCTCATGTCACCGCCATCAAAACAGATGTATTGGCTGCTGGCAGTGGCATGGCTGGTGTTCTTGCTCTCTGCGCAACTTCAGTAAGTATTCTGACCATACAAGAATCATGACTTATCACATTTGACAGCTCGAACGTGCTGTCAAATGCCTCGGCGCTGGTGCCATTGATATTGATGTGGACATCCTCGATATGCGTCCTGCACAACTGAAGCGCAAGCTGCGCACACCGAAGACCCTCAACAAGTGGACCGGCAACTACAGCACCACCGAGCACGCATTTTCCATCAACAACTGGGGGTCAGTAACCGAAGCTTACTTGGCTAGCGTAAAGAAAAAGGGGGACATTTTTTTGAGGGACATGATTTCAACAGCGCAGAAGTTACTCAAGAAATCGGGCAGTGCTGGCCTCGAGAAGTACCTTCGCCTCAATGGCGATGACGAATCAGAGGACATCGACAGGCGTGCCATGCTTTGGTAACTAGTAATATTGGGTTTTTTTTTTTGCGTTATTCATGAGCTAACATCATTTGATAGACCTCGTTCCCGCCATGCTTGCTGTCCGCTTCCATCATTGCCATTGATTCAAGTTCATACTATCGCGTTTTGCTTATCCCACCACCACTCATAATGCCTTTTGTTGTCTTTAGTCTCGTTTCACGCTCTCTGCACCGCCACCCTTCTTTTCGCTAGCGTTTCGTACTCTTCTTTTCGCTAATGTTTCGTACTTTACTTTGTGTTCCCATTTTCATCACTTTTTTGCACTTTCCACCAGATGATGTGATACCGTTTGCTCTCTATTATTACCACTTTGTTTTGTCGGTTAATGCCTCATAAGTGACTTTCATGAGCTGCAAAGTAGAATTCAGAGGACGAGTGGCATTTTTCTCAATTTTCTCATCGTGTCTTTCGTGTCACCTTAATGGTTCCTCAAACCTGGTAAAACTCGGAAAAATAGAAATAAATTCAAAATCTTTAGCGAAAATAGACCCGAGGTTTTACTGATGTATAACAATTCCAATCAGGGTCAAGCGTGACTCATCAGACCTTCAGCAACAGCACCATGATAAAGTAACATGTCAATCAAGGGTCGACCGGTCAAAGATCTTTGACTGCTTCAAGGCACCTCAGCACGACAGAACGCAGAGTATCAAACGTGCCACGGACCTTATAGGTACTCAGGGCCCTCAGCACCCCGCGTAATGATACCGTACATCTCAAATCCTACGGGTCTATTTCCTATCTTTCCACGTAATATGTCTACGATTGCCGCTAATAAGCAAAAAGTTCATAACAATTCAACGGCATGCTCACCTGACACTGAAAAAAAACCCAGGCAGACTCGGATGCAGAGCGCCCAGAAATGATGTTTCATACAAGAAGAATAAAAAATGTGATCTTTGCGAGTCACTTGGATGCATTTTGTTTGGAAAAAGCAAACTCGACATTGCGTCTACCATCATTTTACAAATGTGTGGTGTCTACGACTCTGAGCTATTTGGGCGAAGGCGCGCAGCGCCTCCCGGTCCTGAGTTGCGTGTCCTGCCGGAAAAAAGGTGAGCTGCGAGGGTGGCAGGGAAAAGGAAACCGTCGCGAATCACTCATGGCATGGATCTGGCGCAGTCCGAACCAGTGAAGAGGGAGAGCGATGAGCGACGCTTGAGCCTGGACTTGATGCATCGCGTGTTAAAAAGGGAGCGGCGGGTGGGGAAAAGAAAAGGAGGAAGAACGATGTCGTTGAAGACGATTGAGACGAGAGGATGCGCCCGAGTCGCAGTAAGACGGGGGAGTAGAGTCCTGATCTTGTACGTTGGAAACAAGAAATTCGCTTGCCGAACAAGTATTGTTCAGATTCCCATTCATTTTTTATTTACAATAGTAACGACTTGAATAAATTACACTTAAGCTTGCTGTATCTTTAGTGGACTGGGAGAGATAAAATATATCAAAAGGATCTATTTCTCAAACGAAGGCCAATATCGAGCTTCGTTCCGGCTCTCCCACGATACGCTTCTTCTCCGCGACGCGTTTTTCCAGTTCCCATCGAACGAGCTCGCTCTTAAGCTTCTCTATGCGAACCTCATTCACAGGATGCGAGGAACCCATGATCTGTCGTGTAAGCGCCCAACTCGAATTGCTTGTCTCCGGGCGACTAGTCAGAGAACATTCGGCAGCTTGAGGCGTGTTCTGTTTGTGTTCCCAGAATGCTACTGCCTGGCGCGCATCAAAACCGGCATGCGCAAGGATCCTGGCGGATACAACATCCGCCTCTATCTCTTGGTTCACACTCGTGCAGTATTCCCCTATTTTGGTCAGTTCCCCAGAACCAACTTTACCAAGCTGGGCAACTGCGTCGTTGACAAACGGTCCAAAGAGCATCGTTACGGGGAATAAGAGGGTGCGTGTGAAGTCAGCAAACATGGAAATCAAAGCAGGGACCATGATAGTGACGGATGAGAGCGTCTCGAGGTGATGCGAGAGAACGAGGTGTGCAACTTCATGGGCAAGGAGAATGGCGAGTTCGGCTGTTTGTTGCTCTGTGGGCACTGGATGGGGTGGTAATGTGGATAATGGTGAAATAAAGAGCGAACCGAAAAGGTGTTCCCACCACGAGCTTTCTTCAGGTAGACTTTGTGGCGTGTAGTCAGAGGAGAAAGCTTTACAAGGAGCTTTCGAAAGGATGTTGTCAATGAATCCGGAGTAAACTACAATGCCGCAAGCACCATCTGGCCCAAAGCCGTAGGAAAATGCATTAGCCGCATCGGGTTTATCAACGATAAGAAGTGAATATGGTGGTCCAGCGATGACATGAGCTGAATGAGGTGAGCTTCGCCCACAGAGACCTTCCGACCACCTCCTCATAGTGTCCGTGGCTCGTGGCCGAGGCCGTAGGGGATATTCTGCAGGTGGAGGTAATGGTGGCTGGTCAGGAGTTGTATCCAACCAATGCGACGCCAACTCTTGTTCGCGCTGCAATATGGGAATGCCAACCTCCAATCGCCGTAAGGTGTCACGTACCCACTGATATCGCCAATCAGTGGCTGGAATCAGTTTGGGTTGACCGTCTATCGAGAGAATTTCTGTGACAGCGTGATACCAATTTGGGCCTTTGAGCTGCGCAGCTATCTCATCCTCCTCTTCGGGCGATAGAATGATAAGCCGCCATCTGTAAATCAACTTAGCTGATAGGCAGAAATTGAATACTATACATGACATACCGTCCTGTGATAGGTGTCTGCTCGGCGCTTGCTAGAATTGCCAACCAGAATAATGTGACAGGAACAAACAAAAGTACGTTAAAGACAAGCGTCCTTGCACGTATACGTTTTAGAAGCGCGGCTTTTTTCTCTTCATTGACCGGTGTACCAGGATGAAATTTGTCGTGGTGCTTGAGGTATTTCTTTGACCAGCGGTTTTTGAAAAGGATGAGGGGCAGGAATGTAAGTGCAATACGGGCAGCGGTACGCGCTACCTCTATGGTAGTAGAAGCCTGCAAAACTAAGTATAGGACTTGCAAGAGTTATTCAGGTGAACATGCCTTGAAGGCTCCCAATAGCATCGGTATGAGAGGAAGTCCCTGGTTTGGCCCGGAAGAATGAAATGGTGCAACTCCTCTCTGTGCATGCCATATTTGCCTCCCCATACAATAATTAACTTGAACATGGACAAGACCGCTGAATTTTGGCGTGGGATGGAATACATGATATGGACTTGAATGTGCTGTGATTAGTACTCTTGCCGCTCGAGTGCCAGCTGAAGGGAAGCGCCAGGATATCGAGGAAATTGAAGGAGCTCTGGACGTGACTGCGCGAAACATTGTACATGGTTCTGTCGAACCAGTGTATTTCCTTGATCAAGTTATAGGATTTGATAGCCTTGAAGCTGCGGTGCCGCTACCGAAGTCATGACGGTATGTGTGGCTGTGCCCATCGGTTGGGCTTGGCTGTGCCATGGTCCGCTTTCAGCCGCTTTCACCGACTCCATCCATGTCTGTCACTTGGAGTGCTTCAAGTCGAAAAGCCAGCTAGCACCAAAAGGTCTACATAAATCATCCCTCGCGCGCGACTTTAATCATATCGGGCTATTATTAGCTTTGCGGGTTGTTTCTCCTCGTCTATGGCCAGTGGCCGCCTATTAATAAATTAATGTTGGTGACCGCGCTGCTGATCATTGCCGATCGGTCACCTTTGCTATTGATGTGACTGGGGCCTATCAGATATATCAAACAAATCATACGTGTTGTGGATATCCCGGTAGTAAGTTTGATACATATACTCGCATCTAAAATTTAAAGTCTTTGCCAGGTGTCCGAGTCAAGACTATCAAAGGGTGTCAATTGTCAATTGTCAGCTGGTCCCTGGAGTCCAATTGACTTTCGTGGCCCACCTCCGCTTTTGCAGCACGAATTCGAATTTCAGCTGTTCGGAAGCACTGGCCCGGGCGTGTACTATCACTGAGTGGTCGTTGCTTTGACGCATCTCTTGATGGCACAAAGAAAACATTTGTTGTCGGATCTTGTACCATTTCCTTGCAAAATAGCCTTCTGTGGCATGTTGGTATAGACCAGTCAGAAAGTGAGGCAGGAAATACTGATCATGTAGCTTCTGTATGTCTTTGTCGAATCCGCTTGTGCTGACCATCTCGGGATGACGGGCAACATATTTTGTGCTTCGTACAACCCAAAGACGTTTCACCCGATCTTATCGACCTCTGATGTAAATGTTTCCACATCATCGGACTGCTTTGGCTAAGGTTCCGATACAAAGACGAGTGCGTTGCCGCATCTGGTGTGCGTCACGTTCCTGAAATCACACAGTAGCTTTCGATGAACGCCAACCTACACCAACCCCCAAACCGTAATACCCGAGGCTCTTTGTGTCCCATTTTACGTGATAGCCATGACACTATTACAAATGCACATGACAGCGCTCCTTATAGCAAAGGGTGGAAGGCTGTGGAGATATCGATTGGAGTTCCCCTCGGAGCGCGCCTACACCACCGTCTTTCTCTTCCGCTATGACACTCTATCCGACGCTGGCGCAATCTATCGATCATCTATTTCAGATCATCTACATCGCTGATCCAGGTTCAAGCAGTCAAATCCCTTGTCAGGATATCAAGGGGAAGGGATCGGAGTCCTTCGGATCCGTGAGTATTTGGTTTACGATCTTCAGGATCTTGCTCCTGATGTGACCACTTCTGCTTATTGCCCCGTTTCGATTCAGACTTTTTTGTTTATTACTCACCAGGGGTGTATGATGTCATGAAATTGCCAAATTCCGCGGGGTAATCGTGGAAAGGGTCGTTTACCTAGGACTAAACTCTGTAAGATATCTTGGCTTACTTTTGAAACGAGTTAAACGTCCGTCCGAGGAATTTCTCGTGCCATTGATTTGGCGTGATCTCGCATAAAACATTGAGCATTTCTGGCAAGGTTTTATCGACGATATGGGAACGAGTGCCCAACAATTCAAGGGTACTAATGGCGAAATCATGTGCGTCCTGTTTTTCGTTTCACAAAAACACAGGTAGCTCATGCCAAATTCAAAACTCATTCGACTCACTGGTATAGAATTTTGTACCGCCGTTGTGGTTCGATGAGGATACATAGGTGCTGCTACTGGCTTCGGGTGGCTGTGGAAAACAGTCTGGCTACAACGGGCCGCGGTGATTGTGCGCGATTTGCTTGGACCAAGTCTTGAAGCTTGAAGCGCGGATCATTTACGAGGTCAGCAATAGCGGGGTTGGTCATTCCTATTGGCCTTGATACCGACTGACCGGCCAGTGCCGTCACCTATCAACAAATGATCGAACGATCAAACGGACACTAGACTCAGGTTTCAGATACATGGAATCCAATGGAATCCCTCAATCAAATGATATGTTGCGTTGACTATTGAGTGGGTTTTCCAAGAGGTGATGATTTCCGGGGGTAGTGTTATTCTAATAATATCAAGAGGCACTAATGTGTTTACTATTCACCCCCAGAGTACTTGTGGGCAAAGTTCTCTGCTCGATACACCAGTCTTTTATAAACCAATACATGTCGCTCAATCCGCCTACCGTGGCAATCGGCACGAAAATGGTGTTGATCCCTTGATCCACGCATCAAATCGTTGATCTATTCCTCGACTTCAGCTGCAGGACTAAACATATCCGAGTGAATATTTATGCCTTGAGTTAATTACTCAACACTGAAAAGAAAGGTTTGCTGCTGACCACAATTCTCCACCGAAGGGTCTCCAAGATACGTATAAATTGCATGAGCCACTCGCGTCACTTCCCCCACAAATATGAATGGTCTCATCAATATCGTTGTCTGGGTGTTAGTATCCTGCGTTCTTATTGCCTTGGTTATTCCAAGGTTTGAGAGAATCGCTAGACTGCCACTCCCCCCAGGTCCGAAACCGCTTCCCATCATGGGCAACTTCCTCCAATTGAATGTTGCTCGACCATGGCTAACATATACACACTGGAGGAAAAAATATGGTGTGCAGCGGGTACATTCTAGTAAATGGGACGTGCTCACTCAAATACAGGCGATCTAATCTATTTCCGCCTCCTTGGACTTGACTTTCTTGTGGTCAATTCGGAAAAGGTTGCAAGAGCACTCATGGATCAACGTTCCGCCATATATTCTGATCGCCCCTTTATCGCAACAAACGAGCTGTATGCTTTGGACTATATTTTAACCACCATTTAACGTTCATCATAATCCAGTTTTGGCGTCGATTTTAGTACTGTCATGCTGCCTTACCACTGCACTGACTGGAAACTTCATCGCAAGATGTTTCACCATGCACTTCGCTTAGAGAGTGCATCACGCTATCATCACATCCATACGAAAAGAGTTCGAGCATTGTTGAAGGATCTGCTTGATGATCCATCACATTTCGAAATCCATATCCAGAGGTAAATCACATTGCAATCACGAAGAAATTTAATATATAATAATACAGATTTGTTGCCTCGAACGTTATGGCGTTTACCTACGGGTACGATGTAGCTCCGCACAACGATCCAATAGTTGCCAATGTTAAAGAACTTGTCGATATACTCGCAAAGGCACTCTCCCCTGAGCGTAGCGCCATCGTGTCCGCTTTTCCAATACGTAAGCGAAAAAAGCCTGTACCAGAATGTCGCTCATTCACGTTAGTCACTCGCTTGCCTGCGTGGCTCCCTGGTCTAGGATCTCAACGTGACGCTGCTCGTGCGAGAGAATTAGCAGGACAAGTGCTCAATGTGCCGTTCAATCTGGTCAAGAAGAATATTGTATGTCCTTAACCATCCGAGTGCTACTCGATGATTAAAGTGCACACACTAGGATGCCGGGTTGGCCACTCATTCCATGGTATCTGATTGCTTAGCTCAAATCGACGAGAAGGAAGACCAACATAAACAAGAAGCCGCTATAAAAGCGGCGGCGGCTACTGCCTTTATAGGTAACTTTTCATCTATGACCCGTGTCCTGGGCATATACTAAATATTCTGTGAATACCATCGCAGCTGGCTTTGAGTCGGTAGATATTTTTCCCCTTGCTGGAAGTGCTATTATTGACAAGCAGACAAAAGAGCTCATCGATGCTGCATACATTCATTCTCGCCATGATTCTCTATCCAGAGGTGCAGGCGAAGGGTCAAGCAGAGATCGATTCTGTCATAGGGGTAAATAGCAGATTGCCAGAATTCGACGACCGACCACTGCTACCGTACGTCGATGCGATCCTTCGAGAGCTGCTGAGATGGATTCCTGTGGTTCCTCTGGGTTAGTCGCCTTTATCATACTCGGGTCTCTTGTTGCTAACGTAGGAACAGGCATACCCCATGCTACTTCAAAGGACGATGTTTATGATGATTGCTTCATTCCCAAGGGTGAGGACAAATTTATCAAGTACTCAGAACTGACTAAAATAAATATTACAGGCGCATTGGTGATAAACAACGTTTGGTTTGTACATGGAACTCGCATATTTGTAATACTGGCTGATATTACTCGTGAAGGGCGATGAGCAGAGACGAATCAAAACACGGGGCCGATGTTGAAGAGTTTAGGCCTGAACGGCACCTCGCAGCTGAAAACAACTCGAACCCCCAGCCCATCTCCGCTGACCCAATTTTTGGGCTCGGTCGTCGTATATGTATGCAATCCTGATCATGATCGAGGCTTCAATCAGGCAGCTCATAAGATTGACTACAGGCCCAGGGAGATTCACAGCGGAGGCGGTGGTCTGGATCGCCATTGTGAATATTCTCGCGACGTTTCGCATTGTGAAGTCAAAGGACATCTTGGGTGAAGAAATCGATGTGAAGAAAGAATTTACCGCCGGTATAGCTATGTGTGTGAAATTCTTATACTGCCTCGTTTATTTCTGACTATCACCGCCTCTCAGCCAACCTATACACTTTTCTTGCTCTTTTGTCAGCCGTTCAGAAGAAAGAGCATCTACTCTGTGATTTACATTCGCCTCGAAAGCTAATCATACAGCTCCCATCCTCAGAAGTAAAAAGAATGCCGAGCATTCCACGGGATTACATTAAAGCAACAGTATACTTACACGCAGGGGAAAATGTAGATATGAAGATGAATAGGCATCTAAGATATGAACGAAGCTTCTGTGTATAGCACCCCTTCTACATCTAATCCTTCGGAAAGCCCGGGAATAATTGCATCTGGACCACGTACAACAAGCTTGGCCTTGTCTTGCCACTATCAGATCGCTGTTAGCTATCGGATAAGTTGAATGCAACACCTCCCAATTACCTGATAAATATATGGCTTCGTGCCTGCAACGTAACTGACCATTGTCTTGATCACATACGGGATCTCTGCGAGGAAGTCCACCTTCTCAATTAAACCCTTAGGTGAAGATGGACTGCCGACATCAAGATGCACAGATGCATTGACAGAACCATCCACACCAGGCAGCAGGGACGGGCCTGCCCATTGGAACTCAACCGCAGTAGGCTGCATGTAGCCAGTATCCGGATCATTGACAGGGTTGAGGTGATGGGCACGCGACATCACAGCTTTCACAGACTGTCCTTCGCCTGCCCATTTAGTCTCTGCTGTGACCGCAGCTAGCTTCCCACCAAGCACTAATGAACCAACGTTGACTACGACTCCGCCAGAGCCAGGTCCATGGCGACCATGAGTATCCAAAGTTTTGAATTCCATTTGGATTGCGGATACGCCGTCATGGGCGTCGCTTTGGAAGTGCGCGAAATTCCATCGCGATGCAAGCAAGTCGGGACGCATGCCTTGGATAGCATGAACGAGCATGCCGTGGCCCTCAGCAACGATTGCACGGCCATTGTGAATGATGTGACCACTGGCTTTAGTACGAGGCCAGAAGCGATGGACGACGTAGCCATCTGGTTTCTGTTGATCTGACCCAAAGTACGAGTATCCCCCTTTTGGCCCCTTGCCAATCTTGAACCCGGGTACAGCAGAGGGACGTGAGACATCGAGTGATATCTGCAAGTTGTCTGAGAGGTTTGCGCGAATGGTGTACATTTCAGCATGTGAATCATCCGAGGAAGGCTTGTGGGTGATGGAGAATTGATCTGCCTTGCTAGATCTCTTGTCGAGACCAGGTGGTGCGGTTGTGAAGTTTGTAACATTGACAGAGCGCCAAATCGTTTCTTTCGTCCCGGGGTTATAGATCTTGCATGTGAACTGAATGGTAGGATACCACAAACTACCGAATAATGAGTCAAATCGAACAAGCACAAACGAACAAAAGCTCACCCGATCGACGAATGAATCACTTGACACATCAACATCGTTCCATCCTGTAAGAACTGATAAAAAATCTGAGTCTCTGCTGTAAAGCCTCCTGCACATGTCCACTCAAGATCCTTCGCTTCCAGCTCCCCGAGGAGATCTGAACTTTCCGAGACAGGGAATAAATTCTGGGCCTTCGGATCGACAGGGGGTGCAGTTCTACAAAATCCTTTAGATTAAAATCACAGACTAAAACCCATCCAACTCACGAAAATAGAGAGGAGAACATGTTTTGAGGTGGGATGAAGGAAAGACTGTCGCAGTACTTCCAGAATCCAAATCAAACGTAATGCTCCACTAGTATGTCGGAGTTCAGAATTCCTTTTTGGGTGTTATCTCATTGCGGCTATAAGATTATCATTTAGTGTATGCAAGTCCCTGCATCATGCATCAACTACGGACTTGATTCGAGCCAGACGATGATTGTCACATTAATGTCCAGTCGCAAGCTATGAATTGTTTTTATACCCAGCACCTTTTCACAGAACTCGATGCATGTCCGATCGAAAAGGAGGCGCCGGCGCAGCTAACAGCTTCTAGATTGTTCAGATGTTCACTTGGCGACTTTTTATGAAAAAGCTCTCGCCCACAACGTTTCAGAATTCAGAATAATCGAGTCGAATAGAGTAAAAAGAATGGAATCATACAGCAGAACAGGTGTCATCAATCGGCCCGTACCAAGCAAGATTTACCCACAGATCTCAGGAACGCCAGTAGTCTCCGCAGCCTCCATCGCAGCAAAATCCAGTAGAGATATAATGTCAGCGAGTGCTCTCAAGCTCCTGCTTTCGGCGGCAGTGAAATATTTCGAAGGGGAAGAATCCGATGTTGATGCGCGAAGTGAGCTCTGATCAAATTCCCGGATGGAATGGAGACATGGAACTGAGAAACGTTTGGTGGCGCGATCGGGGTGGTCAATAGGCTCAGACGCAACGCCGGGTGAATGTGCTTCTCGGTGCTTCGAAGAAGGCATGTAGGCGAGACCAGACGTGTGGTCATCCGAGGTCAGATCAAACTTTGACTGGGAGATGACATAGAAGAAGCCTCCTTCAAGCTCTGACGACGTGTCACACTTGTCCAAGTCTTCGACCCCAACAGCCTCAGTAGAATTCTGGGCAGCATCATGCTGGATAACAGCGGAGTCATCGACAGGAGTTGTCGCAACCAAAACGCCTGCTGCTCCGCCGGGAGGAGAGCCCTTGTCTGCACCATTAACATCGAAGGAGTCACCTTGAGATGTGCCTTTGCTGGATCCTTCTTCATATTTCTCCTCTTCCGGGAGCTCAAAGATATTTGAATACACGGATATAAAGTCGTCTCCGTCGTCCGAGAACCGAGAAGAGGGAGCACACGGAAGCGTCGTGTAAGGCTCGTGTTGGAGGGCTACAACATCGTCTTGGAAAGATTTCGTAGCATTGAATGAGACGTAGACAGGGCCTCGAACGTTGGCTAGGACACCTTCTGAATTCATCCATATATCATGAGGTAGCGTCTTGTCCGAGGGGCTCCAAGGGGATTCAAGACGGATCGAGGGGTCAGGTATCCCCACAGATGCTCCTGAGAACCCACGTCGGATTGCGAACGGGGATGCGCTGACGCTATGAACCGACTCAGATGCGTTCACTTGAGTGAGTCTCGCCGACGAAGAGATACGAAGACGAGGGCCAGTTAAACGAGGTATATTGGCTAAATGAGGGTCCACTGGGCTTGAGCCTAGAACCGATCCATTTGTGATGGAAGCGATACGCGATGAGAGCCTTTGGGGTGGAAGAGGGCTGCTCGATAAAGTTGGACTCCATATCTCAGCTACGCCAGGCGTGATGCTGTTGCAACGTCTCAAGTCCCGATCTCCAGGCTGGGCAAAACTGCGGAGCGAAGTTGGTGTACGAAGAGTGCTACCTTCAGCTACACAGCCAGGGGAAACTGTTCGTCCGATGAAACCGGGAAACGAGGAGGTTGCATGTTTCTTGGTTCGCAAGTTTTCATTCTGATTACCGATACCATCACGATAGAGGGTGCCTTGATGGATTTCTTCTGCCATAGTATGCATTGCCGGAGACTGACTTGAGAGCCCTTTTTTCTGGGAGCTTCGCTGAGGAGTGTGCCTGTTAGATAGCTTGAGATCTACTAGCTCAAGTCGTCTGGGAACAGGCGGTTTGTGACGGGCAGTCTGACTTCCCGCTGTCACCGGCGTTGGTAGGGTTGTAGAAGGTCCCTTTGACTTGAACAAGCCTGTGAATGTGTGGGCGAGTTTGACGAAGAAAAGCCAGAAACGTAAGAAGAGACCTGGAGGCTGCGGAGGTGGGTCGACCCGACGTACAGGCATGATTTGCTTTCAATGTAAGGACAGTGATAGTTTGTTGTGAAATGATATAAATGCCACCCTCGATCCAAGCTTGATCGCTTTGAGCGGTTCCAGGAGAGGCTGGCTTTTACATCATGCTCCTAGTCAGCCACGCATTAGCAACCGAATACACGTTCTGTAAACGTAACAAAATTCAAGGCATCACCGAGTCACAAGTAGTTAATCACCCTAAACCTCCAAGTAGACACTGTTCAGGTTGTCGTGCATCAGATTGTCATCCACTTGGCTATCTAACAGATTTTTCTGCAATCGTTGATATCCTTTTTCATAATGTTTCAGACCCCTTGTACGTGGCACATCGGACTCGTAGTAACGCCGTTTACGATAAAACTTTGCTGCAGCCAACGAAGGTCTGGACAAAGAAGTGAGTGGCCCGGAAATTTCTAGAGAGTGACGTGACGGATGAAGGCAAGATCGTGGCCCACGCACAGCGTCACATTCCCCGCACACGTTCCGCCAGCGTTTGCAGGAAATGTAAATGGTCCGCTGACTTGCTTGAGACGGGTTCTCCGTCTTCTTCTTCCTCTGTCGAGACTCGACATTCAAATTTGCAAGGGACTACTGAATGTCACACTTAAGTGACACACGGATAGCTTCAGTGCAGTCCCAGGTGAACCAATATGCGGAAGAGGCGTCCTCGCTGCCTCCTTCTCCAGACCAGATCGTCCATGAGGAACATGCCCCAGCTCCTCCTCCCCAGGTTTCTCCATCTGAGGCATCTCACTCGGACTCTGGATTCAGTTTATCATCTAGCTCCTCCGGGGAGGTAAGTTTCTATTGATCCAAGACACGTGTAGTGGAGTGGCGGTCATAATCACCTAAACCCTGTTCTCGTTGTTCTCGATTAATATATGTGTTCTCGAGGAACTGCACGATCCTGACATTCGTCTGGGATGCTTCAGGTTACTGGGACTCCCTTTGATTTTGGGACACAGCGCTATGAATACCCCTTCCCTCCCACTCAAGGTACATCAAGCGATCCATATTTACCACTTTCTTCATCAATTACAATCACATCTCCATCCAACTCCATCTGGCCTTTGTGGCCTGCACAAGTCACAAAATCTTTCCCTCTCACTCCTCCTCCCCCCAGAAAAGTCAGGACCCATCCGAAGTTGCGATCCGTGGCTGCGCGAGAACCACCCGTTCCGCCTAGCCTAGCGAATAAACGTAGTTTCTGGAGCCTGAGCCTGCAACGCCAGGCCTCTGCAGAAAGTCAACAAAGCGACTTTAGCGACACCCAAACACGCGGCCGGAGGCTTCCTCCTGGTGGTGTGGGGTTTACCGAGGCAGACGCCTATTCCGCGTCCGAATCGGAAATCACTGTGCGCCGTCGTCAGCCTTCAGCATATGCCGTATATGCTTCTGGCTCTAGGATGGATCCAAGTGGGGGAACAGGCAATCAAAATGGGTTGATAACATGTGGCGGTCGTGCGCCAGAAGTACCGGTTGCGGGTGGACCAGCCTCTGGTCATGGGCCCAATGGTGGCCATAATAAACTTGACGTCGGTCTTCACTCGCATACACCGTCAGGGGCACATTCGCTTACTGAATATCGTCCTATCAGCTGCGGCCAGGGAATGCGCCAAATCGGGGCAATGTACAAAACTCGTCTGTCGGCGAGGTTTTAAGAATAGTCGCCGGTCGACGTAGGTGATGATTCTTTTTTGACTGAACTTTGTGACGGATTTGACATCAGTTTTGAATTGGGTTTTACGCTTTTTCTTGGGTTCTTGAGGTCCTGGCGGAGGACATAGCTATCAGCACTTTGGTACGTGTTTTATTATTTCCATTGAAGCTTCAAGCTTAGTAAATCCTAGATGCAACAATCTGTCATCAACATCTATTGTTGCATATCATCTACTAAATCATCTACATTTCACGAATTCACTCATCGTGATAGAAGACTTGTACACGCGCGATATTCCTACCTTTTTTTCTTACTTACTCTCATGCATATCATTCCCCTGATGCTTAACGTCGTTTCATCAATACCACGTCGATTACGTCCATAGGAGCAGAATTTGCCACCTCGCTTCCGACCATACCTGTCACGCTACGCCCCTACTTGTTTTATCGCAATATGTTGTCCCCACGATGAGGATCATTACTAAGTTTAACGGGGTTGTAGTGATATTTTCCAGCTAGTTCCAAATCGATATGCCAGATTCGATTTTACGCCTTTGCTTTAGTTTTGGAGCGAAACAAACTTGGATTTCTACTTCAGGTTATTAGTGCGTGTCTGAAACATTGTAACTATGTTCGGATCAAAGGGAGAACCAAGATGTGATTGGCCGTGAGATGTGCTGAGTATTACTTCCGTGGAACGCGATGGGATGGATTGTAATCCGAGTCTACGAGATGAAAAGAGTGCACTAGCGGTGGTAGTAGTCGTGTAAGCTTCGCACATGAGCTGCGGAAATGGCAGTGCTGGCACACTGCAAGGTTTATAAAATCGTTAATCTCCCTGTGCTGTAACGGCGCTACAGCCTGCCGAGTGCGCTTCGTTGCGCAGTCGAGGCTATTTTCGTACAGCCCCCCATCATGTAATTACTATGATAGGCGGTGTAACGTAGCCATCGTACATATAAAACCATCACGAGTGGTCTATGCGGCAATCATCCCCACATCATTTCTGCCATGAGTAACTATCCCGATGAAAAATCTAACAACCCGTACGCAACCTATCTGGTCCCGGCTCCTCAGCAGCAACAGAATCAATACCAGGCACCTTTAGGCCCACCCCCTGCATACACCCAGGAGGCATCTTATGCTCCGCGTGATAGCACGTATCAAGAGTACAACCCTCAGCCGCAAACATACCAGGCGCCTCCAGGATCAGTATCCCACCTTCCTCCAGGATATCAGGGAGATCAGGCACCACCACCAACTGGTCATGATGACCGAAAAGGCGGGGAATACCCAGCATACCAGGGGGCTTCCCCAGGAGCTAGGGATCCATATGACCATAACAGGGCAGGATCATCAAATTATCCTTCATATCAGCCAAACAACAGTGTTAGCCCATACAACCAGACTGCAGGCGCTGTGCCACAAGATCGTGTACCTTCCCCAAATGGCGAGAGTAGAGGGTTGTCCCTGGCTTCATTCTTTGGTAGCACGGGTCCTCCGCCAATGTGGCAACGCCAGCCGCCTCAGCATATGCGTTACGACCAGTTCCCTCCCATGTGTCTCATCTCAAACCAAACGGACCTGAGCAAAGGCTTCCCTGAGGTAGCTCCCCCATGCCAACTATGTGTTCACCCATTTGCGACGCATGATATCTCGGAGGAGGATTGGAGACGGTCAGTAGACTTTTCATCAGGCCGTCCCGTTTGGATTGATCTAAAAGGTCTTTAGATTCCTGGCAGACATCAAGAAAGCAGGTTCGTTATCTGCGGGACAACGTATCAAATCGAATGCCATACCCCTTATAACAGGCGCCAGTCTCATTGGTACGTAGTACAACAAGCCATTGCAGGAAATGATCCTATGTCTCCACTCCTAGGCGGGTTCCTCATGACTGAAGGCATCGAGAAACGAATGAAAGCGAATAATCGCAATGCGGCGGGAGACGTCGTTGATAACTGGAACCATGTCAGTATATGTCCTGCGAAATACCATCAGACTATTCACCATCTTTTTTTTCAGTACTTCTTCGGACCTCGCAGAATGGAGGCCGTTCTCTGCCAAGGGTCCCAGCGTTTGAGCGGCCGTGAGGGAGCGGCCCCGCTTGGTGATTATGGCCAACTCCGCACGGCAAATGGCCTCCGTCGCCGAGCCTCGAGTTCCTCTTCTTCTTCGTCTTCCTCATCAGATTCCGAGGATGACAGGAGTCGCAATAAGCATGGATTCGGGTCATCTGCATCCCACAAGTTTGATAAAAGACAACGCCGTGCCGCGAGAAGGGAGGCTAGGACTGAGAAACGCCAGGAGAGATGCGCTCGTAAGGCAGAACGTCGCAGTGGTAAGGCTCGTATGGAACGTTCGGAGCCTTACCAGCTCTTCATTCAAGCTATCTAGTGAAATAGATGAGTAGATGCGAGATAAATCGTCAAGGATATTTATTGTATTCGAGTGACGAGTCCTTGTGGTCTTTGTGTGGTGTGATCAAAAGTTTCAAAACGAGTCATCATTACAGACCCGGATAGTAACAACCCTTGTTCAGCGCCATTCACGACAAATGGTATGGAGCAAGAAAAATGTGGGGTGGGTGAAAGGGTTCCTAACTTCGCTCTGTGTTGTAAGAATGTCAACTTGTTGTGCCAAGGGTGCAATGATAAGTGGTACTCAAAATAGGTTTTGGAAGGTTTTGAAACTCGGTTAAATGCCGGCTAAACACTTCAAACTCACGGCTAGAAACCTCGGCCGATTCAAGGTCAGGCCGGCATCGTACGTCGGACTTCGAAACAACTATGCCTCCTGCCCGTCGTGAACGTGTTCGACGTTCTGCACGCCTCAAATCTAACGCTCCATTGGACTCTATTGGTGCACGAGTGCACGTGACGACGCGACGCGGAGTGCAATTGATAGGATTCCAAACCGAACCATATATTATCGTTTGTCTTTGTATCGTCTTTCCCCTCAGTCTGTTCCATCGAGACTGAGGGTACGTTCATTTTATTATCTCGCCACAGTAACTAGACACTAACGCATATCTGTACTAGTGTTTACTGTGTCTAGGTACTTAATATCAGTCTGTTCCATCGAGACTGAGGTGTTTACTGTGTCTAGACTTAACAGGTTATGAGCCCTGCTCACTCGTGAACGAGTGGCAGAACCAGCTAGACCAACAGATCACCCAGGAACTAACGTACCAGGTTATAACACCTCGGGCGTGCAGCGCTTCGCGCAAACTTCGATCTAAGTTATCGAACTGTCTCGTTGTTTCCGTTTCGAGCGAGAAGCATCGAACGCGTTATTTCAAATCATACGCTTATATATCTAGGGGGTCTGTGAGGATTTCTCCCATTATCACGCTTTCTCCCCAACTTCGTCAATCTCAATGCCTGTGCATACTCGTACCAAAAGTAATACAAACGCAACCTCGTCGACGTTGGCACCCGCCCCTACCCCGGTCATGCCTGCTGTCACGGCTATAACTCTTAGTCAGACTGATTTGGAAAAGATCGAGGTATTAGACCGCGGAACGAATAACTGGGGGATCTGGTCCGACAAAATGCAGAATTACCTCCTTTTGAAACACGGAGGCGGATATATCCTCGGGCTCATCATGCGTCCCGACCCATCTGCCGATCCGGCGAGCGCATCCCACTGGGACCTCAACAACCTTTGTATCATCGCAGTGTTACGCACACGTTCCAGTTCTGAGGAACAAGAATTCCTTCGCCCTTTCACTAATGCGTATTTAGCCTGGAATGCGCTGAAGTCCCGTCATGAGAAGGTTGGCCCTATCGCCCAAATCCTCCTCATACAACAAGCTTTAGCGATCCGATACCGTCGTTCCGAACGCCTCTCTACTACCAGCACCCAACTCAGTGAACTGGTCAGGCGTATCTACACCATCGGGATACCTAAGGAGGAGGACTTCATCACCATAATGATGCTTAACGCTATGACAGATGACCTCCTGCATGTTCGGAATCATATCGCTGATGCTCTGTCCACCAGTACTTCCACGAGCGCCACTGTTAGCGCTTACGGCCCTTCCAATATCCGTGCCCGTCTGGATGTCGAGCAACAACTCCTCGATACCGAGAGGAGCAAAGGGGGGGATGTCGCATTACTTGCTAATGGTAAGGGCAGTGGAAATACCTCTGGTGGGCGGTCCAAGACCTGCACAGAATGCGGGCGTCAAGGACATTCCTTCTGCTGCACCAATTGCAACAGTTGGGGGCATCTCGCCAAAGACTGTTTCGCCAAAGGCGGCAGCATGGAAGGGAAACGAGAAGAGGTACTTGCTCGAAAACGCGCTGCCCGGGGAGCCAATACTAGCAAAGGAGGAGCTACTGCGAAGCCCGCCACCAAGCCCGCGTCTACGGGTAATCCAGGTGGTGTACGTTATGACATTGGGGGGCACGCATACATCCTTGATGGTGAGACTCATGAAGCCATCTATATTGCCTCCCCTTCTGCTACCTCTGCTTCGTCACCTCCTGCTCCCACTGACACAGTGTCACGTGAATTCACTGGACTCGCCTATGATACTCTCACCCCTGCCTTCATTCGTGAGGTCTCTGAAGTGGACGATGATGAATTCACGGCGCTTTACTCCGCACTAGACACTTTGCAGACTAGCATCGACTGGCGTCAGCACAGCCAACCAGTTGACTTTGCGGGCATTACCTACAAGGCGCCCAACCAACGCCAGCGCACGATCGTGGATCCCTCTATCGTCCCTTTCTTCCTCGACAGTGGAGCTTCTGTTCATATCAGCAATGCCGAATCCGATTTCTTTAGTCTGCGTCCTATTCCCCCCGCACCGTCAGTGGCGTTGGGGGGTCCTCCATTCAAGCCATCGGCGTTGGCACACTCCGACTCGTTGTAGCTAAAGGGATCCATCTCACGCTCGACCATGTCCTTTTTATCCCGGCTGCTACTGTTACGACACTAAGTCGTGTTCGTACTTGGATGGGCTAAACAGCAAAGGCCGAGAAGACGGCTTTCAGGATGCTGAGTACTGTCGGCTTCCACAGAAGAGCAGAAGTTGCGTACGCCTTGTGGGGCGATGATAGCGATTACAGACGGAAGGTTCGTGGTCGTTGAGACAAGCTTCCGAAGGTACGAGCCTGAAGTCAAGCAAGGTAGCTTTATGCGAGACAGGAGGTTTCAAGGGAAAACCAAGTAGGATTAAAGTAAGGAACATCTACTTTAATCGTCGACCTTATATAAGGCTACTCTATCGTGTCTAAGCTCAGCTTGAAGCTGGGTTCTAATCTGCTTATCTGTCGAGTCAGAGATAGCGTCCATGAGGCAGGCTTCTATCTAGGATAAGGAGCACGAGGCGTCCTTCTATCAGTACACGAGGCAACACGAGGCTTGCCTTCTATCTTGATAACATGAATAGGTCTTCTAGACCTATGTCGTCATAGGCGGTCCAGACCGCTTATCTAATCCGGCATCTTCCGGAGTTCTCTTCTATAATCGGTCCTGTGTTCTATCCCGTGTTCTTCTATCAAGGGCATGTGAGGCCCGGGTATCGTCTGTAGCCGTGCAGGTGGCAGAGGGCATGGTGGCAAGGGGACTCGTGTACGTTGTTGTAACAGCTACCATACGACTCATCTCCGTGTCGAGTCTTTGTAGCGCACACCGCTGTGTCGCCTCTTTTGATGCTACCAGCTGTTGGGTCCAGGCCCGCAGTGGCACACACATGCTCTCCGGTACCCTCACATCCCGTCGCCTATATGCCCTATCTGGTGGGCAGCTCTCTGCAGATCACGCCTTCCTGGCGCAGCGCCTCCCCACCCTACAATCCTGGCACCACCGTCTTGGTCACGCAAACTACCGTGCTGTCTATGACCTCGCGCGCTCTGGTAACGCCACCGGTATGCCTATTACCCTTTCTACCGAACCTCCCATTTGTGATGCTTGCATTCTTGGAAAGCAGACCAAGTCTAGTGTTCCAAAAGTTCGTGTTGGGGAAAGGGCTACTAGAAGGTTAGGAGTTGTACATGTGGATCTCATGGAGCATCCGGACACTGTATCAGCAGCAGGCAATAAGTACATGATGGACATCATTGACGATTTTTCGTCCTACGCATGGTCAATCGCTCTTTCGGCTAAATCTGACGCCTTCCCTGCACTTCATGCTTGGGAGAAGGCTCGTGAGCTCGAAACCAACCTGAAGGTCGGTATATACCGATCAGACAATGGCGAGCTCAAGTCTGAGGCCATGCGAGAGTGGCTCCTCTCGCGTGGTACTCAACATCAGTTCACAGCGCCATATACCTCGGCGCAAAATGGTAGAGTTGAACGTTTGCATCGCACCTTAATGGGTAAAGCACGTGCCATGCGTATCGCTAGTGGAGTCCCTGTGAATCGATGGGATGAGTTTGTTTTAACTGCTTGTTACCTGTCTAATCGCACCCCGGTCTCCTCCCAAGCTGGCCACACCCCCTACGAACGATGGTACGATCAGAAACCAGACCTTACCCATCTCCGTGAAATCGGCTGCCGTGCTTTTGTTCTGATACAGAACCGACACAATCCGAAGGTCTATGAACGATCAGTTGAATGCGTGCTTATTGGCTATTCCCTCAACTCCAAGGCTTATCGTTGTTATCATCGGGAATCCCGCAAAGTATTCGTCTCTTATCATGTATCATTTATTGAATCACACAATTCTGCTGATACCCCACTCCACCCTGGTGTAACTATCGAGAATGCTTCTGTCCCGCTTGCTCTTTCGCAACGTGCCTCCGTCACTGACACCCCAGATGAGGAGATCCTTCCCTCTGCTGCGTCACCTATCCTCCCACCTAACCCAGGACCAGCCCCCAATCCCCCTGCTACTGACTTACCTCGTCGGTCCACTCGAACACCCGTGCTGTCTGAGCGCCGTTGCACAGCAGAAGGTATTCCTTACACTAATGCGACTCAACGCAATGCTCTGTCCTCATTGGCCTCTGCTGATCGACTTCGTACCCTACCGACAGTGCATGAATCTGACGAATCTGCACTGGCGGCGCTTGCTCATGAGGACATTGCCGACCTGGAAGCTGAGTTGGCGCATCTGACTGAGGCCTTTGCAGCCATCCCAGATGACTTCGACAACGAACATCCTTCTGATCCTGTCACTTACACTGAGGCAATGAACTCTGCACACGCAACTGAATGGACTCAGGCGATGCGTGCTGAGTTTGACTCCCTGCGCGATCTAGGTGTCTACAAGCTCGTACCCCGTTCTACAGTACCCACCGGCCGAAAGATCATGAAAGGTCGCCCCGTTTTCAAGCTCAAACGTGACCAAAATGGGGATCCTGTGCGTTTTAAAGCACGCTATGTGTGCCGTGGCTATTCCGCAGTCTGGGGACAAGATTATACGAAGACGTCTGCACCTACAGCCCGCCTGGAGTCTTTCCGGATCTTAGCACACATTGGCGCTGCCCTCGATTGGGAAATCGAGCAACTTGACATCAAGACGGCTTTTCTCTACGGTCTTCTAGACTCCGATGAGGTCTGCTACATGGAACAACCCGAGGGTTTCGTGGAACCGGGATACGAGAACCACGTCTGGGAGCTACAGAAAGGACTATATGGGATGAAACAAGGCGGTCTCATCTGGAATCGCACTCTTAATGAGGCTATGCTCGCTTGGGGTTTTGTCCGACTTAAAAGCGAGCACTGCATCTACTACCGTCGTAATAGCGCCGGCATACTCCTCGTCGCCGTTCATGTTGACGACTTCTTCACCGTAGGCAGCTCAAAGGGTGTTATCTCAGATTTTAAGACTCAAATCAAGACCAAGTGGCAAGTCTCTGAACTCGGAGACGCCCACTTCTGTCTAGGTATCGGCATCGCTCGTGACCGAGTCCTTCGCACAATTTCTCTATCTCAGACCGCTCTCATTGATCGTATTGTCTCCCAGTTTGGCCTCAAGGATGCGGTGCCCGTCTCTGTTCCTATGGAACCAGGCCTCCACCTATCCCGCCAAGACCATTCCCCTCGCAATGACACTGAACGCGAACTCATGCAACGTACGCCTTATCGTTCCCTAGTCGGATCTCTCATGTACCTGGCTATTGGTACTCGCCCAGATATCTCCTATGCAGTCCAACAACTATGCAAATTCCTCGACTCCTATGGCCGAGTTCATTGGGAGGCTGCAAAATGCGTTGTCCGTTATCTCAAGGGGACCCGCGACTTCTGTCTTGTCCTTGGCGGTGAACACACTGCTCGCCTCATTGCATACACCGACAGCGATCTCGGCAGCTGCATTGACACACGCCGTTCTGTCAGTGGTTACTGTTGTTCCCTTGGCAGTGGCTTTGTTACCTGGAGTGCACGTCAGCAAAAGACAGTCGCATTGTCAACCTGCGAGGCTGAATATGTTGCAGCATCGGAGGCAGGCAAAGAAATAGCCTGGTTACACATGCTGCTCAATGAGATCGAATTCCCACAGGCAACTGCATCCCCGCTGATGTGCGACAACAATGGCGCGATTGTCCTCACCGAGGACTCCTCTTTCCACGCTCGTGTCAAACACATCGACTTGGCACATCATTCTATCCGGGAACGCGTATCATGTCGCCAGCTCAAATTGCACTACGTCCGCTCCAAAGATAACATCGCAGACATATTCACTAAAGCTCTACCAAGGAAAGATTATGAGCGTCTCCGCAATTGTTTGGGCCTACGGTGATTCATTCGAGGAGGAGTGCTTGTCGCGTTGAGGAGGAGTATTGGTGCACGAGTGCACATGACGACGCGACGCGGAGTGCAATTGATAGGATTCCAAACCGAACCATATATTATCGTTTGTCTTTGTATCGTCTTTCCCCTCAGTCTGTTCCATCGAGACTGAGGGTACGTTCATTTTATTATCTCGCCACAGTAACTAGACACTAACGCATATCTGTACTAGTGTTTACTGTGTCTAGGTACTTAATATCAGTCTGTTCCATCGAGACTGAGGTGTTTACTGTGTCTAGACTTAACAGACTCGAGGGCAATGGACGATGCATCAACCTCTCGAGGACCGCCCAAAGAATCATCTGGACCACAACTAGCTATTCAGTGGCAAAGCGACTGCACTCTGACTGATACATTGGTAAATTACCTGACGACTCAAGCTGCTGATTGTAGGGTCCTATTTTACTCTGATGGGAAAAAAGCAATGGCCGCTGTTGACGACCATCCATCGGGGTCGGATAAAGGCCAAATCTACCAGAATATCGCCAAGCTCTTATTTGCAGGCCACCCTAAGTATGGTGCCGCATACACCATCAATCCCAAAAAATTCCGCGACGCAGTTGGCAACCGTATTGGAAGGTACATTGTTTTATTTTTTTGTTCCGTTCATCAAAATACTAAAATTTGTGCAGTCTTAGGGGTAAATACAAGAAACTTAAGGCGACATTTAGCAGCACCGGCGCTGGTGTGATGCCGGCTGAAGGGACCCAAGCAAAGAATCTATTAGGTGAGTCCCTGTCTCAATTTTTTAGTTCTCAATCAATTGATCATCGTAGATGCAGCACTTTCGGAGCTGCCATGGTACACGGAATTAGATGCAATTTGGCATTCTAATCTGTCCATGGCTGCAGTAACCCACTCCTCAAAGCCGGGCGTTGATCACGCCAGCGCGCTATATTCACTTGTTCAATCACGTGGTGGGGCTGGTCCCCCCACACACTTCGGCAATACTTCGCAATGGTCACCTCACGCTCCCACATATCCCTCACCTTCCAGTACTGCGCCTTCACATTATGGCCAAGCATACTCTCCTGGCCCTCATATACCTCATCACACAAATACCATTGAAACACCTCACGCTGGGAGTTCGCAATTCGCTCCTGCTCCTGCTCTCACTTCGGCTCCTGCTCCCCTCACTCCTGCTGCTGCTCCCTTCACTCCTGCTCCTGCTCCCCTCACTCCTGCTCCTGCTCCCTTCACTCCTGCTCCTGCTCCCTTCACTTCGGCTCCTGCTCCTGCTCCCTCCCATACCGTCCCTTACAATACATTCCCCCAATTCCACCTTCCCGGTCTCCCGACACCAAAAGACGCCCTCGACAATCATAACGCCGAGGACGACAACTTCGATCAAGACATTAGCGGACCATTTGATGCCCCACTTGGAGATTATTTTGAAGATGATGATATGATGGTCGACGAGACGACCAGTAGCTCTTCCCGTGTTGCAGGGAAGAAACAGCAGCTTCCCTCGTCACCATCGCCCCCTCCTAACGCTCCAGAACCATTCCACAGGCCTGCAAAATCCCGGCATCTTCCTATAACAACCGCTCAGCATTCGGCTTACAGAAGCCATTGAGCCGTGGGGGATGACGCAAACGACCATCAGAGATGTTGCGGAGCACATCAACGCCTTCGTCGACGACATGAAATACTACCTCGACGTCAGACTACTTTGTGTCCCCAACTCCCCAGACGTCACTCCCAACCAGCACCGGCAGTTTGAAGAAGAAAAAAGCGAAATCGGACGTAATGGAACAGGTGGACCAGATGAAGGATGAGATCCAGAGTATGCACTCTGATGCCATGTCCCGCCACGACAGCAAGCACCAGCGCTTCCTCGCGAAGCTCGACGCGAAGAGCGAGCACAATCGCGACGTCAAGAAGTACGAGTGGCTTTGCACTAACCGCGAACATGAGGCCTCCCAAGCCACTGTAAGCCATCAGCGGCTGCAGCAGACCAAAGACGCCAAAATTCGCCTTTGCGAGACGGATATCCGAGTCCACGAAGCACATTCGTTGGTGCTCGAGAAAGAGGCAGAGACTCTTCGACTCAAAATCCAGTACCACCAAATGATGCAGGCTGGCAAGGCCTCATCAGATGGAGGAGCTGGATGAGTCTTTTTTTCGTTGTGTCGTCGTCTCCGTCTCCGTCGTCGTCATCATCATCGTCTTGTTGTTGTCGTCTTGTTGTCGTTGTTGTCGTTGTCGTCTCGTTATCTCATTATCATCTCATCGTCGCTCATCTATCTGTTGTCACTATGTCATTTGTTGCTGTATGTTTGTTTACATCCTTATGTTTTTTTTCCATTGCATGCACATGTTTTTGGTGTTGTAATTGTTGGTACTTTCTTGATTGATATTTACATAGCTACATACATTTGTTGTACAGGTGTTTAAGTGGTAGTACATGTTCAATCAAACATTGTGGTGAATCATCCTTCCCTATGGTGTGCATTTGAGTGAGGACTGTCAAAGAGTGCATTCATCAGCCTTGCACGAGCAGCTTGACCTGGAGTGCCTTCATAAGTCCTGTCCCCAACAACTTCTTCACCATCTGGACCCTCAACTTCTCGATCAATGAAATCTTCCCCCTCAGCACGAGCCCACTTTAGAGAACTCTCGTATGTTCCATCCCTCTTGCGATGCTCGATTTCAAAGCGAATGATCATGTTGTGTAGGATAATGCAGCACTTGATCCACTGCACGGCGAACTCAAGGTCTTTCTCAGCCTGAATTCTGAACCGGAGCTCTCGAAGAAACTGGAACCGTCCCTTCAAAACAGCGAATGTGTGTTCAACACAAACACGGATCTAAAAAAATTCAATTTACTGAAATATAAACCTCAAAAAAAAAATACCTTAGAGAGATGATAATTAAATGTCTTCTGGTCCTTAGTCAACTGCCCATTGCGAGGCTTCTTGAAAGGGGCAATGCACCATGGCTCCAATGGATATGCACTGTCAGCCCACACCCAATGACCATCAGGTAGAAGGTCAGCATGCTCTTCATAGAGACGGGTAGATCGAAAAGCGAATGCATCATGGACACTCCCAGGATGACCCAGAGAATAATCCACAATGAGAAGGTTATGGGGCAAAATGACTGCCTAGAATTAAATCAATTTTTGCACATGAAGATTTTTAAAAAAATACCTGACAGCCAAGGGAATATTTAGATTTCCTATCATAAAATGTCTCACCGAAGTAACCAGGTTTGGTGAAAAGATTCATAGTTGAGCCATCAATGGCTAGAAAGCCACCCTTCCACTCTGGGCAGGTACATGACTCAGCAAATTTGCGAGCCAAGTCAGCATCCTCAGAATTATCCGCTGGGAAGCAGATAAACTGATCATGAGCATCAAGCACCGCAATCATCACACGATTAGTGCAATTAACCACAGACCCAACACTCACGCCTGCCCATTGAGCGACATCTTCAAGAGTAATAGCATTTCCATAGTGGCCGGCTCGATTCAAAAAAATGGCAAGTTGAATGGAGACAGGGAGCTGAAGATTGTTGGACTGATTTTGGAAGATGGGATGATCAGAGATAAAATCGAGGATGTCATTGAAGATCTCGGGGTTAACACGGAGTTTTTGCCGAAATAAGTGAGGGCGGTGTTCTTCGTGATGAACCAACATGTGAAGCTGAGGTGCTCATGGGGGAGGCTCATTGGGCTTATGGAGTACACGAGCCCTCTTAACCTCATCACAAAGAGCATTAATGGTGTCACGGAGGCGGTCGTAAGGCACAGCAATGTCATCAGAGGATATAGAACCATCACTGGAAGAATCTGAAGCCCCTGTCATAGGGGAGAGGGGGGAGGGGGGGGAAGGCGAGCTAAAAGATAGATTGATTGAATTATCATCATCCGAAGTAGTGGAAAGGGAGTCCTCGGAGTCAGAATCGCTCTCAAAGTCAGACCAATCATCCAGGATATCCTGGTACTGTAGCTTGGCCAGGGAAAGTTCGGCCTGGTCTACAATAGCCAGGAGTTCTTTACGGATGGATGGTTGAGGCATGGTCACAATTGGGGAGTCGAGGGAATCAAAACTCCTATCCATTTGTGTATATGTGACGTAGTTTGTGGCGGAGTTTGAAATTTTGGAAAGTTCCGAAGTTTCGTCTCGCAGTGAGCACGCTGATGCCATCATCGACCTCACCATCCAGCCTCAATGCTCACACACAGCACTGAGCAGGACATCAAATTTTCAGGTGTCATCAACCCAAGGTAAGTATTTTTTTTGCCTCCTGTAAGTTCCAGCTGACATATTCACCCTTATCTTACAGGAAATCTATTCTAGTGCCGGTCCCACACATGACCAACAGCGGCTCAATTTTACCGCCAAGCCGCTGGTTCCTCACTACCCCCTACACCTTCTACACTCCCCTTCTTGTGGGATCGACTCTGCGCTCATTCCAATCCAGCCGGCTCAAGGCACGCTTAGGTTTACGCGACCCCTTATGCCTGATGCAGTCTTTCAACCGCCCCAACCTGTACTATGCCGCAGTACAGCCTAAACCATCCACGAAAAAGAAGGTGGTTCAAGCCATTGCTGGTTTCATCAAGTCACAGCATGCTACCCATACTGGCATTGTGCACGGCTTCTCGAAGTCGGAGTGTGAGGAACTTGCTGAGCAACTGCGAAACGACTATGGCTTATCTGCCAAACATTACCGCACCGGTATGGGCCCACAAGAGCGCAGCACTACTCAAGATCCATTATCCACTTCAACTCCAGGCTCGAGGGGCGGCAACATCCTGGAAAGCAGCTCAAAGGTAGCCGTACTCTCCACAACTACAACATCATCTTTCACTTTACCTTACATCTGCAGATCTTTTTCATGTGTCCTCCTCCCCTCAGCACTTATTTAGTCCCTCCGGCATTCACTACCTTCCTTCCAGTACTGCGCCTTCACAATATGGCCAATACATACTCTCCGGGCCCTCATATACCTTATCACGCAAATGCCCTTGAAACACCTTATGCTGGGAGTTCGCAATTCGCTCCTGCTCCTGCTCCCTCTTTTTCATGAATTTTAACATTTGAAATATGATGTATATCTACTATGGGTTGCTTTTTTTACTCTATGTACGACTTTCCCCTATGAACATACACTTTGAAAAATCATAAGTGTTTGAATCTCTGACTTCGTGCCGACGTGCGCCGAGCATGTTTTGAGCGAGTTGAAACCAACTTTAACTGAGAATTCAGAGCGTGTTAAGCGAGTTTTCAAAAGGTTTCAAAAGTTATTTTGAGTACCACTATAATTTACATTAGTCAGCAGCCTCTAAATTCAACAAGATAAACGATAAATGATTTTCAAACAAGAACCAATATCAACGTTACTTATGTAATACATCTGCAAAGGGCCAGGTGAAATTGACGCGGCACTGTAACAAATTCTTATGTACAGATCATGTTCGCACAACTTCATATCGCATTCCAAACACTTTGAATCATCGTTAATGATCAACATATGAGTGTCTGCCTGCGTACAGGCTCTATAGTGCTGTATTCACCTCTCACCAAATTTACAGTGCTTGTCCTCTGCGTTCATATTACTAGTATGCATCTTGCGCGTCAGTCCTATATTGTTGCATTACCTCTAATTCGTTCATCTATGTTGGTTTTCAGATGCAGTGTCAAGTGTTGTCTCACTGCGTCAAGCCTCGACTTCACCCTGCCAAGTCCGATCCACTCTCTATACATGAGTAAGGTGCCGATTCGGAGCTTGCCAGAGAGTCAGCACCGTGCGTCCAACTGAGCGGAACACCTTGACTTTGCCTTACCACTAAGTCGCGCTAGCACTCGAATTCATTAGTTAGATCTCGAACCGGACTACTACCTTCGTTTGTTTTTATTCTCCATTTAGCACATTACTATCACACTCGTTCTTTGCTCTCACCACCATCGCTCACCACAACGCTCACTCGTCACTCAAAATGACCTTCCAACACTTGAACCTGCAGCTACCAGGCCCCTCATCAGCCCAGGGCCAAGCACAATTCCCATCTGGGCCGTCAGACCCCCAAACCCAAGCTGGACCATCTGATAGCACACTAGACATGGCTCAGTCCGCAGCTCGTGCCAAAGCTGCAGCAACAAGGCAGTCAGCCAGACTAGCCAGCATCGGCTCTAATGAAGGCTCGGACTTACCTGCACCTGGGACGATCCAACTTACACCACTCCCGGGTGCTCCAGCAGCTAAGCAAGCAGCCAAGCAGGCAGCCAAACCAGCAGCCAAGCAATCCGCACCAAAGCAATGACCATCAGCCAATGCTGGACCAACTCAAGGTCCGGAGGTAACACCTACCCAACCTGCGCCAAATCAAAATGCAGAGCTCGAGATGCTGCGCTCCCGGATTCTGCAGCTCAAGCAAGAGCAAGCAGGCAGGAACAGTCACTCGTTGGGCCCAAGTCCTCCAGCACCAAACCCAACTCTGTTCGCATCGCCAGAGGAAGTGGAGAGAGTGAGGGCAGCTGTAATGGCAGCGAAGAAGGATGAATCAAAGGTCACCCTTCCCGACGTAATACCTGGTTATAAGGCTAATCCCTTAGATGCCGGTGAGTTCCACCCCCCCTTACAAACCTCAAGACCCTAGTTTTGTGCGAGTCGCACACAAACTTTCACATATGTTAAAGGGGGCACCCTCGTTGATGCAGAGTACGGCAACAACGGTTGCAGAGCAATAGGCTCAGTTGCTAAAGGCAGCACATCTTCAGTACGGGCAATAGGCCTGACCGGGCAATCAGAGCTGCAAGCGGCACAAAGGCTGTAGGCCCACGACGAGGCATCCTGTCCTGTGCGCCAGACCCATCCCATTGTCCTTTGCTTTGTTGATCATGACACCAAGGGCTAATGACTGTTCCCATCCAACAGCCATCCCACCCAAAGTGGACGACACATTCAAAGGCTTCAAATACGTACCTTACAGTGTGCTGACTTCGACAGCGCGCTGGCAAGCAGTCAGGAATGGTGAAGAAGCCTTCACCATCACAGCGGCTGGGGCAATAGCAGCCAAGGGCCTAGATCGCCGCAATGAAAGGAGCATCACGCTGTCAGACTGGATTGGAGCAGCAGAGGCAGCAGAGGAGCGCACAGAATTTTACCATGGGATAGCACGTGCAGTGGCATTGAAAGCACACCACAGCGTAGTTTTGGGGCTAAGCCGCTCCCACTCCTGGGATGTGGCTGTTGAATATGATATCCAGCAATGAGAAATGGTAGCGCAGCACCCTCAGCACGACCTTTCCCAGCTGGACGACAAAGCCTTAACAATTATCGCAACATGTGTTTTATTCAGACAACCTGTGATGGCAGCCCAACACAGCTCTTCGCATCTCAAAAGGCTGGCTGTGTTGTCTTTATTAGCCTAACAACCACTGAAGAAGAAGAATAGACTCCAGTGCTTTCGGTGTGGAGGAGCAGACCACCTACCAGGAGACTGCACAGCAGAGTCCACCACCGCAGGCCAGCCAGTCGTACAGATTGCAGCCTCAGCCAGAAGTGTCCACGCACTCGCAGCCCCAGGAGAAAAAATCTTTTGTATTGGATGGGCGCGATCATCTAGTTGCCGCTTCGCCAACGCATGCGTCAACCACCATGGGTGCAGCATCTGCGGAGACGCCTCCAATGGCGCCGGTCTATGCAAATTTGCCCAGTCTAGATCCTAGACAGGTAGTCACTCCACTCAACGCGACAAAACTCGAAGAAGTCCTTTGTAAATATGGTATATACGAAGACTGGGCACATATAGTATCTAGCATCAGAAACGGTTTTGACGTAGGAGTTCTTGGAACGCCCGCCACCACCTTAATATTTCGAAAATCACACATCCTCCCACCTCAACACCAACTTCATAGACCAATATATAATCAGCGAGCAGAGTGCAGGATGTTACTCTCGTGCATACTCACCCTCGGAGCTGGAATCTCTAATTGGCCCATTTCAAACATCACCGCTCGGTCTAGTACCAAAACCAAACTCAACAAAATTCAGGCTCGTCCAAGACATGTCCTTCCCCCACAATGACCCAGACACTCCTTCAGTCAACGCTGGAGTAAACTCAGACTGCTTCCCAACAGAATGGGGCACTATCACGAGTACCTCATATGAATCACTATTCTTTTCTGAACTCTAAGTCTTATAAACGCTCAGACAAAGTGCCTGTCCATAATAATGTATTTATGGTTGAAGATGTAGAAGAGGATGCACCTGTGGTTGCGTCTATTGTAGAATTACCCAACGAGCACGTGACTGAGTCACGTGACTTATCGGAATATGCCGGACTAAACTTTATACCCCGTGAACCTGATGCGATGTTCCAGAACCTGTCGGTTGCTGCGGCACGTGTTATGATGTCATAATTATATATAGAATCGTACGATACCGTTTCCTATTATTTGATTGGTAGTTAGTTTGAACTCAGTTTCAGTCTCCGACTTAATATATGTAGATAGGTAGCTAGTTTGTAGTCGGTAGTTCTTTAGTTCAAACCTCTCATCTGTACATTACTTGTACCAGCCCAGACGTACCTGCTCAAATCTATCTTCTTGTTTGGTTTATCTTGTGTTTGAGTCCTAGTCTCTGCCCAGCGTTAATTTGTTATTGGGTTGTGACAGGCACATTCAATGACACAGTGGACCTGATCCTCTCGCTACCAGATGGCTGCGTTGCAGCAACATTCGACATCGCATCAGCCTACCGAATAGTGCCCGTTCATCCCAGCCAGCAGTGGGCCCTTTGTATATTCTGGAACGGCCATGCATATGTCGATCGAGCCCTAATGTTTGGGTTAAGCTCCAGCACCCACATATTACAGTGACCTATCTCCGTATAATACGAGGGAACGGACATGCATAATATCCCGTATGATACGGGCCAGCGGACCATGGGCCCATGATAAAAATATCCTCGACTATGACGGATGGGCCGGGAGGCAAATTATTCCCGATGGAGACGGGTGGGCCCATGCAGGGAATATATAGAGTAGATGAGTGGGCCGATGTACATGAATATTAGGTAGACGGGTGGGCCGAGGTAGTTGGATATTATGCAGATGGGTGTATTAAGGTAGATGTGTATGAGATAGATGGGTAGGTACTTGTTATCACATTCACGGGTGGGCCCAGACACATATTAAATTAGACGGGTGGGCCGAGGGTATTATAAAATATTGTATTAGACGGGTGGGCCCAGACGCATATTAATTAGACGGGTGGGCCGAGGGTGTTGTATGGGATGTTGTATTAGACGGGTGGGCCGAGGGTGGTATAAAATATAGATGGGTGGGCCCATGTGTATCATAATTGTAGACATGATGGAGCTGAGGTAGTTGTACATCAACCAAATCAGAGGAGGTAATAAATCAAAGTTACCAAGTTCCCGGAGCAGCAGGTGATCTCCTGACATGGCCTTTGATGGTGCACAGGTTGTCTTGCAGAATGTGGAATCCGGGGTGCGAAGCTTGTGTTGCCCTACGAGAAGCCAAGTTCCGACCACCAGAATTTGAGTCAACTGTACCGAGCTCCGAGTTCCGAGTTCCGGGCCCCGGAACTCAACACATAATTTAGTTAATACTTTCCGTGTTAAATGGCCAACCGAAGTTGAGATGTTTCTGAAGAGAGCAGCAGGTGCTCTCTTGACATGGCCTTTGATGGTGCGTAGGTTGTCTTGCAGAATGTGGAATCCGGGGTGCGAAGCTTGTGTTGCCCTACGAGAAGCCAAGTTCCGACCACAAAAATGTGAGTCAACCGTACTCAGAGGAGGTAATAAATCAAAGTTACCGAGTTCCCGGAGCAGCAGGTGATCTCCTGACATGGCCTTTGATGGTGCACAGGTTGTCTTGCAGAATTTGGAATCCGGGGTGCGAGGCTTGTGTTTCCCTACAAGAAGCCAAGTTCCGACCACCCAAATTTGGGTCAACCGTACCGACTTCCGAGTTCCGGGACCCGGGAGTCGACAAATGAATATCTGATGACCAGCACACTTCCAATCAGGTAGTATTTCATTGAGCAATGGATAATAATACATCTTTGACAGCCAAAATTATCTCAGGCTCCCTTATCTGATCCTCTCTATCTCCACCCCCTTTAACACCAAAGTCCGGACATTCAGCATTCAGTGTCTGATTTCCCAAGATTAACATCCAGCATGAACGGTTCTTCCCCTTCCACTCCTGATAGTATAAACATCTGGCGCACTTGGGCCCTGACTGTGACTTATGAAGCAGGGGAATATACCGAACAGAAATTCAAGGCAGAGAAGACTGGAGGAGGCCCAGTCATACCTTCCCCCAACCTAGACACTGATCTGGTGATGGCGTGCGATCGCTTGGCTGATGTACTCATAAAGGCATATAAAAATCCCAGTGGGTCTTCCTGCAGATTCGGAAAATTCGTTTTATCATTCAAATTCCTGCATGACAGTTCAGATGCAGGTGGATATTGCAAGATATAGCAAATTGATCTCCCCGAAGGACACCGGGCATAATGAACAGAGAGAGGCTAGGTTGCTTGAGAGGTGTCCTCCTGGCCATGAAGGCAAAAGGTTGGTCGACGAACCTGCCACAATTCTCGATGCATCCGGTGCCATCATCGCATGGTACCTCCCAGACGCCCTGACCGACACCACCCAGGTGTGTAATATACATTGTTACTCAATGGATATTGAATATCAAATGGAACCTACAGAAGGAAATCAGGGAAGCCACCAATTTGCTCGCTCCAAGCCTCGAAAAAAGTGTAAGGGCTGATGGCAATTGGCGAACTAATCAAAAGTGGTTCAACCGGGGCTCGGAAGATGTTGGGGCAACTCCCGGATGCATCAATTTATCTCCGGCATGGTTTCAACAGGGACACGAGGTAGGATCTGATGAGATGGTGATTCCGGCAGTCATACTCACCAATCCCAAAGAATGTGTCCGATCCGGAGGTATCTGCATCATTGAAGGGACCTTCCTGCGAGAATATCCTCAAAGCCATTTCAAGGCCAGCAGCCATCGCGTCCGCGGCACTCAGAGTCATGCATCCTGAGCAGTACTGGGCAGGGTTGCGAACCTTGTCAAACCTAGGACATATAGCAGTAAGCAAGGATCTGCCACAGATGCCGGAGGCCCTGCAGTACTGGGCATCGGTGTTTAACACCCTCTCCATCATTTCCAATCGGGAAACCCCAAATCATCGAGACCATTTGTCCATTGCTGAATGCTTCGACATTCTCACCACCGTGGGGAACTATTCTAATGCTCGGATGACAATGCCAAGCCTTCAGCTGGAGTTCAAGTACAATTCCGGCTGTATGATTGCGTTTTCCGGAAGGATTGTGAGACATGGAGTTTATGATGTGGAAGGGGATCGGATTGCTTGGGCATGGTATATGAGGGATTCTGTTCACATTTACGCTGGTGTTCCATCATGTGGATGGGCTAGTGTGGATGGTCCATACAGTGTGTGAAAGATCAAACAAAGAGCATGCATTGTGACCTATATACATTCCAACAAATGAATACCATGTACCAATAGTTATCTGGACCTCAATACTCAATTGTGAGCATTTGCGAAGTGATATATGGGACTGAATAATTTGGATGCGAGCCTCGGTATTCGATAATCGGAACTCGGGACTTGACATATGGGAGTCCCGAGTGCCGGGGTACTGAGTCCCGACACCCGGACCTCAGCACTTGATATTTGAGACTGGGGGAAGATGTATCAATATGCTCAAATTAACATTTGTTATTGCCGTACACATTTGACAAAACCCTGAACCCCGACATTGTGAACTCGGGACTCGACACTGTTCTGAATACCGAGTCCCGGAAGCCCAGGTCCCGAGTCCCGAATTTCGGAGTTCGGGGTTCGGCGACCCGGAGCTCGGCAACTGTGTTGGGTGTCAGGGTATGCGGAGCATTGGAGATAGCATGTGTCAGTATTTTGCATTTCATGGTTCATGTTTGGCTGACACATGCGATCTCCAATGTTCCGGATACCCTGACACCCAACACAGTTGCCGAGCTCCGGGTTGCCGAACCCCGAACTCCGAAATTCGGGACTCGGGACCTGGGTTTCGGGACTCGGGACTCGGAGCTCGTGACCTGGGACTCGACAGTGTTCTAAATACCGAGTCCCTGACGCCCGATTCTATAATCACGAAAGATTCCATAATCACGAAAGATGAACCATGAAACGCAGAATACTGACACATGCTATCTCCAATGCTCCGGATACCCTGACACCCAACACAGTTGCCGAGCTCCGGGTCACCGAGTCCCGAAGCCTGAGTCCCGAGTCCCGAATTTCGGAGTTCGGGGTTCGGTGACCCGGAGCTCGGCAACTGTGTTGGGTGTCAGGGTATCCGGAGCATTGGAGATAGCATGTGTCAGTATTCTGTGTTTCATGGTTCATCTTTCGTGATTATGGAATCTTTCGTGATTATAGAATCGGGCGTCAGGGACTCGGTATTTAGAACACTGTCGAGTCCCAGGTCACGAGCTCCGAGTCCCGAGTCCCGAAACCCAGGTCCCGAGTCCCGAATTTCGGAGTTCGGGGTTCGGCAACCCGGAGCTCGGCAACTGTGTTGGGTGTCAGGGTATCCGGAACATTGGAGATCGCATGTGTCAGCCAAACATGAACCATGAAATGCAAAATACTGACACATGCTATCTCCAATGCTCCGCATACCCTGACACCCAACACAGTTGCCGAGCTCCGGGTCGCCGAACCCCGAACTCCGAAATTCGGGACTCGGGACTCAGGCTTCGGGACTCGGTGACCCGGAGCTCGGCAACTGTGTTGGGTGTCAGGGTATCCGGAGCATTGGAGATAGCATGTGTCAGTATTCTGCGTTTCATGGTTCATCTTTCGTGATTATGGAATCTTTCGTGATTATAGAATCGGGCGTCAGGGACTCGGTATTTAGAACACTGTCGAGTCCCAGGTCACGAGCTCCGAGTCCCGAGTCCCGAAACCCAGGTCCCGAGTCCCGAATTTCGGAGTTCGGGGTTCGGCAACCCGGAGCTCGGCAACTGTGTTGGGTGTCAGGGTATCCGGAACATTGGAGATCGCATGTGTCAGCCAAACATGAACCATGAAATGCAAAATACTGACACATGCTATCTCCAATGCTCCGCATACCCTGACACCCAACACAGTTGCCGAGCTCCGGGTCGCCGAACCCCGAACTCCGAAATTCGGGACTCGGGACTCAGGCTTCGGGACTCGGTGACCCGGAGCTCGGCAACTGTGTTGGGTGTCAGGGTATCCGGAGCATTGGAGATAGCATGTGTCAGTATTCTGCGTTTCATGGTTCATCTTTCGTGATTATGGAATCTTTCGTGATTATAGAATCGGGCGTCAGGGACTCGGTATTCAGAACACTGTCGAGTCCCAGGTCACGAGCTCCGAGTCCCGAGTCCCGAAACCCAGGTCCCGAGTCCCGAAACCCGAGTCCCGAGTCCCGAATTTCGGAGTTCGGGGTTCGGTGACCCGGAGCTCGGCAACTGTGTTGGGTGTCAGGGTATCCGGAGCATTGGAGATCGCATGTGTCAGCCAAACATGAACCATGAAACGCAAAATACTGACACATGCTATCTCCAATGCTCCGGATACCCTGACACCCAACACAGTTGCCGAGCTCCGGGTCGCCGAACCCCGAACTCCGAAATTCGGGACTCGGGACCTGGGCTTCCGGGACTCGGGTGCAAGATTTTTGAATGCATAGAATATTTTACATCTTGTATACAATGAACACTGAATGGGACTACACTCCTTTGCCTTTCCTCAATTTCTCTAACATGTCAGTGTACATCTTCACCTCTGCCATCTTGGCTTTGATGCCCTCATCTTGCTCCTCCATCAATGCTTCCATGCGTTCTTTAATCCACCTCAGTCCCATAAGTGGTGGAGTCGAAGTGTTTCTCAACTTCTCTGGAAGAACCAAAGCATCATCCTCAACATTAAGCTAGAACAGATAAGTCATCAATCAAGGCAATTCAGCTAACATCTTACCGCCCAATACTGGTAGTGAGAGACGCAGGAAGCCATTATTTCATCCCACTGCCATGGTTGATCCGGGATTGTGGTGTTTCCCATCCACCATGGACATGTATATGCAAACACAATCCGGGACGGATGTCCTGCAATTGCCTCATCATCAAATGAAAGGAGGTGGAATGAAAAGACGTCGTCCGGAACCGTGTTCCAGGTTAGCATGGGATACAACTTAAGGATATAAGCGACAGGGACCGGAAGAACCGACACGATATTCTGTGAAGCTGAGTACTGCAGGAGTGGTGTGACAAAAGTCTGCTCAAATTTTTAGCATTGACCAACAAAGTCATCAGGGCAGTGGTAACATACATTCATCTCCCATTGCAGCCCGGCTTTAAAATACTTTATCCGGTCAGAAGATAGACCATTGTTGGCAGCTTCCGTCTGATATTGAGAGATGCATGCACGGACCCGCGATCCAGCCATTGCCAATGTGCAGGAAATAGTTCCAAGGCTCAGCTTCAGGGGTCGGTAATGGCTTCCGGCATTCAGAGTGCCAGAAGTGGATGCAGGAGTTGCAGGCATGGCTAATACAGGACTATGGCGCTGGCAATGCAAGTGAAAGATGGTGAAGATGTGAAGATAAGAATCACTGATGGATGGATACGAAATTCAAACTCCGACATGGGCTGACCCGGACAATTCCCGGGCCTCAATTATGTATGTGGAAAAAGGGACTTCATGAGAAAACAATGTTCATTCATCTCCAGCCTCTATCAACACATTTTGTAGGTCTTGAAAAGCTGCCTGCGCATCCTGTGCGAGCAATGAATACATTCGCGATTGCCTTCCGGCATAGCATCCGTGACCCGGAAGGCGTTTCTCCAATGATTCCTGCATGTGGTCGCCCCATTGGGTTGCTTTCCACAAAAAGAACTTACATGTCCAATCCATCTCCAATTTGACCAATATCATTTCTTCCCTCCATCGATCTCGTAGTGCCTTTGCCCGCAGCCAATGGACTCGGTAAACTTGGCATGGGTCCAGTCAGGTAACCGTGGGATATGACATGCAAGCAGGAACTCACATTCCTCATTCCACGATTGATCAGGACCCCCGAGGTCGACTTCAACAGACCAAAACCAAGCCAAAGATTCATTTCGTTGACCTCGGGCATTTGGGTCGCCCACTGCAGTGCTGATTTTGAGTTGCTCGCGAAGCAGGGGTTTGTATTTCTGAAGCTGGTCTTGCCCCGGCTCAAGTTTCATCATTTGCTTCCTGGTCTTTGTATATATGCTGGCATGGAGGGAGACTGCCTGCTGCACCGACGTCACCTGGGACCAAGCTCGAGTTTTCAGGGCCTGGGATTTGGCCTGCCGAACGGTTGTTCGGAACAGGATGGCCTTGTTGCAAAGGTAAATGCGGAGATTGTGAAGGGCATCATTGGCCTGCCCTTCACGAAGAGACATCTCCAGGGGAATCAGATCCTCTGCCATGCATCGTCTGCATCTATCAACACCCAGGTTTGATGGCAACGGGATTACAGTGAGCTCGGGAGAGTTTGTCCATGTATGAGATGTCTCTGTGAAATCCGCCGGGTCATCATCGAGATCATCTAGAATGTCTACGTTCAAGTCCTCAGGTTCATCATCTGCATCAAATCCCTCCCCGAGATGTGTTAGAGCAGACCGAGCAAATCCATCTATCTGGCCTTGGAGCCGATCACGTTGACGGGCAATGTCTAATCTCTGTGTCTCAGTGGATCTTCTTCCGATCCTTCGGACCTCGATGAGCAATGCAATCTGAGCCTCTTCAATTGCTAACCCTGTTGATATCCACGTCGCCACAGATCTGCGAGAGGGTGCTGCATTGCGGGCGTTACCCTCCTCTAATAATCTAAGCTCGATCTCCTTTTTGCTTGGTGCTGAGTGCAATATTAATTCCGACCTCAATGGAGACAATGGAACTCAACGTACCCTTTTTTATATTGATCTCATATTCATCCATCGCCGCAGGATCATTCAATCTGCTTGACTGAGCTATCCTCTCCCTGGCTAACCATTCTGTCTTCAAATGTGAGGGTGCTGCTTCATCGAGTCTGTCGAATGCCTTTCCACTTTCCGAGATGCCATTCCTCGCCAGCTTGTATTTCCGGCATAGAGTCCTTTTCATGCGAATCATCTTGCAGAAATTGGAGTCATTCATCTGATAATCAAGGCATTCCTTTCGGTGGGGAGATGACATTCCCCGAGCAGCAGGGGAAATCAGATTGAGCCGTGCCCATAGCGTCTCCATGATCTCTCCGTCGATCCGACCAATGCCTTCAATAAAGTTAGAAGCATATCGGACATAGCAGCTGTCCTGATGGCCATGAATGTGCCACAACCCAATTCCGGGAATGATGGTTAGTTGTGGTGCCATGTCTAGAAATCGACTTCGATCCACCCGAACCCGAAAGTGTTTGTTGTATTGACAATTAATATCATAGAAGGTGACAGCCCTGGTGATGCCTTCCATGTTGTGCCGGGAAGCCTCGCAAAGGGCGTAGTCCATGTTCATTTGTCTGCAAGTGACCCATGGTTAACTCGTGAATGAGGAATGGTGGATGTGGCTTGCCTTTCGCCTTTCTGAAAATCCACCATGGAGTGAGGGACAAAGCAACCGTGTCTGGCACAGGCAACTCCCCCGATACCGGTGGACTCCAGCTTGTGCCGAGCAGCATTAGCTTGATTTACTGCCCGGTGGTTGTTGCAGCTTGATTTTTCCACCGTGTCAGCAGCCTCTGCCAGATGCATTTTATACCGGTCCTTTCCTACCATGAATCCAAGCCCATCGGATAGCCAAACTTCATCGAATGGCTTAATGGGATGCAGATGTTCGGCTTTGAAATTTCCGTCCATCACAAATGACCGGGTGTATTTCCAGCTTGGATCGCTAGTATTATTATGGAGGCCACATTGGTTGAGAATAGGACTCACTCATCAAGCGATTCATCCTCTGACAACAGCACATTAATCCCTGGCTGAGGACACGCCGGGCAAAATAATGCGAGTTCTCCTGTGCTCGGGTTATCAGAACGATGGCCAAAGCCATGCCATTTCATTGTCTTCAACTGCCTCCACTGTCGAGCGACCCTCATGAGCTCTCTGTATCGGTCCTTGCAATGTGCTTTGTCAATATGATGTCCAGTAGATGAAGAGGGTAAGGCATTACCGGAACAAGGTGTGGAAACATGCTGGAGGTCATTCGCCGGAGCTTGCTGTAATAGTTCATCGCCGAGGTGCCGCATTCAAGGCTGTCCAGTAGAAAATCATTGAGCACTCTGAAGGTGAACACAGTCTTTGGCCTGTTGAAAGATGCAGGGAAAAATCCGTGTCGAAACATTTGAATGTCCGGACTCATGGCATTCGGACATTCACAACATCGAATCTCCAGGCGATGAACTCCGGACTTGTCTACAATGACCATGGTGTTTTCCTTTGGCTGGAACTCGGGTCCGGACACAAATGGCAGATCTTCAGGCTCGAGCAGGTCTTCAGGTTCATCTTCTTCAAACAAATTCCACCGATCAGTGACCTCCGGACATTGTTTGCCATCATGGCCAAGGTGTATAATGAGTCCCACATGAGCGAGACAACTCCGCTCAAAGAATCGCCCATTCCATTGACTGATCCAGTGGAAAGGATTGCTACGATGTTGACTCCTGCAACAGCCCGTGCAATAGAGTGGCTCGCCAAGACAATCTTGACATTTGTACACCCCATCCTGTTCGCAGATGATGCATCTCCTGTCTTCTGGTGGAGCTTCTCGATCAAGGAGGTGATGTAGATATGATTCCTGCCTTGGCAGCCATTGCCTGAGGTAGTCATTTTGACTCTGTATTTTTGAATGCTTAGCCATAGTTTGAATGACACTCCAACATTGTACATGAACTTGCCATGGTTTTTGGGAGTTGCAAAGGCTCAAAGGAGCCTTGGTCCTGCTCATAAGTATTGTCAGGAAAGTCTTCCCAAGGAGGTGGTGCCTCAACAGGCTGAATTGTTGGTGATTCTGGGGGAGAGTTAGGCATGGACCTGTAGGCATGTCGCCTTGTGCTTGCAAGTGGGACCTTGACCCAAGTCTTCCTACCTTTGCTGCCCCTTGCTTCCACCCTGTGAGATTTTTGCACTGGGGTGCATCTACCTATCTTCATCTTGTTTACTAATGTTGCAAGCAAGGCATCAGCTCAGGTGTAATGAATTGTTATTGCAATATGATGCTGTGCAGTCCTGTTGGCTCATTACAAATTCATTTCCATTAATGGATTCTTGTCAAATATGGGCCGATTAACAGATTATTAGGCTTTGCTCGAAGTTCAACTTTGCACAATTCATTAATACTTCTACCTTGCAAATCCTCAGCCCGTTCTGCATTCTGATTCACTATGGCAAGAACAGGTCATTCCACCAACATGACTTCCGGAAGACACAGGGCGCGTCAACCACAGTCTCAGAAGCTCACAGACAAGGAGATTTTGGAGTTGAAGAACTACCTTCCTGAGTGGACTGCCGCCAAAAGGAGTGAGAAGAGGGGGATTTTCACTGCCATAGCAAGGGCAGCCAGGTTGTTTGCTCCTAAGGTGGACCAAAAACAATGGAAAAAGAGGAAGCAGGTGATGCTCCTTTGTTGTGTTGAAAAACTAAATTTTCAACATCACATTTTTTCATCAAATCTTAGGTGTACAAGACTTGGTTGTTCAACAACAAGAAAAAGAAGGAAAGGAAGGACACCATCAAGTATGGGAGGAAATGGACGCTGTAGAGACTCATGCCTCTCATGGTGTGATATGGCAGTATTCACTAGGGAGTACACAGCACGAACTTGCAGCATCACTCTGTGTGCTATCTGCAGCTATCCCTATATGAGGCGCAGCTTTCCCGCGCAACGCGCGCCATGCGCGCACCTTTCCCGCGCTTTATGATGTATACGCGCGCACGCTTTCCCGCGCTTGATCGCCCTATAGCGCAAGCCTTCCGGAAGCATCCATCCACTGTCCACCAAGCTCTCTAGTGCGTGTATTTTCATTTCCCTTATTTACATATCATTCCACCTTTATTTATATCATGGACCCTTACTTACATATAGCTTTACATACCTTACTCGGTAACGCTTCGGCTCCGCGTGACAGCGCTTAGGCGCCGTATATAAGCGCCAGCATTACATACTATTAGGAACTTTCGAACTTTGGACTGGACCTCCCACTTACCCACTTACCACCTAGAGAATATAGTTGCAATCTATTCTTTGACACCTCGCGCTCACATCTCTTGTTATTCATCTATCATCACTTAAGCAAACTCACACTTACTCTCACTTGTTTCCGCTCACGCGCGCGCGCGCTTCCCGCGCCTCGCGCGTACCTTCGCTTTCCCGCGCCTCGCGCGTACCTGCGCGCTTTCTCGCACTTCGCATTGGCCGACCAGTAGCGCCTTCAGCGCCTACTTCCAGATCCTTGCTGCACTCGCTTCCCCTTTAGGGTCGAACGCACTTGTCGTCTCAGGTATAGCAGACTAGGCAATGCGCGACCTCACAACATTTACAGATACAGTTTGGAGCATCATTTGTTCCTCTCAGTATTGTTGTTTCTACAACGCCCAGGATGGTGGTCTACCAGCAGAAACGCGAAGAGGTGCTGAAGAGGATTGAGGACGAGTCAGGGGTAAAGCCCGGAGATCCTGGTATGTTCAAACATTATCAGGCGGCGGTGAAGAGAGTCATGGCTGAATTGGACGACGACAAGTTGGAGAAGGCGAAAGAAACAGCGGAAGAGTGGTCCAACAACTGTCCGCCTCCGGAGATACAAGCACAAGTCGCCCGTAAGAAGGGTCCGGCATATATGGAGCACTTTTCGAACGAGATGTGGAGGCAATGTGGGATGAGAGTTTTTGTGATGTCGGCTTGGAAGAATGAAAAGGGAGAGGTGCTGTTCGGGATGTGAGTACATTTACCCATTGACACGGATCTTTCATCTCAAAATATCCATGCAGGCATGATGATAACGAGGCCTTAGGAGATGGGGACAGCTTCATGAAGACGAAGGACTGGGAGGACATTGAGCCAGTGTGGCAGGAGTACGCGCAGGAACAGTTCGGTGAGTGTTTGAACCATGTATACCAGATTGAACATGTTGAGCATCACAATGATAGGTGCCGGGGCACGGGATGGAGGACGTCAGGTCAAGGGAGGTCGAAAAAGAATTCGAAAACCAGCTTTCAAACTCGAAATGGACAGGGAGGGTATGCCACTCCTTCCCGACATCACCGACACGAAACTTGAGGAGAAGAAGGCCATAGTGAGGGCCTTTCTTACATCGCACTATCGTGAGTTTCTCGTTGCATCATCTGACAAATTGTTCAATGCATGGACACAGGGATATGTTCCGGGAAGGACAAGGTGGTTGTACCATGGAGTGCCATTGTACAAAGTCAGGATGACTTCGTGGCCCGGACGTATCTTCTGGCAGATGTTGACTTGAAGGAGCCTTCAAAGCTGCAAAATTGGGACACGACTGCCTTGCTCCATTTCTGGCATGCTTGGCAGGAAACAGGAGAAGGTCCCACATTTCTGTTCAAAGCATGGAAGAACAAAGATGGGGACATGGTACCATCTGTCATATCTGGCAAGTCGCCCTCTCCTCAGACTAGTATAGTGAGAAAGCAGCAGAGGGTTACCATCCGAGGGCCTCGGGATTCGTCGACAGAAGCCGAGAGTGATAAGGAGAGTGCCACTAATCATACGGAGGATGATGTGGATGATGACCTGGCTGACGGGAGACATCCGCTGAAGAAACCCAGGATGGGAGGTCCTACACCAAAAGGGATGGCAGTCCCACATGCAATTCCAAAGCCTCGCCGGGCCAAGCCGGCCAAAAAAGGTGCATTACTGACATCAAGAATGGGCGACCTCCTTGCTGGGTTAACTGAAGACGCGACCAGAGAAGTTAGAGAGGATGTTGAAATGGAAGAGAGTATCACGCCGCCGGCACAGAAAAGGGGGCGGGGCAAGAAAGTCACAGTTGAACCATCCACGAGGACGACCCGGAGTAAGTTGCAAATGCCAGTAGACAGTACACCTAGAGTAACCAGACCACGGGGACGCACTTAATGTAGATATATCTTCCTGCCGTCATGTGTAATGTCATATGTGCTATTGTGTATATGTCAAAGTACTAACGACCTAATCTTAAATCCCAAATCTCCAGTACCAAGGCCCGAGTACCGAACCCCAAGTTCCGAACCCCCAACCCCGATCACCGAGTACCGAGTACCGAGTACCGAGCACAGAACACCGGGCAGCGAGGACTGAGTAGGTGGAGTATACAAGTACCAAGGACTAAGTACTGAGTAGGTAAAGTATCCAAGTACCAAGTACTAAGTACTGAGCAGGCAAAGTATACTGCACTGAACCCCGAGTACCGAACCCCGAACCCCGATCACCGGGCACCGAGCACCGAGTACCGAGTACCGAGTACCGAGCACAGAACACCGGGCAGCGAGGAAGGACTAAGTACTGAGTAGGTAAAGTATACTGCAATATGTCTACTATCAGACATTGATCGATATCTACATGTTACTTGAGTCCTCAAAGAACTCAATGAGGGTATCTAATACCTTCAGCATTTCGGAGGTTGACTCCCTTACCCGTTGCATCCTCCGGAGGTCCGCATCTGCTTTCCGCAGTTTGTCGCATGTTTCAGCCCATGCCATCCTGAATGGTCTGTCAGCCTCAAGAAGTTGTGCTACTGTAGGGGCAGGAAGATTTCCATGACTCTGTTCGTAATCACCCAGGCGATCTACAATTGTTTGAACTTGCAGAACATTAGCAGAGATAAATAATCAACTGTTGTATACATACTTTCAGCTTCATCATAAGATCCGATTGGCATGAACTCCTGAACCATGGCACGCAGTTCTTCATTGTTGAGTTCCGGCTCGGGCGATTGACATTCGGGAGTTTCTGAATTCGCTTGGGAGATAACATGAATAGAACACATGACATGATATGAATACACGTACAAGGTATGGGTGCCTCTGGTACAGCCGGAGTGGCCGGATGAGGTTCGGGAGTCGATTCATTCACTGGGGAAATGCCATGAAAAATGAACATGAGATGAAAAGAATAACCTCACCAGCCATAGGAAAATCGGGTACAGCCGGAGCATCATCAGATGAAATAAAGGTATCCTCCGGACCAAGATACAAGTCCGGGTCATCGTACAGGGCCAGTCCATCTGCCAGGGCCGGATATGATGGATCTGGAAATATGTGATGGATTTGCACATGTAGAATATGTACATTTGAATTGAGAAACATACCGGGAATCGCATTTAATGAATCCAAACCACCGGATGACCCAGAATCAGAGTCTAACTCATCATCCGGCCCAAGGTATATATCATCTAATGGATCTAAACCATGTAAGATCAATTCACTGAAATCAGCAGAAACAAAACATACCAAGGGACATCCGGGACTGGGAGGTCTCATCCACATCCATTGAGGTGGATTCAGTGACCGGAGGGTCATGAAATCTGACCCCAGGTTGAGAGCTCATGATATCTGATGAGCTGATGAACTGATGAACTGATTGATAACAGATAACGTCGAAGTTCAACACATGGCCGGCGATTGCCGAAAGTTGAACCATGACCAAACAAAGACAAACAATCAACGATTTTCAACATTGTCCTTCAATTGTATTGTTTCTTTGAAACTTCATTCTAGTGATAACAGATTTCACCCTGCTTTCAACATTCTCACATCTGTCAACTCAATCCAAATGTCTACTCCAGTTCAATCTTCATTGGCCGACCTCAAGGCATCCACTGCTCAACTTGTGGGCATCATTGCCGGCGCCCGGCACGTCCCGGCCGGCTCAGTGCACGTCCACATTGCTCTGGCAAGGCAGGTCACCAATCTGTTGGTAAGTTGCACTTATTAAATTAGTTTACCATTGATGTTTCTAATATCCGGGTAGGCTGACATCATCCGGGTGCATGAGAAAGGGGATTACATCCCTGGCATTGTGGCTTCCTGTTCTAAGGAGCTGATGAGGGTTCGTTCCATGACTCCCCAGGTGTTGCCCAACTGGCACAGCATTGGCCATGATGATCCCCGGGTGGCTAGACACGCCTGGCGCAAGCAGGTCCGTGCCTGGGAGGCGTTGGGTGACAATTCCTGTGATCTCCGTGTTGTTTCTAATCCTTCCACTGGCCCACTGACTGTCAATCTTCCATCTCCACCTGTCCCTTCCCCCGCACCTGTCCCTTCCCCCGCCACTGTCATTCACTCCCCTCCCGTCGTCGCCGGCAATGTCGCCGGACCTTCCGGCAAGACGACCTCCGAGTTCCGGGACAAAGGGAAAGGTAAGGCCATTTTTGTTGACTTGGAGCCGGAAGTCGGAGGGAGCAACAAGAGGAAGTCCCCCATGATTTCTGGACACTCCTCCCAACCTCTGAAGTCGGCGATGAAGGGTCACAAGCGTGTCAAGTCAACTGGACTCCCCAAGTCAAAGCCGTTTGTGGAGTCGGAAGATGATGAAGACCCAATTGTTCAGGTATGTGTTCTGGCTCATTTGTGACATGCTCTCAATTTGTTGTAGCCGATTTCGCATGGAGTGCCAGGAGGTCGTCCTTCCCAGCTCTCCACCATTGTTGTAAGGAAGCCCCAGTCGCCTCGTTCACCTGGTTCCCCCAAGAAGCAATCATTTGGGCCTGCTTCAGTAAGTCTGATTTAGTCGTCCAGAACTCATATACATATATGCTAATGTGTCCACAGCTGACTGCCGGCAAGCGTCCGGAGGTCATGGTGAGTTTTCCGGACAGGTCCTGGAACTCGCATGCATCATTCTTACTCATGCCCATCGCATTAGGAATCTCCCATCAGTCGTCCGGAGGCTCGGGTAAGTCTTACAAGCTTCGCCCGGAACTCACATGTGTACTTACAATTTATCAGGCAACCTCCGGCAGTCGTGCGGAAGTTGAGGAGTCCACTGGTGATACTTCCAGCGCTTCGGACGGTGACCCTCCGGCCACTACCACATTTGATATCACCATTCCCGGCCCAGTGAGTGCTCAATTAATTCCCCTAGTCCATCTACTAACGGATACCACAGAACAACCCCTGCCATTATTGCGTCAAGGAGAATTGGCCCTGTGCGACTCGTTTGGACAAGAGGTCCAGCCTCCCCTGCTTGTCTTGCATCCGCTGCTCCACCAAGAAGATCAAATGCAACCCGGCATCTCTGGGATCCCCGCCCAAACGGACCCGAGGGAAGTCTACCACTGGGACGGACGCGTTCCAAGACACCTGCCCCTGCTCCATCCACTGCTCCGTCTCCCTCCAGGTCAAGGGCCCGGACTCGTAGTCAATCTCGTGGCCCGTCCCGAACTCCGGCCATCCCTGCTGCAAGTACACCCCAGGTGCAGTCACGTGGTCGCAGCAAGACCATCACTACCAAGAAGACACCTGCACCCTCACCTGCACCTGCACCTGCACCTGCACCTGCACCTGCACCTGCACCTGCCCCTGCACCTGCACCTGCACCTGCGCCAACTCGTAAGTCACCCACACTTTTGATGACCGGCTGACCTTATTTTTTACTTAGCTGTTCGGTCTTCGAGTTCCGCAGTGCCTCGTGCAGCACTAGATGTTCCCATGCCGGATCTCCATTCCATGGCAATCGCGATTCGGGATGGTGCAGCTCGCATCGCTATTCTTGAGGCTCGGGTGCAGGAGCAGGATGCTAAGATTGATACCCTCCAACGCCTCCATGAGAGCCTCCGGCGCACGATGGTCGACCCGCACCCTTCATTTTCACTTCCGGACACACCGGCCGATGCAACAATCTTGCTTGATCAATCTGGTCCCCCCCCGTCCATTTCACCCCTCCCCTCCACACTTTCCAACCTCATTGATTTGGACATGTCAGTCATGGAACCCACACCCTTGATGGTTGAGGATGGATCTGCTATGGTAGGTCTCAATGTTGAGCCCACCCAAGTTCAGCCTGAGGGTCCACAATCCTCCGGTGAAATTGTGCTCCCGGATGAACCAGGCAACCTCTTGCCAGAATCCTCCGGCGATATTGTGGTCCCTAATGAACAAGGTAACCTCCTGCCAGAATATGATTCCTCTGATGAGGATATGGATGTTGAGGGGAAGGTTGATCTTCCTGGTGAGGAGGTTGCAATGGCTACATAATTGCTCAGTGATAGATGTACATAAATCTTTTTCAATGCATGTTACCTATGCCACAATTGAATGATTCAATAATCAGTCCCGATATCCAGAACTCGAAACTGTAGATTGAGGTAGATATCACCCTACACCCTAACACCCGAATGTCAAATTTTCAGTGCCGAACACCGAGTGCCGGGTGCCGGGTGCCGAGTCCCAAAGCCCGGAACTCAGGATTTGACATTTGAGACGAACGACATTTTTCAAACATGTTTCTATCAACCTCCGTATATCTATAAACATTTTACTAACCTCCAACCCCCGAAATATATTTTTGTTGTCTCATACCGAGTTCCGAGTTCCGGGACCCCCGAACCCCGAAACCCGGCAGTCCACAATTTCGGGGTTCGGGAGTTGGGTCCCGGAACTAGGAACTCGGTATGTGAGACAAGCAAAATATATTTCAAACACGGGTAAGTCAATGTGTCCGTCAATCAACTCGATTGTAAATTATATTTTATTGATCTCCCCAAATTTCCCAAGTTCCGAGTTCCGAGTTCCGGGACCCCCGAACCCCGAAACCCGAAACCCGGCAGTCCACAATTTCGGGGTTCGGGTGATTGACGGACACATTGACTTACCCGTGTTTGAAATATATTTTGCTTGTCTCACATACCGAGTTCCTAGTTCCGGGACCCAACTCCCGAACCCCGAAATTGTGGACTGCCGGGTTTCGGGGTTCGGGGTTCGGGGGTCCCGGAACTCGGAACTCGGTATGTGAGACAAACATATATTTCATACACGGGTAAGTCAATGTGTCCGTCAATCAACTCGATTGTAAAGTATATTTTATTGATCTCCCCAAATTTCCCAAGTTCCGAGTTCCGAGTTCCGGGACCCCCGAACCCCGAAACCCGAAACCCGGCAGTCCACAATTTCGGGGTTCGGGAGTTGGTAAAATTTGTATGGATAGATGAAAGGTTGATTTAAACATTTTTGAAAGATGTCCCATATGAAATGTCAAGTCCCAAGTTTTGATTTCCGGCTTTCTGGAGTCCCGAGTCCCGAAGCCCGAAGTCCCGACACCCGGAGTCCCGAAACCCGGAGTTCAAAATTCGGGACTTAACATTTCATATGGGACATCTTTCAAAAATGTTTAAATCAACCTTTCATCTGTCCATACACATTTTACCAACTCCCGAACCTCGAAATTGTGGACTGCCGGGTTTCGGGTTTCGGGGTTCGGGGGTCCCGGAACTCGGAACTCGGAACTTGGGAAATTTGGGGAGATCAATAAAATATACTTTACAATCGAGTTGATTGACGGACACATTGACTTACCCGTGTATGAAATATATTTTTGTCTCACATACCGAGTTCCGAGTTCCGGGACCCCCGAACCCCGAAACCCGACACCCGGCAGTCCACAATTTCGGGTTTCGGGGGTTGGTAAATCTCGGTTTGGGGTTTTGCACTGAAAAGTTGACATTTATACGTATCCAGGCTCACCCATATATGTACCCATCTATGTACAATTCCCCCACGTCAGCCCACCCATCTATGTAATACATCCTATGTTGGCCCACCCGTCTATATAATACATACTACGTCGGCCCACCCGTCTATATAATTATACCCCACCTCGGCCCACCTGTCTATGTAATAAATATTTTATCACACCCTCGGCCCACCCGTCTATGTAATACATCCTATGTTGGCCCACCCGTCTATATAATTATACCCCACCTTGGCCCACCTGTCTATGTAATAAATATTTTATCACACCCTCGGCCCACCCGTCTATTTGATATCCCTTTCGTCGGCCCACCCGTATATGTAATACTTTTTATGTCGGCCCACCTGTATATGTAATACACCCCGCGTCAGCCCACCCATCTATGTAATATTCCCCTACCTCGGCCCACCCATATATGTAATACACCCCGTCGGCCCACCCGTCTATATAACAATATTTGCCTTACATCTCTCTTCAGCCCAGCTGTCTATAATATCCTACTCTACATATTACCCTGATGGGCCCACCCATCTCCATGAATGATCATATTCCCCCAGCCCATCCGTCAACATCAAGGATATATATATCATTGGCATACATGGGCCCACCCGTCTCCATCGGAAATAATATGTGTCCCGGCCCATCCGTCATCATCGAGAATATACACAACATGGGCCCATAATCCGCTGGCCCGTCTCATACGGGATATTATGTAGGTCGGGTGGCCTGTATAATACGGAATTTGTCACTGAAGGGGCTCGCTGTGCAGAGTGAGAAAGCCTGCCAGTGCACCCCATGTTAGTGGCCAAAATCAAATGATGAAATTCAATCTTACTTGTTGTATGATGGCAGGCTTATTGATGAGCTTGAAGGCTTCGACAAACCATCGGACAGAACGATCACGAAGTGTTGGTTTTGTCACATCAAGTCAAATGTCGCCTGGGATCTTTCCAGCTGCAAGTTGAGATACTGTTTCTGAAACAATGTCACTGTGCTGCAGCTCCTTGATAGCCAGCTTGAGTGGGTGTTGAATGCCAACATCACAGGGCTGTGCAACACCAGTTGTGCCTGCAGGAACAAAATGGCAATGGATCCAATTGTAGTTGGCATCCAGCCAGGTGCGAAATGCAATAGAGCAATGAACAACCCAGCAATCGAGCTGCAGGATACATGGTTGATCAAGCGAGACACCTCGCTGCTGTTTCTTCTCCATCCAGAATGATACTAGGATCCCAATAACGTAGGTACACATGGTCTGGAATGTGGCCCAGTATGTGTCTGTATTTGAGAATACGAATTGAAAGTTCATGTCGAGTGCTTCATCGTAAGATGGTGCATTGGATGATGGAAGAGACCATTTTGATTTGCCATCGTAAACAATATGGAAGGGGAGAAGATCACCGCCTGCAGATATCCCAGTGAGAAGAGTACAGACACATTTCTCTTCCTGACCAACAATAGCAACTTGTTTCGAGCCGATCAGCTTGTATGTACTGCCACCTGCAGGCTGGTACACAATGTTGGTTTGGTCGATATTGACGAGAAACTCTGGATGTGTGATAACATCATCGCGGATTGTGAGAGTGAGTCAAAGAAACTGCTCTAAGCAGACATCGTCAATGTTGGGAGGCAGCTTTTGTGCTGCATGAGTTCCTTTGCACATGGTGTACTGCAGCTGATCATACAGAAATGTCTGCATCCATGAGTCTGAACATTTGAACACAGAGCCGTCTTTTGCTTTCATGGTGAAAATGGCTGGTAAGTCATGGCGAAGAACACCAACAATGATACCTTGACAACAAGAAGTGCTGAGTGCGATGCCAACTTGGCAAAGTGTGTGTATTTGGTGGACAATTTTCTTGACGGTGTCAGAATAGGGTGTAAGGATACTTGTTCATGTGACGACACCTGATGCCAGGTTGCCCCTCTTTGCATGTTCTACAACCCTGTCTTTCCACCTTGGATGTGATCCTGTGTGATCAATCCAATGACCAACAACTTGGGGCATGAGAGACCGACAACGTGAATCTAGTTGTCGTGCATGATAACATATGGCATGGGGTGACATCGTGAGTCCAGCACTGAGACTCACTGCTTTGAGAATCATTGGCCAAAAGATAGGGCTTTGCCAGTTAACGCGTTGAGCATCAACTGGGCTACAAACTCATTTTTGACCAGCATGCGATGATTTTTTTACTTGGTGAAGCTCCTCCTTGATCAAACGATGGGGGCATGAGAGCTCCACAAGAGACTGACTTGATTGGAGAGCGGATGTATCAGGATCTGACTTGGAGTGAACTTGGGTGTTGTTTTCAGAGGCTGACTGTTTCAACTGCAAGTGTATACATTAACATGCATGTTCTATTGATGACATTATCAAAAACACAAACCTCTTTTGCACGAGCTCGGTGTGCATGCTGGCGGTCCCTGTCATTTATACGCTTCTGGTGTTTATGCTCAGCATCCTTAAGTGCTCTCGAAAATTTGATGTCGTGTTGCTTGTCTTTGTGCTTGAGGTCACACTGATGGATATCGGCAAGATAATCCTCATGTGAGACGATGCCGAAGTGCTTGAGGAGTCCCGTCTTGGGCTCAGAAGGTGAGACACGATAATTAAGTGTGATTTTTGGACACGACTTGAGAGACTTGAGAGCTGTGGCCTGAGACTGCAGAGGGGGCAAAGAAGGTGTCAGGGATGGAGAGTGTGAGTAGGAAGTTGTGTGAGACAAACAGGGTGATGAAGGAGAGTAGTCTGACATATATACATCATTGTCCTCATCGTCCTTGGAAAAGTGACCATGGAGGAGGAATATGAGCTCCTGCATGTGAAGCAGGTCCTTTTTATCATCCATAAACAGAGGGGTGTCAAAGAGCTGGTGATGTATGATATTTATCATGGCAATTGCACACAAGTATGCATCTTCTTGGTGGCCATGAGGAAGTTCCACACCTTTCGAAAATGATGTAAAGCCATGCTCATGCAGCCACTTTTGAATTAAATCAACATCATCTCTCGGCCATGTCCAACCCAAAGAATCACCATAACATATTTCTCTGTTTTTTGCATCCACCAAAAAAACTGTCCAGTGTACGTCATTGATATTGATGGGAAATATAACAGACATGAGCTTTCCATCACATAACAAATCACCAAGTTCACGGATCCTCGTGAAGCCCCTGTCAAACATGTATCAAGACCATCGCTTTGCATCATAGTGCAATGTCTTCCCAAACATCAACTCTTCAACAACTGTTGTCTTGCAGAGATGAGTGTTGGACTGAATGCGATGTGAGATCTCATTGACCATGGCATCAACAAAGCGGCCTTTCATTGGTGTCGAGTCAAGGAATTCAGCAAGATCCAATGTCTGAAGGAATGCTCCAGGACCTCGCAATGCTGTGTCCCATCCAAGAGTCTGCAATGTGCAAGATATTTCATCAATTGCAGCAGCAAGCTCAATATCAGGACTACCAAGGCCACAGCGTGCCAACCAATTACATGCGAGAGACCATGTTTGCTTTGAGGCAACTGCATGGCCTACATCATACCAATAGGTAAGGACCCAGCATGGCAAATTGCCTGGAAAATGTGGGTCGCACACAGACTTTGCTCCGTCATGTACAGCCTGGTTGAATGTGTCCAGAAGTCGAGATGACAAATGGAGAGGTGGGATGGAGTGTTGGAAGAAGCTGCTAGCGAAATCGGAGGTATTGCATTTGACGGAGGAGAAAAACTTGCAGGTATTGAGTTTGGTGAGTGCAGGATCAAAATCAGGAAGAGTTGGTGTGGAGTTGACAAGAACAGAGACAGGGAGGCTCGAGAGAGGAATGAAATATGTGTAATGGGGAGGTAATTTGAGGAGGCGATCCTTCTGTTCTGCAGAAATGACACTAGGAATATCAACATCGTGTGAGATTGTGGGCACATCTGAAGCTGGATTGCTGTGAGGAAACATGAGTAATTGGTAGCTAAGACACAAACTGTGCGACACACACCTATAAATGAGCCAGAATTGAGCTGAGTATTGCCCACCCAAATGGCAGACTTCAAGCCAACACAGAAGTAGTGCGAATCCTCGCAAGTCTGGCATCGCTGGAGCCAACGCTGGTGGTCGACGGCTCGACGAACCTATTTTAGGTTGTGTCACACGTCACGACGGTCGATGAACATGCTACAAATGATTACATAATGTGGGGACGAATTTCCCACGAACCTAAGGTCGAAATTACACAGTAGACCTATTTAGGAGCGTGTGATCTACGTAGGAAACAGCTGCCTAGTACAGGAATTTCGCATTTTCCTGATCATCAAGTTCTTAGCCTATACTATGGGAAGACTGCAATACATGATTCGCACAGGTTTCATTAATCGGCGCAGGTATTCGGTTCGTGTGCGTATAAGTATAAGGCAGTGTAGTAATCATGCATTCTAATCTCACCGTACTCGTCGCTCATCACAGTAAGTCACCGCCTCTCTGTTCTGGAGTACTGAACGTGTTGCAAAGTAGCGGGGTGTTTGAAATTTGAATCGTGACTATCAGCAAGCCGGACCATTTCAATGGCGATTATCATTGCGTGCACCCTTATCACTATCTTAGCCAGCGTCTGGATGGTGAAACAACGATATCAGGCCGCAAGACAGTTGCCATTACCGCCTGGACCGCCTGGACGTTGGTTAGTAGGAAATACGATGCCAAAGTCATAGTAAGTCATTGTCAAAGGACACCAACATGATCTCTATCTAACCCCTCACGCAGTGCGCCGTTTCAATTCGCGAGATGGACAGAACAATACGGACCTGTGTTCTCGCTCAAACAAGGCCATAAGATTTTCATAGTTATAGGACGTCATCAGGTCAGCATAAACCATCTCATTGTCTAGCCAGACATGAAGTAGATCACATCATAGGCTGCAGTGGATATCATGGAAAAAGAAGGAGCAAATCTTGCCGACCGTCCGCGTTCTATTGCAGTGCAAGAGATATTGGCTGGCGGGTTGGGACTGCTCCTTGAGGGCTCTGGTGAAAGATTGCGCCGGCTGCGCAGGTACACATATTGTCTCTACCAGGTGCGATCAACGAGACTGAATGTAAAGCAGGGTCTTGCATGCAGGCATGCAACCCAAGGTTGCGGAGACCTACGAGCCCATCCAGACCAGGCATGCGAAGAATTTGGTTCTAGATATCTTGAATGATCCAAAGAACCACCAAGGTCATGCCATGCGGTGCGAACGCTAGCTCTTTCTTGCGCGGTACAGGTGGTAATCCGAGCATTTAAGTTATTCAGCTTCTGTGGTCATGTCCTTCACCTATGGAAAAATTACTCCGACCTCATATACAGATCCTGAAGTTGTTGCCGTCAACAAGACTCTTGCGCGTTTTGGTCGAGCTATCCAGCCGGGAGCATACCTTGTGGATGCGTATCCAATCCTGCGTTTCGTCCCAGGCTACCTGAGTCAGCTGAAGGCATGGCACCAAGAAGAACTCGCTCTTTTTAACGGGCAGTTGGACGCTGTGCGAAGACAAATGGTTCGTGGTTTTACTGCGACGACAAATTTCCTTACTCGTCACTGTGAAGCGTGCAAGGCCATCCTTTGCGAGGTTCATATTAGAGCACAAGAAACAATACCAGCTCGAAGACAAGGACCTGGCATACATTGCAGGAGCGATGTTTGGGGCCGGTTCTGATACGGTAAGCTCTTACATTGCATTGCGCCTTAAGTTGACAACTGTTGTAGACTTCGTCCGCAATCACAATTATGATGATGGCTGCTGCCACTCATACAGATGCGCAGGCTCGCGTGCAAGAGGAGCTCGATAACGTCGTGGGGCGTACGCGGCGTAGGTTATACCTTTTCTTTGTCCATCTACTGACTCACATAGCTCCTGATTAGTGCCGAATTTTGATGACCAGGAAATGCTGCCGCAGGTTACCGCGTTCATGCTCGAGAGTCTCAGGTGGAGACCTGTCAGTCTTGGAGGTACGTCTTATTTGAGCTGTGATGACGTGATAATGAACGACCACCTTGCACTACAGGCTTTCCGCATCGCGCGATTAAGGACATCGTTTGGAACAACCACCTCATTCCGGCGGGTGCGACTGTGATTGGGAACCATTGGTCAGTAGGCAATTATTTTTGTCCTCTCACCTTTGGGTCTGACGCTCGTGCTTCAGGGCCATCGCAAACGATCCTGAAGTCTTCCCGGAACCACACAAGTTTAATCCCCAGCGTTGGATCGACGACGCAGGTCGTGTGCGCAGTGATCTCCGGTTTTTTACTTATGGCTTTGGCCGCCGGTGAGTGGTATTCTTTATCTCTCTCGACCATTTCTTATGCCTTACTTGAAAATATCAGAGTGTGTCCTGGTCAACATGTCGCGAATCGGTCGGTCTTCATCACCGCGGCTCTCATTCTGTGGGCTTTCCACCTTTCGGAGAATCCTGGAGCGAAGATTGACACGCTTGCATTCTCTGACACTGCAAACATACATGCTGCTCCGTTTGAGATATGTTTTGAGAAGAGGATCGATGAGAACGTGATCAGGGAACTATGCGCACCGGGCAAATAAGAGGCGTTTATTCTAGAAACTTGAATCTTCGTGCAAAGGAGTTTGTCTTACATTCTGGAGTCTTTTCGTTGTCTATCCGACTCAAATTTCCTGTTACACCTGACTTTGTATATCTTCAGACAGGCACGATTATAATAATGAACTTGTACCCCTTGGTGTTACAACGCATCAAGTATCTCTCGATACACTCCAAATCGTAAGGCTGATCGTGAACCGTTTACAGACAGCCTCCGGACAGAATGAAGTATGGTGCTGAAGTCGTATCCTTTTACCATTCAATTATTCTGCCACCACCCATGCGCTTTCCTTTTCTAGCTGGCCAAAACGAAAAGCGGACAGCTTGACTTTGCTCTCAAAGTTGACACGGGTTTCATTGTGTCCTTCCCAGTTTCATGGTTCCGGTCACGGTAGTCTTTAACGTGGCTGACAGCCCCATCAACAATATTTTTTTTACCTTCACTTCGAAGCACCTCTGAAGCACCTTCTTAAGAAGCTATGTAACATCTCTCGCTTAATTCTCACTCGGCACTTCAAAGGTGGTTTCGATTCGCACAACCTGATCTTCTAGAACATGCCTGTCCTTCAACCCTTCGACAACTTTTCTTCTACGATCCTCCGCGAGTGACATCGGACGACGGGCACAATCAAGCCATCTTCGGCGGAACGAACCTTTTCGTATGTCTCAGTCTTACCCGTATGATAAAACTATGCGCCCCGTCGTTGAAACATCTCAGTCTTTTCCACTGGAACTGAGATGTAAGCCCCTACGTTACTCTTCGGGCACTCTCGCTAACAATACTACCCATAGTATACATTATCAGGTATACTCGGCTTGAGTGCAGCCTGTATTTTCCATCCATATATATCCGCGGGCACTAGGTCTCGCATAGGGTAGCTTAGCTCACTTGGATCACGTAGGTTCATGTACAAAACAATAGCACCTTTGTTCCGGAGCTAGTTCGATGTTTTAGCTATCTGATATGAACATGGGCTACAAAACACTGACCTCGGACATTAGTCTTGATTTTCCTGTACCAGAACTTAGCATAGTATGGCCTGTGAATGCCACCACCCCTGAACTTCATGTTGTTATTTTCAGGTACTCGTAGAAACCGTCCGCAGCCTTCCCAACGTTCAGCGATGTGAGAGAACGAGCGCGTGTGACAGGCGTGGCATACTATTTCCTGTAGTTCAGGGTATTGCTGGGGTATTTCCTGCGCCATGCGCATATCAAGCTTGTCTTTCAGGTGTTTGCCTTTGAGCGATATACTGGCCGCGGAGACAGTTTATAACATGATCGGGCTAAGCAGTCAGTCCGAGGAATCTGATCTTCACGAAGGAGCCAGATATTTCAAGTACGGTTCGATCGATCTTGACATCATGTTGTTGCGATGTAAGTGGCTGGAGTGTCATAGGAAGTTGATGAACCTGACTCGGCACCGAGGGCGTCGATGTATAATTGGTTGAAATTCTGAAGCTGTCCTGTTCGAATGGATTAGGATATTCTTGATTCAAGCGGCGAGTCTGGGACCACTGCGTTACTAGTCCGCGCTTCTATGCCATATCCCTAGGAGTATCATTCGAAGGGAGAGACAAAAACGAGACGCAGTTACGCGATTCCCACAAGGCATTACATAATTCAGGTTATAGCAATTACTAAGCGCCCAACCGCTCCGAGCCTCTCGAGTCTCGTAACGTTAAGTTACTGCCAATACATGCTTCAATGGCTATCTTACGCCGTTCGTGAAATCTCCCGTGCGACGTGGAGCGCTCATGTATCCAACATCGGTTACTTGACACCGCTAGTCCGCGATACAGCCTAACCCAAAAGCCGCCAACTCGAATTTCCTTCTATGGTCCTGTTTCAAAGCCTATATCTCTAAACAAGTTAGCAGCAGTTCAATCAGTTACCAACCACTGAAAGGCTATCGGTCATGATGGCGATTCATAACGTTCACAACCGTGACTTTCACAGCCCAGACCATCATGTTTCCTATGCATGTCGGCAATAGGAACGGATAGCACAGCGTTAGCTGAAAGGAGAGAATGCTATTTAAGTTCCGGTTTCTGCGCCGTCGCGCTTCTCTCGTTTCTTCATTCAAAGACGCCTTTCGTTTCTTTTGTCTTGGATCATTACTTGTATATATCTCTAGGGTGCAGGCCATCTTTCTCGAGGTCATCATCCACACTAAGAGACTTACATGCCAGCCACTACCATGTCCTCCTGGATCTCGTTCTCCGACATCTTTTATTTTACTCGCAATGCGAGAAAAGCGCCTCTCATCCCAGAGGGCTTCGTCCTTGAAACACCTTTGGAGTGCAAGACCACTACGGCCGCAATCCAGCTCAAGCCAGAGTCTCCAACATCCCGCTCAACACTTCCTACCATTTCCCAATCACCGGAACCTTTGCCCGCGTCTTCCACCCCACAGACACCCCTGGAGCCAGTCATTTTCATAGGAAACAACAGCACGGAAACCCTTGTCAACGTTGTTTCAAAGCCCGGGTTTCCAACTTCAATTCTGCAGCTCTACCCATCTGCCAATGAGGCTGCGCATACACGACGCATATCGTTCGCAGATTGTGCCACCCCCTCACGTCCTGTGAAGCCTGTAAATGTCATTGACATGGGCCAGGTCTCGTACAAGCCCTCCGCGGCAGCAGTGGAAACGCCTGAGCAAGCAAAACCTCTCAGAGAGGACGTCCCTGACACGGAAAAGAAATTAAAGAGGAAGAGCATCATGCGGAGTATGTCCTTGCTTGGCCCTCGTGCATCCGGCACGAAGGCGCGCCGCTTCTCGGTCCCTGTCTTTTCTTCGCTGACGGATGCCATGAATAAGCGGGCAAGCAAGCGGCCGTAGGCCGCCCCAGTCCAGGGCGAGGGGAAGAGCACCGGAGCATCACGATAGCTTAGGAAGTGAATTCCGCAGAAAGGCGCACCGATGTTTGAGCACCACACATGCTATCCGTTATCCTATGATATCTATAATTCAACCTTAATCATTAATTACCCACATTTTGCCTCATTTTGTACTAGGGTGGTCCATGCACTATTGCGAACTACTTTGGCTTACATCGCAATCTGGACAATGGTTTAGCATATACATCATTCAAGACACTGTAGTTCTATAGTAGGGCATGGTTCTGGAATGGAGGAAATATGATACACACGATAAGCATACGGACCGTTTGTTTGATTATCATAAAGCCGCACGCGGTTAGGTTCGCTGCGCATATCGACTGCGGTTCCGGATTCGTTCCCCATAATTCAGGGTCTGCAGGTACAATCAATAGCGGCGACAGGAAAAGGAACAAGAGCGGACACTTGATCGCAATTTTGAATCTCAGTGCGTTGTATATCGTTGGAGCAGATGACAGAAAGCCGAAGCCAGCTAATGAAAACGGATGGCGGCCAGCGCTGACTACGAAAGGCGTTAGGTAGGTGTGGTCGAACACATGGAAAAAGCATCAAAAGTGGTGAGGCGTAAAGCAGTCGACGATGTCAAGCTGCATGCAGTGATAATTTAAGATAATACCTGCTCCCACAAGGGCGATGCCCTGTTGAAGCGTCATTAGAGGAACAGCACCGTCAGAATGAAATATCCGGAAGTATGGGCTTTGTGGCACTCCAGCCTGTGATCAAGCACTCTGTCGGAAGTAGTAGAGATCCGGTGAGCAAAACAGCTGATGGCACGTCTGCGCGCTGATCATGCTTTGACAGGGCTATCTCGCGCGACCCGAACGTCTATCCCAACCCTGACAAGTTTTATCCCGAGAGATGGCTCGACGAAAAATCCGTGAAAGACCTCGAGCTCAAGTTCCCTTCATACGGTTTTCGACGCAGGTATACCTTTTCCTGATAAACCACGTTGTGCAGTAGAATCTGCCCAGGGCGACACATTGCGAATCGCTCGATCTTCATCACCTTTTGTGGTCGTTCAAGATTACACAGGACCCGGAGAATCCTATTGACCAATCGGGCTTTGTGGATGGTGTGATTGTGCACCTAAAACGCTTCGCTGCGCACTTCAAGCCACGGTTTGGAGACGAGGCGTCGTCGAGGCCAAGTATGGAGAGGGGTTGTAGGACCTTTCAGTGACGTATCACGTGTGTATATATGAGCTTTGGGATGTGGTATTATTTTCGTGCCAGTGAGGGCTGGTATTTTGGCACGAGTGGCCTACGGCGTGAAGGATATTTAAGACATTCTTTTCAGTGTCTGAAATAGATGTCACATGGTCTCCATATGCGCAGTCCAAGACAATGGGACATGTACACTAGGTAAGGCTGGTGATGCATTGATGGTTAAGCCTAAGGTAGTAGGAGTAAGTGTGCCTTGATGGACGTTGTTATGTAATCAAGATTCAACATCAGGCCTAGGTCGCACAGGAGGTCGTGTCTGGTTTTTACGACAACCTGATTGATGATTCAGGGAGATTGGACTACACGAGCACTGAACAAATTCGCAAGTGAAAGAATATTGCTTCAAGAACGAGGGTGCTCACAGACTAAGCCACACGGGTTGTGCTCCAACGTTCTAGATAATGACATCCCCGTGTTTAGGAACGACAAAAGCTGCAAGACGTTCCTACCGCATCGTGACGAAATTCACGGGCCGCCGCGGCGTACTGTTAGCTCGTCGCTCTGTCCGTCCATTTGAACCGCCTTGCCACTATCGTCGGAGTCGATGATGCGCATTTAGTAACCATCAAACGACTCGAGATGGATCAAATATAGCTCACCAAGCCAAAGCTATACGACATCAACGTTGAATATTGAATATTGAATGACGAACGAAGCCCTTGAGAGGTTCTACGTAATCTGGATTCCGGCTTTCCAATACCCCATTTCTGTTCTGGACATGAACATAAACCTTTGCTTTCCTTTCCAACAAGACGGGGGCGTCATAAGCTAAATGGAACGAAATATCACTCACTTTCTTGCAGTCCAAACGGCCCCAATGCAAGGATTTTCACAGCCGCGTCAGCAATGAATGGTTGGTGGAAAATCAATACCACCACCCATCTCCAGGTTGAGCCTTCAGCAATTGATCCTGGGAGGAGTTAGATGAAGTTGTCAGTCCACCCCGACCGTGCTCAATCTTCCGGGTAACTGCAGAATACGTACCTGTAAATAAACTGAGCCGCGAGACAGAAAGGTCGAGCTACCAAGCGACTCGGCTGAGTCGGCCCGTCTGGTGGTCAAACATTGCCACGGTCAGGTTTAAAATTTGAAATTTGACCTATTTACCGCGACGAGCTTGATGAGATCTGAGACGGGGCCGCCGCATGTGCTGAGAGAGATTCTATCTTTATATACAGCAACAAACAAAGCGACGCGGTACTCCATGACAACTCTATGGGCTGTCCTGTGGGGTAGTACTTGACTCTGCGAGAAAAGGGGAAATACTCAAGTAGACAATATTTGGTACCGATAATGTCTGTTTTGAGGTGTTGACTCGAGCTTGCGCTTACATCCGAATTGCGTCTTCCGGGTTCCCTCCACTCTTCCTTCGACACCCTCCTCCGCTCGTCACCCAACCTGTTTGCATGTGTGTGCTGAGAAAACTGTAACTCATGCACGCACCTGAAGTGCGGGACGCGGCCAGCTGGGAATATTAATGTTGATTTAAACGTTAAATGCACTAGAAATCTGATTAATCCGAGTCGGATGATCAAGCGTCACATGAAAGGTTATCGATTATCCGGAAACTCGACTTCCGCTAAACTTCCGGCAGATATTAATAAGGATAGAGCAGTCATAAGCAACCTTATCTTTTCCCCTCCCCAAACACTTCATCATGCCAACTGTACAACTTCCATGCAAGGTTCTCGTCTCTGGCGCGAACGGCTATATCGCGGTTTGGGTTGTCCGCACCCTTCTCGAGAAAGGGTACTCTGTCCGTGGAACAGTCCGGTCTGAGGAAAAAGCAGTACACCTCAGGCAACTATTCAGCTCGTATGGTGATAAGCATGAGGTCGTCGTCGTTGAAGATATCACAAAGGTGCTCATACTCAAGAAAGTGATCGCGCGGGACCTTACGGTGATGTATTTTAAATAGGATGGAGCCTTTGACGAGGCAGTTAAAGGCGTTGATGCTATTGAGCATACAGCCTCTCCTTTTCACATGAATGCAGATGACCCAGATGGTACATTGTCACGAATTAATGCCCTGATTTTTATTTACCTGTTGTTAGAACTTATCATTCCCGCAGTTAATGGTACAGTTGGCATGCTGAAGAGCGCTCTCAAGTATGGGTAGGTGCTTCGTCGTCGTCTGAAGATGTACTGGTAATTGATATCGCGTCAGCCAATCCGTCAAGCGTATCGTGATCACTTCATCGGGAGCTGCAGTCCTGCGGGACACGACAACGCCATCCACTTTCTCCGAACTGAACTGGAACGAGCAATGTCTGGAAATTCTGAAAGAAAAAGGTCGCGAAGCGCCTAATATGATGAAGTATCGTGCTTCGAAGACTCTCGCTGAGAAAGGTACGGGATATCAAACATGCTCATCGTGGACTGGCGATTCTCATGTTCTTACAGCGGCCTGGGAGTTCTGGAACAAACATAAAGCTAGTGTCGGCTGGGATCTCACTGTCCTTAACCCACCTTATGTGAGTTTCTTCAATGTCAGGAAGTTTAACCAAGACGAACTCACCCATTTCTCAATGATAGGTCTTTGGGGTATGTCATAGACATGCTTCTCGTTGGCTTTCCCCTAGTTAACCTACTTCTTCCACAATAGCCCGCTATCAATGAAGCCACAGCACCATCCGGATTGGGCACGTCCTCAAAATTGTTCTACAACTATGTCGCCCATCCAAACTCCAGCGGAGCAACAAACGAGTTCCTTGCTTCCTTCGGTACAACCTGGATCGATGTGCGTGACCTTGCGGAAGCGCATGTCATCTCGCTCGAGAAGGAAGCTGCAGGTGGCGAACGAATCATCGTTAGTGCAGGTACGATAGCTCCGTCCATCCAACAATGATCGGGCACTTACCTTTCTCCAGGACTTTGGAAATGGCAGGATTTCAGTAGGTGCTCTCCGTTGCTGCTGTTCTATCACTCACATGGTATCTTGTAGTTGACGTTGCTAATACAATCTCGCCGCCACCGAAACTCGCAACAGGTGGTCTGCCGAAGGGTAACCCTGGTGCTGGTACTGGACACCCCTCCACAGTGCACTTCCTTCAGTACGACACCACGAAAGCTGCGCGAATCCTGGGGCTGAAGTACCGAACTATAGCAGAGATGACGAGGGACACGCTGGCAGACTATGAAGCAAAGGGATGGTAATGCATTCTATACAAGAACCCGAGACAAGTTGTATGTAGCGTCATGGATGAACAAGAGAATGAAAGTTTCTACACGATCAATACTAGTAGATGCATGTGAAGCACAGGCGGTGGGTAGGCTAAAGGGGTTTGGCACTGAGACGAGCAGTTCGAATTACCGACAACTTATAAGTGCGTTTTGTAACGGTATTACATTGCGCATTTATAAGTTGTCGGTCTCACGTCGCATTTTCCGGGCTGTTGTTGATCTATACCGTATACGCGCTAGGAGAACCAGCGGGGAGAGACGCTAGGGTACACGAGTGAGAAGACATACACCTCAGTATGCGTAGAAAAATACTGAGGTGTGCTACAGGCCGATACGAGCTATATACGAAAGATAAAGTGAGCTTAGGTAATGAACCGGCGAAAAAGTTAGCGGAGGGCTCGTATGGCCAAGAAGCAAGAAACAGGAAGACGAGTGCGCTGCATGTGGTGTCGATAGCGATAAGCTTAGAACAATAAGGTAATGCGATGTCTAAAAGGTAAATCGTCATCTAACGTCAACATACCCAACGTATGTCCATCTAACCGTCTGAAAGGCCCAAAGGTACGGGAGTATGCACTTGTGGAAGCATTAACACCAGTAACTGTAGTTTAAATGTATCAGTCCTTGTAAATTATTGATTTGCACGAGCCGAGTCTATGCGAGGCTCGCTCATGATAGAATTTCAGGCTTCAAGCATTTAGCACTCTGGCCAGATCTATGCGAACCTTTCTGTCCGAATTGAGCCGGTTGGATGAATGATTGTCCCTCGCCCGGGATAGCTAGTTCCAGCTCATTCCTGGATGCACTTCTCGGATGTCCTGGAGAAAATGGCCTGTTACACTCTGAAACAGGTTAAAGATATAATTTTCATGTTTGCAGAATGATGGGCGCCGGATTATTTTAGGTATATGCCTTTTGAAGAACAGAGATCGTCGGAGAGTTTTAGTCTGTACGTTGATGGTACCGAGTCTATGTATACAGACAAGGCTCACATTTATGCTCGTATCATATATACAAGCTCACAGCAGGAAACAGAATGACACACTTGCGCACCAAGAACAAACCACTTGTTCGTGGCATTCGCGTCGTTGCTCTCCGAGTCGTTGATTACAGTTAGTGCCTTCGGAATTTGAAGAGGTCGGACGAACATGCGATCATGGTCCTTCTGACCTCTTCAAATTCCAATGTCTGAACACCTATATTTGCGTATGTTGCCAGTTTGGATTGGTCCTCAAAATGTCAAGTTGCAAAAGATCGTGCTGATTTTAGAACCGTGGCCTAGGTAGATGTTTGTTGACGCCTGTTAGGATTAGAAGCCGTTGACAGACAAAGCCAAACAGCCGTAAGTGACTCTACATGAGTCGGCCATGAGCCATATTACATCAATCAATTTCTGTTTTTAGACCGCTTTTATCACCACGCCTTTCCAGCACAGAGTTTTGGTCATGATTGCTTGAGTGCTGAGGTCCACAGGACCCTCATACACATCTAGCATTACCCACGCGCCACGCGTTCTTGCCTTTCATCCATATTGATCACAATGGAAACAACTGAAGAACTCCAACAACTCGAAATCACAGCATTAAAATCCATTTATGATACAGATTTCTTTGAGCCCCCACCCCCCAAGGCTTGGAAGGTCTGTCTGTTCGTCTTATTGAGCTAGTTCGTAAATGTGTATGTGTATGTGCATGTCTAGGGAGCCACCAGATTGCCCGAATTCATCGTCAAAGTCACACACCCCGATCCAATCCACGCCTCCAAGGTCTACTTCCATTTGCATATCAAGTCAGACAATCCTGGTGCTCGTATATATTTCTGTTCTAACAAACGTCTTGTTAGACTACCTAAAACATATCCCACCCTTGCAACTCCGGTATTCACTATACAGAAGCCTCGCGGTATCAACCATGATCATGAGATAACTCTTCAGAAGGCCATTTATTCTGAGGCTCAGATGCTCCGGGGATCTGAAATGGTCTTTCAGGTGCGCATATATCCACAGTCTAAGCCATGTTCGTGCCACTCATGGCGTGTTTTGTTGCGACTAGATCATCACGTCGGCTCAAGAGTGGCTAGCTGATCATGTCCATCCCGCCATTGAATCCTCCGGCTCTCTTGCTACTGAGATGACGAAGCGTGCCTTGGAAGAAGAAAAGGTACGATCCCCATTATCGTCTCACTGAAATGTATTGAGATCTGGATCAGGAACGAAAGCGACGAGAGGAGGAAGAGGCCGAAAGGGAGTTCGAGTTAGCAGCTCAACGTGCTGAAGAACTTCAAGAACAGATTCAGGCTGATGCGCAGAGACATATGCTTGCCAAGGAGATGCAGTATAAGGCAGCTCGGCGAAGGGCGCAGTCTGATGCTACTGAAGTTCCCTCTTCAGGAGACACCCTCACAGAGTCCTTTCCAAACGAAATCGAATTCAGGGGAGTACGTTTTAATGCCGTCAAGATGTTTCATCCGCGGAAAGGTCAGTTTCCTTTCATATCTGTATTGTCTGGAATATTTACCTCGTCGAGGAAGAGTGTCTTGGTATTACATACATTGCAGATCCGTTGTGTGACGACGTGAATGCAACACTGCCGCTCGAGGTTCACACGATCAGCTTTAACTCGGACTACTACACAACTACTCAAGGTCAGATAGACGCGCCTCATTCCAAGGCAGCTGGCTTATTTTCTTCAGGAAAGAAAAAGTTACTCGCAGCAGAAGCTGAGATCCAGAAGCTGATCAATATCCAGCACCCAAACCTTCTAAGTACTCTTGCTGTCAAACTGCACTTTCCTTACTCTGCCGCTCCACCGCGCTTGACTATTCTCTCCGAACAAAGACCTGCATTAACATTGCAAGACGTTCTTGAGGATTGTGAACGTCTTCGAGAAGATCGCGCATCAGTTTGTCATAAAATCTCTTTAACATCATCGTAGCATTGAAATACTTTGACTCTTATAGGAATATCTTGGTCAGATTCTGTCTGCCCTGAATGCGGTCCATTCAGCAGATATAATTCACAGAGGTACGACCCGTGTCTTGACCCGCACAGAAACTCATATCGTTCTAGGTCTTGACATTTCTTGCATTTATCTTGCTACGAGAGAGAACAGAACGCACGCCAAGATGGTCAGGATAGGGAAAGTTGGGTTTCATGCACGCTTGAAGGACTACCATAAGTCTAATCCGTTTGGCAACGGCATATCAAACGTGAACGAGGAAGAGTATATACGTCCTACACCTTGGTAAGTGATGTGGGGATGGTACATAAGGGATTTTCATCATCTGAACGACCATTACAGGTTATCCAAAGATGTCATTGAGTCAGTTCTATCATACACTCGGGGACGCGATATACACAGCGTTGGAGTAATCTTCATGCAAATGGTCAATGGAAGAGACGTCATGAGGCAGTTTAGTGATCCTAATGAAGCTGTGAAAGCTGGTAATCCATGTTCTGTCACACTTTGTTGTGCTAGAGCTTATTTCGCTTTTCAGCGGCTCTTTCTCCTACTCTCCAAACATGCGCACTGAATATGTTGATGCATGCGAAGAAAGTTTCCTGCTTGAGCCTTTTAGCGGAACTGGCATCAGCAGTGCCTCTCCAATGTCCACGACGAATTGGAATTCCCACAACAATTCCAGTAGTTAGCAACGGTAACACTGATAGTTCATTTCCGTGTCTTTCATCTCACCTATTTCCCCAGATCTCAGGACTCCGAGACCCAATGGATACTTTGGTTCTCCAGAGAACGACTACTTCCGAGTTCCTCAGCGCACAGCTCCGGCCAGTCGTTGGAAGGAGGATTGGGAGGAGCTCGAACTCTTGGTACGTTAATGTATATGATCCCCTGTTCCCTCGCTTACACTAGTATCCAGGGCAGGGGCGCCTTTGGATCTGTGGTCAAGGCTCGAAACAAGATTGATAATCGCATCTATGCAGGTATGTGGTTTCAAATTCAAGAAACGAATATCTGATAGACTTTGCGCCGACGTATAGTCAAAAAGATTCGCCTACGATCAGATAAGGACGACAACAAGCTGTTCCGCGAAGTGAACGCTTTAAGTCGGCTGTCGCATCGCTTCATCGTCCGATATTACACGACGTGGGTTGAATTCAACGAGTCAAATTCAAGCAGAATGTCTTCAAATTCTGACACTGGATCTGATTCTTGGACTGAGGGTCCCATGACCAACGTGCCCAAAGCATACGAGAGCGAGACATCCGATCCATTCAAGGTAAAATTGGAAGAGTTGGACGATTATGGGTCCAATAAGACGTCTTTTCCGAGCATCCATTTCACACGACCCGAGATCAAGAATGATAACCACGAAGAGGATGAAGAAGACGATGACAGCGATGGAGATTTCGGAAATCTCTTTTCCTCGGAGTACACCACAGACGAAGATACTCCGAAAGATCCTATCCAGCCCCGAACGTTGTACATACAGATGGTAAGATCTATACACCATTGGCGTCTTCACTGAATTTATCTCTTCAATCAGGAATTTGTTGAGCGTCAGACTTTGAAAGAGGTGCGACATTCGTTACCCATATTTTACATGAATCGATTGAATAATCATCGTCCAGCGAGTGGCAGAGGGTTTGTCTGAAGAAGAGGCTTGGCGGTTGTTTTATCAAATCCTCGATGCCTTGGTGCACATGGGTAGCATGGGTATTGTATGTGGAGTCTCACTCGATTTTCTGTCTGTTCTCACGTCATGACAGCTTCACCGAGATATCAAGCTCACGAATATCTTCATTGGTATGCACTACTCTTACTATCTGTTCCAACACGCTCACCCTTCACTCAGATGGGAAAGGGGACTGCAAAGGCAAGTACTATATTTGTGCTCTTGAGTGCTGTATTTGACGTTGTGACGACCAGTCGGAGACTTTGGTTTGGCCACGTCGAGTTTAGCTGCTGTTGACCCCTCAGATCTATCACCGTCTGTCGTCCATTCAGACTCTGAGC